AGTTACAGAAACGTATTTCGAAAAACAGTTAAGATATGCACTTTTAACCCATACCGTTTCTGTAACTTAAGTGAGGAATTAAATCGACGATTCTGTTGTCTTCTGAGCTATTTTTTCGCAAACATGTACCTTTTCTAAAACATATGATACTGAAACACGTTTGCGTGAAAAAATGTCGTGAGGATTCTGCCTGCAATGCGTGAAATAAGGGGAAAAATAGTACCTTCGATGTTCCGACATTTTGTTACCGAAACGAACCGTTTCGGTAGCCAGCGTAATCGAGCGGATCACCAGTGTATATATTACTATCTTTGGACTTCATTTCAACTCAAGTTGAAAAAAATGTTCTATAGAACTTTGGGAGAGGCAGCTACATTGTACCTACATCATGCCTGGCTACGTCCATATTACATGTATTTCTTTAACAAAATAATGACCATAAGGCCATACTGGACTGATCATATACAGTAAAACCTGTACATAGTGAACAACTATCACTGGGGAGTATCGTGATGCAACAACACCGTGTTGTTGCATCAAGATGGCCAGACTTCCGGTGATAGATTTTCGTACGATATTTTGTTTCCCCAATTAAACCCATTTCTAGGACGAGTTGCTCAATAACCATACACGTGCAGTTAGCGCACGATCTATATTTAAAGAAACTGTCATTAGTATACATGTACCATCACCAAGAAGCAATAAGTTCACGGTTTTAGTTCCTCACTATTGATGCAACAACACCAAACCGAAGATGCAACAACACTCCTCTAGATTTGAGGAATGATGCAGCAACACCAATTAATAGTATAATTTCAGAAGACCTTAAATCTCGAGTGGAACAGATTTTTGCGTTCTTCTCATGGCATTCAAAATACACTTCCTGCGGGCGAAGATCATTTATATGTGTTTTCAAAAAATTTATACTTTTAAACATTATAACGTTCTGGACGTTGTTCTATAACATAGTTCAATCGCCTTTAACATGGCAAGCTTTAGTAACCCAATCTATTTTCATAAACCACTATTCCATAGCTTGATGACCCTGACTCCAGTTAGTATCATTCAAAATGGTGGACAAACATCTTTCGTTCTCGGTAAATATGATGAGCTATTGGAAATTATCTGTCATCCATCTGTGGAACAGTGATAAACTAGTAGATTTACGTTACCACTGTTTATCAAATTATAACTAAAACAGTTTAACTGTGACATTCGTGAGCTTATGTTGATGGGATGATTGTTTCATCTATGATATAATATGATATGATTCTTTATTTCCTCCAATTTGGAGAGCCAACGTGTAAAACGTCTAATTGACTTTATTAGAGAAGCCGTTTAGTTACACGTTTAATGGAAATCTTGAACGACGCACATGTAGAATTATTGCTCTCTTTGGATTCCTTCTCTCCGACTGAGTAAAAAGGTAAACAAAAGTGATAAGATTAAGGGCCCAAAAAGGTAAATTGATAGGGGTACAGTTATCCCAGATATCCCGGGCCCTCGGGAAATATCATATTGTCTCTCGGAATAAAACCAATATTGAATCCCTCTCAGTAAATAACCTCTATATAATAGCAACTGCAATATCATTAAACCAATACTCATCCTATACATCTCTTGAGAACGATGTACAACTCCTGGATAGCTTAAACTCCTGAGCAGCGTATACAACTCTTCAACTTGATATATGACATCATACTTTGGGTGGGATAACAAAGGATATACAATATACAATTGTAGACCTCTCTTGAGGTCAACTGGCAAAATTGTATACCGATACTGTAATCCTTGAAAGTTCGGAGGTCGAGGTCAACAGTACTCTCAGGGTTTACTGTTGAGGTATACACTTTGGCCAGTTGACCGAATAGAGAGGTTAACAATTGTTTGTTAGTCCGAAGAATATAATAATTTGAAAGAAATAATATACAATTGTAGACCTCTCTTAAGGTCAACTGGCAAAATTGTATACCGATACTGTAAACCTTGAAAGTACTGTTGATCAAGACCAGAGGTCGAGGACACTTTTGCCAGTTGACCGAAAAGAGAGGTTAACAATTGTTCTGTTAGTCCAAATAATATAATAATTGGACGAATATATAATCGAATATCACGTGAACATATTTTATAAGTAAAGGTATCATATTCTAGCAAAAAATCCCAAAACCGTCGAATATTTGTAATTTTTGCACAACTTATTTTTTCAAAATTAAAAAAATTTCAACATTAAAAAACAATTTTTCAAAAATAGGGGTCAACAGTACCTAGTAGTGGTCAACAGTTTACAATTGTTGACCTCCCCAGAGGTCAACCGGCAAAATTGTATACCGAGACTGTAAACCGAAAAACTACTGTTGACAGAGACTGAAGGTCGAGGTCAACAGTAGTTTCAAGGTTTACAGTCGAGGTATATGATTTTGACGGTTGATCGAATGGAGAGGTCTACAATTGTTTTGTTAGTCCGAGTAAACTAATAATACACATATAGACGACAATCATCAATCGGCATGGCTTCATTTCACAACCTTTTCTCCGAACCACGTTAGCAATATTTTTTTTAGAAAATCTGGAGACAGTGCAAGTAGCTTAACTCTGTATTTGGCACATCACGGCGTACTCGTTAGTGAATTAATGTTAATTTTAAGTTTCTATTTGTATTTTTGCTATACTAGTCGCCCAGTAAAGTCATTCTCATCCAATAATCACCCAATCAGAATCGAGTATTTCAGTTGAGGTACTAACAATACATTTTGTTGACCGCTCATCAACCAATCAGAATTGAGTATTTCAATTGAGGTACTAACAACACAAAATGACTGATATCTGTTGTCTTTCCAAAATTATATTAGTTATTTGTAAACAATTTCCATACGGTAAATCAAGGGCATTTAATTTAGAAAATGTATAATCTTTATTTTTCAGATACAATATCAATGAGATTGCCTCCCGGGGATTCAGTACTTTATTTAGTTTGCGTTGTATATCCTTTTAACTTTGATATAGACAAAGAAACCAAACAAAATACGCTTCGTTCATGGACCACTGACTCACGCGTTTTATTCATGTCCCGACCTACACCTGTAAACAGAACATAAAACAGTTTCTCTTGTTGTTCAATGATACATTATATTGGCGTTTTTGCATCAGCACATTGGTGTTGTTGCATCATCGATAAGAAACAGAGTGGTGTTGTTGCATCAATAGTGAGGAATTAAAACCACGAATTTATCGCTTCTTGATGATGCTACATCTATACCAATGACAGTTTTTTAAAATACAGATCATAACCTAACTGCATGTGTATGATTATTGAGCAACTCGTCCTAGAAATGGGTGTAAATTGGGAAAACAAAACATCGTACGAAAATCTATCACCGGAAGTCTGGCCATCTTGATGCAACAACACGGTGTTGTTGCATCACGATACCCCCCAGTGAACTATGGAGCCACAAAGTGTTCATTGTAGGTATGTGTTCACTACAGAAATGGTTTGGCTAAACACCTGTAGATGTAGACGCCTATCCATCCATCCACCCGGAAAACTGATCACATTATAGCACCCAAGCAATAAAAAGTTATGTCTATGGAAGAAAAGGGAGAACCTACCGAATCAGTGTTGAGAGGCTATACATGAATGCAAATACTAATCACTGTAAAAGCTTCTTTCAAATAATTAAACCAACAATACAATAGTTTTGAATTTGAAAAATATTACAAAATGTATATTTCTATAATTCTAAATAGGCAAAGAAAATACAAGCTTGAATAGACTAGATGCAAGAAGAAATAATCTTGATTTACATCATTAGATATTCAATATTTTGACAAAATGATATCATATTTGAAATCTACATGTACATGTGCTTGATCGAGAAATCTATATTTCTATAATCCGAAACAGGCATAGAAAATACATATACTTCAACCATAGAGAAAAAACGATTAGTTCTAATTTGATTCAAACATATTTTCTAACTTTTTTTGAGTCAATAGTCAATTCAAAAGCTTGTCATAAAGATATCACAATTGATATATCAACAAATCTGCATAAAGGTAGCTTGATATAAATGAAATTAACTATTTGAGAGGTTATGAGGGTAATTTGAAATACATGATTCACGCCCAACTTTAGATATTTCTAAAATGCATAAACTGGAAACATTTGTGACGATAGAATATTGTTGCTTCGTAAATGTTATACCAATAATAATGCTGTATTCCAATAGCTGTTAATACCATATTATCCTACACTTGGTGTACTAAATGTATAATAACATCAAAAAATAAATTTGATATTTATTGGCAAAATGAATAACCGGAGGATATTATCTGGGCGGAGGATATCGTGACGATATACTCAAGAAAACCCAATATACGGAAGATATTGTGACGATACACTCCGCTTGTTGATTTCCTGCCAAATTGACTCTGTTTGGCATGAAATTCATTTTGCAATGATTTTATACATTTAGTACAGTCCTTGTGAGTGTAGGATGATAAGAACATCCTATGATTTTTCAGAATATCATTTAAATCTACTTTGCGATATTGATATATGCACTCGTTCGCTTTGCTCTCTCGTGCAGATATCAATATCACCTCGTAGATAAAAATGATATTCCTCAAAATCATAGGATATCCTATAAATATCACATATTCCGTACATTTATAAACACTACCATACTACTACAATCCTAAGACATACATTCATATCCAACATATTATTTGGCACCCCAGCTATACTACACTATAAAAAGACTTCATTTTCATGATTTAAAATTAAAAGAATGTCTGAATTATTATTTTTGCCTCATGTCTTGGCACACCAATGAAGGATGCTCATGTTGTTACACCTTACTTTCGAGTTATAGAATGCCACATTTTGCCAAAGGTCCTATGCAAAATATCATGCTTCTGAGTTAAATTTTCTTTTATTTCTATGTAAGCTTGATAAGATTTCAAACAAAAAGACCTTCAAAAACAACTTTTGAAATTCAATAAAAATTACACATACCATATTTTGGTAACATCTGGAAAGACTAAAACACGAGCCACGTGGTTCAAAATTTTGTAGGGGCCTTTAACATCATGAGCACAAATAAACAATTCAATGCTATTGACATTACAATAGTTATTCAAACGATTTGTTTACCAAAAATAATACATAAAACAATGAAATTGAGAAGTGAGAATTGAGAAATGAGAAGAGTGTCTTATTCAAAAAATTTCCTTCGTTTTCTCTTGAATGTGATCCATGGCATCTCTGGAAGGGAATAAGCAGTGGAGAATCTATCTTCAAATACTTGGGAGGCATAGCAAGACTTCATCTGAGATAGTCTATATCTGGCAGTTATATAGCACTGCATGCTGTTTGGTGAAACCTTTGGTAGGTAAGGGGTATGTGGAATTTTAAAACAGGAACGATTTCTCATCTGAAATGGAAAAATATATCGTACCATAATAATATAAAATATGTTTCCATCTCACATAATATTGTTAGTGTTCTAACATAAGATGAAACGTTTTTACCTAACATACGCATCTCTAAATTTAATCATAACAGATCATCAGATTTAATCACCAAGTAGTGACTTGTGTCTAAAACAAACTTTAGTCATTTGTCATATTTAAAATGCCTTGTTTTGAATGCGATCAACTGACCAATATGGTACAAGGTGTAAAACATACATAGAATGCTTTCTTTTGTTCAGTAATACCTGTCACATGATACAAAACATTGAGCAAAATCTCTTTATTGTTAAATTCTGTATGGTGCTAAGGTTTACCTCTATTGGCAAGGGGTATGGTCTGGGTGGCCCATGTTTCACCATACTTCTTCTTCATAAACTGGTGGACACTATAAGCCAGTGAAACACCCATTACTGGAATACAAAACAATAGTCATACACAAAAAGAACAGTCTGAAAGTATGAATCAATGATCTCCCTAGTAATTGTTTAATGAACTAATGAATATATGCTAGCATTATTTGAAAGGCGTCCCAAGCAGAGGTGATTAAACCTCAGCCTGTATCCAGATGGTATTTGCCTGCTGTAAAGATACTGGTATTGGAAAACTCCTCGCTTGGTGCTTCATCACTTGGTAGATGTTTATTCCTCAGCATTGAATACTGTTCTGTTCTGCATGCATGTTTAAACTAAATGTGAACAAGATCCAAGTTGATAGAACCACCTTAAGATACAAGCCTGTTATGCACATTATCTGTAAATATGTTACATTGATTTTAATAAATAAAAAAAAATAAATAAAAAATAAATTAAAAAAAAGTCGGAAATACACGAAGAACTAAACTTACCAGTGGGTATGACCATAGCATTTTGTGCTCTTGTTGGTATTCTCTTTCCCAGTCTCACCTGCAACACTGTGCCTGAGGAGTAACCTAGGATCAAGGAAACATATGTTTATATAAACATCTATGCCAATTCAGCCATCCTACATGACAGAAGTGGATATATCCAAAGTTAGCCCCAAGTGGTGCAACCTTTATATGTTAAATGCTGTAAACATCTACCCCAGCTGTGTTATATGGGATATATTGATATCCAACTCCATTGTCAGAGCATGGTGAATTTATATGATATCATACCAAGTATTTATAATGCAATACTTGAGTGTACTTTGTATATATGAATGTTATACCAAGGGAACAAACATACAATAGTAAAAATTATTTATATACTAGTTACATTTTTAATGATACACATAAACTGTTATAAAATATACATTTATTAATGGTAAGCATGGCAATGGATTCAAAAAGCGTTATTACATGGATTATAGTATATATACAATAGATTGCTATTTGTAGAGAGTTGATTATTTCATTTGATTGGGAAGTCATGGATGAATTAAAGAATCTGAATTTTGGTTCTGTTTTGAAAATCTTGTAAGTTCTAGTTCCTCTTAAGTTGCTCCTTACAATGAGATTAACTCTTTAATGCACCTTGTATACCCTAACATATTAGTTGGAGAGTCCATAGACTCTATTACAACCTATATACTATAGCTATCAGGACAAAATACCCTGAACTAAAATCACATTACAGTGCTTGTGTAATTGTATAATGCAAGAACACCCCAAGAGGAATCTGAAGATACAAGAAAGTGGAAAATGCACAATGGCATATACGAACACCTTTAACTCATGAGTCATAACTGGTTGTCAAGGAAACCAGCACACTGTGACAGGTGCTCGGCTCCACCTATAGGTCATACAAGGTACTAGCCCAACTCCCATCTGTAACAAAATTTTAGCATAGCAAACAGACAGAAACAGGGGAATATTATGCATACAAAAATAGTTAAGATGGTTCTTTATTATTTTTTACATATTCATTATATTTATAAAGGATAATTAATCGAAGAAACAATACTTAGGTGTTAAATACATTATAGGCTTAACATATTTCATAATAGTGTAATACTCTCATGATTTCATCTGAACTTTTACTTAAGTTTAAATGTGGATGACAAGAATATTTAGTAGCAATTAAGATAAGCAATCGAAACAGATAAATTACCTATGTAAAAGGCTCCAAGTGTTGCTATAAGTGATTTCTGGATGTTTTCACCAAAGTCTGTTAGACCCTGAAACGTAAACAGAAATAATCAATTTCAAATGGTATGTAAACATGACACTAAAGGCTCTTTGAATTTGAAGTGACTGTCGGGGATTGGATAAAAATGACAACTGGTCTGGGATTTAGATTTGACTAAGGGATACATCATCTTAGTTTATTAATTGCATTTGAGGTGACTGTATAAAGCACATGTACATATATGCAAATTGCAAACTGATGTATTTGCCAAATGAGGACCTAAAATGAGTACAAAACACCTTGTTAGTGTTATTTTCAATGAAACCTGCAATATGTCTTCCTATGACCTTCAAATGAGTAACTTTGACTTTGGAAAAGTTTAAGTAGCATGACTTTGTTACATGGAGGTAATGTCATCCATGGAAGTAATTGTATGTATCGCCTCATTCACCTTTACACATAAGCATGTACTTTAGAAGGCCATATACCTGGGTCTGGGATTTATTTAATTTTAAAATAATAATGCAGATGCGAGTAGGTAGTTATCAGTTTCACCACCAGGTGGCTAGTTAGGATCAGGTATATTAAGAAAGTACTCTTTAACTTGAATATTCATCAGTTTTAGTGGATCAATTTTAATATTGCCCTTCTGATAGTGTCCTCACTGTGCAAAAGTGAGAGATGTAGACATTGTGGGGAAGGAGTGATTCAAATTTGAAAAATAACATGTGACCCTAACCCTATTGAGGGTTGTAGCAAAATTCCCAACATGCACCCTGACCTTAATGATGTAAATCAAGATTATTTCTACTCGCATCATCATTGATGTTGATGTTCATGTTTTAACTTTCTTGTACTAATCCGTGATATAATTATCAGTAAAATTAATCAATCGTGTATTCAAATGATGATGATGATCTACTCTAGTCTATTCAATGAGCATATATTATTAATAATATTATTAGATGTTGTTATTTGTAAATACAATATTGGTGCTATGCCAAGAAACTGCAGACTTGCAAGGACCTGGATCTACAAGGTCAGACTTACATTCTCCCGACGCCATCTCAATTAGCTAGCTAGAGACTAATGTCAGACTGTTCTGATTCCTGAGCATAAGCATAATTTATTCTCAGTATTCAGTAGGTCCAGGCCTAAATCCATAGAATTCATATATAACATACATATGCATCATGCTGTATAAACCATTTATAATTTGGAAATGTAAGTAAGGTTATATGATGACCATCACTGTATAGAGGACAATCGATGAAAGCATGACATAATCACAGATGATCATGGAAAAAGTCCAGCCGAGACGGTGGAAAATCTTACCTTTTGACGACCAGTTAGCGCTTCACAAGTACCTTCAAATGCCATAGAAATTCGTCCGATTGATCTTTATGCCTTCAACCAACTGATGACACACTGTAAGATATACGGATGTCTATCTATTGCTTAAATTAAGATAATATGTGAGTTAATTATGCAGGATTTTTCAACTATTGATCCGGAAGTGTCGATCCGGAAATACAAATCGCTGCGCCACCTATCATGTTGCCAAGTGATCGCTTCAAAATGGCGAATTGAGATTTTCAGAAAATGATGAAAATGATTTTTAACATCTCATTTTCCACCTCAAACAGTTAGTGAAACTGTTTAAAAGGTAATTCCAATTTTAAATTATATAGTATACTTCCACTTGGGACATTATTTTGCCCCCTTATTTCGAAATAGACAAGCATTAGACTTACTGAACACAGCTGGCTCAAAATGACTTCTGTCAGCTCGGTAGAGTAACATTAGACAGTATAGTAAGGAATTATAGTATAGACTGACACATGTGACAATGACATGAAGTTCAAGTTGAACTTACTTCAATCAAGTTGTAGTAGGGGTTCAGTCCACGGACGTCAAGTAAGTTTCTGGCGAAAGCCGGAGCATACATTATTTTCTTTATAATCTATATGCTCCAGCTTTCGCCAGAAACTTACTTGACGTCCTCGGTTCAGTCTACAACTTGTAGGCCTATTAATCAATCAAGTCTTTTTTGGTCCTATGAGTTTTTGTATGTCCTCGCTTCTGTGGATTTTTTTGGCGTCCTACACTATACAACTACGGCTTTGTATAAAAAACCTCCTACCCACGTACCCTCGTACCCAAGTACTCGGGTCCTGACCCAGTCTTTAAAGAGTTAAATCTTTAACATTTTTTAAACATTATTCTATCTCAATGTATGCTTAATTATGGATGAATTTATGTACCCATATGCCTTTATTTCTAGATCGGACATCTGTCTCGTCGTAAAATAAAGCCGGCATTGCATAATGTTCATTTGAGCTATTTGAGTGTTGTTTTTGATATATCGAAGCGATTTTTTGTTGATCGGGCAGTCTTACAGTGTACAACCAATCTATTGCTTGGCGCAAATTTGCCACATGGGGCATGTGTTGTAAAGTGCTGTCGTTTTTGACTCCATGAGCAGAATATGGTCAAACTTTCACAACAAAATTCACATTGAATGACCTGAATGATTCTGGATTGACGAAGTTATTCAACTTTTCATCGGTCCTGTTTTTTAACACCCTGTAGTTTCGATTTTTATCACATATACTTTTTATTCTTTCAAACGATAAGTATTCATTGTTTGCACGACAGATTTGAACTATACGTGTAATTTGTCTTATGTCTTTTATTTAATTTAACATCAGAATTGGAGATACAAAGTGATAGAGTGATCAATTCACACGATCTCAAGGAATAATAAAGGCTGCATTTCTGTTTAACCGTGGCACAATTGAATAACGAAATATTTGAAAAGTAGAAGGATTCGCTATATTCGTTTTTAATCGCTTTTTGGCACAATTTAAGGATAATTGTGCGCACTAGTTCAGTGAATCATTTAGATGGAATTAAAAGTTAGAGTTGCCAAACTTATGCAGGGGAGTGTAAGTTTGGTTTTGTAAACTTCGACATTATTCATGGCCGTTTGATCCATAATTAGGTAATATGAAGAGTAGAGTTTTATTTTGACAATGATCTGATGTAAAACTGGTTTGAATGATACAAGTTCAGCTTTGTAGTGTCTAGCTTTTTGCGCGTAAAACGTGAATACAATAACAACGACACCAAATCTTTGACTAACATACGTTAATAACGTATAATATTCGTAAGAATGAATTCTAATAACATTTGAAATAAACATCTAATAAAATGTGGTGAATTTAATTGGTTGGAAACTCTAAGAAATATATTTTTAAAAAGATGTCAACTTTTGGACAAGGGTAAACTTCCCGGGACATTTACAATCTGCATGAGGTAACAGGAGGCACGGATTGCACTGAACGAAGGCTAGGAGATTGCTAATCAGCACTCATGTGTTATACAGGTAAGACTGCCCGATCAACAAAAAACATTTCGACATATCAAAAACATAAATCAAATAGCTCAAAAATAGTGAACATTTATGCAATTCCGGCTTTATTTTATTTTACTAGAGAGATGTCAGACCTATAAATAAAGGCATATGGATGCATAAATTCATCTATAATTCAGGATAAACTGAGATTGAATAATGTTTTAAACATTTGAAAATTTAACTCTTTAAAGACTGGGTCAGGACCCACATACGTGGGTACGAGGGTACGTGGGTACGAGGTTTTTTATACAAAGCCTACAACTACAACTCCCTGTGCTACATGTACATGTACATAATGTACATGTATATAGCTTTTTTACCCAGAGCACTCAACTCATTACACGTCCATGTTTTATGTAAATGTTCCCCAGTGCACAGCAACAAGCCTGTACTACTGGTAAAGAGGGGCAATGTCAATGCGGTAGCCTGGCAGTCGTCCCAGGGTATCCTAACATAAAGGGAATTCCAAGGGGGTACATGGGCCAACCAGGAAGTTTCCTAACAATTTTAAAAGAGTTGTAAACAATAGATCTATTTTTAAATGTTATTAAATTATATTCTATTCAAATTCTATCACTGTTAAATCATATATCTGCTTAATATGGGCTTATTAGCCTTTTGCAGATTATTGACATAGACAGTATTTTCTATTTTGTAAAATTAGGCTAGTCCAAGGAGGAATGGCTCCCAGGCTTCCCAGCTCGAATATTCTGCCATATATTGGGTCATGTTGTGATTGCAAAATTTGAAATCAAACAGCCACCATTTTTTCACTGTAGAATGTGTATCGCGAGTTTTGGTCTACTGTACGTAAAGAATTTCAAAACACAAGAACTTATCAAGATATTAGTCGGGACGTTAGTTGGGACGCTGATTATGAATTTATAGTCAGTTAGGCCTAGAGTGTCAGAAAATAACAAAATTTTCAATGTTGATATCGATCAAGGTCAGGTCAAATCTCGAGTTGGAACCCAAGGAGACAATCCTCATTCCTCAATGGCCTAGCCTTAGGTTGCCTAGGCAATGCCTACTAGTATTCCTTTCTTTGGTGGCTGATCTAAGCTCATTATAGCTGCAATATCTTCTGTGAATTTATGACATACTTGAAGTAAAATTTATGAAAATCAAATTAAGATTTGTTTTCTTCATCCAACTTTAGACAAAGTCAAAAAAATTTCTTTAATCTAGTTTAGACACATAGATTAATTTATGGATTGCAGGTCCATCAATATGGACTGGCTACAAGATAACAACATTGATGAAACCTGTTGCCAAGCGCTATGTCAGCATCCCTCATGCTGGGAGTCAAATCTACGACAGCTGAAAGGTTTTCCCCGAAAGTTGAAGAAAATACCACAGCCCAAGATTCTTGATGATGGTAACATAAAATATGTACTTAATATTAATTAATAATAATTGAGGAGCAAAAAGGGCCTTTGATTAAAAGCGCATCCCATGCTAACATTTGATTTATAATTTTTATTATATTTCTAGAGTACCTACTACTGACTCTTAAAACTATGTATTTTATGAAATTCCATGGACCTGGTTTAATTACACAGTATGATTTATATTAGTAATTTTGTTTCTTCCTTAGCCCTGCCAAAACAGTCAGTGTGTAACTTGCTTGATGATTATGGGCCTAGTGAAAATGATCGCTACCCTTCACTATGGGAAGGAGATGGACTGGAACACAAAAGAGCTCAATCCCTACCAGGTTTACACTCTTCTGCAGTAGACAGGTACAGTTTGATAATTTACAGGCCGGTAGCCAGGATTTGCCAAGGGGGGTCGAGTTTTCAAAAATTTCCAGGGGGGGTTCACATTTGACAATTTTGGCCCAAATATGGCTAAAATCACTTGAGAAGTACTCAAAATGGTGAAAAACTGCATGATTTTGAAAGAATTTTTGGCCAGGGGCCCTGCAGCCCCCCCCCCTGGCTACGGGCCTGATTTACCATACAAAGTATAATGTACATGTAGCAGTGTCCATTTTGTTTAGCAAAATGTGCATTATGTTGTATCTTCAGCAGATCCTGTTGTTTTGATTAAGCTCTGCCCTTTGAGGGAGATTTGAACCATGTCACATAAATGCATTATAGCAAAGACCACCAGCATCTGAAAATCATCTGAAAAATTAATTGTTATACTCTCATATTATGTTTCTATTTGTAGACCAATGTTTGATCATACAAATGATTGAGAAACAGGGCTGTTGATGTTGTGGATGGCGTTATAGTGTTATATGAATTCATCTTCTACTAATTTCTACATCACATTTTAGCTTTAGGAACATTGTCAAGTGTCCCAATGCCACTCCAGTAACTGCCACTCCTGTCCAGAGTCACTCACGCATGTTGCAGTTGGTCGCTCCTCTCATACCCCCCAGAATAAACAAAGTAGAGGTGAGTAACATCAATATTTTGCACAATATTCATCTCTTTCATTCACCTCTTTATTTGGATAAAACAGGCACATATAGCTTTTGTCCAGGGGGTTCACTTTAAAAAAAATCCAGGTGGTTCACATTTGATAATTTTGTCCCAAATTATTTACTTGAAAAGTGCTCATAATGGTGAATGATTTCGAAAGAATCCTCCTCCAGGAGGTTCACTCGCACCAAGCCCTTTGAGTGAAGTGTCAGAATGGGACCCAAGAACCCACTTTAAGATTATTTTAAATGGCAAATCTAAAACACATGTTTCCTTGATTTTAAAAGGTGAAACAAATGCCAACAGGCATGGTCATATCATAGAAAAGGCATTTTATTAGCCTTGCCCAAGTCGGTCTCTTTTACTTATCTTGATTTCGATTGTGATTGTGCAAGGCAGTAATAATTCAAGATCAGATTAGTAAAAAAATACCGACTTGGGCAAGGCTAGCATTTTATAAGAAAAAGCATTTTGAAAAATATTTTAAATCTCTTTTTATTTGCAGGTGCAAGAACTATTTGACGTGTCTGACTTGCAGCAAGATTGGAATGAGACATTTGTAGGCAAACAGTATTACGTCTGGGTCCCTAAAGCTACAGATAAATCAACCACACCCAGGCAACCAGAGGCAACACAGAGGTAAATGTTTAATACATATGTATACAAAGCATTAGGTTATCCATTGTATTGATTAGGTCACCACGAAAAGTGGTGACATATTGTTATAGTCTTTTGTGGATGATGTTCAGAGTATTGGTGTTTGTGGATGGTGTACTTAACAAATGACAGGTGGCGACATTTTGCATGTTAATGCCTTGTTACTTCTTGACTAGAAGTCATATGTGCAATGAAATCATTTTCCAGTTTTGGAAAATTATTTAGAAATGCAAGACTTTGATATCACCACTCCTTTTCAACCTTTTTCTGTTTAACATACAGGCATACTGTTCGAGTGATCAGTCTGTTATCGTGGTGTGTCCGCTAATGACACTATTATGTGTTCACTTATGGCTTTTTGTTATTGTAGTGTGTCCATACAACAGCTCAGTGGTGGCCCTAAGAAGCTAAACATGAAGGACACTACAGATCAAATGATACCAAAGTCTATCAGGAAGGCGAAACCAACAGTGAGTAGAAAGTCATATTTGTAAGTTCAATAGAAGATCTTTAGGGCCTGTTGACCTAGGATTACATAGGGAGAGTTCCCCCAAACAGAAATGATTGTAGACCAAATCCCCGGGATCAAATCTTGAGAGCTTTTGTATTTATTGCTCATCCATTTTTTAATAAATGTGACTCCCATCTATCGCTAGAAATCTAGGCCTTGTGATCTAATTTCAAATTTGTTAGAAAAGGCCTCGGACTCCTTAAATTACATGTACATATACTTGTACATACTTACTGAATAATTGCAACTATTTTTGTCTCTTTTATTTTTGAAATTAGACAGCTACAAAGAACTAGTTGAAAATCCATGAGTGAAAGAAGTAATTCAGGAACTTTTACAAAGATATGTTATGATCTCTGTTGTTTCAGAAGCAGCGTGAGAGGACCAGCAAGTCACCAACTGGGGGCCAACCGTACAAGCTGGACAACATAAGGAAAAAGAAGGGCAAGAAGAGGGACTCAAACATGGAGGAGTGAGTAGCATTAACCTGATATTCTATGAATCATTGTACTTGTTGCGTGTTGTGCCATCGCAAGGTTTATAACTGGAGCAGTAAGTAAACTTGTAATGTTGAATAATATACTCATTTTCTCACCAACACAAGTGTTCAGCAGTTGGTGTTCAGTGTGCAGTTGGTGTTCAGCAATTGGTGTTTGGTGGTCAGCGTCTGTAATAAATGGCAGGTAGTGACATTTTGCATGTTAATGCCTAGTATATAATTACCGAGCATTTCAATGTTTATATCAGTTTAACATCCCCTCCTTCATAAGATTGAGGCAAATCATAATTAACTTTGAATCGCCTTTATACAGTGCTGACATGCTTTCAGGTTTATTGACCTGCTGAAGTTGCCAAGAGAAGTCCTTATAAGGATCTTAGATGAGGCAGAAAAAGGAGAACTAATGAACCGTGATAAAATTCGTGAAATCTTGGAATACTATGTTAGCATGTTACCAGATCGTGAAAAAACCACAATGTCTCTGACTCAAAGTGAGGTCTTACATCAACATAAGGTGGAACTTGTTAAAGGGACACAGCCTGGAGTTAGGAACCTCCGACAGCCAGAGAAGTTTCAATCTCAGCAGTTATATTTACTCGATACTGACAAGAATAATGATTTAACCCCAAGAGACAATGAGACTCATAGTTATGAGGGTCTGAATGTAGCAGATTTATCTGACTTAGATTCATATAAAGGATCACATCTATCTGGAAAAGATGAAGATTCAGTAGCAGACAAGGAATCTCCAAGGTTTACCAACAAGAAACCACTACCATCAATTTCTGGTAAGATCCCTTAATATAATATTAACAGATGACTTGACATTAAATAACACCCTTCTGATGTAACATTATATTGATAAAGACTTGGGCAAATAAATCACATATTTAGTAAATTCCCCTTCCTTTATTAACATCAAGTTTATGTGTCATTTATTTATTGATCTTCCTAGGTGGTAAGGCAGGCAGTCAAAGTGCAGGTACCAAAGCCAAAATCCCCTCAATTTCAATAGGACTTCCTGAGTTGGCACCAGGTGTGAAAGCAACCAAACCATTCACATATAAACGTCACCAGAAACAGCCAGATGTCAATTTTTCATTTAGTAAGTAACAACCACATTCACAGACAGAGCATTTTTATCGCATTTTGAAAAAGTGGTATATTGCCGTCGTATTGTTAGTTCGAAGCATCCAGTCAAAATCAATATCCCTAATGAAGATGCACGCCTTCAATCAGCATCACTTGAATGCAGATGTAAATGTGTTGAATCCTAAAGAGCCTTACTGAGTAAAAGAACCACAGGAGTCACAAAAATCCAAGCATATTGCATTGAAAATGAGAAATTTTAATGATTTAGGATATGAGTTGATATCAGATGCAATGGTACAATTTCCTTTTGTTCATTTAGGTCGAGTTCCTACACCTCCGACAACCATTGATCGCGCCCCCACTCCGAAGAGTGAATCATCGGAACATGGTTCAACAATACACGTCACTGTTCCGAGCATCGCATCAGAGAAAGAAGACCCTGGGGCCTCAAAGAAAAAAGAAGTAGTTCCAGTTAGAACACATAGAATGAGAGGTTTACCTGCATATTCCTTCAGTTCAAGAGATCGTAGAGACTCGGCAGGTTTACACGCGGTTTCCCCTGCTTTCTCAACTAATGTTCCGCACACCCCTGTTGCAACTCCCAACACCCGCCAGTCCAAGACCAACAGTGTAGGGCTAGGCCCTGGGTATATAGCACCAGAAAATACTGGCTTTAGTCTACCATCTTCTCCTGTGAAGTCACTCAAGGAGGGCATTGTGTCTCCAATAAACTTTGGTCTTAAGGTACCATCCAACACACCTATCCATCCTCCTGGGAGCCCTTTGTCACCTGAACATACAGGTAATCAATAGCTTATTAAGGATATCCAATTTTATCGAATGTCCCCTGAACATATATCAGATCAAATGCTTATAAAGTGTATTCAATGCTTATCATTTTGCCTTATGTCACCTGAACATACAGGTAATAAATAGCTTTATTAAGGATATCTAATTTTATCCTTTGTCACCTGAACATACAGATAGTCAATTAAATGTATTTATACAATTTATTAGATGTTTGTAAAGTTTATCCAATGTCACTTGACCATACTGACATGAAATCTGATGCTTATAAAAGATATGCAATGATCTTACACAGTTGGTCCAATGTCAACTGAATTAACATGTACTATAAACAAACAGTAATGTTTGAGTATCCAATGCTTGCACAGTTTTTCCAGTGCCACATGAACATGCATGAAATCAAATGCTTATAGAGTGTTTCAAATGCTTATCCAGCTTATCCAATGCGATCTTAACACACATGTAATCAAATGCTTATAAAGTGTATCCAATTTTACCTGAGGCACATGTACATGTAAACAGGTGCTTATAAGAGTATCCAAAGTCACCTGAATAAAAATGTATGTTGAAATGTTTCTACAGCGAATCTAATGTCTTTTCTAAATCTATTTTCAAAAATAATTGTCAAATGCCTTATGTTTATCGAAAGCTTACATGTTTTTAGGTATCCTGGATACAATTGTGGAGTCATCCAATGGGAGTGTCACAGGGGAAGTCCCTACAAGGGATGCTGGGCCCGTACCTCAATCACGGGGACGTAGTGTTCATTTTGCTCAGGATATAATGCCCCCTCCTCAGCCACCTTGTAGCCCCCAGCTGACTGAAGGAGATATCACAATTACAACCTCATCATCGCCCCCACCTCAAGGTAAATCTCATACCTAGACATGTTTCAGGTAGATAACATCTAGGTTCTTGAATGGGTTTATCTCCGAAAGTGGAATTAATTTCTAAGTATGGGGTAAATGCCCTATGGCATGGTCACCTTTAACAATATATTTAATATATAGTTTCTGTAAAATTTAGATCCTTGCAATGTGTAAATTTATAATTATGTCATGTACAGTATATTAATTGCTTCTGCATTAAACGTTCAGATTTTACCTCATGACTGGCCTAAGGATATAAACCTATCCTTTATTTTGGCATTTTTTACTTCTTCATACCTTCATCTCTGACATTTTGAATTTTCCAGAGTCTCCAGATCAAAAATCTCAGAGATCGGCAGGGTCAAGGTCAATCAGCGTAAAGATCCCAGCAGCCCAGGTTGATTCCTCCTACAGAGGGACATCTATGAGGCCTCAGTCTCAAGCCAGTGAAGATGGCCTAGATCCTGTCTCCCCTATTGGTGTTATATTGGAGGAGACTACAAGGCCTGGGTCAGGGGAGGAATGGCCTAATGTCAATGAAGATGATTTCAATGTTACACCTGCCCCATCAGAGAAAGTTATCTCCCCCGAACCTCCCGAGTCACACCAGGGGAACATCGACGTGAAATCAGAGCGATCGGGATTGACCTCAATGTTGAAATCTGAGGGGCGGGAATCATTGGCATCTGCTAAGGCAAAGCGTATGATAGAGGGAGATATAATGGACAGCCCTGGTCCACCTCCGTCATCACCCGAACCTAAACAAACTCTTGATATGAGACGACAAACTCTATCTGCCGTCTCTAGAGAACTTTCAATGGATATTCTGGAAGAAGTAGCTGAAACTGACAGTGACATTACTCTATCTGGAGATCCCCCTAGTCGCCTTGACAACAGTTGCCTGGTAACCCCAGAACTATCTGGAGCACCACCAGGTGGCAGTGCAACAAAAGCAACCCAACCAACTGGCAATTATCTCATGGTTTCAAACTCTGCTAAGAATGTAACTGAATCTGAACAGACAGCTCAGTCTGATGAAAATCAGAATGTCACATTACAATATGACATTGACGCATCAAAAACTGAAGCAGGTAAAGAGACTTCTGAAGACAATGAAACTCTCACTGAGGAGAATAAGGAAATGAGTGCGCTAAATAATAAACTAGATTCTGTAGAAACAGGAGGTGAGGACACTTACAGGGAAGAGTTGAGGGAAGAACTTTCCAAACTCTCAATGAACAAAGATAAAGAAGTATTGCCAGAAAAGTAATTTCATGCAAATCCTGCAGTTCTTATTATCATCACTGTATGATTTTTTGGATCTTCATATGAAACCTTCCAATCATGTAGAATATTTATTTTCACTTTCTTTGTATAAGAGCGGTTGTACATATTTTAAACATGTAAATTACTTATCAGTCAATATTATAAAAAAAAGCATTATCAATTCAAAGTATTTCACAATTTCTAGAAATCACAACTAAAATCATGTCTTTCATTGAGTCAGAGTACTGATTTCTTTTGTGCCTTTGTCATATATCAGATAATATTGTAATATTGGCCCAATGTTTAAATGTGAAAGTAGGGTAAAAATAACCCCCTCAATTAATTCATTGGATGTCATTTGAAAATTCTAAATACATCATCTCATGGTTAATAAATCAAGAAAACGTAAATGTATTTAAAGAATGTCATTCAAGGAGCTGGTTGTTAACCCTTTCACGACGATAGGCTCCATATGGAGCCCTATTATGTTATACCTTTCAGGACGATAGGCTTCTTTTGGCATCATTGTTTTTATTTATATACATCAATGAAATGGCAATATCTCCAGTTCTATTCAGTATTTTTACACCAAACGTTGACAAGTTGTTTTAATGAGATAATCCTTACTAAAAATTGTATTTCAGTGATAAAATTCAAGGTATAGGTCATGGGGCGTAGGTGATTTGCAGTTTTCCCCTAAAAACCTCTCTTACTTATCCGTCAATAGGGCCAACATTTTCCTCTTTTATTCACGTCGGGAAAGGGTTAACAAACTAGAGTAAGCAACATTATGATAGCAATTGATGCAAAATGTGTTTTTGCCAATACTCCAATTTACTTGTTAAATGTACATTTTATAATTGTATGAGATTCGCAGAGTTACACAAATTACATGGTTTTATGCTAAATTGTTTGAAAACCAATGATTCAAAGATAAGCATGGGCTTTCAAGAGAGATAAGGCGTTTTATTCCCTTGCACAATTCCCATTGGCATTCTTTGTCTCAGCTGCATATACCCATTGGCATTCTTTGGTCTCAGTTGCATATACCCATTGGCATTCTTTGGTCTCAGTTGCATATACCCATTGACATTCTTGGTCTCAGTTGCATATACCCATTGGCATTCTTTTATTTCAATTGCATATGCCCATTGGCATTCATTGGTCTCAGTTGCATATACCCATTGGCATTCTTTTGTCTCGATTGCATATGCCCATTGGCATTCATTGGTCTCAGTTGCATATACCCATTGGCATTCTTTTGTCTCGATTGCATATGCCCATTGGCATTCATTGGTCTCAGTTGCACATACCCATTGGCATTCCTGGTCTCAGTTGCATATACCCATTTTGCAATTCTCCAGAAGTTTGCTTCTCATTCATGACATATTTGAAAATGGATTTATTTTCTCTGTAAAAGTATTTATAAGAAGTGCAGTATTAATTTTTTTTATACTAAATAGTATTTATGTAATATTGATCATAAGGTGTAATACTCAACATGTACATCATTTTATAAGATATTTTGTGAATATATATTTGTAAAATCTACAGTGTATATAACAAATTAACAATGTGTCTTTGTTTATTTGTCCACGCTAAAAGCATGCTAAGAATCAAACACACATGTAAAGAGAATGGAAAATATAACAGTGAATGATAAAGCAAAAAAGTATTTCATTCCATATTCGTTGAATACCTTTTGCACTTTCCAATTATTAATACATTAATAGTTTGGCATCTTTTCTTATGGTCAAAATTGCAAAACAATTTCCAAATTGGATTCACTAATGTTAATATCAAAATCTATTAATTCTTTAAGTTACATTATCATTATGAATTAAAAGTATTATGGGGTATTTAGATGAGCAGTAAATCTATTAGCCCGATTAGAAAGAACGGAGCAAGGAAGTTACTCTACATCTAATGCAACGTTACATCAAATTTCGAGTTTCTCAAGCATGTCTTATTTAATCTCAAATGCATTGGTCTGATTTCCATAATATTTTTTTGTCTTATTGGACTGACAGTATCTGTGAACCTCGTCTCTAAATATGTGCAGTGACAATTATAACAAGACAAAATCTCAATGTTCCTGTTATTTTATTAAAATGGTAATTCAAAAAATATAAATCTTCGAATATAATTTATTTCTTGTAATATCAGAATACCAAAAGGCAAACATGTTTATAAAATTCTGTGCAATGTATATGCGTTCTACCTCTTCAGTTTCATAACATTATATAGGACCATATAAGTGCTAGAAAATGAGTCACTTTTCTTTGGATCAAACTAATATAATGTATCATGATCATCATTCTGTATCAGGAACAATATACTGCAACCAGAAGCTTGCATTACTTCTGCAGATAGTTGTCAATCTCGAAAACAAGACATCAAATTGGTTTTAGTTGTTCATGTTCCTGAGAAATCGTAATTTTACGTCAGAGACCTACATGTACATGCAAGATTTCCGCCAAATAAGCTCCATTGAGTAATTTCTAACAGTATGCACTTTTCTCTCTAATGGTTCCTCTTGACAATTCAAATTCTTCACATGTCATTCATGTCACTTCAAATTCTTCACATTAGATATTCTTCATATGTCATTTATGTAACTTCAAATTCTTGACATGAAAATTCAAATATTCTCTATGTGTCATTTATGTCACTTCAAATTATTGACATGACAATTCAAATTCTTCACATGTCATTTATGTCACTTCAAAGTCTTCCCATGACAATTCAAATTCTTCACATGTCATTTATGTCACTTCAAATTCTCCACATGACAATTCAAAATCTTCATATATCATTTATGTCACTTCAAATTATTCCCATGATAATTCAAATTCTTCACATGTCATTCATGTCACTTCAAATCCTTCCTATGACAAATCAAATTCTTCATATGTCATTTATGTCACTTCAAATTCTTCACATGACAATTCAAATTCTTTATGTGATGATTCAAATATTTTGATTTATACACAGAATCCTTTGAAGCATTGTCCGATTACAGTGAAATAAAACCTGATTCCTGAGTATATAATCAGCCTGAGATATCAACCCTCCCATCTGACTAGTTATTTCACTTTTTGCTTCTTCTTCTTAGGCGACTCTGAAATAAAAGTCAGGTAAAAATAAATTTATAGTTATTATTATAGTTTCTGATACTGTAACTGTCAACATCTAGACTTCAATAAGCTCAATCTATTAAAAACTAAATCTTGATTATAGTCAAGTTTTGGGAAGTGAAAGTGACCATACAGGGGTTCTTAAAGTAAAGGTACTGGATAGGTCACAAATCATTTCCCAAACAAAAGGAATATTTTTCAGACTTATTAAAAAAAATACATATCAGAAATGGTTGCTACATGAAATACAAATGGCCCACCTTCCTTTGCCTCCTTATTCTTAGCATACGCTGCAGCCATTTTCTTGATGTTCAATTGTCTGACTACATCATGGTCCACAATTGGCTTGGGGTAGTCTTTACCTATGATACACTTGAACTTCTCCTGAACCTTTAAAGGGGCTTTCCATGGCTCATATATGTACTGTGCTGGGAAGTTTTGCAAAACTGGCAAGTATTTTCTGAAATACAGGGGAATTATTTACAGCAGTCAACAGTTTACCCCCCCCCCCCCCCCCATCAATACATATGAGTACACACATCAACAATCCCCCTCATATACATGACATATGAATATTTGAGTATGTACATCTTTATCAAATTGACATGGTATCACTGAATGTTGTCAATTTAAGTATGGTATATGCAGGAATGTCAATGTATACCATATTATTATTACATGTACATGGTTCATTTAATGTCATGCCCTGACTCCTTTAGGACAGCAATGGAAATATGAAGCAAGTGCATTTAGCATGATTGATACACTGTAATAACATTCTCAAAATCTTTATATCTTAAAACTGTTTATTTTAAGACTGATTCTTTATGAGAGCATATTCATAAAGGCAATATCAATAGAATTAAATGTTTAATAATATAATAAAGGTGTTTTTTACTGATACCAAAATAGAATTATTTTTATGGATGAAATAACTGCCTTTAAACATACCTTATAAAATCTCCATTCTTATCTGTTTTCTTGCCAAATGCGACAGGGCTGTAGACCCTGAAGTATTGATGGAAGAATGCACTTGCAGACAACCACATCCAATTCCCAGCATTCAAACTCCAGTCAGCATCCAATAACAGCTCCTCAAACACCTTAATTGTAAAGATTGCTTCAGAGCCATCGGAATGTAATATTTTCATATTGTATACTAGTACATACATTTTATATATTATATTTATATATATTATATTATCATATTATATACATGTATATGTATATGTCAACTAGCATTCTATAATTTGGTTTTGTCTTTTTAAATGAGACTTTTTGAAGTCTGTCAAGACACTCAAATATTCAAGCCGGTAAAAGAGGACAAAATGTTTACATAAAACTTGAATTTAATAAGATAGTGTGCTATCAATGTATTATATTTTGACTTTATATTTAAAGCCTTCAATATGTAATTCACCAGCATCAGTCTATAACACAACATAAGACATTAACATGCAAAATGTCACCACCTGCTATTTGTTACAGACACCAACCGCTGTATGCTGTTACAGGCACCGACAACCACCAATCACACCAACCACAAAAATGCTGGAGACTATAACAATGTCAACACTTTTGGTGGTGACATAAAAATTTATCAAAACTGTAGCCCACTTGCCAATTTATGCTAACATTCATATGCAGTAAAAAATCACCTTTTGTCCTTCCTCCCAGCTAATCCATAAATCACCCCTAGTTAGGAAGCACGCAACTGCATGCCTAGCTAGATGATGAATCCAACCTTCTCTGCGTAATTGAACCATAATTGCATCAATGAAAGGGTAGCCAGTTTTCCCCTGTAAAATAAATGGTTATAGCTTAGGGAAGGCTGGGAAGAATGAGAAACCTGTTTTTATACCAATATTCCAAGCTACTTTTACATTTTAAGTTCTTTAACCGAGGTTCTTTTTATAATTTATAGTTCTGTTTTCCATTTTCCCAAGATAAATAAACAAAATCCCTCAAACGTAAAAGTTAAATAAAAAAGTTAGTTATGTGATTGGAAATCTTGTTAAAAAAATATTTAAAAATATTACTAGATTAATCAATCTAATAATATTTTAAAATATTTTCTACATGATATAAAACATCCTATAGGCTAGATGTTAACCTACATGTTTCCAAGCCTCAAGAAACTGTGTATTGTCGTCCCAAGGTATCTGCCGGCAGATTGGATTTCCCACCATTTTGTCAAAATTAGGTGTATCAGATCCAACAGTTGTGAAGAACTCCCGCCAGTAAAGCTGCCCCTCAAGTGAAACAGGGGGACCACTATGTTTCTGTATGAAAATCAAATTTCAATTAAAAGAATTAACATTCAATTGTGATGGATATTGGATATAATATCCATAATATTATTATATCATGGTATTTCTGTATTAAATATTAGACTCCCATTAAATGATACATGTTATTCAGTTCATATATCTCATACAGTACATAAACTGTACATGTATATGTTGTACAGCCCATATTACATTATTTATGTTGTATATCATACTCCTTTAATTAAAAAAATCAACATTCAATGGTGATGGATATTGGATATAATATCCATATTATTATTATATTATGGTGGTTCTGTAGCAAATATAAGACTCCCATTCAATTATACATGTTATGCAGTTCATATATCTCATACAGTACATAAACTGTACATGTATATGTTGTACAGCCCATATTACATTATTTATGTTGTATATCATACTCCTTTAATTAAAAAAATCAACATTCAATGGTGATGGATATTGGATATAATATCCATAATATTATTATATTATGGTATTTCTGTAGCAAATATTAGACTCCCATTCAATTATACATGTTATACAGTTCATATATCTCATACAGTACATAAACTGTACATGTATATGTTGTGCAGCCCATATTACATTATACATGTTGTATATCATACTCCTTTAACTAAAAAATGAACATTCAATGGTGATGGATATTGGATATAATATCCATAATATTTTTATATTATGGTGGTTCTGTAGCAAATATTAGACATAACTTGTACAGCCCATATTACATTATACATGTAGTATATCATACTCACTTTATTATGACGATATATTTCATTGAGTCTGTGATAGAACGTTCGAGCAGATAAACATCCAAACTTAAGGTAAGGGCTTAGAACTGTTGTACTCGGGTTAATACTGTTAGGTTCTGTCTTTGGTTTCTCAAAGTTGCATACCCATTGCTAGAAATAGAAGGCATTAACATGCAAAATGTCACCACCATTTGTTACAGAAGCCAATCGCCGATCGCCCACCGCCGTCACAAAAAACGGGGATCATAACAATTAATATGTCGCCACTTTTTGGTGGTGACATAATAATATACAATACTAGAAAAACAGCAACTCCATGGAGCAGCAAATCCCACTGAATAAAATATAATTGATGAAATAACTCAATTTTAACATTTCATGATGGAAATAAACAGGCAGTAGTAGTGCATCCTATTGGCAAAACAATATAGTGACATATAATTTGTGAAAATGGAAGTCATTTTGAATTTGGAGGTCATTTTGGAAATTCCCTCTTACACAGGAATTGTAAACATCATATATCAATTTTTTGTAATATGACCCAAATTGATAGAAAGGTATTTACGTTTGAGCTTAAAAATCACTTTTTTTAAGAAACCAGTATCTGCTTTATTGATGATTACATTTTCTACGAAAAATGGAGGCCATTTGAATTGAGTGGCCATATTGAAAGTTCTTTCTCAAGCAAAGGACCAATTCAAGATACCAGCCTGTTTAATTTGAACCAAATCAGACAACAGGTATTTGAGTTATCGCCTGGACACCCTAACAGACAAACAGTATTAACAGCTTCTACATATCCCTACCTGAGCTTTGTTTAGTGTGATAATTAAGTTTTTTAAGAGGTAAAGCTAATATAATCCATTTAGTGCATCCCATGAGTATGCTAAAACTGAATAAGGTAAACTTCCCCATTACATTGAAGGCTAAATGAATGAGACTACCATTTTGCCTAAAATTATGGAATTATGTAAATAATTTCTTGAATAGAGCTACTGTGTCCCTAGGCATAATCATATAAAATTTCAACCAAATCTGTTTACTGGTATTTGAGTTATCAAAGATTACGTTTTTTATGAAAAATTGCCGCCATTTTTAAATTAAGCGGCCATCTTGAAAATTTTTTGTCGAACATAGCTACTGTGTCCCTAAGCATAAGCATATAAAATTTGAACCAAATCTGTTCACTTGTATTTGAGTTATCAACGATTACATTTTTTACGAAAAATGGCGGCCATTTTGAATTGAGCAGCCATATTGAAAATTTCTTCTTGAGCAGAGGTCCTACACTCATAAGGAATAAGCCTATAAAATTTGAACCAAATCCGTCAACCGGTATTGGAGTTATCGTCCGGACACACGGACGGACGGACAAACGGACGGACGGACGGCTTCTCTATATCCCCCTCAAACTTCGTTCGGTGGGATAATTAACCTTTCTAAATGCCTTGTACATGTAATTTATTTCTATGTTACATATATTGAAGCTTGTCATGATAAAGTTACCCTCACCTGCCTTGTCATATATTTGTCTAGTCGTTTCAGAGCTTCACTTTCACCTCCGACATACAAACATGTTTCAAGGTCGTTTTCTTTAACATTTAGTTCTTCTAAGGTTGGAATATCAGCTGTAAAACCACAGGCATCCATGCATAGTTTGCAGCCTGAAAAACATATATTCAAACATGACCGTGCTCTAATTGAATTTCTCAACCAATCAGAATGCAGCACAACCGTTCTCTAATTCTCCATACATGCACATGGGAATCCGTATTGAGTTGTGACGTCACATCTAGGGCTCTGTCTGTGGATGGCCACTGACAAAGACGAGATAATCACAACTTAAACAATCTTTTCTTCATTTTTATGTTTGAATTGGAATAAATAATGATATGGTGAAATTCCACACTCGTTGAATGGAATGTCAGTACAAATGCACTCATCTTCGGTTCATACTCTGTAGGACATTCTATTCAACTCATGCTGAATTTCACCATATTGAATGGCCTATCACTATTTATTCCTTAACATGCTTTTTCATTTTAACCAAAGGGGTGCATACAGTACAATATAAATGTATATACTTTTGTTACACAGTAATTGATTTATAGGAATTTTGGCAAAAATCATTATTCTTTGATGAACGATGACAATTATGATGAATCTTTGGTTACATCAAACTTATTATATTCAATAGACTAGATGCGAGTAGACATAATCTTGATTTACGTCATTAGATATTCAAAATTCTAAATCTACACGTAAAAGTACATATAAAAACATGGTTTCGAAAATTGTTTATCATCTTTGAAAAATTTTTTTTTTTTGAAAGTTTGACTTCTCGTTCGGGTTGATTCCCCATTAACCCAATGTTACAAAATCACAAAAAGTGAAACAGCTTTTCTTGTATTGGACATATAACATTTTCTTTTACTGGACATATTTCAATTTGCATTACTATTAGATACATAAGGATAATATGAAAATTGAACCACTAAAACAAATGTAATTGAATTTAAAGGGAACTTTCTGCTATACCCGCCATGCTATCTGACCCGAACGAGCTACCTGGTGGTGATACTGGTAAATACCTACTCGCATCTGCGTTATTCTCATGATTTTAAATGTAAATCCTTATGACATTCCTATTTACTGTATGACAACAATTTAACAAGTGAATGAATATAACAATTATCAAGATTTGTTAAGGGGAAATTGTGACGTCCTGTACATGTTACAAGGAATGAAGGACCCACGGTCCTGTGCTCACACAGTTAAGAACCTTCAGAGAAATGTATATCCCGACTTTCAAACAAAAATATTGATTTGGATTTGTAGTCTCGAACTTTGAGAACCTTAGATAGCACAGTTGTGTGACCTAGTTTAATGACCTTTGACCTTGAAAATTTTACTTATTCAGAGCTCAGTAAGGTCTTTTGTGATTAAGCTGACCAAAATTTACATCCAAGAATCAATTTGAAAAATCAACTTTTTGACTTTCGAAGGTCACTGAAGGTCAACTAAAAAAAAAAATTTGGTCAAATTGAAGCAAGTTGAAAAAATTAGTACCGTGGGTACTGGGCTCACATGGTGACAGAAAAAACAGATATAATTTTTTGCTGATTTTTTGTTACAAAATTATTTCAAGCCATCTGTCTCTCAGTCAATTAAAATGGCTGAAATAAAAATATAATATAGATATAATTTTTTGCCAATAATTTGTAACAAAATTATTTCATACAACTACTCTTTACAGTGACATGGCTTTTTGCAATGCAAGACACCTGAAATTATTTGTAAAGCTAGGAAATGGGCCAAAATTGAATTTCGCGAGACAAAAATGGCGACCATTTTGAAATCAGGCAAGCTTTTGAATCAGGAGTCACGGGAGTATTTTGTATTGATGTTGAACAAAAATAACTTGAAACTGGAATCCTATCGACAGAGGTTTTAAGCAAATGGTCCAAAAGAGGATTTCGCGAGACTGGAGATGGACAAATCAATGTTAACTAAAATGGCTGAAAATAAAAAAAACGGATATAATATTTTGCCGATTTTTTGTAACAAAATTATTTCATACAACTACCTTTTACAGTGACATGGCTTTTTACAATGCAGGACAGCTGAAATTATTTGTAAAGCTAGGAAATGGGCAAAAAGTGAAATTCGCGAAACAAGAATGGCAACCATTTTGAAAATAGGCGAGCTTTTGAACCAAGAGTCATAGGAGAGTTTTTTGTATTGATGTTGAACAAAAATAACTTAAAATGGGAATCCTATCGACAGAGGGTTTAAGGTAAATGGTCCAAAAGTGGATTTTGCGAGACAGATGGACAAATCAATGTTAACTAAAATGGCTGAAAATAAATAAATGGATACAATTTTTCGCTGATTTTTCGTAACAAAATTATTTCATACATCTACTCTTTACATTGACATGGATTTTTACAATGTAGGACACCTGAAATTATTTGTAAAGCTAGGAAATGGGTCAAAAGTGAATTTCGCGAGACAAAAGTGACGGCCATTTTGAAAATAGCCGAGCTTTTGAACCAAGAGTCATAGGAGAGTTTTTTGTATTGATGTTGAACAAAAATAACTTAAAATGGGAATCCTATCGACAGAGGGTTTAAGGTAAATGGTCCAAAAGTGGATTTTGCGAGACAGATGGACAAATCAATGTTAACTAAAATGGCTGAAAATAAATAAATGGATACAATTTTTCGCTGATTTTTCGTAACAAAATTATTTCATACATCTACTCTTTACATTGACATGGATTTTTACAATGTAGGACACCTGAAATTATTTGTAAAGCTAGGAAATGGGTCAAAAGTGAATTTCGCGAGACAAAAGTGACGGCCATTTTGAAAATAGCCGAGCTTTTGAACCAAGAGTCATAGGAGAGTTTTTTGTATTGATGTTGAACAAAAATAACTTAGAATGGGAATCCTATCGACAGAGGGTTTAAGGTAAATGGTCCAAAAGTGAATTTTGCGAGACAGATGGACAAATCAATGTTAACTAAAATGGCTGAAAATAAATAAATGGATATAATTTTTCGCTGATTTTTCCTAACAAAATTATTTCATACATCTACTCTTTACTTTGCAATGGATTTCTACAATGTAGGACACTTGAAATTATTTGTAAAGCTAGGAAATGGGTCAAAAGTGAATTTTGCGAGACAAAAATGGCGGCCATTTTGAAAATAGGCGAGCTTTTGAACCAGGAGTCATAGGGGACTTTTCTGAATTCATGTTGAACAGAAATAACTTAAAACAGGAATCCTATCGACAGAGGTTTTAAAACGTGCCACTGTTATTGACAGAAAGTGGATTTCGCGAGTCAGATAGACAAATCAATGTTAACTAAAATGGCTGAAAATAAAAAAATGGATACAATTTTTCGCTGATTTTTTGTAACAAAATTATTTCATATATCTAATCTTTACATTGACATGGATTTTTACAATGTAGGACACCTGAAATTATTTGTAAAGCTAGGAAATGGGCCAAAATTGAATTTCGCGAGACAAAAGTGACGGCCATTTTGAAAATAGGCGAGCTTTTGAACCAGGAGTCATAGGGGGGTTTTCTGTATTGATGTTGAACAGAAATAACTTAAAACAGGAATCCTATCGACAGAGGTTAGCTAGGAAATGGGCTAAAAGTGAATTTCACGAGACAAAAGTGACGGCCATTTTGAAAATAGGCGAGCTTTTGAACCAGGAGTCATAGGGGGGTTTTTCTGTATTGATGTTGAACAGAAATAACTTAAAACAGGAATCCTATCGACAGAGGTTTTAAAACGTGCCACTATTGTTGACGGACGGACAGACGGACGGACGGACAGACGGACGGACGGACGGACGGACAGACAGACGGACAAGTGAGCGATTGCAAAAGCTCACAATGTGAGCTAATAAAAATAACTTATTTTTACTGTTTTTTGACGTCAAATATCTCAAAAACGATAAAAATCTGATGCTGACATATTTTGAGCAATATGTAGGGAATGCTTAAATCTAGTAATGATGTAATTCATTTCAAGAAATGATCAAGTATAAGGCAAACTTTGAGAAACTTGTCAATCACAAAATCTGCCATTGACTTTATATATGAGAAAGTTTCCTGAAAATGTCAAATTTTATAGAGTAAACACCAAAAACTGTAATTCCAAGAGCTTTGAAATCTTCAGAGGACATAAGTTGCATATACAGCAACTGCTAAAAATTATTTGAAAGTTCTACTTCAACAAAGTGTCTAGTATTTACAGAAAATTTGACTTTTTGACGTCAAAATCCACAATTTCTCAGAAACCGGGCGAACTTGGGAAATGGCGATGATAGGTCAAATAGGCATTATGGATATGCATAAAATGAATGTGGATACGACTCAATCCTAATAGCAGTTTTGATTTGTGCGGCCAATGTTGACGGACGGACCAACGGACGGATGGACCAACGGACGGATTGACCAACGGACGGACCAACGGACGGATGCCTGGTCGATCCCATAGGCTCACTGTGTGAGCCAAAAATTGCAAATTTTCAATTTGTTTAAGTTTTTTGATTTCAATTTGTTTAAATTCCTTAGACTTGAGGTACAATGCCAATAATACATAAGCCTATAAAAATGGAACAAATTCTGATAACTTGATTTGGTTCTCAGATACTTTATTTCTTACAAAATGGTGGCCATTTTGAATTTAGCAGCCATCTTGCAAATTTTTCTTGAGTAAAGTCCTATAATCATTAACCATAGGCATCAGTACATAAAATCTGAATTAAAAAGGACTACTGGTATTTGAGACATATTTTTTACAAGAAATAGTGGGCCATTTTGAACTGAAGCAAATTCATTAACTGATATTAAGCTAGGCTTAACAAAGATTACATTTTTTTCATGAAAATATGTGAATGTTTTGATTTTGGCAGCTATCTTGAAAATGACTCCTATTTTGAATTGAGCAACCATATTAAAAAGTCATTCTAGAGATTAAGATCCTATGCCCATAAAGCATTAGCCTATAAATTTAAACCAGTCAAATAACTGGTACTTCAGTAATACGTATCAAAAACTTCATCTTTTAAAGCTACCAACTAACCAACCGGCCGACCGACAAACCAACCGACTGACCCAAGGTGTTAATACCATACCCTGATATAAAGCAACTACTTTAAGCTTTACCTGTTGGAATAATCAATTATTTCTTATACATCTAATTGCAGGTCTAATGGGGTGTCTATTCAGAACATATTGATGTTAAAAGGTTTCAGCGGAAGAGACTAAAGACTAAATGGATCCATCAACAAATAAAATCACATGATCATTATTCAAATAAAAATCTATGAATCTACTGACGACGCATAATCCATCTAGAGAGATTAGAGAGCACACAAAGACATTAAGCTTAGTCTGTATACTCTAAATAGCAATACATATAAGATTAGAGAAAGGGGAAATCTTTAATGAAAATATTTATTTCAAATATACTTAAAATCCCTTGTTGCCGAGTCCAATCTGGATGCATTATTCCATTCAAAATGGATTACAAATATATATATATACCATTTATTAAATAGTTCTATATATTTCAAGGACAACAAAGTTATAAGAACATGTCTGGGGAAAGACCACACAAAAGCAAATAAATTTGGAAAAGGAGGTATTTAAACTGAGAGGAACAATGATGTTTATATACACAATGCCGAGTATTACTCATGCAGATATGTAAACTACAGTAAAAATGAGAACACTAATTGGAGAGTTTGCAGGCAACACCTCTGCACATGGTTGGGGCAAAGCCTCACAAACTACATCTAAGTTAGCTAAAGCTGCATGGATATTCACTTCCTCAGCATGCAGTATTGTGGCGTTGTTTCTAATCATCAAGGTTGTTATCAAATATTGCGAGTTTAACACAAAGGACAGTATAAGAGTCTCAAAGGATGAGGCTGTTTTCCCTTCAGTAACAGTATGCCCTTTAACTCCTATTTCAAGGAAAGGTATGGCGACTTTTCGGAAAGAACTAGCAGAAAATAACAGTGCAATAGATTCAATGTTATATTATAATAACTTTCTTTATGTGTTGGGACAATACAATTTGAACATTTCAAGCCTACAGAATGCGAGTGAAGAGCTACAGCTGCTATACAATCAGTCTTATAAAAGACTCCATACCAATGCAGGATACTATGAAAATTATCAACAGTCTGAAAGGTTGAGATACACCATTAAACAAAAGGACTTCATACCATCTTGCAAGTACCAAAGTGAAGTGTGCTCGGAAGAACTATACCATAGTGGCCACCATGAACATTTCAACTGTTTCACATTTAATGGACCTTTGTCAAATATCTCCAGTTTGGACGTTGATAGTGGACCGAGCGCTGGCTTGTCTTTAATCCTCTATCTGGATATTGATTTAGAGCATTCAAGTTTCTACGACCCAGATTACCCGACCAGTGGCAGTCAAGGTGTTCGGGTTGTCATCCATGAACAAGGAACATGGCCAGACCCAGAGAATGATGGTTTTGATATAAAAGCAGGGAATTCTGTCAATGTTGCATTATCCTCAGAAAGACGTGAGCTGATGGGTCAACCCTGGGGCGACTGTGCAGACCACAATGACATAAAATATGATAGGTGGAAATATAGCACAAAAGCTTGTCTACTGACCTGTATACAGAGGCTGGGTTTTAAAAGGTGTGGATGCATACGAGGTTCACTACCAGTTGATGACAAAACTAAAGATGTTGAATTTTGTGCAAATATACAATCACGGGAATGGCTGAAGAGTGACCCGAATGTCACACTTCTCAGGCAGGACTTGAATCAACTGAATTGTTCCTTACAAGAATATTCCTTGTCAGATATTCTTGCGCAGGAAGGCTGCGAATGTAAGGAAAATTGTAAAATTGACAAATATGACATCATGTTATCTGATTCAGAATGGCCAATGAAGGGTATTGAGTTTCATTTTTATTGCGATATGATAATGAAGCTTGGCAATTATAATGAAAATTCTAGTATTTATCAGGCCTTTCATGATAGAGTAGCTTCAAATTGTTCATCCTTAGCATATGATGTTGAAAGAAAAAAGATTATAAACAAGGATATAGGAAAAGATTTGCGAGAACAATTTCTCCGATTGAACGTTTATTTCAAAGATTCAGACACAAAGGTAACAACTCAAACTGAGGATTTTTCAATCGGTTCAATGGTTTCTGAAATTGGTGGAAGTTTAGGTTTGTTAATTGGAATGTCAGTGATTTCTATAAGTGAAGTCTTTATTTTATGCTTAGGTATTTTGGCCATTCTGATACGTAAATCCAAAGCACAAACAAAGGTAGAAACTTTTAAAGATAAAATGGAATACCCATGATTTTAATCTCAATAAATGGTGCCAATTAAGGTCACTTTATATATTCTATATCATGCTTTTGAAATAGTTTCATTATTGAACCAGTTCAGGCCAGTAGCCAGGATTTGCCAAGTTTTGGGTTCAGTTTTCAAAAATTTCCAGGGGGGGTTCACATTTGACAATTTTGCCCAAATATGGCTAAAATCACTTGAGAAGTGCTAAAACTGGTGTAAAACTGCCATTCTGATACTCATAGCATCTTTCTGTTTCACCTGAAACATGAATCTCAGAGCTGAGAAGAAATGAGATGACATGGTTTATCATGATGAAAAATTGCATGATTTTGAAAGAAACCCAAACCCTGCGAACCCCCCTGGCTATGGGCCTACAGTTAAGTTGTAGTATGGAACTATTCCTTTGTCACTTGTCGGTAAAATTCATATCACGCATTAGATATGATCTTTCATTGAGTTTATCCCAAATTATAGATTAAAATATATATTAAGTATAGCAAGAGAAGCATTTAAAAATTATCCTTAAGAATAGATGTACTCAAAATCAATTACCCAGATGTGAAGGGATGGTACTGTACTGAGAGAGTTCCCATAAACAAGAATATTCAGAAGTTTTGGTATTTCAATTTTCATATCACCCCTATGTATCTGATAGTTATACAAAACTAGACAACAGCAACGCCAAAGCGTAGCAAATCCCATCGAACCACTATGGCTGGCATTTTTACAAACAAAGTGTATAGCAAAAATGGCAGCCATTCAAAATGACCACCTTCTACCACAACTGTCATTAGACAGTGTGCCATGCTTATAGTATTCTCATACCAAATATGAACAGAATCGCTCCACTTACTTTTCGAGTTATAGTAAAATAGGATAAAATGGTGGCCATTTCGAAAAATGGCTGCCTTCTACCAAAAGTGTCATAAGACAGTGTGTCATGCTTATAGTATTCTCATACCAAATATGAACAAAATCGCTCCACTACTTTTTGAGTTATAGTAAAAAACATTAAAATGGTAACCTTCTACCAAAAATATTGATAGACAGTGTGTCACGCTTGTAGTATTCACATACAAAATATGAACAAAATCGCTCTACTACTTTTCGAGATATAGCAAAAATCGTAAAATAGCGAGATTGCTGCCATGTGCTTCTTTAAGATTTACATTTTTAGCTTTATTAATGTCCTATATAATTTTTTTACATTTAAAAACATATTGCTACTACAGTTTTACATATTGTACCTAAATTACTGTGAATTCGGCACTAAAATGGCCGCCATTTTGAATTAGCAGCTATTTTGAAAATCGGCTTTCGAGCAGAACTTCTACCCCCATAGGGTATATGTTTACAAAATATGAACAAAATCGGCCTAAGTTTATTTGAGTTATTGCCCGGACGGACGGAGGTGTTCCCTATATCCCTCCGAACTTTGTTCGATTAGATGATAAAGTATCTTTCCGGTACAAGATGTTTCACTATTTGTGATTTTATAACATGTTGGTCTATGGGGAATCTCCCCGATCTAGAAGTCACATTTTCAGAGAAAATCAAATTTTCAAAGTAGATAAATACTTTTAAAACCACTTTTCTAGATGTAATTTCACAAGTGAATTTCAAATATGACCTCACTTAGTCTGAATATATTATTTATACTCACTGTATAGTCTATTGTGTTCAGTTTTACTTCTTCAAATAATGAAACCTACTAATGGAACTTAATAATTGACATACTCAGAGCTGAAATATAGTGATAATTCTACAAACACATTAAGACACAATAAGTCGGAATATTTAAGTTGAAGAGATCAATGACTTTAATGGACAATTATAATGCACATTACGATATTTAATCAGTTTGCCAATCAAAACAACTTTCATTTAACTGACTCCAGAAACAGTTTGGGAAATCAAATATCACATCATTTCAAGTGAAAGCATTTTATATTACATGTAATATCATTGGTCATCAACAAACAAAGCGTTAACATCCAAAATGTCAACATGCCATTTGTTACAGACACAAACCATCAAACACCAACCGCTTGGTGCCAACCACTAAATGCCTCTCATAAAAATTGGAGACTATAACAATATGTCACACTTCTAGAGAACTGCTGGATACCAACCAACGAACACCACCCACAAAAAATACGAGACTATAACAATATGTCACATTTCTAGAGAACTGCTGGATACCAACCAACGAACACCACCCACAAAAAATACGAGACTATAACAATATGTCACACTTCTAGAAGTGACATAAAAATGTCAAAATGTCACTCAAAGTGATATGATACTTTAATCCTACAAGAATATAACTGGCTATTTAGGGGTTAATAATTATGTCACCACCAAAAAGTGGTGATATATTGTTTTGGTCTCAATTTTTCGTCACGGCAGTCTGCATCTGGCATTCTGTGTCTGTTACAAAAGGTGATAATTTTTGCATGTTAATGCCTTGTTTCGATTGTAAATAAAGTTGTTGCTGTTGTTAGTAAAGTGTAAGATTGTACATTTGATGCCAATGTACCTGTTGTTACAATGAGAATTGAACTTACAGTCATAAGTAGGAATGTACCTTAAATGTCATTAATTTTTAATTATATATATCTTTTATTGACTCTTTAGATGTCATATCATGACATATTAGTCACTAGGGTAGAGCAGTTCTTCCCATTGTTGAGTTGAAGAACTGGTATCTTTATCCTGGCTAGCAATTCTAGCCAGCGCCGGCCTTTTATCGAGTTAGCAGCACTCTAGTAATCGCCGGTATAGGTCAGCAGTCATAGGTCAAAGACAAATCACACGAAGTGCTGTGACCTGGGTTTGAACACAAGACCTCTACTTTTCAGCATGAAGCCAGACTTTCTGCTTTTCAGACCAATGCCTCAACCACTAGGCCAACCCGGCGATTCAATTAATTGGGGGGTCGTAAATTTATGGGTGTATTTTTGATGTTGTCCTAATTAGGGGTTGATAATTTATGGGCATAAAAGTGTACCTTTTACATCATCTACTGAAACTTTGATGTAGCTGATGTTGTCATTGGTTGAGGGGTTAAAAAGTATGAATCCAAGACTGTACCTTAAATGGCATCTGTTTTGGAGTTGATAATTATGCAATGGGTATAAGACTGTACCTTTAATGTCATCTTTAGAAAGAGTAGGTTCTGGTTGTGGTGGGGCACCAAGTTGTGACATGACGGTGAGGCAACGTTGATAGGTCCCTGGAGCAGAGCCACCATTCTTTTTGATGATTCTAAAATAAAAAATTATGGTCTAAAATAAAAAATGAGCCAAAATATTTGGTGTCCTTACATGGTGAAAAAGCTAGTTTCTCCATAAGATTGTGGAGACACAAGGACGGAAGGACGGAGAAACAAATGGAAGGATGGACTACTGTACAATTCAGGCTCACAATGTGATACAACAAATGGCTTTCCAATAAAATGCTAAGCCCAACTTTAAAAACTTTAAAACAGAACATAACTCAAGTTACGTAAGTTTATTAATTAGGGGTTGCATATGGGCTACCTTTATGCTTGACAAGCCAATATAGCTCAATTGCACAATCAACACAGTATATAACAGCATGTAAAGATTTCAACAAAATAAGCTTGTAACATAAGATATTTTGCTTTATACATATCTTATACATGTATTTGAATGTCATATGAAGGTAAATCAATGATCATTTGAGCAGTTTTTCGAAACGGGAGTTTTTGCCAAGTTTTTGCTAAGATTTTGCCAAGGGGGGAGCTTTTTGACAGTTTTGGCAAAAAATCATGTGAAAAGTGCTCAGAATGGTGAAACACTGCATGATTTTGAAAGAATTACCATGGTAACCTCTTTATTTACATCACGGATACAATCCATAGTAGGAAAATGTGACAACAAGGCATTAACCAGCAAAATGCCACCATCTGCCATTTGTTACAGATGTCGAACATTGAACACCAATGGCCAAACACCAACCATCTCAAAAAAAGATTAAGACAATATCAATATGCCACCACTTCTGGTGACTATCAAAATAAAAATGTTGTATAACAAAACATACATACTGTTTGGTATCATATAGAGTATGAGACACTCTTTGTAAGACATCAATCTGGTGTTTCTTGGCTAGGTCTGTTATGGTCTGATCTCGCTGTTTGGCATATGGTTCTGTATCAACTTCAAATGTAAGCTGTGTTATTTCCCATTTCTTGAATAGCTTGGGGAACACTTCATTTGGGTTGCCACGGATAACAAATAGTCTGAAAATTTAATACAAGAACACAAATGACTGTTGTTTTATTGTACAGTAAAACTTGTCCTGGTGAACACCTCTCTATAGTGAACACTACATGTCACTAGTGGACACCATTCCTCTTCACAAACTCTTCTGACTTCTGTATAAATTACCCTCTCTGTTGGGTACACCTACCTGTCCCAGTATCTAAAATACAGTGTCAATAGGTAGCTGATCACTGATCAAGGTTATACATATATGCCTACCCAGTTACATAATATATGATATCTCCATGTTAGTCAATGGAGCATACCAAAGTAAATTCAATTATACACTTACTGTAACTGAACTAAATGACCCTAAATCTCAGCCGATGTTAGTCCAAACACTTAAATATTTCCCAAAGTATTATGTAACGCTGTAGTCTTCATTTTACACAAGTAAATAAATTTCAGTCTGACTTTGGGGGTATTTGTCCAATATTGCAGTCTGTCTTTTATTAAAAATTGTTTCATACTGTCTGAAATCGAAAAATGCGGAAATTAAGTGCTTGTGGATTTTAAGTGTTTTACAGTATATTAGATGATAAAGTACCTGGATCCAAGTTTATTAAGGCTATTATTGAGATCCTCAAGACACTGCATAAGGAAACGCCAGCGATTAGGTCCAACTTTAGCATTCTGCACAAACCAAGGATCTAAGACAAACACTGCCCGCCATTCTGCACTGTTTCTTATCCCTTCTAGAAGTGCTAGGTTGTCATGGAGACGCAAACCTTTCCTAAACCAGTGAATGGTGTTGTGTGACATGCTTATAAGATGTTAACAAAGGCTCCTGAAATTAATAATAACAATGGTTTCTGAAAAATTTAAAGGACATACAGTACATGAGTACATGTAATATTATTATGTAAGTTAAAAGACAGAAACAACTAGTCTCAGTTTGGAGAACAACATTCATCAGTCTACTGCACATTACGCCTGCTTTGGACAATTTTGATATTTTTACATATTGTAGATTTAAATGTCCTCTTTTGAATATCCATAATTTAATTTGGGTGTTATTTCTATATTTTTCATGAAAAATTATTAGAGCAGTACACTGATGAACTTCGTTCTCCAAATCCTTTATCAAGATATTTTAACCATTTTTGGGATCAAAGTTGTCAAAAATAATCCCCCCAGAATTTTTCAAAAAATGAACCCCTTGGCCCTGGCTATGGTGGCCATTTTGTAAATAGGCCAGCTTTTGAACCAGGAGTCATAGGGGAGTTTTCTGTATTGAAGTTGAACAGAAATAACTTAAAACAGGAATCACTCAACCACGATTACCTTCATGGACAACATTGCCTCCCTGTACTCTAATTTCTTAAAGGTTTGATCTAAAAATCAAGTTTGACTGATACACAAACCAATTGACTTGCACTAAGCCAAGAAATTCACCTCCTCCCCCATTCTACAGTGGGGAACATAAAGAATTACTATAGCTATGAAAAATACATGTAGTCGCACATGTAATAAATTCTTACCTCAGTGTATTCAGTGCTCTATTTTCTCCATTCTAGTAAGTCCAAATATAGTGGAATTTGTGTCTGTAATGACAAATAGGAACTTAAAAATTTGAAGTGGATATTCACATGTTAATGTGTGTTAATGCCGACTCTTCAAATGATTTTGGAGCCCAATTACGCAGCAAGCGAGGATTGGCTCCCAGAATGCAACATGACACATGCAAGCTTTCAAAATTTGGTTCCGCCATTTTGAAATCTGTAACGAGTAAATAAGGTTCACTAATGTTGCATTCTGGGAGTCAATCCTCCTTGGATCACAAACGTGGCAATTCATCAAAACATTCGTTCGATTTGGTAGGAATTTATCCATTATTTGCAGGTATGAACATTTGGATTCATTTATTGTCTGCCCTGTCAACACTCACGCATTAGGCATTGTCACGCATTTGCTGGAAAAATAGAAATCACGCATCAATTTAGCGTGTATGATCAAATATCACGCAAATCACACATTTTGTTGAAATTTGTAAAAATCGTTTTTTGTAAAATGCCGATACGGGCAAATTACTGAATGGCGAAAAAAAGCGAACGCATTCTGTTCGGTCTTTGCACGCGATTGCCGTTTATGTCACGCATTTGGTACAAAATATGTATATATCACGCATTTGTTTCGAAAATATTCACACCTACCCCCCCCCCCATTTGAATGATCTCTTTGCTCAGCTTGACCTTAAAGATTCCAACAAAATGTGGAAGATTGTAGCAAGGTATAATGGCCCAAAAACAAAATGTGTCATCCAGCCAATCATCAGGCAAGATGGCACAATAGCTGTGACCGACAGAGAAATCACGGAAGCTTTTATGGTCAAATATGGAAATGAAATTATGTCTGTCCAATCTCATTCAATATGGTTCAATTACATTGAAAACACTGTTGAGAGATTTTGACAACACAAAGAGCTATTATTAATGAAACGAACTACAGTAAAACTTGTGAAATAGAGAACATTGATCTTAATGTATATGAGATTGAGAATGCCATAAAATCATGTGTTAATTACTCATCACCGAGCCCTAGGGAAAAGATACATAACATCATGATAAAAAATGGGGGCATGCAGTGCTTTGTCAAAATCACTTCATAAGCTATTTCAAACCTGCTGGTCCAAAGGCATTTTGCCAGCAGAGTTTTGCATGGACCCCAAGTCCATGATTCCTAAGCCTGCCAGGGAATGTTATAATACTGATGGGAGCTACAGACCAATAACACTGGAATCGGTGGTGGGTAAAATAATGGAACGTGTCGTTGACACAAGACTACACTGGTCGGCGGAATGCTATAATCTGTATTCTCCTTTCCAGGACGCATATAGAAGTTTCCATGCTTGCACACACATCCTACTGAGAGTAGTGAATGCTGTTCAAACAGCCTGGAAAAGAGACGAGACTACAGTTGCCGTGACAATAGATTACGACAGCTGTTATGAGCGCATATGGAGAGGGGGCCTGATCTATAAACTGTACAGAAATGGAATTCAGGGCAGACTTCTCTGTTTTATAGCTGACTATCTACAGAACAGGCAGTACTCCATAAGCACCAATAACTGCACTTCTCAGCTTAAGCAGTCTAAAGTTGGTATCCCTCAGGGAGCTGTGATCTCTCCTTCGCTCTGTAATATATACACAGCAGACTCTCTTGAGGGTGTGACCAGCTCTCATGGTGAATATGCAGACGACATTATACTATGGTACAGCCATAAAGACTACAAAGTAATTGAAAATGTGATAAACAAGGATCTAGAGACACTGGCTACATGGTGCAGATCCTGGAACATGGACATTAGTCTTAAGAAGACCAAAGTTATTGTCTTCAAGCCAGGAAAAACTGACAAACCTCCAATTAACATCAGGTGCAAGGGCGAACAAGTTGAAGTCGTGACTCATAGAAAAATACTTGGTGTGATTCTGGATGAGAACTTAGACTTCAGCAAGCACATTCAAGAGAGACGAAACAGTGGGTTCAAGTCACTCCGATCAATCTCAGACTTCTCTAGCTCACCTAGTGGCTGTAAACAGGCAGTTTTGGTCAACTTATACAAGGCTTTAGTGCTACCACATCTTGAATATGGAATAGAAGTTGCAGCTACAGCTACAAATGCTGCAGTGGAAGCATTTCAACCAGTACAACGACAAGCACTTTTAAAAGCTACAGGATGCCTGAAGTCTACTAGCACTGAAGCTTTAGAATCCCTTACAGGGTGCTTTCCCATCGACATAGAACTGAAAACAAGGCAAGCTCAAGCGGCCATCAGAATACTGAGAAAGAAAGACAGCTGTCCAATTAAAGCAGATTATAACAAACAAGAGAAGTTTTCTGGGAACAAGCATACCACTGTCTTTGAAACCTTAAAGTCCAGAGTGAGAGAGTTCTGCAGAAACTTCAAGATTAGTGGCTTGGAGGAAGAATACTGGCACTCAATTGCTGACTGCCCATTCTCAAGCTGCAACAATCTAGTAGGAGAATCTGATTTTACAAACTCCAAAGCAGATCAGAGGAAGGTGATTCTAGCCGAACTCGACATACTCCCCAATGAGAATACAGTCATTTTCACTGACGGATCAACCCTAGGCAATCCAGGCCCAACAGGGGCTTCAGCTATTATTTACCCCAAGGGTTTAAGTTGTGTACCCATATGTCTTAATAAACCAGTCAGCAAGTTTAGTAATAATTACACTGGTGAATTAGAGGCAATTCTCTTTGCAATAGAGTCTATTAAAACAATTGAGACAAGTTCAGAAATTCACATCTTCACGGATTGCCAACCTGCAATCAATACTGCCTTTGTTACACAAATCCCTAAGTCACACACAAATACAGTTAAACGTATTAGACTCGTTTGCAGAGAATTGGCTGGTAAAGGGAAAATCATACACTATCATTGGGTGCCTGGGCATGTGAATATTCATGGCAATGAACTTGCTGATAAGCAAGCTAAATTGGCTGCACTAACTGCGAGCAAGCAAGCTGTGCTTGGAAATAAGTCTACTAAGAGTGAGATATATAAACTTATAAACAATTCAGCTGTTAATAAATGGCAACGTAGATACATGAATTCCTCAAAAGTAGACAGGATACAACAAATAATTCCAATAGTTGGAAAAAGAATTCTCGCAGGAATAGGAAATAGAAAGGTGAACTCTATAATCAACCAACTCATCACTGGGCACACCACCCTGAATAGCCATCAGTTAAAAATAAACCCAGACTGCAACACCAACCTGTGTGATCACTGTATGGTACCGGAATCAGTTGAACACTTTATTTTTCAGTGCAAGCGCTACAGTGACATCAGAGAGCAATTTCTTCACAAAGTGGACTGTATTTTATTAGGATCTGACAGTGGGGAACAGATACCTGCTGGATATGATCTTAGAACTCTAGCTGGAGAGAGAAAGGGATTAGGCACAGTTACAAATGCCAAGATCCTAAGAGAATTCCAGAAATACATAAGAGACTCTAAGAGATTTTAGGAGAATCGACAGTGTATAGTGTAAATAAACCAGTTGCTAAAAAAAAAAAAAAAAAAAAAATCAATTTTAGAAAATCTGAAATATAAACATTAAAATGCCAGCCACAATAAGCCACATTAAAGTAACAAGTGAAAAAGTAACGATGTGTCAGTAATTAGTGTAAAAAAAGTACATAGAGACTAATCAAGCAGCATAAAAGTGCTTACTGGATAGAAAGAAAGAAAGTCACTCATGTTAGATGGTCCCAAGTTGACAGCCCTGTATTGTGCTACTTAAAGTGAATGGAGATTGTTTTTCTACCGCTTTGGTGAGACACGAAACTTAGAATTTAGCTCATTGTGACAACTTTTGATGGTTGAAGTTTATCAATGTCTCCCACTTTATTAGTTCAACGTCGTTAAACTCAATAACGGCGTTCTTTATTATTAGGAATTTTCTTGGGGCCATTATTGAGTTTAACCTCCTTACTATTCTTTCCTTTGATGCAAGTTCTGAATCCATCAAACCATTTTTCCGCGATAACGTGCAACTGATACTTGACAATAATATAAAAACACATAACATCAAGCGATTTAACACAATATTATTGTGTTAAATGTTCATTTATACGAGTAAAATGAGGCTACACTTACCAATCTCTAAAGTGACATTTCCGCATGTCCGTCATAGTGTCTGTTCGTCTGAGTGTCCCGGATCGTAAAATTAAACTACCAGCGAAACAAAATTGTTGTCAAATAGATTGATAATTATTATCGCGATTACTCGGGATAAAAAGATCAATTTTGAGGATAACAGGTATCTTTGATTAATTTATATAGCGCGTATATACACGCAAAATAGTTATTAATTGCAAACCAACTGTTCGTTAATGCAGTGCCGTGATGACGGTTAATTCCTGAAACGATTTGCAATTTCGATGTTACCGAAACTGACCGACATTTTCGTCATATTCCAAACCTGTCTCCAATATTTTCATAATTATGCATCAGTAGGGTCTAAGGGGGATACGGGACGGGGTGTATGTGTTTATAAGGTATGTATGCATGCTTGAATCACATTCTTTGTGTAGGGCGAAGGGGTGTAACGTCGACACCATTTTGGGGTAACTTCGACATGTGGGGTAACTTCGACACCTTGTTGTTTATTTGCTCTAATTTCCGATCTAGGGGGAAGCCATGTTTTTTTTCTCGCATGGATCGAGATCTCGCGAGATTTTAATTTTTCCAGAAATCAAACATGGCGGAAAACGGAAATTCTACTTCTAATACGTAAGTGTCGAAGTTACCCTGTCTTTTATGTCGACATTACCCCACACGTCGACATTACACCCCTTTGCCCTAATATTGCCATGTTTTCAGGGAGGGTTCAATTAGTTCCGCTTGTCGAAACTACCCCCATAAATGTGAGGTTATTTTGAGTTTTTTTTTATTATTTTTGATTTTTTTTCTCAAAATAACCTCACAAAGCTTACTATGTTGATTCTACGGGGATTTTTTCTTGAACGCCCATGGTAGAAGACATGCTAAATTTGTACTAAAATAATCAAATTTTATAAACTTTTTTATTATTTTCGTATCGACAAGACATTAATCATCAACTTGCTACAAAAGATAGCCCTCGAAATAATCTATTAATTCTTTTAATGACGATCTAGTACGGATAACAGAAATTTCTCAAACATTTTCAATTTTGTACTTTCCTTCCAATTTTGCAAATTACTCCCGTTATAAAGCATCGTTTCGACTGATAGATCGCTCATTACATTGGAAAAAGAATCATCTTTACAGAAGAGAAGAAAAAAGGTAAGGGAACTGCTGATATTGTTCGGACTTGAATGTTCAAATCATGTAAACAATTCCCCAAAGAATCAATATAGTAAACTTTGTGAGGTTATTTTGAGAAAAAAAATTCAAAAATAATAAAAAACGTCAAAATAACCTCACATTTATGGGGGTAGTCGAAACCTGCTGAACGATTAATTAACGCATCAAAGGCAAAATGGTCATGGAGGTTAGACCTAGCCGGGCCATAACACATGTCAGATAAGAAACGATAGACTATATCCTATTTAGTCTGAATTATATTCAGACTATAAGGCACCTATGTTAAAGTTTGGTAGTATGAAATATTTGTTTACATAGGAAGTGCTATTCAAAATGGCCGATTGGTAAAATTAATTTGCACATTTGTTTTTCAACTAGCTTTATTTCCACTTGACAATATGCTGTTTTACTTTTTATTGCTTTCAATTGTACCTTACTATTTCATTGAAATTTTGTAATGTTTATATTATTGAAGAAATGGTTCCTCTAATTGATAATTTTATGCAAAAAATTTCACTGCAATTTCCACAGGAAAGTAGTGCATCATAACAGACTGACTTCTAGTCAGTCTGTTGGATACATACTATAAGAAACGAGGCCCGGGCTAGGTCTAATGTTGTTGGACTACCACTTTATGTTCTGTCAATTTTATGTGTGAAATCATGGGCTTTCAACTAGAAGGGTATGCAACTCTATGTAATAACATGAGACCTTCAAAATGAGCAATGACATGCTTCCCTTTTATGGCAATATTTCAAAAAGTATTAGATAAATGTATATGTTTTAGTATTAATTTGAATTAAAATCAATTTTTAATATGATTTAAGCATAAAATATATTCAATATCATATAAAAGTAAACAAAAGAGACCAATAAGAATAAGAGTTATCAAGATGTTCTCTTTGAGTATTGCATTGTGGGTAATTATTCAAGAACACATTCCAATAAAAACATAATTTGTGGGAGAATGTTCACTTTCTGTATTGTCATAATTATGATGAATTCCAATTTTTATTAAATTATCAAGATGTATGTAGAGGATCATGTTTTTATTTTTGAGTTATTTCTTTTAATCATCAATAAAAAGTACAAAATAAGATTTTCTTGGAATGTGTACATTCTCCAATTTTGAAAACCCATGGCAATGTTTTTGTATGAAATATGGGAAGTTGCCTTAATTATTGACGATTTGAGGACATTACATATGTAGGGATTTGATTTCCATTCGACCTAAAAGATAAATTATATGTTATATTTAATGTTCCATTCCATAGCTAAGGCAACAAGACATTTGAAAACCAGTTGAATGAAGAGAGAGATCTAAAATAATTTTGAAAACTTACGAAACACGCGCCACTTCCGGTTTGTCATTTACCAAATTTGTACGTTTTGGTAATATAAATTACCCAAATAACCTGACTAATCCCTCCTGTAAGGTAATCATAGAATCTTGTTATAGACAATTTTATGTATTATGATCATCTACAAACAAAATATACTCAACAGTTTCATAAAACGCAAGTACCTTGGATACCAATATGGTATTGAAGCCTCATCCACATCCGGTCAAAAAAAGCCAAGGAAAAAAGGTTTGAAACGTTTTCAATGTTATTGCATCATTAATATCACTTTGGAACTGTCATGCCACGCTTCGTGGATTGGTATGGACCTCAAATAGTACAGTACTTTTATGAATAACGTTAATGAGATTTATATAAGATAAAAACACTGCAAAAATGAAACACACTCAGATTGACACAGGAAGTTGTATTTTGGCCACAGGCAATGGAACATAGAAATAATCCCCCCCACTCTCTATATATAAGTAAAATAAAAACAGGAACTTAACTTTATTTTACTTATATATAGAGAGTGGGGGGGATTATTTCTATGTTCCATTGCCTGTGATTTTGGCCCTAACGGAGCCTTCTGCCCTCCCCCAATCTCACGAAACAGATGAATTCATCTGTTGTGTGAGATTGGGGGAGGGCAAAAGGCTCTGTTAGGGCCCAAAAAGGACTTAATACAACTTCCTTTGCAGATTGAAAAGCTGAAAATGGAAGCCTTTACACTTATCTTGCCTCAATAGTACCATCTCAGGTTCTGGTCTTGTGTGCATTCAATAGAGCCACACGTTATATTTCAAAAGTTGAAAAATATTGCACACATTTCTTACAGACCCCAATCGATTCTATAAACCAGTCAAACATTATCCTGCGTGTAGAATCTAGTATGTAAACTACCCTCTGCTTAGTATAGACTATATTATTACAGTTTAGCAGCCCCGCCCCCACGACGGATGCCCATGACAGCTCGGGTCATAAATCATAAACTTTTTGTCAACCAATCAGTGAGTGAGTATCATCCAGTTTCTTCATACGGATGTAATCTCATTTTGGTAATGCTCGTACTCGTACTATACTCGGCTACTGTAGCAACAGAATGAAACCTCACTTCAGTATAATGTCGGGCTGGTACGGAATGGAACTATTGTCCGAACCGTTCGATTTTGCCTTCGGAAACGATCTTTAGGACCTACCTTCTCATATTCTGCTAATTTACTGAATTTTTATTTTCTTTAAAGAACATTCACTTATCGTTATAGCGACACGCTAACTTGCTATAGCGAACTAGTACTATGAAACGAAATCAATAAATTTATATAATTATTAAACATTTTCACTTGGTAAAGTTGTTTTATATGTAATAAATGATAGAAATAAATAAAGTATGATTGTTTTATATATATTCAGTACGTTTTAAGGTAGGATATTGTAAAATTATTTTAAAAAGTTTAAAAAAAATTTTGTTTAGTATCAAAAATTAGAACTTAAGGGGAGAAGTAGTAACTATTTTAAATAAGGTCCGAAATTTTGATATTTCCAAATTCCGAAGTCCGTTCCGATTCCGTTCCGTGCCAGCCCAAGTATAATGCTCATTCGGTGGCCCAGAACCTGAGATGGTATTGGGACAAGGTACACTGTAACTTAACGCTAAACTGTCTCCATTTACTGAACAAATGCCATTTCTGGTGTCATCATCCTAGTATCACCAATAGTCTTTTTACTGACTTCATCTTGAACATTTTATTTTAATATTTAGATTATTCTAAGGCCTACTGTTATGTTATGAAATGCGCTAAAAATGCAAAATTCTGCAAGAAAAAATTCAAATTCTGCTAACTAAAATGTCAAATTCTACAAAAATTCTGCATTTTATCGCAGCATTTTTTAAAAATAAAACTGGAAATGATTTTGTCACGCATGTAGCAAATAATTTTTTACTGCTTGGTGAATGGTGAATGACAGTCACATAAGTTCTACAAGTATGAGAATAGCACATTCTGATATTTCAAGGTAATTTGTTTAAAAAATGATGGTGGTGATTGAAATTATGATGTAAAGATAAAACTGCAACGAAATATTTGTAGATTTTTTGAAAAACTAAACTAAAACTAAATAATTTGCTACATGGGTGACAAAAAGTTTCTAGTTTCCTGTTGAATGTTGAGTCTTGCATCATACAAATGTAATTTTAGCCGATCTGTCTGCATGGGGTGGTAGATTGGCCTACTTACAAAATGCATAAGGCTGAATGAAGATGATTGAATGATAGATGTAGCACAAGAAAAGAAACCTATTTTATTACCAGACCTCAGATTTAGATCTAGCAGTTGCAAATTTTTATAAACTACATACCCTCTGTATCAAAAGTCTTTTTCTAATTAGGAAAACCTCAAATGATTTTTGTAAATGGCAAGTAAACTTAATGAAACTTTTCACACATACATGTACTTTAAGGCATATAATACACACTATCCGGAAATTTTAAGACAATTGATAAATTTTTACACAAAATATTACATACAGAACATAGCATATACCAAAAACACCGATGTGACTTTTTCCAAGTTTGTAACGTCAAACTTACTCAAGATTGCCAAACTGACCAAAGTCTGGCTGCTCTGTAAAACTAAGCGGACAAAGGTATTTATAATTTGTATATAAAATGCTAATTATGAGCAATCAGAATATGTTATAGACTTAAGAAATATAGATTGAAGAGCAGAGGTTATATTGTTGAATACACCCCGCAGGGCTAGGCACAAATGTTTTCTGTACCCAGAACGACCGAAGGGAGTGAGGGGTTCAAAAGCCTTTGTGCCTAAGGTCTATATTACGATTCGATATATGTCACGATATAGGGTAGAGATTTTTCGGTTTTTATTTTGTGCTACTTTTGGACTTAGAATAAAATCTAAAATGACCAGGCATCAGGGATCAGATTTAAAAAAATAAGAACAGGACTCGTCAAAAGACTGAGATAACGTATAGCATAAAATGGACTCTTTCAAAACCAACACAAATGGCGCAAAGTAGCACTTTCCAGAAAATAAACAGAGTCCAGCCTCTCGATAGATTTTCATACCTGTTTTTTAAAACTAACACAAATGTCCAAAAGTAACACTTTTCCAGAAAAATAAACAGAGTCCAGCCTCTCGATAGATTTTCATACCTGTTTTTCAAAACTAACACAAATGGCCAAAAGTAACACTTTTCCAGAAAAATAACATAATCCAGCCTAACGATAGATTTTCATACCTTTTTTGAAAACCAACACAAATGACCAAAAGTAACACTTTTCCAGACAAGAGTCCAGCCTATCGATAGATTTTGATACCTTTTTTCAAAACCAACACAAATGGCGAAAAGTAACACTTTTTCAGAAAATAAATAGAGTTCAGCCTATCGATAGATTTTGATACCTTTTTTCAAAACCAACACAAATGGCTAAAAGTAACACTTTTTCAGAAAATAAACAGAGTCCAGCATACGATAGATTTTCATACCTTTTTCAAAACCAACACAAATGGCTAAAAGTAACACTTTTTCAGAAAATAAATAGAGTCCAGGCGTATCGATAGATTTTCATACCTTTTTCAAAACCAACACAAATGGCGAAAAGTAACACTTTTTCAGAAAATAAACAGAGTCCAGCATACGATAGATTTTCATACCTTTTTCAAAACCAACACAAATGGCCAAAAGTAAGACTTTTCCAGAAAATAATCAGAGTTCAGCCCATCAATAGATTTTCATACCTTTTTTCAAAACCAACACAAATGGTTAAAAGTAACACTTTTCCAGAAAATAAACAAAGTTCAGCCAATCGATAGATTTTGATACCTTTTTTCAAAACCAACACAAATGGCAAAAAGTAACACTTTTTCAGTAAATAAATAGAGTCCAGGCATATCGATAGATTTTCATACCTTTTTTGAAAACCAACACAAATGACCAAAAGTAACACTTTTCCAGACAATAAACAGAGTCCAGCCTATCGATAGATTTTGATACCTTTTTTCAAAACCAACACAAATGGCCAAAAGTAACACTTTTCAGAAAATAAACAGAGTCCAGCCTATCGATAGATTTTGATACCTTTTTTCAAAACCAACACAAATGGCGAAAAGTAACACTTTTTCAGAAAATAAATAGAGTTCAGCCTATCGATAGATTTTGATACCTTTTTTCAAAACCAACACAAATGGCTAAAAGTAACACTTTTTCAGAAAATAAATAGAGTCCAGGCGTATCAATAGATTTTCATACCTTTTTTGAAAACCAACACAAATGACCAAAAGTAACACTTTTCCAGACAAGAGTCCAGCCTATCGATAGATTTTGATACCTTTTTTCAAAACCAACACAAATGGCGAAAAGTAACACTTTTTCAGAAAATAAACAGAGTCCAGCATACGATAGATTTTCATACCTTTTTCAAAACCAACACAAATGGCCAAAAGTAACACTTTTCCAGAAAATAATCAGAGTTCAGCCCATCGATAGATTTTCATACCTTTTTTCAAAACCAACACAAATGGTTAAAAGTAACACTTTTCCAGAAAATAAACAAAGTTCAGCCAATCGATAGATTTTGATACCTTTTTTCAAAACCAACACAAATGGCAAAAAGTAACACTTTTTCAGTAAATAAATAGAGTCCAGGCGTATCGATAGATTTTCATACCTTTTTTGAAAACCAACACAAATGACCAAAAGTAACACTTTTCCAGACAAGAGTTCAGCCTATCGATAGATTTTGATACCTTTCGAGTCGAGGCGTATCGATAGATTTTTTGAAAACCAACACAAATGACCAAAAGTAACACTTTTCCAGACAAGAGTCCAGCCTATCGATAGATTTTCGTACCTTTTTTCAAAAGCAACACAAATGGCCAAAAGTAGCACATTTCCAGAAAATAAACAGAGTCCAACATACGATAGATTTTCATACCTTTTTTCAAAACCAACACAAATGGCGAAAAGTAACACTTTTCCAGAAAATAATCAGAGTCCAGCATATGATAGATTTTCATACCTTTTTTCAAAACCAACACAAATGGTGAAAAGTAACACTTTTCCAGAAAATAAACAGAGTCCAGCATATGATAGATTTTTATACCTTTTTTCAAAACCAAGACAAATGGCCAAAAGTAACACTTTTCCAGGAAATAATCAGAGTTCAGCCCATCGATAGATTTTCATACCTTTTTTTGAAAACCAACACAAATGGCCAAAAGTAACACTTTTCAGAAAATAAACAGAGTCCTGTCTAGCGATAGATTTTATACCTTTTTTCAAAACCAACACAAATGACCAAAAGTAACACTTTTCCAGAAAATAAACAGAGACCAACCTATCGATAGATTTTTATACCTTTTTTTCAAAAGGCCGTGGCTGGAGAGCCTTAAATTTTAAGGCTCTTTAGCATTTTGGTAACCAATTTGGCTAGAGAGCCTTAAATTTTAAGGTTCTTTAGCATTTCGGCTGAAAGAGCCTAAAATTTTAAGGCTCTTTAGCATTTTGATAGCCAATTTCGCTAGAGAGCCTTAAAGGAATTCTAGGTGACAGAAATGACAAAATATTGTTTCTGGGACGAGATCAAACGACTTTGACTATATTCTATACCCAACCTATTTTGTAATTTAACAATCAGCACAAATATACAGGGTGGGCCAAAAAATTTTGCAACTTTTTTAAAAGGCTAGAAAAGTATCATAACATGAAGGTATTGACATAAAAATTGATTTGCAGAAAGTTTAGGATAGGCATATTTTACAATTCAAATATCTAAGCTTATACTGACTACTAATTTTTTTGACAGTTCTTTGAATACCAATGGTAAATTGTTCATGTGTCCAAGATTTACTGTTTTTCCAAGAAAATGTGACTTTTTATGATTTTATGTGATCAACAATAACACATTCATTATGTTCACTGAGTCTGCTACAATCTTGGATAACTGTTTATTCAATATCTAGGACAGTTTTATATTAATATCTACTCACAATACAATGGTATTATGTTATACTGTATCTATAAAACTATTATTAATCATATGTTATTACATCCACCTTTCACCTTCACTATTGCTCCCAGCCATCGGGCAAGGGTTGCTTTGAAATATCTGGAGGAAGATACCTCTAGATTTATTAGTCCTGATGAATTGCTGCCCAATACACCAGATGCCAACCCCTGTGACTATCACACATGGAGGCACCTGGAGCAGTTTATTGCAATTAATGGTAATCCACACACAAACTATTGATCAACTAAAAGAAGTTCTGCAGGAGAAATGGAAACTACCGCAAGAATCGCTGAATGGCGCCGTTGCAGTTCCGCCCTCGTGTCTGTGAGATAGTGAAGATGAAAGGCGGATGCATGGAACATTTTTAAATATATAATTAATAGATACAGTATAACATAATACGTTAGTAAGTACATACTAATATAAAACTGTACTAGCCATTGGTTAAACAAATATCAAAGATTGTAGCAGATTTAGTGAACATAATGAATGTGTTGTTGTTGATCACATAATATCATGAAAAGTCACATTTTCTTGGGAAAACATTAAATCTCGGACACATGAACAATTTACCATTGATATTCAAAGAACTGTCAAACAAATTAGAAGTCAGTATTAGCTTAGATATTTGAATGATAAAATATGCCTATCCTAAACTTTCTGTAAATCAATTTTTATGTCAATACCTTCATGTTATGATACTTTTCTAGCCTTTTAAAAAAGTTGCAAAATTTTTTGGCCCACCCTGTACATACCATATTAGCGGATATCGGACAAATTCATAAAAAATATTTTTTGATCGATAAAATCGCTGATTATTAAACCGGAAGTGTCTTCTCTGAGGTCCGCGAAGAAGATGAAGAAGAAAACATATAAAGATTTCAGTCATTTCAAATTTGCAGTCGATTTGGTTTTAAATGGTTCTAAATTATCTTCGAATGCTTACTATGACTTCTATTAGTACTGTTTTGACTTCCCCACTTCATAAAAAGAAGATTATCACCTTTTACTCGACTCATAAATTTACTTCCGGTCTACCGAGAAAAATAAAAGTTTGAACCTCAGTCAAGATTTGAAAAAAAACTTTTTGTTTATTTTCTGGAAAAGTGTTACTTTTTGCCATTTATGTTGCCTTTTAAAAAAGGAAAGAAAATCGATATATACTGAAGGCTGGACTCTGTTTATTTTCTGGAAAAGTGTTACTTTTGGCAATTTGTGTTGGTTTTGAAAAAAGGTATGAAAATCTATCGATAGGCTGAACTCTGTTTAGTGTTACTTTTGGCCATTTGTGTTGTTTTTGAAAAAAGGTATGAAAATCTATCGTATGTTGGACTCTGTTTATTTTCTGGAAATGTGCTACTTTTGGCCATTTGTGTTGGTTTTGAAAAAAGGTACGAAAATCTATCCTATGCTGGACTCTGTTTATTTTCTGAAAAGTGTTACTTTTTGCCATTTGTGTTGGTTTTGAAAAAAGGTATGAAAATCTATCGTATGCTGGACTCTGATTATTTTCTGAAAAGTGTTACTTTTCGCCATTTGTGTTGGTTTTGAAAAAAGGTATGAAAATCTATCGTATGCTGGACTCTGTTTATTTTCTGAAAAGTGTTACTTTTCGCCATTTGTGTTGGTTTTGAAAAAAGGTATGAAAATCTATCGTATGCTGGACTCTGTTTATTTTCTGAAAAGTGTTACTTTTCGCCATTTGTGTTGGTTTTGAAAAAAGATATGAAAATCTATCGTATGCTGGAATCTGTTTATTTTCTGAAAAGTGTTACTTTTCGCCATTTGTGTTGGTTTTGAAAAAAGGTATGAAAATCTATCGTATGCTGGACTCTGTTTATTTTCTGAAAAGTGTTACTTTTCGCCATTTGTGTTGGTTTTGAAAAAAGGTATGAAAATCTATTGTATGCTGGACTCTGTTTATTTTCTGAAACGTTTCTGAAAAGTGTTACTTTTTGCCATTTGTGTTGGTTTTGAAAAAAGGAATGAAAATCTATCGAATGCTGGACTCTGTTTATTTTCTGAAAAGTGTTACTTTTCGCCATTTGTGTTGGTTTTGAAAAAAGGTATCAAAATCTATCCTATGCTGGACTCTGTTTATTTTCTGGAAAGTGCTACTTTTTGCCATTTGTGTTGGTTTTGAAAAAAGGTATCAAAATCTATCCTATGCTGGACTCTGTTTATTTTCTGGAAAGTGCTACTTTTTGCCATTTGTGTTGGTTTTGAAAAAAGGTATGAAAATCTATCCTATGCTGGACTCTGTTTATTTTCTGAAAAGTGTTACTTTTCGCCATTTGTGTTGGTTTTGAAAAAAGGTATAAAAATCTATCGATAGACTTGACTCTGTTTATTTTCTGGAAAGTGCTACTTTTTGCCATTTGTGTTGGTTTTGAAAAAAGGTATGAAAATCTATCGTATGCTGGACTCTGTTTATTTTCTGGAAAAGTGATACTTTTGGCCATTTGTGTTGGTTTTGAAAAAAGGTATAAAAATCTATCGATAGGCTGAACTCTGTTTATTTCCTTGAAAAGTGTTACTTTTGGCCATTTGTGTTGGTTTTGAAAAAAGGTATGAAAATCTATCGAAAGGCTGGACTGAACTGTATGTTTAAATGCCTGGTCATTTTAAATTTTATTCTAAGTCCAAAAGTAGCACAAAATAAAAACCCAATAATCGCTACCCTATATTGTGACACTGATGTACGATTCGAACATGAAAACTCACCAGAATGTTCTGAATATTCATTATGGTCCGCCATTACTACGACCTGCCGTTATGACGTCACACATTACACGTATTACCAGGGGTATTCTTCGCGAATACACCCCGGTGAAATGTTGAATTTGTTTAAAGTTTATAGAAGGCGTGAATACAGTCATGTTCGAATCTATAATATAGACTCGGCGTGTCCGTTGCCATGTTGTTGATGTTTATAGACCATTGATGTCACAAGTAAATCTCATCTTGCACGTGTGACTTTTTAGGATGAAAGATGGCAATATCTTGCATGGGGTAAAGGTGGCTGTATCTTTGTTAGTCATATGAGAAAGCTGTATAATAACAATGCAAAAGTCCTTACACCTGTGTCTTATAACAGTGTTGCCTAAATGTTCATTGTTATACAGTATTCCCTTAATTCTTACCCCTTTCCTGCCCAATGACATCAATTAGTATTTTGTGACTAATGTGTCAATTTGATTTTCTCTGGTTTATCTTCTAAATATTCTTGATGTAATTTTTGTATTTAATTCAAACGAATCTATCATATTTTCATTTTATTGCAATAATTCTGAATCATAATGCATCGAACATTGACATATTAATGATAGCAGTGCTTATTTTTTGGCAGGAAAGGGTAAAGTGTAGTATAACATGGTCTTGGGCTGTTAATAAAATGTATGGGGACATCCAGAGTAATAATTAGCATTTTATATATAAAGACCTTTGTCTGTGTACTTTTACAGAGCAACCTGATTTAAAGTGATTTTGGTCAGTTGGCGATCCGAGGTAAGTTTGATGTCACAAAATTGGAAAAAGTCACATCGGTGTTCTAGGTATAAGCTATGTTCTAAACGTGATATTTTGAGAAAAAAATTAATCAACTGTCTCCAAATTTCTCCAAATTTACACAGAAGGTGTATTATATGCCTTAAATTATGTGTGAAAAGTCTCATCACGTTAACTTGCCATTTACAAAAGTTATTTGAGGTTTTCCTAAATAGGAAAAGACTTTTGATACAGAGGGTACTTTGAATTTTGAAAAAAAGAATTGACATGATATTAATTGAGTATCTATTTACCACTTAACAGTATGTGATATGTCCTCCAGCACCCTAGGTTACATTGTGAAACTCCACGACAGTGAACACACCAGTGTAGATCTTAGCAGCAATTTGGTGAAATTGAGTTCCTTCATTTTTCCAGTCACTTGTCTGATCACGCTTCTGTCTGATCATGTGACTCATTGACGTATTACTCAACCATGGCCTCAACTAGGACAGTTAATAAATTATTAGAAAATGTTTTGCGGACATTTGCTAATGAATATAAAAGAGGATATTCTGCGGTAAGGAGGTCAAACATTATAGGAAGGGCTGCTAAAGCCACTGGGTATTCAGGAGCAGCTTTCTACAAAATACTACGTGAAGATACAGGTAAACGTTATATCTTTCATTATCCCACCGACCGGAATTCGAGGGGTATATTGGAAAGCCGTCCGTCTGTCCATCCATCCATTTGTCCATGCCATAACTCAAATAGAGGTTGACGGATTTGAATCAAATTTTTAGGCTTATGCCTTATGGGGGAGAACCTATGCTCAAGAAGGAATTTTCAATGTTTATAATGGCCGCTTTTTTTCGTAAAAATGTAATCTATGATAATACTCAAATACCAGTAGCCAGATTTCGTTCATATTGTATATGCCTATTCCTAAGGACAAAGGAGCTTTGATCAAGAAGACTTTTCAAGATGGCTCCTGAATTTCAAAATGGCCGTGATTTTAGTCGTTCAGATTTTATATGCTCAGCAGCTATGCCTTGGGACAAAGGAGTTTTGTTCAAGAAGACATTTTCAAAATGGCATCTCAATTTCCAAATGGCTGCTATTTTTCATAGCAAAACGTAATCTTTGATAACTGGAATACCAGTAGACAGACTTTGTTCAAATTTCATATGCTTATTTATACCTAGGGACAAGGGAGTTCTGCTCAAGAAGAGTTTTCAAGATGGCCGCTATTTATAAAAACATGCTTTGTTAGGTGGGATTTGTTACTCCTTGGAGTTGCTGTTTTCTAGTTGTGACTGTTCTGCAAAGAGAAATGACCGGATTCCTGGGGTGAAATACATGATATAAAAATTTGGTTGTATAATTGAACATAACGAGAGCAGGAGTATTGTGCAAAATATAAGTACAAGCAATTTACGAGACATTGAAGGTATTCAGACTGTAAATGCTTGTCGATACCTAATATGATAATTATATTACTATAGTAAATAAACAATTTCATCTAGTGCCCTGTGAATTCTAAAATTCCTACAGGGAGTGTGCTGTAAATTTACATATCATGTCTTCTGATGACAATAGCATCTTGAATTGGTAACATTTACTTGCAAGATTATTGTTTTACCTCATCAGTTACATATACTATTTGCATGTAAATCTTAACAAACATATTATCAATGGTTTTAGAATTGAAATCATTCCTCAATGAGGCAAAGGCAGTGGGAAATGAACGTGAAAAATTACAGGCCACTAAGCGTAGACGTCCATTTGGAAGCTCGGCACCAGTAGATGAACATGGATTAGATGAAAAACCGCTGTGTTCATGGAGTGATCAAATTATAGTTGATGGCCCATTGTAAGTAACAAATCCCCCCAAAAAAACGAAGTCCCGAGGGATATAAGGAACACCTCTGTCCGTTTACCCATCCGTCCATACATACGTACAGCTTTTTAACATTTTTTTTACTAAAACTCAAATAGTGGTGTTAATTTGTTTACATTTGGTATGTGAATACTACTGTACGCCCGGTATTATTCGCGTGCGATTTACTTTTGCGCTTTTCGCGAGGGTGTTATAATCGCGAAAAATTATCGTCGCGAAATTGCCAATTAAATCCCCGGGAATTTGTTTTTACCCGGGGCTCTGATGCATTTCGTTTTGCTATTGGCACGTTCGATAACCAATTTTATAAACTGACCTCATTTGCCATTGAAATGGATACTAGTACTGTATCCCAATGTTCGCTGTTGCTTTATGAGTTTTCTCTACTAGTTTGGATCGAGTTATAGTACTTCAATAGTACTGTGCAACTCCATGACTTTACTATGCGCATGCGCGGCAATGAAAGAGCATGTGCGCACGATTGTTCACGTGATCGTAGCCTGCAATTTGATTGGACATCATATACTGGGGAATCCCCGAATACGATAAAATACAGTATGAAGTACAGTAAAGTTATTATGGGAGCCACGCACTTTTGCTTTAATATTAAAAATGACGATGCAATAGAGGTTGATATGCAGCTTGCCGATGATAAAGATCCCAGTTATTGTAAATCTCATCCAAATATGACATCAGGTAAGTGCAATTACTGTACATCTAACTTAATTTACACACGAGTAGCTTGAAAATTCCTGGAATAGTAATGAATTTCAAACTTGTGAAATTCACGAAATTTAATAGCCACGAAATCGTGTTTTCGCAAAATTCTCAAAAATTAAATCTTGCGAATAATACCGGGCGTACAGTATAAGCATGACATAATGTCTCATGAGACTTTTGGTAGAAGGTGGCAATTTTCGAAAATGGCCACCATTTTGAACTTTTTTATTATAACTGGAAAAGTAGTGGAGTGATTTTGTTGACATTTGGTATGTGAATACTATAAGCGCAGGCTCACTCTCTAATGACACTTTTGGTAGAAGGCGGCCATTTGACAAAGTGGCCACCATTTTAATGTTTACTTTTTAAAATGCCAGCCATGGCTGTTTGGTGAGATTTGCTTAGCTTTGGTGTTGCTGTTGTCTAGTTGCCATTCATTTTACATGCATGGGACTTGAAGAGGGATAAACTGCACCCCTTTTTTATGTCCCCACCACATAGTGTGGGGCCATATTGTTGGCCTAGGCGCGTCCGACTGTCTGTCCGTCCGTCCGTCTGTCCGTCCGTCTGTCCGTCCGTCTGTCCGTCCGTCTAAAATTCTTAAACTAGTGCAATATACTAACAAAAGATACTGTGAGAAGATTAAGGATTATACAGGTGCCAATAGGATGTGGATCAGTGACAATAACCAAAATATGTTAGATAACATTAAAAGTGTAAATTTAAGGAAAGGGGCAAGAAACATAGCCTCGTATGATTTCTCTACACTATACACAAAGATTAATCTAACTGACATAAAGGAAAAACTGAAATGGGTGATAGATAAAGCGTTCAGAGGAGGAACTAACCAAAAGATAACAGTAGGTGGAGATGAAGCCAAATGGGGCGGAAAGGCGGATAATAAAAAGGCATATACCAAAGGAGAGTGCAATGATCTAGTGGATTTCATCGTGGATACAGCCTACTTTAAAGCAGGGAAATCAATTCTAAGACAGAAAATTGGAATACCGATGGAAATCGATCCGGCGCCATATATGGCAAACCTGTACTTATACAGTTATGAATTTCAAGCCATTGAGAAAATGTATAGGGAAGACTACACCAAAGTACTAAAATATGCTAAAACTACAAGATTCATCGATGATTTATGTACTATAAACAACGACGGAGAAATGGAGACTGATATGAAGAACATCTATCCTGAAGAACTAGTGTTAAACAAGGAAAATGAGAAGGATACAGAAACAACTTTTCTGGACATACAAATGAAAATAGTAAATAAACAAATCACTACAAAACTATACGACAAAAGGGAAAATTTCAATTTCCAAATAGTCTCATATCCTGATTTATCTGGAAATATTCCTAGAAACCAGTCTTATGGAATATTTATATCACAAATAATAAGGATTTCAAGAATCTGCAGTCAACTGGAAGATGCAACAAACAGAGTTACCAGCCTGGGAAATAAACTACAATGTCAAGGCTATAGGAGCAACATACTAAATTCATACACTAAGAAAGCTATAACAAGAAATAAATGGATATGTACTAAATACAATATGCAGGAGAATACCATCATGAAGCATTGGAAAATTAATGAGAGAAGAGAACATTAACAAATGAATATGAAACAGTATGTTCTCCGCAAAGAGGGTAAACTAAGAAGACAAATCAACATAAGACCAACAGTAAGGGGAAGGGGAGAGTTTTCCGGCCGGATCAAAACGTTTAACCCACCTATGCGCAGTCTCAAGTCTGTGGACCCTGAAGAAAGATAACTAACATCGCAATCAAATCAAGACAAAGAAAGAAGAAAATGAATGAAGAAACCAATGCAGCAACAATCAATGATGTCCGTCCGTACGTCGGGGAGTTTTCTCCAAAACCGCTACAGATATCACCTTCAAATTTTCAGGAGAGTGCAAACAGATGTGGATGAAAAAAAATTTACTCGATTCCTACTTCCTGTCGGCCATTTTGAAGTCAAATGCTAAAATCCTTGTCTGCAAACTTTAAGAAAAACGGCTTCACAGTTGCTTTTAAAACGTTAACATCTTGTTCAGCTCACTTCATTCTAGATCTGATTAGGTTTTGGACCTGTTAGCTCAGTCATGTCAGCCATTTTGAATGTTTTAAGAAAAGTTAGCGCACAATAATACTTTGTATCATATTGAATGGTGTTTTTCAGTTTTCATACTTTAACTATTTAGTAGCTTTATAAATAATTTCAGGTGTGCTTTGTTGTAAAAGCCTATGTTATTGTTAACAGTAGTTATATGTGATAATTTTGTACAAAGAAATCAGCAAAAACTCATAATCGCTTTTTTATTGTCGGCCATTTTGGATTTTTCCGTCCTAAAATCTTGTCTGTAAAGTCTTGTCTAAGCGTTTTCAGGTGAACCGTTTGGTAGATCAATTTCAAATTTTCAGGGATGATTCTTAATATGAAAGTCTAGATCTGATTAGTTTTTGGGCATTCTGGGTAAATGTCAAGGCAGCCATTTTGGATTTTCCATCCTAAAATCTTGTCTGTAAAGTCTTATCTACGCATTTTCAGGTGAACTGTTTGGTAGATCAATTTCAAATTTTCAGGGATGATTGTCAGTATGAAAATCTAGATCTGATTAGTTTTTGGGCATTCTGGGTAAATGTCAAGGCAGCCATTTTGGATTTTCCGTCTTAAAATCTTGCCTGTAAAGTCTTGTCTACGCGTTTTTAGGTGAACCATTTGGTAGATCAATTTGAAATTTTCAGGGATGATTCTCAGTATGAAAATCTAGATCTGATTAGTTGTTGGGCATTCTGGGTAAATGTCAAGGCAGCCATTTTGGATTTTCTGCCCTAAAATCAAGGAGGATTGGCTCCCAGAGTGCACCACCGATATTCTGTCCCATATATGGGTATGTCGTAATACAAAATTCGAATTCAAACAGCCGCCATTTTATTCACTTCAACATTTAAATCGTGAATTTTGGTCTTATTTCCAAACGAAAAATTCCAAAACTCACAAGAAACGATCGAGATATTGGTTCGAATCTTTTGAATTCTTTATTTTGAATTTATAGTCGGTTTTAATTTCAGAAAATAACGACATTTCGACGTTTTCATTGTTGGAAAATATCGAGTTTCGATCCTGGGAGCCAATCCTCCTTGCCCTAAAATCTTGTCTGTAAAGTCTTGTCTACACATTTCCAGGTGAACTGTTTGGTAGATCAATTTCAAATTTTCAGGGATGATTCTTAGTATGAAAATCTAGATCTGATTAGTTTTTATGCATTCTGGATGAATGTCAAGGCAGCCATTTTGGATTTTCCATCTTAAAATCTTGCCCGTAAAGTCTTGTCTACTCGTTTTTTGGTGAACCGTTTGGTAGATCAATTTCAAATTTTCAGGAATGATTCTTAGTATGAAAATCTAAATCTGATTAGTTTTTGGGCATTCTGGGTAAATGTCAAGGCAGCCATTTTGGATTTTCTGTCCTAAAATCTTGTTTGTTAAGTCTTATCTACGCATTTCCAGGTGAACCGTTTGGTAGATCAATTTCAAATTTTCAGGGATGATTCTTAGTATGAAAATCTAGAACAAATTAGTTTTTTGGCATTCTGGATAAATGTCAAGGCAGCCATTTTGGATTTTCTGTCCTCATATCTTGTCTGTAAAGTCTTGTTTACATGTTTTCTGGTTAACTGTGTGACGGATCAATTTCAAATTTTCAGGGGTGGTTCTTAGTATGAAAATCTAGAACTGTTTAAATTTTTTGGCATTCTGGGTAAATTTTAAGGTGGCCAATTTGTATTTTCCGTCCACAAATTGTGTCGGTAAAGTCTTGTCTACTCATTTTTAGGATAACCATTTGACGGGATCACCCAAAGGTGGGGACATTTTGTACACATTTGTGTTCTTGTATATAAATGCCCATGGGCCTATTAGGGAGAAGCTAAAGTAGGAAATGTACTGAGAGGACTACCCTTTGATTGCCTTTAAGGACCACTGTTGAGTTAACATGTATACCCATCTGATGATATATCTAACTTATAGATAAGCATATAAGGTCTTAGAGATAAATATTCTCCCTGCCCTAGCCTGTTGCAATTTTGCCGTACATCTCATATTATCCACATTTTTGTTTAACGAATCACTGTAACTGTGTATAATTTGCAGAACCTCAACTGAAAGCCATTTCAAGTCAGGGAATGTTACCATCCCAAGAAAAAAAAGAAAAAGAAGGAAGAAACTTCAATCTGACCCAACTGAAAGCCATCTCCAGACAGTGAATGAAATCATCCCAAAGAAAAGAAGGAAGATACTTCCACCTGGGCCAAGAGTACGCCCACCAAGTGAGAGAATCAAGGCCCGTAAAGCACAAGCAGAACCAGAAGTAAATGTACCTCCGCCACAAGATCAACATGTTGAAAAAGAGCCTCAATCTTTACCACCACAGGCTCAAAATCTTGAAGCAGAGCTGCAAGGTTTACCACCAGAGGCTCAAAATGTTGAAATAGACCTTCAGGCATCACCACAGGTTCATGCAGGTCAACCTGAAGTCATAGATTGGTATACTGGAGCATCCGTCAGGAATGTGATCTTGGAAGGGTTCAAGGCAGGGACGTTTTTCACTGTCAAGACCCTCAACAAGGTAATTTATTTTAAAAGACATAGTGTCACGGAAATTGTGAATAAAACCATAAGTACATGTTTGTATAAAATATTCACCATTGTAGTAGCCACTAAAACACAATGTCAATCAGTCCTTTCATCAAATCAGTTTCACTATTTTTCTGATATTATGAAGGTCTCAAAATTATCTAGAGATATTTTTTGCCATATATGCATTTACGGATTTACATCTATGTTCTTATTTCTTGAGGTTACAAAAGTTAAAATTTGTGAAACATAATTGGCAATGTTTAAGAATATGTGGGAAAGTTAATTTGATTGAGACCAGCCATCGCTTTCTCCTGATAACCATTGTGAAATATTAAGCAAATACATTCTCTACGATCACTTTGCATTTCAAAGAAATATAGAATATTTGTTTTAACCTGTGAACATTTATTCTAATTAATAAATATAAGATAAACCCATAAGTTCACAAAGTTACGTACATGTATCATTGTAAAGTACACTTTTATTTTCGTCCAGTGAAGTTGTCAGAATTCCTGGGTGGGCAATATGCCGAGCAATACATCTTTTATAATCTAAAAATTGAGGTAGTTGTGAAATACACTATGGTATTTTTGATGACATGGTATTGAAGAGCCAATCAAATCCCACGATTTCTAGCAATGACATGATGATGTGTTTTATGGATTAAGGCGATGGCTCTGGCTGGATCTTGACCCTTTGATTTGCTTATGGACTTCGAGATTGGATTTTGTCCGTCCCACATCATTTGAGAGAATGCTCTATCTTGCATGAATACTACAGTATATCTAGTACCTATAACTACTTTTAATATCATTATTGTTGGGTATCAATTTTAAATTTATCCTTCACCGTTATATAGTAGATGTATTGTTATGATTTCTGTATGAATGTAATGTCCTTTGGTGCTATGGTCTCAGATTTTGATATTGGTACTTGAATGGCAGTGGAGGGGGATATAAGACACGGAATGTACTAAAAACCCTTCGACCCTATGACCTACGACTTACAGGGTGTCAAGAATTTTTGGAATATATTTTTATAAAAACCCTGTGACCTTCAATTTCTCAGTCCATATGAAGTTGCTGGAAATATTACTATGTTTATAGAACTTCAGAATCGGTCCCTGGGGAGTGTAAGATATTTGTTGTATTCAAGCACATAATTTTGAATATGAACGTTTCATACCTCCTCAGTGAATTCTTTTTTTAATTCTTTTAAAACATATATTTAACTTATACGCTACCATATACGATAAAAGTTGGTCTCTCTTATGCAATATAAATAAATGTTCACTCATTACGATATACGATATCCCTATACATCCCCTTCATGAAAGCGAAAGTGCGTTTACAACCGGACACGAAAAGAAAATATAAATGCGACGCCTGCTGATAAGAACATTTAAGATATGCGTAAATATAACTTCAAAAAATACAGGATAAAGATATATAAAACATTAAAAACTTGGAATTAAGTGGAAATATGCGACAAATATACATTATGAAGTCATTACAGTAAAATTTTAAATGTTAGGAACTACTTTGAATTTAGAAAATAAGCAATCAAATGACTATATTGCAACAGTATATAAAAAATAGAAACATATGTATTTGTCCTAACTTTTGTATATTTCAGATAGTTATGTATAATGTGCAGTAAAGGTGTGGCCTTTTGTAATTTAGGGAGTTTCAGCCATGTTAATTTTTCCGAAAATAACATGGCGGAGAAGCATCAAAATATAAGAGGGCACAGACAGGATAGCTAAACTACAAAACAAACTAAAATATACAAAAGTTAGGACATGTATAAATGTTTCTATTTTTACATATACTCAGGGCTGTCAACTTGGGACCAACTAATATGAGTGACTTCAAAATGTTGGACACCTAAGTCCAAATCTGAACACTTTTGTCCAAATTTTGAACACCTTTGGCCAACTTTTAAACACCTTTGGCCAAAGTTTGAGCACCTTTGCCAAACTTTGAACACCTCAAATTTTTCGCGCTCGCTACGCTCGCGTTGTCGTCAACGGGGGGGGGGGGGGGGGGGGGGGGGGGTAGGTACGAAAAATTTCCAATGAACATGCGTGACACATACGGGATTAGCGTGACAAATCCGAACAAATTGCGTTCGTTTTTTTCCGGCGTTCGTATTTTTACCGTATCGTAAACATATTTCGAAAAAATTTCTACAGAAATATTTTTGCTTGACAATTACCAGGTAAAATGCGTATTTTGCGTGACATTTTCTGTCACGCAAAAAAACTGGCGTGACTTCAAATTCTTCAGCAAATGCGTGACAAATACGCAAATTGCGGGACAGTTGACAGGCCTGTATACTGCATCAATATGGTCCTTTGATTGCTTATTTTTTAAATTCAAAGTAGTTACTAACATTTAAAATTTGACTGTAGTCAAGTTATTTCAGACGGGGGCCCTCAGATTTCGAAACGGGATTTTTCTCACCGACGGTCTTCAATAACGCCATGAAATAGTAAGCATATTCGCAATCTGCGACCATTCATCCTGTAGTTGCTACTTTTTATTTTATCTTCCTTTTAAATCAGATAAAACACACTGACAAGCGATAATCGTTGCACAGTAAATGATCAAACATTGGGCATTACTTCTGTTGTCTAACGCCACCTAATATATATTCGACTTGTTTTACATACATGTTTCCGGGCCTCTGGGATCGATCATTCTGAACAGCGCGTTAGCGTGTAGCGCGTGTTTTCATTATAACCATTTAAGCTTTTTAATGGTGTATAAAACTTAGTAATTGGTCTTATATTTCTAGAGATATTGTAATTTGAAAAGAGTGTTTTTCAGCGCGATTCTTATATTCCTTACGCAATTCAGCTGCACTATTCACACCTTTGATTGATAGGCTCACAGTAGATTATGAATTCTTTGAAGTGACAATGTTTTGACATGTACAAACCTTCCTTATTCACAAATATTCATATCGTCATAGTAACATTTCCTTTTATGACCAGAGATTCTAGAGTTCTCACGATTTCGGCTAAGTCTAATAACCATCATATTTGTAATGTGTGTGGGGTTGGTAACAAGAGGACTGGGTACCAACTATGTTTCCATTGAAAGAGTACGTACAAAACATTTTCCGATTAGGTAGATTAAATCCTACGGGGAGCTCAAGTTGGAACTATACATAATCATTTAGAAAACTGGACTGGGAAATCAGAGGTCGAAGGGTTTTTCAGAAAAATATGTTCCAAAAATTCTTGACACCCAGTAAGTCGTAGGGTCGAAGGGTCATAGGTCGAAGGGTTTTTAGTACATTCCATAAGACACTGTTTCTTTTCATGTTGGATTTAATGGATTATGATTCGGGAAAGTTTGGGTTTGTTCTGTTTTATGACTCTTGTACTTTTGGATGTTTTCTTTTTCTTTCTGTGTTTTGTATCCATTTTTGGGTATTTTCCCTTTGGCACTTGCGCATACATATGAACAAAGAAAGATCTTATTCATTATTTCAGAAAAATTCTCATTACAGGAACTAAAAAGCCGTGGAATCTGCAATATTAGCCGGACAACACTTAGGGAAGCTTTAAAGGCTGATGATTTTAGGTAAAAGCATGTCAAAGAATGTCCAAGATTATAATCCCATTGAATGAAGTTCGTTAGGGATATAGTGAAACCCTCCATCTGTCAGTCAGTTTCAGTTGGAAATTGAATTTCTAACCAAACTAATGGGTATTACTGTTTGGTATGTTGGTAGTTTGTCCATGAAATATACCTACATTTGTATTTCACATATATTCTGATTGGTGCCTCAAAAATTCAAAATGGCTGCCTTAAATGGGAATTCACTATAAGTGGATTGGGATTTGCCACTCCATGGAGGTAGAGTTTTCTAGTTATGTCTGTTTTACCATTGACATTAAACAGTCCTGGACATTTTTATACACCACAATTTACAACTTTTAATTTAAAGTCACATAAGATTCATAAAATAAACATACTATATCTAACAAAAAAAAACATTAAATAAATCTAAAGAAGGCTACAATAAAAAAAACTCTTTGCACCTCTATAAATTTTTCAGGTTTAAGAGATGTGGAATGAACACATTTATACTACTAGACGAGTCACACATTGCAGCAGAAGCGTATCCTCCCCAATTGTTCCTGTAACCTCCTTCTTTTCTGGAAGGGCGAGCGGCTAGAAATAGTCAGACCTAATAAACCTCCCAAGGAATATGTACCAGACAGTTGTCGGAGGCTGGGTGTCGGATTATCTGACTCCCTCAATACCACTGCGTAACAGGTGAAATAACATGGCCGAGGTGTGACGGCTACTTGAATCTCATTGTCGCTTTCCACTGGGTCTGGAGAACCCATGGTATAAAAGGACAATTTGTTTCTCCATTCATATGTGGAGTTTCATGGCCCGGTGTTAAGTCCAGGGACCCAATCAGAACGCTCTGCTTCGTCACGTGGAACAAATATTGAAAATGTCAAAACGGACTGAATAAATATCACATCGTTGATTGGCTGATTGGTTTTGTGGCGTCACACAAAACTCTGCGGGCAACTGCCAGGAGGAGGAATATTGAGAGTGAACTCAGCTGGGGTTTATTTACATAGTGGTCAGTTAAATCGGGCAGATTTATCAAATAATTATTATCAAAGGCATGGCCTAGTTGTAGCTTGTAAAATTTAATAGAATATAATAGCAAAGAAATCCATGAGATGTTGTTACAATATAAATACAGTGAAACCTCTGAAGTGGAACACCTCTAGCAATGGAACACCTCTTAAGTGGAACACCTCTGTAAGTGGAACACCTCTAGAAGTGAAACACCTCTGTAAATGGAACACTTTTCAGAGTCCCAAGACTTCATGTTTAATGAAACTCTAAAATAAAAGAGGAACAACTCACAAATTGAACACTTTTTAGAGGTACCAAAGGTGTTCCACTTAGAGGTACTCCAGTAAACAGCCTCTTCACTGTTGGGCGCCATTGCTCTTAGAACATGGAATATTTTCCAATTGGCCCTATACCAATGATTTTCCCATTTACAATTACAGTGCCCTCTCAAATTTTAATGAAGGAAGATTTTCAATGTGAGGAATAATTAAATAAATACATGTTTAACTTGAACAACATTTTCATTTCTCCAAAATTAATCAGTTAAAAACCATTGAAAGTTCTGAGAATATTCTGGTCTAAGAGAGGATTCTTCTTTTTTTATTTATTTATATCTTTCAATATACACAAGACAAGATACAAGTCATTTGCTATGAGCAGTTGTTACAAAGGAAATAGAAATACAAAGATGCAAATTCGACACACCAACCACACGGCATGCATTCATATCATGCATACCACACACATACACTTATCAAAAATATTTTCCAGTCTGAGACCTTCAGTCAGATAAGCTTGAAATCCAACACAAGTCATACTTAAAATGTTTCCTGGAATACATTTTTATTTGCCCATTTTACAAGATCTTTTTTGCATACTTTCATACAATTATCACTATTCTACCTGGTTGTCGCAATAAAAACATGATAACTAGTATGTATAATTCGGTACCTGAAATCCAATTTGTCTGTTTCATTTATGTAGTCCGCTTCTTACTACTGCCTTCACTGTCTTGTTTGGCTAAGTTTCACAGTGTAACCTAGATCGCTGGAAGACATATCACATACTGGTAAGTAGATATGTGGTTATCCCAACGAACAAAGTTCGAGGGGGATAATGGAGAAGGGGTCCATCCATTCATTTGTTCGTCTGTTGGGGCAATAACTCAAATGTGCAAGTTGAATGTATTTTTAGTATATTCCTAAAAGGCTGCACATTGGCACAAGGCATTTAATTCATCTAGGTGTCTGTGACATTTAATATAGTGCTGCCTTTGATACTCAGTTCTCTCAAACTCAGCTATCTAATCAGACTGTTTTGAGAGACTTCTTCATCAATTTACTGGCCAATTATCACGCGGTCCTAACTTTGACCGTTAATTTGAATTTTTGACCTTCCAGGTGCTTGAAAATCAAAGGATTGCGAGTCCCATACTGCACCGTTTTTCTTCAAACTCATACCATTAAAAGCAGAACAAAATTGCCTTTCTGTCGGTGCATTACTTTATTGCAAAGAGTCCCTCTTTCTAGCAGCATTTTGGTCCACAGCTGTTAGAAGGCCTTCTTACAGCTGGGGACCAAAATGCCGCTGGAGGTAGGGACTCTGTTGAAGAGAATAATGTACCATCAGAAAGGGATTTGTGTTATGCTTTGAATGGAACAAGTTTGAAGAAAAACGGTGCAGTATGAGACTCGTAATCCTTGATTTTCAAGTTAGGACCGCATGATTGTATGACTCAGTTTTTCAGTAGTCCACAATCATCTATAACTTCTAAAAAATAGTCTACTACACTAAATAGTAGTGATAGTTTATTTCACAGCACATATGCATTTCAAAAGTGGTTGATAATCAAGAATTACTATGTCTTTCAGATTGACATCAATAAAAGAAATGAGCTGTCATACACCTTTAAACTAGGGGCATCTTAAGTACTTTATTACTGATAGTATGTTGACAGCTTTGTCACGTGCATTGGCCAAAGTTCACATTGAATATGCAGTGGCTGCATTGAATTGTCAGACTAGAAACATGGTAAGAAAAATTACTTTTATCTTTATTAATGAACGGGTAAATATTTAAATCATATATCAGTTTAATATTTGATTAATTTGTGCCTTATTAACCTCATTTGTTTAAATCTTGTTTGCGGTACGAGTATTATATTGCAATAGCGCTAGCAGTAAAATGTACTGTTCTACTATTTCTAGTACACTGTTCTTAACAACATTTTGACTATGATCGGAATTTTAAGATCAATTTTTCAAAAAAATCCCTTTGAGAGAAAAATAAACAAGATTTGAATGAATAACCCTATTATTATATATACTATAAACCATCAAATGGTAAATTATTAAACTGTGATGTACCCATGGTAATGTTTTGTGCACTTTACCTATATGGCAAAATGATCATTCGTAAAATGTGCCATAAAGGTCTCATGACTGAGTATTATTGTCCCATGATCAAATCACATACGAAAATCATGGTGCAGTGTGTGCTTCATGTTAAAGTAATTGTGTCATCCTCAACTATACAGGGTGTCTGGAAAGTAAAGATACAAATGCTCTTTTTTAAGAGATTTGGGTCTTTTGAAATGAAACTGCTACAGATTGTAGAGGAAGATTATTACAATATATCTACCAACTTTCATCACATATAGTTTGAACGTGTTCAAGTTACGGTTGTTATGGTTACAGGTGTGATAGGTATGCGGAGCAGTTCCAGAACATCGCTAAAATGTAAAAAATTGCTAAAATACAACCATCTGAGACAGTGTTTTTTGTTGTATTTTCTATCAATGTTTTGCTTTGTTTGGTTTGTATTATTACTGTCATAGTTTTTTCTTTTATATAATGATGTCATTGCTACATATCAGAACTATTTTGTGTCACTAACCAGTACAATCAAAGAAATACCATACAAGTGTTTAGAAAAAACAGTCTCTGGATTAGTTGGAAAGGCAATATTGCATCTCCATAATACACCAATTCTCAAAGCAAAGAAAACAATTCTTATAATGGATTGTTACAATTTTCTATAAAATGCCCCATATTCACCTGATAGAGCCTTTTTTTACTTCTACCTAATGACCATCTGAAAGTAATATTTGTAGAAGGTCAACATACAAAATGAGTCTCAGCTGGAAGTCAATGCTATAAGCAATTTGAAAGACGGACAGCAATGATTTTGTCAAGTCTTTGAATCGGCGGTCAAGACGCACCAAAAATGTTTAGATAATGGGGAAAATATTAAATATTCAATGATAGTAGTTAAATGAAGATATCAAATAATGTTACAGTCCTAATCCTTATGCTGTTGTAGTACATAATTTGATGTAATATAGGAATAGATGGTAGAATGCCAAGATGTTATGAGCAGGAAAGAGATTTGTAAATAACATTTGTGACGTTGCTCCACATACCCTCGACTACCGTTACCATAACGACCATAACTTTCTCATTTTAAAACTAAAAGTCATGACCGTGGCAGGATATATTGCTTTAATGTCCTTCTACATTCTGGAGCAATTTCATCTCATAACAGGTAAATCTCTTAAAATGAGAGCATTTGTATCTTTACTTTCCGGACACCCTGTATGTACAAACTATAGTAAATGTGCTAAATTATAGTTACTAGTAATTGATAGAATGGGTTATTTTTTATGTATATAATATATTTACATGTAATGTTGAAATGACTACTAGTACTTCGTCCATTTTTTACTTTTTCGTCAAAGTTTAGAAATACCTTTACTATGATATGACAGTCTCAGAAGTTTTAATATTACGGTAATTCCTTTCAGTCGACAGATGCATCATCAAAGTTTGCTCTTGCTGATAGGTTAAAAGGCTCTGGTGGGAATGTCTGGTAAGTTATTCAAGTAAAATGTGTTTCAGAACTTTTACAAAGTATGAGCTTTCAGAACTCGTATCTTACAAAATATGAGCTTTCAATACTCAGATTTTACAATTTAACATGAGCTTTCCGAGCTCATATCTTACAAAAACATGAGCTTTCAGAACTCATACTTTACAAAACATGAGCTTTCAGAACTCATATTACTTTACAAAACATGAGCTTTCAGAACTCATACTTTACAAAACATGAGCTTTCAGAACTCATACTACTTTACAAAACATGAGCTTTCAGAACTCATACTTTACAAAACATGAGCTTTCAGAACTCATACTACTTTACAAAACATGAGCTTTCAGAACTCATACTTTACAAAACATGAGCTTTCAGAACTCATACTACTTTACAAAACATGAGCTTTCAGAACTCATACTTTACAAAACATGAGCTTTCAGAACTCATACTACTTTACAAAACATGAGCTTTCAGAACTCATACTTTACAAAATATGAGCTTTCAGAACTCACATTTTATGTGTTTATGGAACTATCTGTAATTGTTGCTCAAGATAAATGTTATATCATATGAAGCGTTAGTATGCACTTTAAGATGCAGCTTTATGTAATCGAGGTGTTACTTCTATATGTAATTGAGGTGTTAATCTGAGGCATAACATACTAACTATACAGTATTGAAGTATAAATGTGTAAATGTTGTAGGGTTGAGTTTGGAAAACTAGCTACAGATTATAAGGCTACTAATCTTGGTCAGGGTTTCCCTGACTTTTCTGCTCCTGAATATGTGAAAGAAGCTCTCTGTGATGCTGTAAACAGCCCAAATGTTTTTATGAACCAGTACACTAGGAGCTATGTAAGTACTCATGACTCCCACACTCCTAGAACATACAATAAAATGCTTCATTTAAAATCTGTGATTAAAGTTAGTGATGTTGAAAACAGAATCCCAGTGATATTTGCAAATGTTGTGTGTGCAGGAATCCTATCCAAAAAGCTAGATCATGTTGATTTATTTTGTCTTTTTACATAATGCACATGACTTGCGTAGACCTGCAATATCCTCCCATAATGCAATGCTAAGAGCAGACGGACTCACCATACTGTACATTACTTGCATAGACCTGCAATATCCTCCCATAATGCAATGCTAAGAGCAGACGGACTCACCATACTGTACATGACTTGCAATTGACTTCAAATATCCTTCCATAATGCAACTGTATATGATTTGCATAGACCTCAAAATAATCATCCCATATTGCAATGCTACATAGCAGATGGACTCACCTTCCATGCTTTCTGATTCTCAGGGACACCCAAGATTGGTGAATGCCCTGGCTAAGACCTTCTCTCCTATGTATGGTAGAGAGATTGATCCAATGACGGAGACTTGTGTTACAGTTGGGGCATATGGCTCTTTGTATGCAGCAATACAGGGCCTGGTCAATCCTGGAGATGAGGTTGGTACATGTATTTCCCTAATACTACTCCTATATCTACTCCCCCCCCCTCTTTATCTACTTCACCACTCATGAATATGATTTATACTTTTTCAAAAGCAGAGCATTTCTTTTGATAACATCTGTGAACAAACAAGCTTAGAGAAATTAAAGGGTTACTTTTCAAGAATATTTCATCATTTTCAATCTTTTTTAGGTGATAATTATCGAGCCATTTTTTGACTGCTATGAACCAATGGTAAGATGTGCTGGGGGAACTCCAGTCTTTGTACCACTGAAACCTGTAAGTACAGCATTACATAATATAATATGATCAATTTAATTTTATATGATATGATATGATATATATGACATGATATAATAAAATGTTTTGTGTTAAGCTACAACATTTAATATGCAAAGTATTTTTGCAACAATGTATTTATTTCTATTATAATGTAAATTGTTGTTATTTACCATATTTTATCAAAATTGTTTACTTGACGCAAAATGTTTAAAATATCAGCTCAGAAAAATCTATGAAGGGCTGAGGAATGTTTCGGCATCTCTTGTTCTTCTCTTATATAGTAACTCATGGCTAAGTGGAACACCTTTGGTACCAATAAAAAGTGTTCCACTTGGGAGGTGTTCCACTTCAGATTAAATCAGTCGGTCTTGGGACTCTGAAAAGGTGCTCCGCTTCATGAGGTGTTCCACTTTACATGTATCACTAAATATAATTGCGACACCGTTCAATGAATCTTTATGTTACACATTGATTTCTAGTTCACATGTCCGTATGTTATTTTTGCAGACCAAAACTGAAGGAACTGTTACTAGTGCTGACTGGAAATATGATCTTGAAGAACTTAGCAGTAAATTCAATGAAAAGACAAAGCTGATTATTCTCAACACCCCTCATAACCCAGTTGGCAAAGTAAGCTCTCTGATAATTTTTTTTCTCTTGATCTAATCAATCAATCAACAATTTAATTAATCAACCAACCAAGCAATCTTAACAATCAATCAACCAAACTATTTAATCAATCAGCCATACCAAGCAATTTTATCAATCAATCAACCAAGCAATTTAATCAATCAATCAACCAAGCAATTTAATCAATCAATCAACCAAGCAATTTAATCAATCAATCAACCGAGCAATTTAATCAGTCAATCAACTTGATTGGTTTAGTTGGTTGGATTGTAAATATTAACTTCTTAAAATTAAAGCAATGATTCAATTTAGGGATAAGGGAAACCTATGTATTGTAAGTATTATCAAGAAACCATCTCTCACAGTCTGAGGGGAAGGATGGACATTTATTTACCAAAAATAGAATGAAATAATTGCTGTATGCATTTACATGTAAAACTCAGTGCTTTATTTATTCCAGATATTCACTAGATCTGAACTAGAAGAGATCTCAGCTCTATGCAAGAAACACAATGTGGTTGTCATATCAGATGAGGTATATGAATGGTTGGTGTACTCAGGGGCTGAGCATATCAAAATAGGTGAGTCCGTCTGCTCTGTAGCATTGCATTATGGGAAGATAGCTGAGGGTCTTTTTCATAGTGATTGGTGAATGAGTTTATGAATGGTTGGTGTACTCGGGGGCTGAACATATCAAAATAGGTGAGTATGTCTGCTCTGTAGCATTGCATTATGGGAGGATATCTATTAATAGTCTATCAAAGTGATTGGTGAATGAGTTTATGAATGGTTGGTGTACTCATGGGCTGAACATATTAAAATTGGTGAGTCCGTCTGCTCTGTAGCATTGCATTATGGGAGGATATCTATAGTCTACATCAAAGTGATTGGTGAATGAGTTTATGAATGGTTGGTGTACTCGGGGGCTGAACATATCAAAATAGGTGAGTCTGTCTGATCTGTAGCATTGCATTGTGGGAAGATAGCTGAGGGTCTTTTCCATAGTGATTGGTGAATGAGTTTAGGAATGGTTGGTGTACTCAGGGGCTGAGCATATCAAAATAGGTGAGTCCGTCTGCTCTGTAGCATTGCATAATGGGAGGATATATATATTCTATATCATAGTGATTTGTGAATGAGTTTATGAATGGTTGGTTGTACTCGGGGCTGAACATATCAAAATAGGTGAGTCTGTCTAAATGATATGTTTTCCTTTTAGGTCTAAGGATAATGAAATCATCAATCCAACTCTCCTGAAAATCCTACATCAAAACATTCACCAAAATGCCAGATTTATGAGTGAGGATCTTCTTTAATATTAGAATTCATATTCTGAGGGAGACTTAATGAACAAATCCCCCTGTTCTTTCAGCAACTTTGCCTGGAATGTGGGAGAGAACAATAACTATTGGCAGTGCTGGAAAGACTTTTAATGTAACAGGGTGGAAACTTGGCTGGTCTATAGGCCCTAGCCATCTTATACAATGTCTCACGACAGTACATCAGAATTGTAACTATACCTGCCCTACCCCCATACAGGTAAGTCTTTGATCCATATTGCATATTATTTTCTTGGTCAGCCTCTTTTGACTTTACTAAACTGCCCTCTTTGACTTTACTCAAATGGCCCCTTTTGACTTTACTCATTTGGCCTTTTTGCCTTTACTCAATTGGCCCCTTTGGACTTACTTCAAATGGACCATTTTGACTACTCAACTGGCCCCTTTTGACTTTAATCAACTGGCCCATTTTGATTTTACTCAGCCCATTTTGACTTTACTCTATTGGCTCCTTTTAACTTCACTCAATTGGTCCTTTTTGACATTACTCAAATGGCCTCTTTTGACTTTACTCAATTTGCCTCTTTTGACTTCACTCAATTAGCCCCTTTGTGACTTTGAACTTAAGCTTTTTCTACCATTATGGGCCATTTTGGGGAACCAGTATTTTTGGTGAAAAATACCCAGTTTATTTTTGTTATTGGTAAACACTTCTGTAATTATTTCTGCTTGAACTTTCTGTCATCTGTGCCAATGATTTTATGGCTCTAAAAATGCATGCTCATTTCAGTCTCATTTTAAATGCTTTTAGGAGGCTGTAGCAGTGGGATTTGAGACAGAGTTACCAAGAATTAACACAAAGGAATGTTTCTACCATTCACTACCTGCTGAACTCCAAGTGAAGCGTGACAGACTGGCTGAACTTCTCAAATCAGTAGGGATGACACCAACAATACCAGAGGGTGGATATTTCATGATGGCAGATATAAGTCAACTAGGTAAAACTCAAAACATTGATAAGATGTTGTTACCATGTACATGTAGTATGTTATTTGATTATTATATCACCACCACAAGTGTTGACATTTTGTTATAGTGTCCAACTTTTCTGTGGATGGTGTTTGGTGGATGTACACTTTTAGGATCTTATCTGAGATTTTAATTATAACTTTGTGGTTACACATGTATTTCATTGGTGTATGTTTTGCCAAAAATGATTCCAGTAAATAACTCCAGTAATTTGTAGCATGTTGAAAATTCAAAAAATGAGTTCAGAAAACTATTTTTCCCAGTTGAGATAACGGGACTATTTTTCTTTTGATTGTGCTTCGATCTTTGCACACAATCAAAGTCTCTGTTGGTTAATACTTTTCACCATTGAAATTATAATCAGGAGTCAAATTTCAATTATATTATTTGACTCAACTGGACCAAACTGGGAGGCATATTTGTTCAACATTCATAAATTAATCCCTTTTACCATGACCCAGGTTTATTCTGAAAATATGCTCTAATTTGTTCACTTAGGAATTTTTCAATTATATTTTCATAGATTCATTCAAATGGGGATATGCAAGCTAAACAGAATGATTATTTTGTTCATTTCCAAATCTATTCCTTTCAGATTTCAAGGTAGATGAGTCAAATCCAGAACCTAAAGATTACCAATTCGTTAAATGGATGACACGAGAAAAGGTAATAATGATCACATATGTATAAAGCAATAGCTCGAAATGAGTGGACCAAAAATTATTTTAAAATACTGTGAAACACAGAATCAGAGCTATAGGGTTGACAAAATTGCAAGCAATGTGCACAATTGACCTACCAATCTATTCCTTACAATCCCAAATACAATATCTCCCAAAAATCAAGGATTGTTATAAATTGATGAGGGATTCAACGTGTGAAAATGTGCAATTTCTCACAAATAATAAATGTGCTCATCACATAAATAGAGAATTACAATTAAACACATTTTTGTAAAAACCTTTAAGTTTCTTAAAATAAAGTATGCACCTTGGGTATTTTTAGAAAATAGATATGACAAGGAACAATATGAGCCAAAAGTATTTTAAACTTGAAAAAATGAAAGGTTGCTTCCTAGATCAGATACTCCTTTTGAAAGGGAACATTTAAGAGTAGAACCAGTTGAAAGGAAATAAACCCCAAACATTCCAAATATGATTAACATACAAAGAAATAGTACACGGAATTCATGTTTCTTATAATTTTTGATGGAACAAATCGTGAAACTTTGTGGGGTGGTTCTGTATGGTATTTCAAGCAATTTTAGTCGCCTGTACGAAGATGTACAAGCCTCATTTTGGAAAAATGTCATGTTATACCCCTCAGCCATTTTCGGGGAGGGGGTCAAAAATGAAAAAAATCATAGCTATCCAAATTTTTAGATATCAGGCCATTTTATGATAAATTTGATGATTACAAAGAATATGTCACACTCAAAAAAATTATTTGAGCTGAATTTAACTTAAAAGTCTCTCTTTAACCCTTTGACAACCAATATTTTGAAATGTCTAATAGACAAACACTTTCTAAAAGGATCAACATTTTTTTAATTCCATGATATTTTTTACTGTAAAAAATCACAGATGATTTGGAGGCTATTCCTAATACCCATGCAAAACCATGATAAAAAATATTAAGTATGAATAGAATAAAAAATTCTTTAGCACACTGGTGCTTCTTCCAGGATTGAAGGGGTACCATTGAAAATTGATAAAATCTAGCAAGTCATATATCTAAGCATATCACAAAGATTCAAATTGACTTCAGATCCATGTAGGGTACCTCAAGACATGCAAAATTTGATTGTTGATATTTTATGAATCACTTTCAAAAGTGCTGATTCGGCACATTTTAACATTTCTGGGTCTGAGTTTGACATTATGTTGAGAACTGTTTAATGGTTCACTTGACAAAAGAGCAATAGTTCTAGCTTATACATCATATGACATTAGAAGAATTATTGACTAAATACTCAAGTTTCACTAAAATATTGTCATCCATATAAAAGAATATGCAATTGCATAGAGGAATTAGAAAAACACACGGAAAGTATCACAACAGGCTTCAGACATTCACATGTTGGATTTGGGCTATTTCTGAGGTTTTAAACAGGAGCATATGTTAGACCAATGCATTAACTCCAGGACAAGCACTCATAGAGATGATAAAAAGATTTGAACTTGAGACAGGGAAGGTGCAAACATCCCACCAACATGTTTTTTCAATGCTTGATGCATCATTTTACAGGGTGTCCCGAAAGTTTGCCCCCCCTAGGCAGACATATACCAGTGTCATCATAGTATGTGTCATATATCATTTTAAAGCTCATCCAAAGTTACATTGAATTGCCAAGAATCATGAATCAACTCTCAAATGGGAAAAAGTGACAGTCATTTTAAAATTAAGTGTTTGGCCAAAATAAAGTTCAATTTCACACCCCATTACAAGTCAATGAGTCCTCCCTTGGTCATGTTATCAGCAGCAATTCTTTTCAGATAGGACCATAAAAGCTCTACGGGGTGTGGAATTTTGTAATCCTCTAAAAACCTTTCAAGGCACTTTTGAAGAGTTTCCTTGGAGTATCAACCCTCACTGTCTCTTTTTCCAACTCAATATCCATCCAACCCGAAAAGAATTGCTACTGTTAAGATGGCCCTGGAGGACACATTGACAAGTGATTTGGTGTTAAATTGAATTTAATTTTGGCCAAACACTAAAAATTGAAATGCCTGTAATTTTTTCACATTTGGGGGTTGAACCATGATACTTGCCGAATCAATGTAACTTTGGATAAATGATATAATACATACTATGAAGACAATGGAATATGTCTGCCTAGGGGGGATACTTTTGGGACACCCTGTATGTTATGTTTTGAGACAGAGTTAATTTTTAAAAGGAAAAATGCATTCCTTTTGGGATAAAGTGGAAAACAATATAACAATATTTCCCATGGCATTTTCCCATATCCCACAGGGAAAACTCATGCAATCCATTGTTTTCAGCTTAATTTTGGTCACCCACAATTGACATCTTTAAAACCCCTGATTGAATGCATTTTTTCTTTTAAGAGGATAACTGTGTCCCAAAACGCAACATATTGATGAAACAAACATTAAAAACAGGTGCGGAAACAGGTGCGGCCTGACTTTTTACTGATAATGGTGCTTAGGTCTAGGTTGTGTCCTGATTTTTGACTGCTACATAGGACTTCTTCAAATGACCAAATGGTATGAATGTGGGTCGTGTCACCCATGAAAATCTTCACAGAACCAATCAAAATATTTGTTTCACCGGGAGTCACACTTATAAATGTTAATTTTTGGTCCTCTATTAATAGAAGCTATTGATTTGATGTTTAGCTTGTATAATCATACTGGGATTCATTGAAATTATCATTTAAATTTTGTTTTGTTTATTCAAGCAATAGGATTACATACTAGAATAGTCGAAAGAGGTAACACACCTTGGATGCAATAATGCTGGCTTTTCTCTCCTGTTACTATGTGCTGTGTCACCTGTGAATATCTTCACATCACTAGTCAAAAGTCTCCAAATATTTGTTAAATGAGCAGTCACATCTTTGAATGATAATTTTATGAATGATAATTTTACGACTGTCATTTTTTGGTCTCATATTTCTAATCAAGTTCTCCATTCTGTATAACCCTATAAAGTGACAAAGAGAAAGAACCAATTGTTCCAGAACCCAGCAGAAAAAAGAAGAAATCTAAGTATAGACCAGCCATAAGGAAAACAAACCCCAACTATCCAATACCATAATCCAACGTGAATGGGAAACAATGTCTAGTGCCCCTCATCCCTACCATAAAAAATTTACAGTTCAGACTATTTAAAAGAGCATATTCTTTTTCATTGCCTATTATCACTAACTCTTTTTGAAGCACTTAGTATTCTTTTGGCAGGAATTCCATCTCAATCAGCTTGAACACTTATTGTTACTGTTATGATTTTTGATTTCAAATGTTCAAGGATAAGCAACTAGATTGTTTAAATATCAGCAGAAGATGTTATTTGCTCATCTGAACCCCGTCACCTTTACTTATCTTATAAAGAGCAAGTTAACCCTTAATTGGTCTTTTATTTTTACACCCTCTAAAGGTTTTTGGGGTATTTCGCAATAACTTTGCAACCAGAGAAGCTTTTTTCATTCTGACTTCAGTTCTACATAGTTTAATCAATTACCTTTTAGAATATGTATGCATTATTTATCATGAATGCAAAAAAATATGTGAAAACCTTATCATAAGGGTTCAGGCGTTTTAGCATTTTGTATCATTTCGTAGCATATAATATATAACCCTGTATGAATTGAATGTCTTTTGGTGATAGTGATGTTCTGTGGTCTCAGGTAGCACAAAAGTCATCATGCGATTTACATCTGGTTTGTTTTATCTGAAAGGAATTGAATTAATTGAGGATGAGATGGAATTTCCTGTTGATAGAATGATTATTTCTGATATAATTATTGCAAAGAATGAACTCTGGGGACCCCAAAAACCATTTAAGGGTTAATGGTGTGTAATGATAAAATCTACATATTATAATACCATGTGTAGTTTGTAGGTGCTCTTCAAACAATTAACTATGTTGCCATGTAAAATGTCACTACCACTTGTGATGACATATTGTTAAAGTCTAATATTTTTGTGGGTGGTGTTCAGTGGTTGGTGTTTGACAGTTGTTAGTCTGGGGTCCCAGTAGGGCTCTAATCAATTATTCAAAAATACTTAACAAAGTTTGTTTAGAAATATATCTAATACATTCAATGTCACAAAGTGTTTATAGATGTGCTTTGTTATCAAATGTGCTTAATGGTTATACATTACTTGTTTGTAGCCACCACAATAATTATAAATTATTACTGGGCCTCTAGGAAGACCAGTTTTGTACTGAAAGAGCTACTCAGAATAAATATAGTTTCCAAATCAATTCAAATCAAATAAGATACAGGGTAAGCATTTTAATAAAAGAAATGAAGCAAAATGTGAACTTTTTCTATCAATTACATTTTCTTGTATATGGATAAAGATATTTCATTGTGAGTTAAAGATCTGTTACATCTTTTTCCAGCAACATAAAATGTAAAAATCAAAATATTTGCTCAATCTACAATTGTGCTATTGAATAGTTTCTAACAAGATTTCGAACTTTGACACTGATATAATAAAATATGCTGAATCAGCACTTTTGAGCCTGAACTGTCACCTGCAGGCAATAAAATACAATGCAACATACTGACATAGGAATTTCATCAATGATACAACTAATGCACAAAATATAACTAGTATGACAGTATGCCTTAATTTGACATTTATGTCTACTTACCCCCCCCCCCCCCCTCCATAACCACAGGCCAGATATTTTGTTATTTTTTTCTTATCTAGTAAATCCTGTATGAACTCAAACATGTTTACATGTATTGAAGCATAAATCAAATTTGTCCTTGATTTTATTTCAGTTCTATAACCATCTTGGAAGAGAAGATACAATAAAATGTAATTAACATAGAACTTAAAGAATGTATATATTTGGACATCAAAGGGTTAAAACCATACTTTTCTTTAGGCAGACATCATTAAAATAACTTATAAGCCTAAAATATAACATATTTAGGTTGTGGCAACATAAGATTCCCCAGAATTAAGGAGGATTATTTTATTATAATTTTTTGAAATTTTACCCCTCTGAAAATTATGGGTAGGGGGTACAAAGTCAATTTTCTCCCCCAAAATAGCTCTAGAACTTTGCACATGCGGATAAAAATGTTTTAAACGGTTCACAGATCCACTAAAATAAAATTCACGATTTGTTCCATCCAAAATCGTAAGGGCCATTTTTTGTAATGAATTCCGTGTACTAAATAGTGTCATTTATGATAATAATATGATAAACAAACAGTACAAAGGAATAGTGTCAGTTATGTAATTTTTAATATTACAGAAGCTGTCTGCTATTCCCCCTAGTGCATTCTACAGCCAGGGCCACAAGTTTCTAGCAGAGAATACTATACGATGGTGTTTCATAAAGGTAAGTGATCACATTTTAGATTAAAACCCAATCAATCCATATAAATGTAACCCAAAAGTAAAATTTATGAACAGCAGTTGAAATTCAGGAGTTGTCATTTACTATATTTTAACGAACCAGCCCCTGGCTTTTTGGATCACTCGTCAAGCATTTGTTGAGTCCACTCATCTTCATTTCGGTTAATAATTTTTCAGCAAATGCTCATATTCATTGGTCCTCGCTCATACTTTTGTTATGTTTAAGAAAAATCAGCTTTTTGCCATCAAAATGCCATGTTAGCCCAACAAAATGGCGCCCTTTTATTAACTGTGACTTTTACATATATGATTACAACACTCTACTATACCTAACCCCTAGAAATGCATAAGATACTCTGTTTGTCCAATTGTATTGTTTAGTATATTTTTAAAAGTACCTTATTAGCATCTAACGTCATCCGATAAACCATTAATAATGAACAGACAAATAAAAATAAATAACTTAATCATTACTAATAAGCCAAAAGGGTTGCTCATGAACACCCAATGCAAGGTATGATAGAGTGTACAATGCAAACTGATATTATATGTACTTTGAATCAATCTCTGACAGATCATCTCATCACCCAAGGCCTCAATTCCTCTGTGACAAGAATTCATAAGTTTTTCATAATTTGCATGGATTGAATTAAAATTGTCAAAGTTAGAGCAAATTTGTGAAAAATATTATCTCATCACTCAAGGTTTCATGGCCAATTCCTCTGTAACAAGAATTCCCAACACTTTTGATAGTCGAGAGGTTTAGAAAGATTTATATTTGTGATTGCAGAAAGACGAAACTCTGGACAAGGTGGAGGAAATATTCAAAGAATGGAACAAATAAATACAATACTCACGACAGTAGCATATGTAATACATAAGTGTGACATCATATGAAAACTTCAAGTGTGACATCATAAATCTCTCAAGTGTGACATCATATTAAAACACTTACGGTGACATCATTATCATGTGTCAGACTGTTGCTGGAGAATGACACAATTAAATCTTATTATGTAATAGGCTAGTATTCTGGTCTTCATTCAGTACATCTATTCTAATTTATTAAAAGTTTTTAATTATCAAACCAAGTAAAAACATCTGCTTTGGGGTTAATTTAATCTTTATTTGCTTGCCAAATTCATTGACATTTCCCAAAGCATTTATTGACATGATTGAGTCCGTGTAGAATATAGTTCCACTTTGTGATTATAATCATATAGTAATAATAAAATAGAAATAATAAAATCTGTCTAATGTGGACACTTCTGGGATCAGCCAAAATAAGGAAAATGCAATTTAGGTTATTCATATTAAAAGATTTGATAACTGGTAAATGGTATCATTTGAACATTTAGACAAAGGGATAATGAATATTAGTAGTCTAAAAAGCATGCTCAAATTTGAGATGTTCGTTTTAGAGCTCTTTGAAGATTTTAAAGTGTGATTTTATTCAACATATTTAAAAGAAATTCATCATTTTTCCTAGATATATTTCAAGTTCAGGTTTTAGTTTTCTGTAGTTCAAGTGCTTGGTTTGATTTCATCATTAGCAAATTGCTATTTGAACATAGCTCAATTACTAATTTTTGTGAAAAATAGCAAATATTTGCTCCTGATTAAAATAATTCAGGTCAGCTCCTACGCTGAGGGATCTAAGGACATTGTTCCCAATCTCTACTTTAACCCAAGTGAAATAGTTTATTTCGATGTGTAATATATAGTTAAGCACCTTTAAATATATATTAATAGATTTGAGTCTACACTCTGCTGTATCTGTTTAGTTTATAACCTGTCATATACAGTGTACAGTACACATAACATCTTATATGATTTAAGTTATAACAAATACTTTTATTCATGAATCATCATACAATGTTATATAACATGCAAGTGTAATTGTAACATAATCCTTTAATAGAATCCATCAGTATATACAATTTTTTCAGTATATACAATGATAAATACATTCCAACTTCAATTGAGAGAACGAGTGGGTTTGCACGAAACCTCCTTTCTCATATATGAAATTGCTTCCTGAATCTTGGCAATTCACACTACTATACCTTGCATTTGGTGTTCATGAGCAACCCATTTGGCTTATTAGTAATGATTATGTATTTGTTTTTATTTGTCTGTTCCTTATGAATGGTTTATCGGTTGAAAATTAGATGCTAGTAGGGCACTTTCAAAAATATATTAAACAATTCAATTAGACAAACAAAGGTATCTTATGCATTTCTAGGTGTTAGGTATAGTAGTGTGAATTACTTAGTTTAACTGCAATAACATCACATATGCCAAAAGAGGATATTAATAGAAACAGGATAATAAGAGTTAAATTCATTTTCCAAGCAGTGTCCTTAGCTTTGAAATGTTCAAAAAAGTAAAATAGCGATCTTTTGAATTGTTAAATGCTGCTTCATTAGCATACTGTCTCTATATCAATCACCTGGTCCATTTGTCTTCTGGTACATTTCTCTCACATGGTACAATTTTAGTTAAAGTAACACACTGTGTTGAACACAAGTCACTTGTATATTTCCATATCAAGAACCATTTTGAGAGTTTTCAGGCTCTAGCTGCGTGACTTGGTGAGGTTATATGTTTATCAGTACAAAGAAGAGTGTGGAACTCAAACACTGAATCACTTATCCAAAGGGTTGAAGTGGAACGTGTCTTCTCATTATGCACTTCTTCCTCAGTCCATATAATCCAAACTCTGAGATCTGATTGGTGGTTTATTTTGTTTTCTTCTTACGTTTAACAATTTTTCGCTTATTTTTAGAGTCCACAAGTTGTTGGGCTTGACGTTTGATGTGGTTTCTTGATAGGACATCACCATCGTCATCTCCACTGTCATCTTCATCTGGAATAGACACAAAATAGAGGTGTTAAACATTGTTTTCAAAGATAAGCTTCAAATATAGCCTTGGAATACAGGCTTCAAATATAGACCCATTAATATACAAAATACAAACACTACGTCGTATAATGTCCCATTCATGTTCACATCAGTGTTCAGTTTAGACGTGTATATTTTTTAGGTTCTGTACCATTTACATGTATAGACAATCATTGATTTTTGGAATAGGTTTTGGCTTGCTTAATATCAAATCTTCAAGAACATTTAACTGCAATATGGAATATAACAGAAATATGGAATAATATAAATATTGGGAAATCTGCAAAATTATAGAATATGAGGGTTTGAAATAAGGGACAAAAACATGACAAGGCATTAACAAGCAAAATGTCACCACCTGCCATTTGTTACAGATGCCAAATCCATGACCATCCACAAAATGTTGTAGACTATAACAATATGGCACCTCTTGTGGTGGGGACATAAAAAACCAACAACTTTGCCACACACCCTTTTAAATACACATTGATCTGATAGCAAAAGATGTATAAAGTGGCCAAAGTTGAATGATATTATCCTACCAGGGAATCCTATTTACCAGTAAGTTCATTGTGACTTTATGATCACACAAAATGGTCACAACTTGTGACTGTATCATTTGAATGAATTTACCTCCACCCCTATATGATTATACCGTGACTGGTTCACTTGTGCAATGGGTGCTGCTTCATTATTTTATCAAAATAAATATGGCACCATTTTGGTAGTCCAAGCGAATTTCACTTCATTTCACAAGCTCAGCAAAGCCCGATCTTGAGAGATGCATTTGGTAGGCTCATATGGTGATTCCTTAAACTTATATTTTTGTGATGTTTAGTTGACAAAAAAAGCTGAATTATTCTCCACAACTTGTGACTGAATCAACTGAATGAATTTTTTACCAGATGGACATTGAAATTACCCCCACCCCTATATATGATTATACCATGACTGGTTCACTTGTAGATCTTGAGAGATACATTTGGTAGGCTCAAATTGTGATTCCTTAAACTAATATTTTTGTGATATTTAAATGCTGAATTCATTCTTCAAAATGAGGAAGAAGTGAGAGCTTGGTGTAAATTAACAGTATGGCCTCTCATAAAATGAATAGGAGCATTAAGTTCAGAAAAATGTCTGTTTTTATTTTAAGTTCACATTATGAGCCAAAATCTGTTATTCATTCATTTCAATACTCTAGTGCCTGCTCTCGTGGATGATAACAAAAACTTTAAAATGTGTCACACATGCTTAAATAATTCTGTTAATGTGCAAGATAATTCAAATAAATGAAAACATTGATTCAACTCCAGGGCTACAAAAAATATCTGAAATAAAAGAAATCTCAAGTGCATCATTATCATAAGTGGTGTAAATCAAAGGAGGTTCTACCCAGCATTCACTGGGCATATATTATTGCCGTTTTGCAATATCAAACTGGAAAACCTCCTTCCATGGATGCTTATTAGATCATGCAAAATTCAATATTAGTTCACCAAACTCTCCACAGGTGGCTCTGACTTACCATACATCCTATCATCACCTAGAATACAAGGGGCACATAACGATTACTAACTATGTCTATTTTTATTACATGCATTTATCTTATTAAGGACTATGACAAATAATATAATACTACGTTGTAAATGACTTATTGGTTTTAAATCAGAATTTGATCATTTTTCAAAATTGATTGTCTACATTTTATATTCCCACAGTTCTCCAATCAATCCCAGAATTTTATACCATCACATCAATACCACTACCAGATTTACCTCATTTCTAGTTGACTAAATGCATGCATGAGGAAGCTAAACATTTTATTAGTTCTATGGGGTACAACGGTTATATCTGATCTAATATCTAAACAATAGAGCCCATATGTAGGCCTATACCATATATCTTACCATATATTCTATCCCCGTCTTTAATGCGGATATGTGAAAGTACAATGCAAGATGTGAGGAAATGCTATTGGGGTGAATTCAGTTTATAGGGGTTTGAAATACTATCCAGGGTTCATTTATATTAATTAGCATGCAAAATGGCATCTATATTGGAAAAATGCTATTTTCAAGCTTTTTAGAAATCTTTATAACGTGATTCATGCAAAGTCAATGTAAATACATTCATTTAATCTTATATTTTACTGTATCACCCTTGGTATTCTGGAGTTTGTAGAGTGATTAAATTCAAAATTAACTGTTGTACCAAACCAGGCATTACAACAAGCTCCATATACCAAGGGATGTGTGAATGGATCATAGTAATATAACTCACCATCATAAACATTGTCTCTTTGAGATTGTGGTAACTTCACCCTTGTGTTGTACTGTGGCAGCTTACCCTCCATGTTTGCATGGAACTGAAATAACAAAAATATAGATAAAACAAATGTACATTACCCTTTTGCTTCTTAAAAAGACAACTTCATTGACACTCTTCGATTTGTGCATGTACTAATAAAGGTTTTGCAAAAATCAATTCATTTTAAAATACAAAAATTCAGAGTATGTGTAGCTGGGCAACAAGAGTGCGTTTCCATAGCAACCAATTATTAATTACCTCTTCCTCCTCCATCTGTTTAAGCACTTCACTTAGATCTTTGCCGTCCAATTCTTCAAGTAATTTTAGTAATTTTTCCTCTGATACAGAAAGCAAATCAAGGACGTATTCATCTGACGTTGATGAAATTTGCGCTGTTGGAACATGGCCTTTGTTCTGGAAAAAACAATTCATGTTTTATACATTTGCATTTCTACATTTGTGGAATTCATTTATTAACGCATACATGAGAATGAAATAGACAAATACTTTGCTTCAACTTTTCTAAACAAAATTGTATCACAACATTTAGCCCTTAATTGTATTTAATGTCTTGAATTTAATAATGCCTAATAACTAGCTGAGAATAACACTTCAAAATTATATTAGTCTCAGCTTTATAGTTGAAGACTGAAATTGATGTCAAAAAAATATAATGGTTTGCTGAAATTTGAGCAAAGACTTTTTGGACAACCCTTGTATAATTAAAAACTCATATTCACTTACAGCTTTTAGATGTTGCAGCTTGTCAGCAAGGTGCTCCACTCCAGCCTTAACACTGATCAGGATCTTACTGGCTCTATCCAGTCTCTCAAGAGCCTCATCACGTCTCTTCTCTTCCTCTGCAAGATGGTTCTGGAACTCTTCTAGCATTCGCTGACCACTGAAGTGAAAAATAAGATATTAGCAAAAATTCAGTACCTGGAAAATAAAACAACCGTTGCTGAAGTTGAATACAAAGCTTATAACAATTTTGTATCTTTTATTAGATACAATTCAAATTAATTCAAGATTATCCATCTAAAGACCACCTTTCCAATTTACCATTACACAAACAAGAGTCTTTCACATGTTCAATAACCTAAGATCATACATGTAGTCTTGCACCAAGCCCCCTTCCCCCACATCCCCCCTCTATCAGGGGAGATAGAGTAAATAGGGTTATGATGATTGTCCATAGGCCCCGGGAATATGTTTAATAAAATCGAGTCAAGATCTGTATTTCAAACATATTTCTTGACTGAATTTTTTTTAATACATGTTCCCAGGGCCTATGTAATTGTCACTCTAATGAAAAATACCTTGACAATTTTGCCTCTCCAGAATATTTCATTTCTTCAAACTCCTGTTGTAGTCTTTCTTTCTCCTCCCTCAACCTGGAGATTTGTTTCTCTGAGTTCTTCTTCAGTTCTTCAAGATGCGCTTGGGTGTCTCCCTGGTTTTCAAACCTCTTCACAACCTCCTTGGTGTCTGACACCTGTAATAAAGGAAACCTTTAACAACCTTTTTTTTGTTAAACTGGAGATGCATTTAAGAATAAGAATTATTGTTAGACCTTATTAAAAATGAAATAAGTAATCACAAATATTTTTGAAAAAATCTGAGACAACTACAAAATATTGCGACATGTATGAATTTGTATTCTTAAATAATTGCTCATCTCTCTCACTTTAACTTTCATAGTGTCTGGCATACATTACAAACAAGCATTGGTTGCTACTGATCAGTAAAATGTAACGTTACAATGAAACATTAGAATTAAAATTTCTAACTTTACAGTCAAAGTCCTATGATTTATCAGAAAAAGGATGAGAGTAAACTCAAACAGCAAATCACTCTTGAAAAGAGAAGAACATGTCTCCTCATTTCACACTTCCTTTTATGATTCCCTACCCCAGTTGCTTCCTTGATGCGCTTGAAAGCCTCTTCATATGTGCTGATCTTTTGCTGTTGGTCTTCTCCTGTGAGGGCAGCCTTCTCTGCTGGAGTCAGCTCATCCTGAGTGAGTGAGCCTCTCTGTGCCTGAAGTAAAGAGAAAGGGGGATAATTATGGTACAAACACACAATCAAAAATTCTATATAATAGGCTATGTATAAATGTATATGATTTGCTTGATGTAAAGTCTTTCAAATGTAGTGACAATATGAAGTTGGTGTGGCTACTGTGTGAACAGAAATAACTAGTACAACTTCACAGATCGGAAATATTTGTTGGTGTTGATCTTTTTAAATATATATTTTTGAGAATATTTCATGCATCATTCAATACAATAACAACTACAGGTACTGGTGTCTTTAAATATTTTCATCAAAGATTCTCCACCCTTACAATGTGAACTTACAATTCTCTTTTCGATTCTTTCATGTTGCATCTTCTTTTCATCCGCCTCTTTCTTCATCTTTTGCAGTTCAATTTCTCTCTTCTTTCTCTCTGCATATACAACTTCTTCATGTTTCCTTAGTTCTGCCTGACCAGATTCCTTGGATATAGTAGCGTCATTTTGCATGGAGCGCATCTCTTTACACTCTGTACGCAATCTGCGGATTTCTTTTTCTACCTCTTCAAGATTATTTTCAAATGTAAGATGCTCCTGAAAGAGAATCAGATTATTTAAAAATCTTTCATTTTCAAATCTTTTGACAAATTGCAAGCAAAATACTTTTACATCACTTCATATCAAAATAATCAATAAACTAGAAAAACAGCACGGAGTAGCAAATCCCACCGAACAAAACATATTATGCTTATTATAGCTAGTGTAAATGTTGAAATGTTTGTGCACTTTGTGATAGAAGCATGACATTTGGCACAAAGTTAGTTTATACCATTATGAACTAGGCATCATCATATAAAATTTGAACCAAATCCGTTCACTGGTATATGAGTTATCAAAGATTACGTTTTTTACAAAATTGGCCGCCATCTTGAAATTCAGCCGCCATCTTGAAAATTATTTCTTGAACAGAGCTTCGTTCGGTGGGATAATAAGACACCGGGTATAACTGCTTGATTAAAAATATATAACATATCAAAATAAAAATACGAAAATAGAAATAAATGATATAAATCAAACAATGAAATTAACTACCTCTTGGAGTTTCCCTCTGATCTGTTCATATGTTTTACGAATATGGTCTGCTTCATTGCACTTCAGTTTAGATTTATCAAGTCGATTTTCCAGATTCCTCAGCCTTTGAGCATCTGGTGATTCACCTGAGTCTGTCTCTATCGCATCAGAAGCATCTTTCACCATCTGGTTGTATTGTGTTTGGACCTCTTCAAGTTTCTTCTGCTTGTTGGCTGTTTGATGTTTGAGTGCATTCAGGCGTTTAATCGTGTCACACACTTTATAATCCATGGTCGTGATGGCTTCCTGATATGACAAAATAGAAAATCATTTTCAATAACTTCTACCACTTCATTATAATTGAGACAATAAAAAGGCTGACATTGTTATTAAATGTGTTAGATCAGTTTGGGATATTGGGGTTTTTGTTCCTTTGACTGAAACGCTCTTATATCTTAAAATACTATTAAATGGACTTTTTCCATTTGGCCAAAGTGCTTGCATGTATATGTATTTATCATTATAGCTAGCAGGGACAGAGATCCAACAAAATAAATACTGAGACTAAATTGTTCAGCAAAATTTACCGAACTTCAAAACTGGCAATGGTTACTTACCCTGCCTGTCTTGTTCTTCATGGAGGCTCTGTCCACCTTCTTCTGCTGGAAAGCTTTGTTGATGACATGTTCATCTGCCTGGAATAAAAGTTGAAGTTGAAGACAAATACTTTGCCTATAATTTTACTAAAATATATGAATTATTCATCTGGAAGGTAACCAAAATGTAAGTCTATTACAAGAAAACATATTGATGTCTACCAAGGGAACATATCAATATTTACGTATACATACATATACTTTAATCCTGACATTCATCCCAAAAACTCTTAATACTTACTGAAAGTTTGTCTGCTAATCGCTGTCTGACTTCTTTGTTGTCTTTTCTCAGCTGTTTAACCTTTTCTTGGTTCTTTTTCATCGTCCATTGTGCATTTTCAAAGTATGCTTTCCTGTCACCCTCTGCAAACAAGCAGCATGCAACAAATTTAGATGCAATCATTGTAAACATCTGCAGTGGCATTAACTTTATCATATTATTGATACATGTATTACTGACTCACTTGGCTATTTTTAACTTTTTTTCTCACCAGATACATTGCATTTGTTTGTTCATGCATAGCAATGTCATTATTTTTATCTTTTATTTAGGCTAAGGCTATTGAATTAATATCAATTTATAAGTTACCAACCATATCACTATATATTTTTCAAAATTGGCTGAAAATCATCTGTCCCAGCAGGTACGGTCATGGGCGTAGCGCTATATTTCTAAGTAGTACGCCACCACAGGAACAATAGTTGAGAGAAGCAAAAAATGATCGTTAAGGGGGGGGTTTGGGGGTTCTCCCCCAGGAAAATTTTGAAATTTGGTTGTAATTAGAGCGAATTTGCAACCATCTGGTACGCCTGTGCATACCCAGCATACCGGGCGCTACGCCTATGACAGTGTAGATCTACACTCTGGCATCTAAGAATGATCTGCAGTTTACACTGTCCAGACATTATGCAAGTGCTTGTCTATGTCTAGTCTATAATTAATCATGATTTACTGATGGTACCAGTCTCACCCTGTAGAACTAGGCCAAGGCCTGATTTACAAAAATCTGAACTGAAAATTTCACTGAAAAATGGCAGAAAATCAAGACCAAAATTCTTACCTAAAAGATTGATTTTGGATTTAAGCTCATCAATTTCCTCGGTAATTGGCCGACCAGTACTGCCTTGAGATCCCGCTGGCATTTTGGAATTATGATTTTAACCGCTATTCAACTAAATTTATTGTATATTGTCAAATTTCTTCACCTACGGGCACCTGCTCAATATTGAATATTTACAAATGTCGTTGTTAGGTAGCAACCAGGAAAATACTAGTGCCAAAAAGTAAAACCTATAATATGAATGAATTATTCTTCTGAATGAAGTATATCTTCTTAAAATATTATTACAAATATGCTTCGTACATTTATTTTATATGCATCTAATATTATAACTTGGACGATATTTTATGTTACTATCCTTACTCGTTTTGGTACTAGGCATTTCATGATAATACTTTTATTCTGCCATCTATAAATCCAATAAGCAACTATACTTTTTAGTCCAGTGCAATCAATAGCTTTGATTTTCCCGGGAATGTTGAAAGAATCAATGGACAATGGATAACTTTGTAAAATTGTTTCTGGTATTTTAAAAAGATATTCAATGCATGTAAAGTTCAATGAAAATAAACACAAAAGCATCAATTTATCAAATGAAGGTCCTTGATATTTTGTTGACGGATTGTGTCCGAAAACTTATCATGAAAGATTTGATATTTTTTGCAATTTTTCATTTTATTGTTAATATTTTATTGTTAAAATTGTTCAGACACAATCACCATTTAAAATTTAAAATATTACATCCACACTACAACACTACACCAGATAACATGTTAAATATGGATAAATGTGTTTAGCACTTGCAATATACAGTAAAATCTGATACGTGGAACACCTCATTAGGTGGAACACAATTTAGAGGCACCAAATGTGTTCCGCTTACACAGGTTATACTGTAATTCCATGGACTTTAATAAATATGAGTAAAAGCACAAACATTAGAACTGCAGGGTTTGGGATCCATTAGATAGGTGATAAAACAACAACCCCATTTCCAACCCCCAGGATTGTTATTTAATGAAGAAATTAATACAAAAAAGTAAAAATGAACACATTATTTTCCATTTTTTCAAACAGCTGTGATAATTAAATCATACTTTTGTAGAGCAGCATTTCCTTCATCAAAATTGCTTCATTCAGTGGATAAATTAAATTGTTTTTTATTATGGGTGTGGATTAAAACATTTATTTTATTGAATCCTGACATACCATTGCTTCCTAAACTTATTTACGCAAAAAATTATAGTAGTACACAAACCAAGGTTTTTTCATTTGTTAACTCATAAATTCTTACTTAATTTTACTTCAGTGACAGATTCATTGAAGTTCATATTGCCTGGTTCATGAGATAAACATCTATAGCAATGAAATAGATAAGACATGGCCACGATTGTGTTTTATGACCATTCTTAAAAACAAACAAGATTTTATGGGGATTTTACCATTTCATCGTCAACTGGAAAGCTGGAAGGCAGGTGAGTAAAACGTTTATACTTTTTCTTTCTAGTAGACAAAAACATCATTTAATTATTGAAGTTTCTAAGTGCAAACTCATATAAAATCAATTAGCATATTGAATTTGTTGACAAGGGTCCTTAACCTGTCATGGATCTCTAAAAGAAATGAATTCATCTTGACATTTAAAGTACCGTTAAGCATATTGTTTGAATTTTTAATGTAAAGAAAACCAAGAAGTAAAAAGATCAAGTTCAAATAAATGAAAAGGCAAAACAATTAAATAATTTTAATTTTGTAATTTCTGTATTCATCAAAAATAAGATATTTTGTTTTACAATTTCAAGATGCAAGGGTTAAATATCAAAGTTTTCACAGCGCTTCCAAATCAACAAATTGAATAGTAAATAATGTGAGGAATTTGAGTATAAATGCACAGTACCATTCTGTATTTCAGACACAGTCCTGTACAACAAATGGTTATTGTTATACAACTCATCTGAGTTTACAATGAGTCCAGCATTTTACATGGTATGCCCCATTATTTCATTCAACTTCAATTATTACATTTTAAGGTAGGCACATTCAACTCCAGTTTTTACATTTTAAGGTAGGCACATCCAATGCCAGCATTTTTAGGTAGACCCATGTGACTCCACATTTAAGGTAACTAATCAATTCGATTCCACTTATTACATCTGGAGGCAGGCCCATTCAATCCCAGCAATTAAATGTTTAACAAGGCAAGCCCATTTGAGTCATTGACACTGATATTATAAAGGCAGGCCCATTCAAATCTACTTCTTGCATTTTCTAGTTATTTTATTGGAACGTAGGCCCATTTGACCCCAATTTTACAGTTTAAGGCAAGTTAATTTAACTCCAATTTTTACAGTGTAAGGTCACGGGGTACCATCGAATAATTTTGGCAACGTACCGGAGAATGACATTTACTAAGAAATGGCAATAATTTAGCACAATATATTTTTTAACTAGAGTTCTACTTTGATTTTGACAAAAGTAAGTATTCAATGCAATGGCTATTTCATTCATGAGTTTGTAGGAATTCTGTTGGAAAAAAGTACAGAATAGTCCTTATACTATTGAATAATTCTGTTATTTCTGATTCACACGACTCTGATTTGTTTAATTAAATAAAAGTTTTAAAAATATTACTTAGGAACGTAACCGGAGCTGGGAACGTAACCGGAGCAGATCAGTTGAATTATATAATTTAAAAAATAAAATATATGATTTAAAGCATATATATTAATAAATACGCATTCGAACAATCCCGTATGTTTTTAAATTAGTATATGTGCTTTAAATCATTTTTTTTTTTTTGATTAAATAATTCAACTGATCTGCTCCGGTTACGTTCCAAACTCCGGTTACGTTCCTAAGTAATATTTTTAAAACTTTTTTTTTAATTAAACAAATCAGAGTCGTGTGAATCAGAAATAACAGAATTATTCAAAAGTATAAGGACTATTCTGTACTTTTTTCAAAAGTCTATACTTAAATGTTGTGAAAAGTTATAATCGAAAAACCATCTTTCGGAGTAAAGTCCGTCTGCGCCGATTTCAATAACTTCGTACTTGATCAGAACTGGGTTCCAACAGAATTCCTACAAACTCATGAATGAAATAGTTATTGCATGGAATACTTACTTTTGTCAAAATCAAAATAGAACTCTAGTTAAAAAATATATTGTGCTAAATTATTGCCATTTCTTAGTAAAATGTCGTTCTCCGGTACGTTGCCAAAATTATTCGATGGTACCCCGTGAAGGTAGGCCCATTCAATTAAAGTAAGGTAGGTTGTAGAAAGATTAGTGTGTTTGATTAATGGGCCTTTAATATGCTGATTGCAAACACCTTTCACAAACAAGTAAGTTCCAAAGTTGTTCCAATCTGTATACCTTTAACATTTTAAATATTGTTAAACACAATCCCCTACAAAGAAAACCTTATTGATAAACCGCCTTTCCAAATTAAATTATCCTTCTCTTATTACTTCGACTTTTATTTGAAAAAGTTTAGATGAGGTTTATTGATGAAGCGGTAATTTCATGCCTCTGAAGAAGACATATGGTAAGATCCTTATGACCTCATCAAAGCAACTTTATATCACATCTGATTATATAAAGTTTAAATGTAAAATGAATGCTGCCTATAATAGGTGAATAACAATTCAGCCAATCAAATTTGAAGAATTTTTTCTATGACACAATTCTGCCGTCTTATTGGAAAGGAGTAGATCAAAGAATTATTTCATATTTAACTCTCCTTTAGATGTGAAATCACACTCTACAAATAAAGGGTATGTGATCTTGTAATACAATTAATTTATTCATACATATATATTATTTTTTATTATATTTAAGTAAATCTATAACTGTTAACACAGACTTCCAAATTATTTTCATTTTGAGAAAAATGTGCTCTATTTTAGACTTATTAAGGCAAATACCCCGCCAAAATATTACAGAAATATATTTATTCAAATATTTTAATTTGTTATTGAATTGTGAAAATTAAATCTTATTATATCATTCACATTGCCTATACCTCGATTTTGCCTCGTCTATTTAAATTCACCTCAACTACAATAAAATCCTGGCTCCCCTGTGTATAACTTTGAAGTAGCTTTAAATAAATTAAATTACATAAAATGTATATCCAAAAGGGAAGGTCGTAGAAGCATGTCATTCATGAAATTCTAATAAACTTGAAATTAAAATGCAATAAAAAATTTAATGGCAAAAATACAAGATATAACTATTTTTATGAATTTAAATGTCATTTAAATATTCTTTGAAATTTATTTTGTATTTTAATAATGTTTTTATTTGAATGAGCAGGTTTTAATGGTTACTATGGTGATGTATGAGTCCCCTGCAACTGCAGTTGAAGTTACAGGTAAATAAATATCAGTGCTAAATTTCAATAAAGAAATATTATAAAATGAAACTTGGGATTTTCAAATAAATCAGAGAATCTCTGTTTCATATGTCTCTCAATGAATTGTACTGTGAACCAAGAATATTTTGCACAATGTTAAATGTCTTGCACCATAAATAGCCAGAAACTTTCACATTTTGTCAACTTTGAAAGTTTGGTTCCAGAATTGATGAAAATGGATTGATCATTGTAAGTTCTATAGTTCATGTAATGAGCTCAATGAGCAAAACCATGAATATTCGGTTTGTTTAATGTCTATTCACAGCAATGGTATCATGTGCGAATGACCGTTTCACTATCCGTGTGGACTCAGATAGTCTTAAAATTGGAAAAGTGTATGTGGAAGGACACGAAGATACCTGCAAGAATGAGAATCCCCCAACTAACAATATTGGAATATTCATACTGATGCTAAGTGATAAAGGTTCGGATTGTGGAGTAAAAGTGAGTATTTTGATGTGATATCGGGAAATAAAAAGGTAGGTCATTCTTGTTTCCAGTCCTCTAAATAATCTATGCTCCAGCTTTCGCCAGAAACTTACTTGACGTCCGTAGGTGAAATGAGATAATACTGTCACTTCATGCAATAGTTATAATTGAAAAAATGCCCCACCTAACTCACGCCTGGCTATGCACATGGACATGTTATATTTCATAAAATATCTTTGCAATATTTTATAACATATCAATTGGCTAATCAAATATCTATAAATGAAACATGAGTGACAATACAGGAAAACCACTAAAAACAACAAATACAATATATGGAGGTTATTAAATGGGAGGGATGGAATATTAATTTTATTCCGAGGGAAAATATGATATTGGCCAAGGAAAATATCAAATTGACCGAGGGTGATAGCAAATATCAGTTCACCCAGTTATTCTATAATAATTTCTCAAACTAATTTATTTTTAATTTTGTATGTCATCACCCAATGATAGTGACATAAAATGATACAATTTATCATTTAACATTTTCAACTTTTATTAACAAGTTTTAATCAAAAATATAAATGATTAATAACACTAGAGAAATTACTGGGAATAGTTCTAATACGGAATATTTGCTGATACGGGATCCAATACGGGATTTTGGCTGATATGGGATCTGATACAGGATTTTTTGAATATCAATTTCATTCCCTGTTATTTTCCCAGGGAAAACATGTTATAGAATAATATAAGTTATTGAATGATTTGAAGTGCAACACAGAATATATTCTGCTAGAGAAATTCTGTATTGAAACGAGGCGAAGCATGATTGTATGATCTTAGGTCAATACATTTTATCTAGGAGATAATCCCTAAGAAATGTTCTGTATTCTCTGTATTGCTACTGAGATTGTCCCCTCCTTACCAATATTTTCTATATTGCTCCGGAGATGATCAAATGGAACAATCTCAGTAGCAATACAGATTGGTACAGCACAAGAACTGACCAATCAGAGGGCTTCATTTTACAGATCATACGATAATACATAATATTATTATAATATAGCTTATAGAATGAATTATCAAATAAGATTTTAATTAAGATAAATCAATGATTATATGTAGTTTTATCGACTGGTCATTTGTGATATTACTTCATTACATTTATACCTCCAGGAAGACCCGAATACAGGCAAATATAAAGTGACGATCAGGAGTGAAAGTTACATGGAAGACCCAAATGGACAACTTACATTCTTAAACCCACAAGTGGACAAAAGATGGACAATTGTTTGTGACTTTAAGGGTCTGAAAGATGGAGTTGTGAATGTGATCTCTACAAACCAATTCAAAGTGTCTGGGTAAATATTGAATAAACTTGAGAACAATCTGTTATGTAAAACATACAGACAGACAGATCATCCCCTGGTTGTGATTGTATATTGGATTTATCCTTCAGGATGATATGATATCTTCCCTTGGTCTCTAAAGAAGATATCATATTATCCTACACTAAATGTATAATAACATTAAAAAATAAATTTGGTATTTATTGGCAAAATGAATAACCGGAGGATATCGTTACGATATACTCCGGGCGGAGGATATCGTGACGATATACTCTGGAAAACCAAATATGCGGAGGATATTGTGACGATTTACTCCGCTTGTTGATTTCCCGCCAAAATGACTATTTGGCATGAAATTCATTTTGCAATGATATTATACATTTAGTACACTCCCTGTAAGTGTAGGATAATAAGAACATCCTATGATTTTTTGCAGAATATCATTTTAATCTACTCGGTGATATTGATATATGCACTCGTTCGCTTTGCTCTCTCGTGCAGATATCAATTTCACCTCGTAGATAAAAATGATATTCCTCAAAATCATAGGATATCCTATAATTATCAGTCTCTTACCACTCTTATGTTAACACCTCTAGTGTGAACACTTTTTCTCAGTCCCAAATATTTTACACTTACATGATTATAAAACATTGAAATGTGAACACCTGCTAATCTGAAACTTTTGGCAAGTCCAAGAGGCATACAGATTACAGGTTTTACTGTAGTCGTTTATTAGCCCATGTCCCTAGTAAAACCTCGTACATTTTGATAATATAGTAGTATAATGACCCATATCCCTATCATAACCTAATATATATTAACAATATAGTACTACGTGTATATCAATCCATATCCCTTGTTTTATATTGTATTATATGAACATATATTTCTCAAAGACCATTGCAATTCCATTGTGTTCCAGTGATATCATTATTGAAAATGATGAGATTGTTCAACCAAATGAGACTGTTGTACTAGAGGTCCTTAAGGAGGCAACAGGTGAAGTGACCACACAAGGAGAGACTCTAACCATAGGCACACCTGTCAAGCTGAGGATCACACTCACTCCTAGTGAAAGTAAGGAGGGGGGATCATGATGGTGTGTAAGAAGTAGGGGGGGGTTCACACTCACTCCTCGTGAAAATGTGAAGGGACGGGGGTCCAAAAATTTACATCAAACTCACTCCTAGTAAAAGAAATAATGAAGGAGGAATCAAGATAAGATATTAGGGAAGGGGGTCCAAAAACAGAGGGATTTACATCACATTCACTCCTAGTGAAGATGAGAACGGAGAGTCTATCATTCACTCATAGTGGAAATAGGGATGAGGCATAGACCTTTTTGAGAGGGGCAGAAGTCCAATATGCTGTTACATTATAAGGGGATGGTCAACTGCGATGTAATTTACGCAGTTTCGCGACAACAAAACATTCAAATACTTGGTCAATTCTTATATAAAATACACAAGTTTACATACCAAAATATGAACAGAAAGTGTTTTTCTGTTTTAGCTGCCAAAGGAATTCAACCAAAAGCACGATGCCATATGACAGATGGAACTACAAATCAAAAATATATGCTCACAACTTCAGAAGGGTAAGATGAATATAGGGTCATTCAAAAAGTTTTGCACTAATTCCACACAAACGCACTACATTCTTCAATTTCTTTAACTGCTCGTTAAGCTTCAAAATAAGCTCTGGGTTTTTACACATCCACCCAATTATTGAAAGTACATGTAATCAGCCACATATAAAACTGAATGCATGAGATGACCCCTTAGATTGGCCTCAATATTAACAGTACGTCTGATTTACTAACTATGTGATCGCACCCCCCCATAACCAATTAGAATAGAACCATTGGATAGATGAAGCAAGGGAGCTTTAAAATGTTTTTTATTTGAAGCTTCTAGCTCAATTTTGAAGAAAGTTGCATCAATATTTGTAAAACAAAGTAACAAATCTGAGAAAATATTTTTTGCCTTGCTTATGCCATGATCTGACTGAAAGATGAAAAAAGATTTGGGCGATCGAACCCCCCCCCCCCCCCCCCCCCCGACAAAAAGCTTGCTATGCCCCTTTTATATATAATGTATTTGTATAGCTAGGTCATGCTATCACTTAGGATTCTTGTGATTATCTAAGATTTTACTGTATAGACTTGTCTTGTAAATAAAAAATTGGAAAACCAAAATGCCCATGTATATTCTAAATCTCTGCAGGGTTTTCCCATAAGTAATGTTAAATTTTAGAGCATAATCATTATTACTATGGGACACCCTGTACATAATGTTGTTTTCTCTGAATAGGTGTCCAGTTCCCAGCAATATGCTTTTCAAGGCTCCCTGGTCTATACACAATTACACAGCATTAACGTCTCCATCATTCCAATTACCAAAGTTTACATCAAGCGAAAACTTGGTGTTCATATGTCATGTTCAATACTGCCCTATGGCAGGTGAGGCAGAATGCCAGGTGAGTCAAAAGAAATATAGTTTTCAATGGTTTGATGGGGTTTATATGCAATACTTTACGTATCTCTGATAGTTTTTACTATTTTGCCATTATGTGTTTTTCAAATGTTGCCTTATATGCATTAGTGGTATATATTATATAAAAGGGTTATGAACTGGGAAGTTTTGGATACAGGGTTTATCCCAAAGGAAATAATATGTGGATCTCCTGAGGGACCGCAGGAATATACCTACTGAGGTTCTAGGTACATTATACCTCATAAAGTTTCAAAATTGAAAAATGTTCTTTGCAGTACACATTTTCTTAGTCTGAAAAAGTAGTTTTTAAATTGTGAAATTTTCACATTCATATATTGCTGGAGCAAATCAATGAATTGATATTAAAAGTCAAAATATACATCATAAGTTTGAAATGTAATTTCTTTTTGGTGGATTGAGTAAAACGTAAATTGAATTCGCTTTTTGGGAGCGGGACTGTGATGGATACAGCGTGTATCCATCCCAGTCCCGGACCTTGGCGATCACTCCCTGGATGCACTATATAATCCCACTCATTATGTGCCTGGAACCTCAGTAGGTATGGAATACAAACATTTATATACATGTTCTCTCAATCACTCTGTATTATAAACCTTCCCTTGGAAACAATCCAAACAAATTATTCCAACATTGGTTCCCTTAATATCAGACAAAAGTCTGTATGAGTACAAGACTCATCAAGTTTTCTATTAAAATTATATCATCCGGGACTTATGCTTTTTTCATAACGATGCCTTTTTGTTTGAAGAATTCTTCAGTTTGAAGAATGTGGGTTATTCGTTACAGAATGCAGAAAATTGTGGGTTGCCGACGAGGAAACGAAGGGAGGCAAAAAACATTACAAAAACGCCAACCAAATCTGACAGCATCTACACAAGAATCCGAGTCACAAATGGAGAATCTGGTCTGATTTTATGTAAGTTCAGCTCATTTTGAATTTCAAGAGTGATACTTATCAGTGTATGATAATCATATCAAATCAAACGTACCAGTATTCCACCATTTGGCCGGGTGCATACAGATTTTAGACAGAGTAGCACAACATTTTCAAATTTTCATCAGAGACTTAATTGTTCCAATGGAAGTAAGCAAACACAATATTTTTTTCTACTAGATATTATATAATTTTGACTCCAAATATTACTTTCTTGAATACATTGTGCTAACATTTCAGGTCATCCGCCATGTGACTGCTTCAAGAAAATAGATGTCATTGCAAGTCTCGCAATTCTAGGCTCATTACTTCTCTTAACAACAGCCTTGTGTCTGGCCTGCTCTTTAAGATACAGGGCAATTAATACAGTTCAAGGACAGGAAAACCACCACAAACCATATGAAACAATGAAAAAAGGTGGAAAGGTTGACAGAAGATTTCAAACAGGGTCAGAAGATGGAAGATCACGAAGATCATCAACTCCAACTCATCAAAGCTATGCAAGAAATTCAGAAGATCAAATATACAATAATGGTAGAGGACACGTCAGATATTAAGGAACAGGCCAAAATTCTGATACTGTCCCAAATGAAATTTTAGTTCAGACATTCCAAAAAATGAAATTGAACATTTTGTTAGTTGAATAGAAATCAGCCATTGAAACAGTTCTAGCATCTTATTCCGAAGAATGGGAAGCCAAAAATGATGTCTTAAACAGTTCTCATTTTCTGTAAGTTAACTACATTCTAGCGTCAGTGGATTGGCCAGCAATAGATACAAGAAAATACTTCTTGTAAGCTTGGCATATTAAAAAGATTCATAGGATTAAACAAATAAAAAGAGTATGAAAATGGTATTGACCCGAAATGGTATCATGGCATAACCTGATAACATCAAATATTAAACTATTTTATAAAATAAAGTAATATTATTGGTGTATCTTAGTCCAAAGAAGTATTTTCTTCTGCACATCCCCTTTAAGTTCTAATGAATTAGGACATATCTACATTTCAAATCTTCAAAAAATGTTATCATATGTTTCATCAGATATCTTTTTATTCAGAAAATAGAATCTAAGCAAAACATTGGCACTATTTTTGAAAATATTGCATTCAACATTTTACACTCTCTGTCCCCTTTTCATTTCAATACTCAAGAACAAATGCTTACATACCATGGTACAATCTATGTACTATAGTTGTATCTATTGTAAATAATGCCACGCTTTTATCTTCACAAAATCACTGTGATATTTTACACCATTTATGATTTACCCTGTCAAGTCTAACTACTATATGAGAAACTATTTAGCATATTTCTTGTACAATGTATTTATAAATAAAATACATCATGTACATAAATAAAACAACATTTTCTTATGAGAGGTTTTTTAAATATAGGACATATCCTGAGGAAAGATACAGTGTATATCTTATGTCCAAACCAGTGATCTCTCAAGGATTTTTTCTCAGGTGGGTGCAAAATTCTCCATTTCACAATTCAGACGAAAATTGGTCAAAATATGCCAATTTTTCACGATTTTAGACTGTCATATGAAAAAATATTTTGGATAAATTATATTAAAAACTTGAAAGTGGCCACATGATTATGACTGCATTGTAGTTGAAATGTTGCATGAAATGAGAAAATGTTTGGTCAATTGTCAATCAAACATAGCTGATTTCTCAAAAACAGGCAAAAATAGGATCCAGGACAAATGGTGTATATTACCAGTATGGACCCCATAAAATGGATGTGATAGATATATTGTTAATAGACACACAGCATCCTCAAAAGGCATCATCCACTACATTCCTTCCTCTTCCAAGAAGAAGGAGGTACAAGTTCTGGAGGCCTGTGTTCGGAGGATGGACAGACAGATGAGTGGGCAATTTAATAGGCTCACTATTAGCCAATAAGGCAGGAAAACCTTTGACCAGAGATCACAAGGGGATGACTGTGTGCCCATGTTAAACAGGCATTTTATGCTTAAGGCCCCTAGCCATAGTTCTCTGAGATCACTATCACAAATGCTCTAAAATTTCTGTTTCCATATCATTCATATCAGACACATCTTCTATTGCATCCTCGGTATCCTTTATAGCATTTGAAGGATCATCATTTTTATTGTCATTTGGAGTTTCCTCGGTGATAGAATCCTCGTTGAGGTTTTCCTCATTGATAGTATCCTCATTTATATCCATGGACATTGAGCTATCTTCAGTCATAGTCAATTGCTTTATCTGTTCATCTCTTTCATTTATATCTAAATCTCCCATATCGAGCTTCATTGTTTCTGTATCCCTACGATTTAATACAGTGCTAGTATCTAAATTTTCTTGTGAATTTTCATTATCCATTTCCTCTGGGTTTGGTTTGTTTTTACTTTGAAGTTCTTCATTGATGATTTGGTCAACTTCATTGTCTGAATCACTTTCATCATTATCATCATCATCTATATCATCATTGAGATCTTCCACATCATCTTTAGGTGAGCTAGGCCCAGGTTTAGGTGAGGTAGATTCACTGGGGGGATTGCTACTATCTCCACCTGAAATTATTTTTACCTCAATTTTTAAATGAATACATTGTAAGCCTGGTCAAGCCAGTAACCCTACTATCACACCAAACTAGTTCTCACTACGTTCTCGAAAACGGGCTTCAACTGTGTACGAACGGACTGGACGTACTAAGAACCGGTTGGGATCTATTTACAAACTTCATCGAACGTACTCGAACGGGTAGGTCCTCTAGAACTTAGACAATGCTCAAAATGTTCTCGTGGTCGTCACGTTCTACAATTAGAACGAGTGACAACGTACTAACGACGAGCTGGACGTACTACGAACGGAACCGTCGTACTTCAATCCTACTAGAGACGTTTTGACAACGAGTTGAACTGTCTGAGGACGTGTTGAGAACGAGGTAGAACTCATTGCAAACGGGTTTAAACTGATTAAGAACGTATTTAACACTGCTTATGAACGAGTTAGCAAAAATATAGCTATCACACCAAACAAGTTGCCACTGCGTTCTTCAAAACTGGTTCTAAACTGTGTGCGAATGGAATGAACGTAGCTGCAACTTTCTAAGGTCTATTTACGAACTTTATGAACGTTCTTAGACGGGAATGTGATTTTAGAATTTTGAATCGATTCAAAATTCGATTGCGACCATACCGTTCTGTTATCAGGTCATGATGACCTTCTAGACTAAGGGACGCGTTCTACGGCGTTGCACACCGACGTGGTGCGACCTGAACGAACTGCGAACGAGATGGACGTATTGAAGACTGTTTAAGAACGAAGAAGCTAATTATTTCAGACATATTTCCCGACCACAGCCAGATTGAGCCCGTTTTACAACGTTTTCGTAGGACTGGCAAGAACAGGTAAGAACGAGTTTGGTGTGATAGGGGGGTAAGGGATACATTAAGTTTGATGGTGTCCATTTGACAAAAAGACTCAATGAGGTTCATTCCCTTAGAAAAGGGTTAATGAAGTGAGATTCAAATGAATGAAAATATGTTGTTGTATCATTATATGAGGGGTGAAGAGTTTAAACTATTTTTCTAACTTCATTCTCCACAACTCTCAACATTTGGATAAGACAATGTTGATTAAGTTTTTAATAGAAGGCAACAATAAGCACAGGGTATTAACATGCATAATGTCACCACCTGCCCTTTGTTATAGATGCAGAACGCCAAGCGCCAAACACCATCCAGAAAAAAGTTACTAGTATGTCAATATGTCACCACTTGTGGTGAAGTCATATAAAATCAGAAAAGCATGTAAGAATACTAACCAGCTTCACTGAATTTTGGAGGTAGACCTTTCCTAAGATGCTCCTGTATTATCTCCCTTGCTTTATTACAGAAGCCAGCCATGCACCAACCATCTTTCTCCCTGGGTTTCTCTGGCTCCTGTAATGTGCATATCACACATGTAATGGTAATTACTAACAAGGCATTAACATGACAAAATGTCACCACCTAAAACAATTTGGTCAATTAAAAGCAAGTTGGAAAATACCTTTTGACCTTAAGAAGAACTTCTGAGAACATGTAGATGATTTTTAAAAAAAAATTAGTCAATTTGAAGCAAGTTGAAAAAAAGACCTTTTTGACCTTGAGAAGGTCATTGAAGGTCAAAGATCAAATCTAAAGTCAGATTTGAACTTCTGAGAACTTGTAAAGTCAAATTTGAACTTCTGAAAAGATGTAGATGATTTCGAAAAAAAAAATTGGTCAATTTGAAGCAAGTTGAAAACAGACCTTTTTGACCTTTTTTGACCTTGAGAAGGTCATTAAAGGTCAAATATCAAATCTAAAGTCAGATTTGAATTTCTGAGAACATGTAGATGATTTTGAAAAAAAATTAGTCAATTTGAAGCAAGTTGAAAAAAGACCTTTTTGACCTTGAGAAGGTCAAATGTCAAATCTAAAGTCATATTTAAATTTCTGAGAACATGTAGATGATTTTGAAAAAAAAATTAGTCAATTTGAAGCAAGTTGAAAAAAGACCTTTTTGACCTTTTTTGACTTTGAGAAGGTCATTGAAGGTCAAATGTCAAATCTTAAGTCAAATCTAAAGTCAGATTTGAATTTCTGAGAACACGTAGATGATTTTGAAAAAAAAAATTAGTCAATTTGAAGCAAGATGAAAAAATACCTTTTTGACCTTTTTTGACATTGAGAAGGTCATTGAAGGTCAAATGTTAAATCTAAAGTCAGATTTGAATTTCTGAGAACATGTAGATGATTTTGAAAAAAAAATTAGTCAATTTGAAGCAAGTTGAAAAAAGACCTTTTTGACCTTTTTTGACTTTGAGAAGGTCATTGAAGGTCAAATGTCACATCTTAAGTCAAATCTAAAGTCAGATTTGAATTTCTGAGAACACGTAGATGATTTTGAAAAAAAAAATTAGTCAATTTGAAGCAAGATGAAAAAATACCTTTTTGACCTTTTTTGACATTGAGAAGGTCATTGAAGGTCAAATGTTAAATCTAAAGTCAGATTTGAATTTCTGAGAACATGTAGATGATTTTGAAAAAAAAATTTAGTCAATTTGAAGCAAGTTGAAAAAAGACCTTTTTGACCTTTTTTGACTTTGAGAAGGTCATTGAAGGTCAAATGTCAAATCTTAAGTCAAATCTAAAGTCAGATTTGAATTTCTGAGAACACGTAGATGATTTTGAAATTTTTTTAGTCAATTTGAAGCAAGTTGAAAACAGACCTTTTTGACCTTTTTTGACCTTGAGAAGGTCAGATTTGAAGGTCAAATGTCAAATCTTAAGTCAGATTTGAATTTCTGAGATCACGTAGATGATTTTGAAAAAAAAATTTGGTCAATTTGAAGCAAGTTGAAAACAGACCTTTTTGACCTTTTTTGACCTTGAGAAGGTCATTGAAGGTCAAATGTCAAATCTAAAGTCAGATTTGAAGGTCAAATGTCAAATCTAAAGTCAGATTTGAATTTCTGAGAACATGTAGATGATTTTGAAAAAAAATTTAGTCAATGTGAAGCAAGTTGAAAAAAGACCTTTTTGACCTTGAGAAGGTCATTGAAGGTCAAATGTCAAATCTTAAGTCAGATTTGAATTTCTGAGAACATGTAGATGATTTTGAAAAAAAAATTTAGTTAATTTGAAGCAAGTTGAAAACATACCTTTTTGACCTTTTTTGACCTTGAGAAGGTCATTGAAGGTCAAATGTCAAATCCAAAGTCAGATTTGAAGGTCAAATGTCAAATCTAAAGTCAGATTTGAATTTCTGAGAACATGTAGATGATTTTGAAAAAAACTTTAGTCAATGTGAAGCAAGTTGATAAAAGACCTTTTTGACCTTGAGAAGGTCATTGAAGGTCAAATGTCAAATCTAAAGTCAGATTTGAAGGTCAAATGTCAAATCTAAAGTCAGATTTGAATTTCTGAGAACATGTAGATGATTTTGAAAAAAAATTTAGTCAATGTGAAGCAAGTTGAAAAAAGACCTTTTTGACCTTGAGAAGGTCATTGAAGGTCAAATGTCAAATCTAAAGTCAGATTTGAACTTCTGAGAAGATGTAGATGATTTAGAAAAAAATTGAAGTCAGTCTAAACAGTATTTGTTAAGTTATAGGAAGTTGTAAGAAATTGTTACAGACGCCGGACGCCGGACGCCAGACACCGGACGCCGGACGCCGGACGCCAACCACCAACCGCCGTCGCAAAAAAACGGAGACCATAACAATATGTCACCACTTTTTGGTGGTGACATAATGAGTAAATTAAGCATAGTTCATTCCTGGGAAATGTTAACGAAATGTTAACGCACTTTCAAACACTCTGGACAAATCTGTAGATAATTTGCAACATTTGCACTAACAGCATTATTTTTAAAAATAAACACATTTCAAAAATGGAACATATGGATGGGACTTAAATAATATTGCGTATTTATACATATTTATTTTGACATTTGTAAAGGACAACCCCTAATATTGCTTCAAAAAAACACATTTTGACCAATAACCTAGTCGCTATAAATAATGGGAGGATAATGTTCAGTTTGTTAAAATATATAAAAAATTCTAGATACTGTATAGAGAAGAGACCTTAGTGATCCCATAAGTATAACTTAATCAAGAACATACAATATAATTCATACAATATAATTAAGCATGATATATTTACCATTCCATCATTTGAATGGAGCAACTTTTGTATTTGTTCTTCTTCTATATCACATGCCTGGTAAAACATCTGTCTGTATGGAGGTACAAACCCAGGTTTAAACTTAAACACACTCTCCTGAAAGGTTCAACAAAAAAAATCTATGCTTAACTGTGTGTTATATACAATGTATATATATATTATAAATAGGGTCGGTCCAATAATTGAGCCTTGTGACACACCAAATTGAATTATAATTTCATTTAAAAGTGACTATTATGTACAGCTGTGTCACAAATTAACACTTTGCTGGGAAAATGTTTACTTTGGGAAACTTACTTGGTACTTTGTGTTGACCCGCTTAGATTGGTTAGCAAGGTTCCCAATCATTGGAGGAAGAATCCTAGACTTGTGTACACTTAGATGTCGCTGGTAGTCATAGAGACTTCGCTTGGCAGTCAGATTGTAGTGACGAATCATCTCACCTGCAATGGATACAAAACTTTTTTACTTATGAAGCAGGATGTTACATTAGTGTTGGCCTAAAGGAGCAATTTACTATCTGGACCAAGCTCTAGTTATTTCAAATATAATATGAAACTGATCCTTAATTCTTACTGAAAGAGGTCTCTTGAGATAAGTTAAAAGGTATAAGCTCCCAAAACACATCAGGAGGTTGTGGGTTCGATTCCCACCAGAGTGGAGTGACTTTTTCACACCACCCCTTAGCATAGGATTTGACCCTATATTTCAGATTAAGGCATATGATCAAAAACAAAAGGTAAGATCAAAATCCATAAGGTATAAGATTTCAAAACAAAAGGTATACAAAAAAACAAAATCATTTCCTTGAGAGTTCACTAACTTTAAAACTATAATCATAATATTTTTACGAGTTTGTGATCAGTATGTGCCCATTTTAGGTAATTCTACTTCATCTTTTAGACAATATTACAACTTACGACTTTTTACTCTAACATCCACAGTTTGATAAATCTTTGCCTCTTTGTGTTCATTCGGGTCATATCCAAACTTGATCCATAAGCCCCTCCAAGGACCATACATAATATGGTAGGACATTAGGGGTAGAAGGAACTTGTAATGATCTTCTAAGATCTCTGGTGCCTGGAACCTGATGGCATTCTTAGACCAGATTGGACGCTCTTCAAACAACTGAAACATGTGGTTGTTCATGGCATTATATTGACAAAAACAAAGGAGGATTGGTAGCCATTGTTCAAACTCAATTTTCAATTGCCTGGCATGGAATAATTTAGTAAAAATGTTTCTATAAAGTTCATCTAGGACCAAGTATCAAGTCTATATAGAGTGTATGAGTATTATGGCAATATTCAAACTTCTTCAGCAGTGTTAGTCTTAAGGTATGAGGTTCCATATCCATCCACCAAAAGGTATGACCCCTATATAGTCCATTTAAAAACTCGTGGTATTGTTCTAAATAACGCCATAGTTGGCTTCTAGGGTACCTAGTATGCCACTATTTGGTATCAAAATAAAGAGGAGGAGTTCAACTTTCATTTGAATTACGAAAATAGCGATGTAGGTCAAAAATAGTTCCGACGTGAGCATGCTTACTACGCGTTTGCCCATCATATCAGAATTGAGGAAGTGGTAGCAAACGCGAGTCACAATAAATGGACGCTGATATCTCAAAAAGTAACCTGACTCCCTATAATTTGATGTAGATCAATCGAACCCCTATATGAACAGGTACATTTTGATATATGACACTATGGGGGGTAAGCGTTTTATAGTTGGTCACGAACGCCATATGTGCAAAGTATTGTTATGAATTTTCGAATTTGGTGTTGGATTACGGTACTCATACCTTAACATATGGGAAACATTGTTACCAAATTGTTCAACGCCAGGCAACTTTCATAATGCTCTACATACAACAAATGATTATAAGGGAATATTGGGACACTGTTGAGTCGTGACTGAAAATATTGATCTCATCAAAAAATCATTTTCCCTCTCTCTGTTTGATTTTTATGATCATGTTGAAATTATGTCCAATTATGTCATATTTGTGATTTGGTTGATAAATATTTTTTAGAATGAATTATTTGTTGACAAACCTGGCGAAGTCTTTTCTCAGACTTTTCACCATCTTTGAGTTTCCTGTGTAGAATTTCTTGTATTTCTACAGGTATAGATTCGGGAACCTTTTTCTGATCATTGTATGATCGAAATATTGTATAGTGTGGTCTCCTTTGACGAGCTGCAAAATTGAAATGCAAGAATTTTGTTATCTCATGAGCTTCCTCTTTGAAACCCATGGATATCTTTATAAATAGCAGAATGGGTAATAAAAACAGCTCAATTTGCATGTTATGTAACATGTATAGTTTCATTTTTCACAATTTATTAAGAGTGATAATTTTTTTGTATGTTCCTATTACATCTTGGGAATGAATTGTTCAAACATTTCTCAGCCAAAATATCAATTTCCAAAAGGATAGGTATTGATATGGTGAACTGAATTGAATACCCAGAATGACGGATATATCTGTCACAAATAAAATCCATTTGGAACCCAGAGCGACAGATATATCTGTCATAGAATTTTTCACTAAAACTGCTCTAACTTTGGCATTTTTTATCCAATCTTCACACCTTATGTTTTAGAATGTATGTAATGGGTCTATGGTTACTATTCTTATGAAATCAAATATCAAGCATAGTGTTTTTAGATGTAAATATCCAGAAAACTAGCAGAAAAAGAAAAATGCTCTGGTTTCAAACCCTTTTTAGAGGCTGGTCTCAAGAGGTTAAGTACAGTAACAATAAATGTATGTACTTACAAGGACCAATGAAGTTATCACTCATTGTATTTGTAGGATCCTTGTATGAATCCTTATGCTTGACTTCAGGTTTGAAATAATAATCGGATGGCATATCCATGCGAGAGAATGATGCAGGGGGCAGAAATAAGTCCACATTTTTATCCAGCCACGATGGATCCTCCATCTTTGTGAGAATGGATTCAGAGACACTGGAATGCTGCCCAGTAGCGACATCTGTATGTAGAGGCAGGTACTGGAAGTCAGCAATACCTGGAATCAATGCACTATAATAATAAATATTTTAAGACAAAACTAATTATCAAATATCTAAATTTATAAAAAATCTGTTTTGTTTTGATTTTTGGACTACCAAAAGCAGCAGACTTCTTCAAAAATGAAGGAATGTCAACTTGAACACTGTCTCAACTTATTTGATTGTTCCAAAGCGATGAGTTTTCGCAAAGAATATCTACAGAACTAGGATAAACAGTTATTTATTTTCTGAAGTGGACTGAGCCATAACTTTTGGGAAAGGCTCCCATATCAAAGACCACCTGGTCTGGTCACACTTGTCTGAGTTTTTTTCTTATTTTGCCTGCGGCTATGTGTTTTTCAACATCATTTCACCTTGAAATTTCACCATATGATTTTAAAATATATTTTGTTTTTCAAACCTCTGAATTTATAGGTAACGTCTACAATTCCTTCTAGTTTAGTTTCTATTTCATCCTTTCCATCTGGCCTCTTTGTTTTCTTGCGCTTCACTTTGAGTAAGAGATTGGTAGTAGAGGTCCTGTCAGCAACAGCTGGCTTGCAGTAGAGGTCTTGTGGTCTGTGGTATAGCTCTAGACGCTTACTTGGATTAGCATATGTCTGGAAATGAGAATGCGATTTTATAATTTGTATAAATTCACATCAGGGTGCCTAAATTGACATACATGCAGGGGCGGATCCAGGATTTCAGGTTAGGGGGTGCGCCTTGATTTTTGAATTCGAGGTCGATGGATGAACAAAGGAGGCTGGAGACCGACAAACACGAGGTCCCCGGGAATTCCGAGAATTTGAATGCCATTTGCTGCAATCTGATCATTTTTTAATATTTTTAAATCATTGTACCGTACCGAAAAATTGCGGATAATAAGCTTACATAACTGGTGGTACATGTACTATCTAGACAAGTCGGAGGAACGTGTACGTAGAATGCGTATTGATCAAGATAAGTTCTCGAAACGTTTATTGCAAATGGACTGAAAAACTGGATCTGCAATGAATTAAAAGTTTTATTTTTCTTAGATAACGCTAACATTCTATTCTATTATTGTTTTTGGTAAAAAAAATTTCATTAACCTTCGGTTGAAATCGTTTTAACTGAAATCTTAATTAAATTGAACATCCCAAACATACAAACGATAACGTGTGACATCAGACGATGTTACATGTGTCCATTTTCATGATTCAAAAAGACGTAACATAATTTAATCAGGACACCAATTTTGATTAAAAAGCTATTGAAATGTGAATTTAATTGTTTTACCAAAGTGAAATTGGTCATCTATAGCGTCCGAGAAATAAAACAATTATATTTCATCAGAAAATTAGACTGTGCGATTTCAAAGATCAGCGTTTCCATGGGCTTTTTAATTGAAAACCAGTGTCGTTTCCAAGCAGTGCATTATTTTGCACCAGAGGCATTTTAATATTGAAGCAGTTTGAAGCTAAATGTTTTAATATTGAAGCAGTTTGAATTTACACCTTCAAAGTTCCAACGCTCTATTGTTGACATGTTATCAGTTTTTTTAATTTTCAAATGTCTCTCCTTGAATACATGTATTTTTCTTTGATATTAGTCTATCTAATATCTATGCCGGATTTTAGGGGGAGCGCGCGTCCCGCGCGCACCCCCCTGTATCCGCCACTGACATGTACATGTAAAACGTGGGTGCGCCCAAGGAATGGCTTACTACTAAGGATAGTATAACAAGCCAGATACAGGCATGAAAAAAAGCTAATAGGCATTGATGTTTAGTATGAATTTCACCGAAACTTCACACATATAAGGATATGCTCATGCCCATAGTTTGCATAAATAATATTTTTTCAGCTCAAAACTGCCACATGTCCGCCATTTCGTCTGTCCATCTTGTCTAATATCATTTTTTATATGATGTCATACCAATTAGACAAACTACATGAAATTCTGATTGCAAAAGGTCAATTGGTTCTAAAGTTAAATTAATGGGTGCTTATAGCGGAAGTGAAATTCAGTTTATTTTCATTTTTTCAGAGTGTTTGCTAAATAATCAGCAAATATCAATATGACCCACACAGTAGTACTGGTAGCACTTTTCACTACCGTTTTGAGTACTACTTAGCAGCAATTCCCCACATGTGACACACGCATGGTAACAAGGATACAACCGATGCTTTGATTTTACTTTGGTCCAAAGCCTTCTCTATATTCAGGCTTTGAGTAGAAAGATTGAGCTGCCTTGGTATTGTAAATATTGTAAATCATTGTATCACACGCACAGTAAATACGGCATAATAATATGAAATATACCTCTATGTATAGATTTGAGAAACATCAGCACACATCTCCGTCTGAATCTATTGTTATATTTGATTTCTTAAAGCGAGAATAATTTCAAAGTTTCCTCCATTTATTCACATCCGGAACCGGAAGCCATTTTTTAGCTACAGCGAGAAAATTTCACCATGTGTCAAACTCCGAAAATAAATTTTGAAATATCTAAATCCAAACAAGCAACGCTTCATCCTAAATATAATTAATATTCTTAAAAACATTTATAAAATTTATTAAAAATGATTTGCGTGTAGCAATTTTTACATACGAAATACGAGTATATATGAAATCAATGAAGTCACATCTAGCTGTAAGCTAAAGACTCGAGTAACTTTGATTGATCACAAATCTGACCCTCATTATAGATTTTTTGACTAACCATCCTTACAACAGGCCAAATACAGGTTTGAAAAAGAGTGTGCCAAATTCAATTCCCCATGAAAGCATTGAACACAGTACTCTTAGATTCAAAGTCTGATACCTGCTCAGTACTCACACTGGAACACCAAGACAAATGCGATTCAACGTCAGATTCCGTTGTCACTTACCTTCTTCTAAGGCCACTGTATAGTGGCCTTCCAGTAAAGATATATTCCTGCATGAACAACTGGTCATGTCGTAATCATAAAATTTGAAATCAAATGTCCGCCATTTTTCCACATCACAATTTGAATTGCGAGTTTTGGTCTTATTACCTCACCAAAAATTCCAAAACACACATAAAGTGATCAGTGTATTAGTTCACATCTTCTGGATCGCTAACTTAGAATTTACAGCCAGTTACTAATGTCAGACGTTAACTACATTTCGTCCAGTTTTCGGACATCGACATTTTTCTTGGAGCCATTTTGTTTTAATTTTAGAAGAAATCCTGATGAAATCATGTCATATCTCATCAAGGAGTCGAGCGGGGTCCGTTTTGATTAATGATTTATTTATCTGGCGATTTTTAAAATATTCAATAAATTCATGACACCACGGCCAGCTTTTTTCAAATGGAGTTCACAGTATTCCAGATGAAATCCCCTCTAGCCAAGTATTGAGACTCGAGTAAGTTGTCAGTGTCACAAATGGCACTTCAGAGATGGATAGGGTTTGTATCAGTCTTATTGATTTGTGCTTCTAAATTGTTTAAAATTATAAATTTCTTTTCACAAAATGTATATTTATCGATAATACCAGACCTGATATAGACTAGTCATTGGGCATGAGTTTCTAACTCTATTATCGCCCACCAAAAAACTCCAAGATAAATTCCAAATTGTGTTTCACTTGTCATGGAACAATGGATTCGATAACAAACGAATAAAAAGTAACAAATACCTTTGATATTATATCTATACCACGTAGAGAAGTGATAGCCTTTGCTTCATTCTGAACTAAAGCAGGATATTCGACACAAAAATATTTCTTTTCTCCCGCTTCCATTTTGAAAATAGTCTCAATTCGGTCTGTTATTGTGTTCTTAATATTGTCTCAACTCGCACTTACTGCCCACAGGTATCCTAGCAGAAAATAGGAAATTAATTAATATTACAAAATACATGATTAAAAAGTGTACAATACAAAGATTTGGCATAATAATATCGGATATTAAAAAAATCATCAAGGCTATTTGTTTTTTTTCTGGAAAGTTGAAAATTATTTGAACATGCTGATTTTAGCAGAAATACACTGATTAGATTCAGAAGGCTGCTATCAGGTATTGTTTTATGATTTATCGAAGCTCTTAGGCTATTTTATCAAGAGTATCTAGGCTTCAAAGCCTTATCCCCATAAATACGAGGTTGATTTTTCAAAAAATTCAAAAAAGATCATTCAAATCAATGTCATTTATTTGCACAGATGTTGGCCTGATTGTTTTGTAGTAGGATCATATAGCGCTCAAAGAATAATTCAGGAATATTTATTGAGCTACTGATCCACTACAAAAGAATCTGGCCAGGAACTATGTTTATTTGTAGGAGTGCGCATACCCTTGCCTGAACACTTCTGGATATCCTTGGAATACCACTTTATGACTAGCCTTATAAAGCAGCTATGCAATCTACAGACCAGTCAGGAACAAAGGATCAAGAAAGACGGTGTGTGGTACAGTAATACACCATAATAGTACAATAGTATAAACACAACGGTTATCTTCTTTGCCAGGGGAGGGTTATTTTGAGTGAAAATGCACCCCACCCCTTTGAAAACCTCTTAATAGTTTTCAAATATTGAACATGATCACTTTCAATAAAAATGATGGGAGAGAGCACGCATGTACTTAAACCCTCCTAGATTTGTGTCCAGTCCTGTGGTGACCCATCAACTATTTGGTGATCTGTCACCTATTTGGTAGGAGTCAAGGACATTTTGAAATATGCACCATCTATTCAAAATTTGTCAGCTGTGTTTTTACAGATGCACCCTTTTAACCAGGGTTATGCAATACGCATGTATGTACTTGGGGAAATTTCAGTGAAATGTTAACTTATGGACAGATATCAGAATCTGTATTTGTTTATTGCTTATTGCAGGAGAGAGAAGGTTAGAGAACAACTTGAGCGTCAGTTAGAGTGTGACAGAAGAGCATTGACTATTGTTCACAGACTATTGGAAAACAACGTTGACAGAGATTTCTTTATCAACTGTGTATGTACTGATATTACCCTTTGCATTTATGCTAGTATGAATCTCTGAGTAAATTCTTTTTATTTTTGTTTAAGGCTCAAGACAGATCAGTCTCATGTTTATGACTTTGTGAATTTTCTTAATTTTCATATCACGACCACAACCTTTTGTGGATGGTGTTCAGTTTGAGAAGGCAAGACCATGTCATTTAATTTTTACTCATTATTTGTAGCAAAAAAAGTAAACCCCTTCAGACTAATTTATCTACACAAAACATTTTTCAGTTCAGTCACACATTCTTCAAGAAATCTGAACTATTAGATATTTCAGTAAGATTTGGCAAAATGCAAACGTTTCCAAAACTTAAATTAATTTAATGCTCTCAGTTTGTGCCCATTGATGTTGATATTGTCATTTCTATCTTGTTTCATAATTCAACAACATAGCTTGGCCTACATGGCATTTAACACTTATTGTCTGTACACTTTCAGAGAAAAACACGTGAGAGTTCGATTTGAAATTTTCAGGGATGTTTCTTAATCTGAAACTTATTAGTTTCGGCCATAAACGTTCAGCCAATCTAAGGTGATCATATTTGTTTTTTAGTTACAATATCAACTATGTATTCCCTGTTCTTTTAGATCAAGTATTTAGATGTTCAACACTACAAAGATGTCACTGAGGAGAGAGCTATTGTTAAACTATGTGGTTACCCTCTCTGTACAAAACATTTAGGGAAGGTAAGGCAATATGATCAGTTGTAGCCAACCTGGATGCAATGTCACTATCCTGTCCAAGAGGGGTAAATACCCAGAATTCATGGTTGAACCTTTTCCATGTTATGATGAACATCTAGACCTCTGAATTCTGGGATATACCTCCTCTTATCGTATAACAAATGTGTCAGGAGGTTTCCAAAAAATTTAACCAAGCCCATATACGTATATCAATAATGTTTTCATGAGTGCAGGAAAACCTGTCTAAGTGGAATACCTTTGGTACTCCTAAAATGCATATATATCAATGATGTTTTCATGAGTGCAGGAAAACCTTTGGAACACCTTTGGTACCCCTAAAATGCATATATATCAATGATGTTTTCATGAGTGCAGGAAAACCTGTCAAAGTGGAACACCTTTGGAACCCCTAAAATGCTTATATATCAATGATGTTTTCATGAGTGCAGGAAAACCTGTCAAAGTGGAACACCTTTGGTACCCCTAAAATGCATATATATCAATGATGTTTTCATAAGTGCAGGAAAACCTGTCAAAGTGGAATACCTTTGGAACCCCTAAAATGCTTATATATCAATGATGTTTTCATGAGTGCAGGAAAACCTGTCAAAGTGGAACACCTTTGGTACCCCTAAAATGCTTATATATCAATGATGTTTTCATGAGTGCAAGAAAACCTGTCAAAGTGGAATACCTTTGGTACCCCTAAAATGCTTATATATCAATGATGTTTTCATGAGTGCAGGAAAACCTTTGGAACACCTTTGGTACCCCTAAAATGCTTATATATCAATGATGTTTTCATGAGTGCAGGAAAACCTGTCAAAGTGGAACACCTTTGGTACCCCTAAAATGCTTATATATCAATGATGTTTTCATGAGTTCAGGAAAACCTGTCAAATTGGAATACCTTTGGTACCCCTAAAATGCTTATATATCAATGATGTTTTCATGAGTTCAGGAAAACCTGTCAAATTGGAATACCTTTGGTACCCCTAAAATGCTTATATATCAATGATGTTTTCATGAGTGCAGGAAAACCTTTGGAACACCTTTGGTACCCCTAAAATGCATATATATCAATGATGTTTTCATGAGTGCAGGAAAACCTTTGGAACACCTTTGGTACCCCTAAAATGCTTATATATCAATGATGTTTTCATGAGTGCAGGAAAACCTGTCAAAGTGGAACACCTTTGGTACCCCTAAAATGCTTATATATCAATGATGTTTTCATGAGTTCAGGAAAACCTGTCAAATTGGAATACCTTTGGTACCCCTAAAATGCTTATATATCAATGATGTTTTCATGAGTTCAGGAAAACCTGTCAAATTGGAATACCTTTGGTACCCCTAAAATGCTTATATATCAATGATGTTTTCATGAGTGCAGGAAAACCTGTCAAAGTGGAACACCTTTGGTACCCTTAAAATGCATATATATCAATGATGTTTTCATACAGTAAGTGCAGGAAAACCTGTGGAACACCTTTGGTACCCCATGAGTGTAGGAAAACCTGCCAAAGTGGAACACCTTTGGTACCTCTAAAATGTGTTCCACTTGGGAGGTGTTCCACTTACAGAGGTTCATTTAACATTAAGTCTTTTGGTGTTGGGACTCTGAAAAGTGTTCTACTAACAGAGGTGTTCCACTTTACAGGTTTCACTGTACTTTTACAGTATTTTATGTCCTTATCTAATATGTACATTCTATACAGATTCATGTTTCTGTATCAGTGAATGCCACTTGATTCAAATCCTTTTAATATTTCAGAGTCCATCTAAGAAGTACCACATCTCCATGAAAGTTAACAAGGTGTTCGATATAAGTGAGAGGAAGAACTTTTGTAGTAATGGTTGCTATCAGGCTTCCAGACACTATGAGAGCCAGATACCTACAGAAGCTGTCTGGCTCAGAGACACAGAGCCCCACACTACAATCACCTTACTGGAGATTAACAAATTCAGGTTTTTGTTTTACTTTACATAAAAATCATTACTGGCTAAAAACCTATGGCATTTTGATTGCATGAATCAATTATACCAATTCTGGGTTATGATATTAATATGATAAAGATTATGCTTGAGAAAAATATAAGTATCATCCTGGGTTTGAGGAAGGATTTAAGAATAGGCTGAGGTTTAATAGTTGAAATCACCAGTTGAAATTACCAGGCGAATATGGATGGTATCCTTCCCTATTGGATTATGATATATCTAAATGAATGGACTCCTAAAATTCATCTTTGTTTCAAATCATTTGAGTGATAGGAAATGCTAAGGTATACCCTGAACAGGCTCAATGTTTCATTTATATTATAAAAAGAAGTACAATTTTATGCTTAAATTAAAATGATTTTGATCTACACAAAGATACATGTATATTACTTTCTGTTAAGGTAGCCATGATAGGATCAGTTATTTTGTTTTTTTGTGTTTAAACAGGACATAAAATTGTCCATATTGACCTGCCTTAATATTGATTGATTTACTTACAGTGGTAAACCAGGACAGGAAATTGTACTGATTAACCCCAAAGATGCCCTTCGCAATGACCCTTCATTCCTACCAGAGGGCACCACCATAGATGACCCCACGCCTAGTTGCTATGGTGACATACCCTGTCAACAAAACACTGGTGACTCAAACAATAAAACAAAGAAACCAAAAGATAAAAATCGTAAAGCTAAACATAATATCCCTAATACAAAAAGTGATGACACTGATAGGGACATCTCATCAAACGTTAACACAAAGGAACATATACAAGCAAATGATGGTGTAAAGTGTAAAAAGGCAGCTGATTCACATGATAAACTTACATATCTGATGTCACTAATTGATTTGAAAGAATCAATCACTGATAAAGAACACACAGGGAATGTGAAAGATGACGAACATCTGCTCAAAGAATCAAAATCAATTAGCCCTGATGACAATAGGATCTCTAGTCATGAAACAAACATTACTCATGACAGCAAAGCTCATGTTGATGAAACTAGTATAAATACAATTGATCCTCATAGTCAAATTGGAGGTAGCTCTAAACAGGAAGAGAATAAAATCACACTGAACAAAGCTACTGATAGTTTAGATTCTGATGACGATTCTGATACTTATGAAGAAAATGATATTGTAACAAATGATAATACTATTAAACAAAGAGATATAACCAGTGAGATAAAGGACAAGACTACTGAGGTATTAAACACAAAGATACAAGTGCAATCTGTAGAGAGTTCAAACATTTCAAAGCAAGCCATTGGAGACTCCGCAGTTGCATCAAACAAACCCATGAATTTACCACAAGAAACTGTTACAATAACAGATGCAATAGAAAAATGCCTTCGTGAATGGAAAACTGCAGACACTGTACTCTATCTGTTAGGTGAATCCCCCCAGAGCAAAAAGGAGCATGAAACACCTGTAAATGATGAACACCAGGAGATCATTAAAGCAGTTAAAAAGAAACAAGAGGAAAATGAACAGTTGCGTCGGGACGATGAACAGTTTCAGGAGAAAGTGAAAGATTATTTTAAGGGACAGTTTCATAAACCAAAGCCCAATATGGATGACCTTGATATAAGAGAGGTGAGATATTAGTATTTTATTGACATATTGATATCTATTATTAAGTATTTTCATTATTATCCCATTGTTAAAATAAATGATATAATTGAATACATACGAGTATTACAATTAAACCAAAATTATATCCAAACACCTCTCTAGTCCCAATTTCTTTTTACCATTGACTAATACACACTAAGAAAACCTTGAAATGTGAACACCTGCTAAATTTGAACACTTTTGGCTTTAGAAAGGTTTTACTGTATTTTCAATTTAATTCTTATGTAGAGTTGCAATTTTCATATGCATTTGAAATAATGTAATTTTTAGCATCTAAATATATTCAAATTCATATGAAAATTGTAACTGTACATTAGAATTGAATTGAATTGAATTTAGTTTGCTCTTATTGTTTTGTAATGTCTTTTCCCTCCAAGAGTTGATCATTCGCAAATGTTACCTTACTCTCAGAAATAAGTCATCAGAATTTAAGACATTGTGACAACAATACATTCTATAAAACCACATCCTCATACTTATCTACTCTCTGAGAGAACTCTTGTGAACCACAAGCCTATCTTGGCGTAAGTGTATAATGTTAATAAGGGTTAGAAACATCAAAAATGATTGAGATTACAAATGTTTGATTTATGTCTTCTTCCATTTTTGCATAAGTGAATTCTGAGTAACAATTAGTCATTTGTGCTCCTGGTCTGTGTCCAGCCCGCCTCTTGCAGTGAACATATTTGATGATTTCAGAGGGACACACAGGAACAAGCAGCAGAGTCAGTTCTCCCTATGGTAGACTCTCTCTCCCAAAATGCTATCAGGAGAAAGATCTTACTGGGGAAACTACATAAAGGGTAAGTCTAGTAGATTTAGTAGGTCTAGTATTGTTTTATTGTATAATTGGAAAAGTAATGGAGTATTTTGGAGTGAGCTTGTTAAAACATTTTATGTAAATACACTTTCCAATGACATTTTGGCTAGTAAGAGGCCATGTGTGTGTGTGTGTTATTTTACTTTTTTGCTAATACCGAAAAAGTAGTATTGTATTGTATTGTATATTTATTTACCTCTAATTAATAGAGAGTTACAATAGTTGAAATACATTAAAGTGTAATATAAATGCAGACAATTATAATTTAAAACATGTTGAATAGGTGAATAAATGAAATAAGAAATCTATAGTTAATAGACACCAGTATAGTAGTGATCAAGACCATCTTCCCCAAGGTCGATAGCTCAAAACACTAAGAAGTAGTGTCATTAAACTAATGAGTTTCTTTTGATTTGCATGGCAAGAATAATATCTGCTGTTTTCAGTTGGATTTCATTTACACTCTCACCAAATATCTGATTAATATGTTGCTCATTGTTCATAGTGTCATTGTAAAGAGGTCCATATAAACTGTTCATTTGTGACCGCTCAAAATTAAAAGCATCCCACTGAAACAAGAAGTGCTCTTTTGTCTCTGTTTCCATCTTATCACATAAAGTGCACTGCGTGTTGGTGTTAAACCTGTTCCATTTTTTACAAGAATTTAAATTAAATTGACCCAACATTAGACTTACAACTACCTTGATACTTTTCAATTTGTGTGGAAATTTTTGAGCTTGGACCCACCATAAGTTTGGCATTGTACATTGATGGGAGTTGAAAAAGTATTAAATGCCTGGATAGAACATGCATCTAATCTTAAACATTGTTTGCTGGAGGTCTCGTACACGACTATGGACAATTCGTTTCCAGACAGATTTTGGAACATAATTTCCGTTTAGCATTTGTTTCACATTCTCGAGCAAGTCATATTTATGAACAGTACACCATATCTGAATGATTGGATAATTTCAACATGTAATGTTTCTTTACAGGTTGTCCCCATTGTTAACCAACCTTGGCCTCTCAACACATGATGTTTCTACACCCTTGAGGGATCTTGTCAAAACCTTCATGTGAGTAACTGCTTGATTTTGTATTGTTTTCAAATAGGAAGTGAGTCGAGTGGCTCTCAAGCCAAGCTTCTAGTGGAAAAATTCATTGCCAAGGCTAAATTGGAGGTCCTTTAGTTTGATTTACAATATTTTCTAAGACCTGTGCCTTAGGACTATAGATTATAAGGCCCTGGTTGTGGGCTGCTGAGCCCACCCTTATTTCCAAATACCTGACGATTCTTTGGTAGTCAATTTGAATTTTTGTAGTCATATTTGAATTTCATCAATTTCCATGTCTATTGATCACTGACACCCAATACTTTTGAGCAAAGGATAGGTATCGATATGGAGAACTGAATTCAACAATGTTTTTCTCTTAAACCAATCATTGAAAACATTCTGTAAAAAACATGGTAATTTATGTAATGTTTATAAGTGATTAACAACAATTTAATGCGAAAATTATTTAGAAATATTTTATATAATTGTTTTTGTTAACATTTTTTGTTTTTTTTAGTGCAATTGTTTTTGCTCCTTTCTACCAATTCTTGAGAATGAAATAAAATGTCTTTCCGAACCTTGTTGGAACAAAATAGCATATACAACATGTTTTTAGACCTCTCAATATTAAAGTTATACAAAGGAATTTTTGGTTGATTTTAAAAAAGTATTCAAAAAATTAAAACAAAATCCCCCCAAAATAGATAAAAATCAAGAAAATCCTTTTATTTCATTAACAAGATACTTTTTTAAAATCAACCAAAATTTCCTTTGTACAATTACAATATTGAGAGACCTAAACATGTTGTGTTTATGTCGTTTTGTTCCAATGAGGTTCGGAAAGATGTTTCAGGTCACTCTGGAAACATGATACCAAGAACAAAACAAGTGTTTGATTTGTTTTTTAAAACAATATAGATGAAAGTATGTATATCTATTTCAAATTATATTGTTACCATTCAAAAGATGGCCATTAAATTGACAATTTGTAAGATTATCAGAAATTTTTGATGACTGGTTTAAGAGAAACGTGTGTTCAAAAAGTTCGCCATATCGATACCCATCCTTTAGAAAATCCCCATTGATTGAAAATTTTGCAACTCGTAACAAGGTTTCGCTTTTAATAATATCAGATGTGTACGTTTTTATAATATTCATTCAGTTTCTTTTCTGAACAAAATTAACACCTCAAGGTAGTAGTAGGTTCCTCTTAACTGTTGTTTCATCAAGTGAATAATGACAAAAATATTAATTATCACATCACGTTTATTTCATTATTACTACATATTCTACATTATATTTTCACAATATTGTTTAAGCCTACATGTAAGTTTTTACATTTCAGGCTGACTAACCGTAATGTCATTTTGAGGCCAGTTGAGCTTACTATGATGGTCCTTGTACTCTTATACATGTAAGTATATACTATCAGTTATCACACGTTTCAGCATGTGATACAGGAAATATTCCACGAAAGGTAATACTGTATCATCCACGAAAGCGAAGCTTGAGTGGTGATACATTGTTACCCGAGTGGAATATTTCCTGTATCACATAAGCTGAAAAGTGTGATGACGATTTTACCGTTGTATTCGTACTTGTTTGTGAAATAGTATGACGTCATATTGTTTTCCTTAGCTAGAAGTGATATAATCAGTGACGTCACATCGTTGCTATTGATCATCACTGGTTGCCTCTAGTAACGTGTGAGACGGCCGTGTGAGACGGGAAAACTCACACGGTAATCAACCAATCAGATTACTGGAATTTTACAGAGCATGTGATAAAATCACTTCTCTCTGTTTTCTATTTCTTCAGAGCCCAAACAGAATTTTTGAAAATTGGGGGTAGTGAATTATACAACTCACTACTGTGTAATGACAGAGTATACAATTTACAAAACTCATTAGCTGCTTTTTCTAGAAGTATTTGCAAAATATCTTTCAAAAATTTCAAAATGACTGCCATTTGATGGTCATTATTCCACTTTTTCCAACAGGCATTGATTGGTCAATACATATCTGTGTATGGCAAAGTTTACAATCAGGATTCACTAGCTACTAGTAACTCAAGTGGTAGGGTGACTACAAGTCAGTGTGTGAGTTGACGAGTAATCCTCAATATATACTTGTCACAAGGAGAAAGACTTTCCTCCCTGTGATAACTGAATGCATTTTTCAGAAATATCTTTTAGTTTAATACTTGTGTTCACGGAGAATGTCATGATAAAGAAGCCATGAAAAACTATGCAGTTGAAATCTGAGTTGTTTCTGTTGACTTTTTACAGCATAAACCTAAATGATGTCCATAGATTTTTCTCAATTCGAATTTGAGTTTGTCACTTTTCATGAGACTAATGATGGGCATCATATTAAATGAAATAACTTGTATATGCATGTACGCCCAAGAAAAACCTATAGGCAGGTTTGTGTAAGGAATTCCATTTGAAAGTTGGTACGTCTGATACTGTAACAAACCGAGCATGACTACATGTGATATAAATATAGCTAGCATTACTATGCTATTCCAAACAATCCTCTTATATTCGTTTACCAAATTTTTCCTTGCCTCGCTCTTTTCTTTCGATTTAGTGCAAGTTGAACCATGAACAATATACACACTGGCTCTTGATAGTGAGGCATTGAATGTAGATTGTACATCTGTTTTTGTATTCTTCTTGTACATGATTAAGAAGATCTTAATGAAGATTACAGTCATACATAGGCAGCAAAGACATATCACTGGAAGGTTGATCCATACAAGTAGTTTAGAACCCTTCATCGTTCTGCGTATGGCAATCATAGCAGCACAGACTGCCCACGGGAATAGAGACAATATTATCATTTTTCTTGTCGATATATGCATATATGGTCTGGAAAGTCTAGAAAGTCGAATATAACCTATGATACATGTAAATAGTAATGCAGTTGGCAACACAGGTACGCTGTTTAGCATTAAGTTAACTTGTGTCATCCAACGTAATTGAAGACCAACTGTGACACTAAATAAAACCATTCTAACTGTTCCGAAGATATGAATGATAGATAAATAAATGTGGAAATGATTATCTTTGACGTGAAGTTTCTTCGCCTTGTACATACAGTAAAGCCAGTTGAAAGTGATGTAAAGTCCTATACAACATATTACGGTTACATAGATGAAGCTGTAATCTTTAGGAGGTTCTTTCATGTGTACCAGTCCTATTACAGTTCCATTCATTCCTTGGCCATTATTGTCAGTAGTATTTGTTGATTCAGACATATTTCCAAAGTCCTCAGAGCTGTTAAATATCCCAGTGATTGATGTAAATGTCTATTATAGTGATACAGCATATATTTCTAAACTATATTTCTTTTTTGTATGGTAATTGAATGCGCAGTCCGCCTTGTGACCGTTCCAATAGAGCTCATATGACTATATAGCATCTTATTGCTTCAGTTCCTGGTCATCCAATCAGAGTTGCTAAATAATTATTGTCATTTGCATTGTTCAGTGATCGTGATAATCATATTAATGTACATTGAAGATATTATTATATTAGAATGTCAACTTATATGACAGTGTTATACTTACAAGACTGGACTCTGGACAATAAACTAATAAATGAAAGAATTTGCTATCATAGTAGCCCTTGCATTCATTCAACTTCATTTCATAAAAGAGAGCTACATTTTCACTCTTTCTCTGAACTCACCGAGCCTATCAGATTTTGTCGTCACAGTTTGACCACCCTTTGTACCTCATACATGAAATTTTTTCAAAATATTGTAGGATTACTCAAAGATATTTTCTTTCCAGTTTGAGCGAGAGAGAACCAAATATAAAGATGGCTTTGAGCTCAGCTTCGGCAAAGAACTACATGAAATGCTGCTTATCATCTTTAAATGTGGAAGTAAATTGGCTTGAACATTTACGGGATCTTATGTTGGCATCTTGAGAGGACACGTCCATAATATGATTAAGATTTAAAGGACAGACATTCTACAATTGAGATGACAGAGTATATTGTACAGGGCAAACGGGTCATAAAATATTACGGGACATTGCATCATTCATTCACAGAAGAAACATGTGTAACTTACCAAATGATAGGGATTTCAAATAATATAATAAGATGTATTCACATGCAGGGTTCGATCTTAGCGGTAGTTTGACATTGTGCTCCAAAAACTTGGTGGCCTTGGTGGCAAATGCTTACTACCTCAAAAAGGCAGGAAATAATCAAGGATTTTAATTGCTACCTAAATATGGCAATTTGCTACTTGTTTTTGGAGAAGATAACAAATCCTTGCTACTGGCAATAAAAAAAATTTAAGCTCAGTCCCTGATATGTCACATATCTCTAGTGCTGAGAAATAACGACAAGTAAAGATTGTGATGTCATAGTTCACCATCCTTCTTAGTTTTACTTGTAATTGACTGATATGTAACCAATTTATCACCATAACCTAGTCACAATTGTTGTATAGAAACCCTGATTTTCAGGCTTTTTATGTCACCATCAGTGACAATAAGTGGGGACATATTGTTATATGTCACCATCCATTAGAAGTGGTGACATATAGTTGTAGTCTCCAACTTATTGTGGATGGTGTTGGGGTTCGGCGTCTGTAACAAATTATGACAATATAAAGTTCATTGCCAAGAGTGAAAAATGATTGCTATATTAGCAGGTTAGTTTCACCCCCTCCCCCTGATACACCCTGGTGAATGTAAGTAAGATAAAATAAAAAGTCGCTGTTTTGCTGAAATGTCTTTTTTTTAATATACAGAAGACTACCTGTGCCACTAATAACAAAGATACTCTGATGAGATGGTCAGAACTAGGCTAAATGGTGATCACTTAAGATAAATGACTAGCACTAATTTAATGGTCACTGCTTGATTATATCTTCACTAGATTCAATGGTAATTACTAGGGAAATGACTTTTGCTAGATTTAATGGTCACTATTTTATTAATTGATCACAGTTTAACATTTTTAATTAAAAGATCCACCGTAAGATTGGATGGTCATCTCTAGATTTAGAGGTGCCACGAGATTAAATGACCAGCACTTGATTCAGAAATCACTAGATGAATTGGTTGTGAGTAAATATGTGATAGTCACCACTAGATTGAATCATTGTCACTAGATTAAGTGGTCATAATCACAGAGAAAAATTAAACAATTGAATCTTTGAGACGATTCCTTGTAGGAGTGCATTGATGCACTAATTAGCATATTTCTAAGTAATAGAATTATGATCCAATTAGGAAAGTATTGCACATGATATTTACAAAGCAAAACTCTTTTACCCCGGGTTATAGCGCATTTATAAAACATTATGAGCCAACTTGTGTCAGCAAGTGTGTTATCTAGCACTGAAATTGCCTCTATCCATACTGATAGTAAGTCAAGTGTGATTGCTATCCCAACGAACGAAGTCCGGTAGGGATATAGTGAAGCTGTCCGTCCATCCAGGAGATATCTCAAATACTAGATGACCGATTTTGTCCATATTTGATGGAAAGATGTATATTGGTTAATAGTTGTAAGCAACAAAAAAATTTCCAAGATGGCCGCCGCATTAAAAATGGCGGGAAATTTTAGACCAAGTAATAAATATTATTGTTTGAAGTTTTGATAGTATATTCACAACATCTATCTATTTCATATATATTCCGAGTTTTTCACCATGACCCCCAGGGGCCATTATGGGGGTTTGAAAAACAGGAATTTGCATTATAATTTTGAGATGTTTTTGAAGTATAGCTTTATTATACTCAAATGAAAGGCAATTTAGAGTAGATTGCAAATATTGTATCGTTTTTATGATTCAGGCCTCGTAAAATTCAAAATGGCCACGTAATGTGGGATTTTGCAATTATTTTTTGATCTCTTTATATGGCTATATTATACTCAAATTAAAGGAATTTCGGAGTAGATCACAATTATGGTATTGTTTTTCTGATTTGTTTCTCAGAAAATTCAAAATGGCTGCCTAGAGCAGGAATTCGCCATTACTTAGAGTTATCTTGAAAGTATGGTAAGATGACACTACAATGATCTCAAATATTTATTGAAGGGAAGAGTAGATGGTAAATATTACATTGTGACTGTACAAATTCATGATTTATATAGTGTTTGTTGGGATTTGCTACTCCGTGGAGTTGCCGTTTTCTACTTCCCTATGATATTATTCATAGAATTTTACTCAAATATGATCTATCAGCTTATTCACGAGGGGAAAGAGTACCCGTGTAAATACAACCTACCGCCGAGCAAAGACCCGAAGATGTCTGAAAATGTAGGGGGTGAGTTATAAACTTTTGTTTATATCTTGAATTCCTCAATATGAGAAACAGATAAAAAACAGAATTGTGTGTAACTGATAAAGTTATTGTTCCAGACACTCATGTTTGCAAAATAATGATTACTTAGCGCAATGTTTACTATCCAATCGCTAAATTCAACTTTTAAATATTTGAATGATGATTTACATCTTGAATAAGTAACAACCATGGCTGTCTTTACTTCATTCGATTCAAAGATACAATAGGTGTAAATGTATCATATTTATTTCACTGCCATACGTTGCATATCATTGAAATCACCGGTGAAAGTTGAAAATGAAAGACCCGATTATGTCACGAGTACGATTATATAGGACCCGAAGCTACCACCGAGCTATTCCGACTATACCGTGAGTAGAACCCGATGAGGTAGTGAGTAAGCTTTCGAATGAGCATATAATATCATGACGATATCACAAATATTCCTTTTTATTTATCATATACTCCTGGCACCGGGATATAATATAATATGATATAATTCCCGCAGCACTATACGCCAACGTCTGTTTCCGACAAAGTTCTTTAAAACATTGAATTCATGCTTACTCTTGAATCACCATAATTTCCTATGTGTCTATGGTAAGTGTGCAACCCAAAAACATTTAATTCTGCATTGCAAGCGCCATTCTACTCAAAGAACACAACTTGAAGAATCCCAAGCTTCACAAGCTTCATATCCTCGAAACGAAAATTACAGTGATCTTTCTTTGATAATACAATACCATAGTCAAAAACATTGTAAATCCATTTTTTGCCATTTAACTCAGGCACATTAACTTTAATACTCAGTAATTGATGGTGCTGACTGAAGTGGACCACAAAGTCATCCATCTCGTGTGATTTATAACTACAGTGGAAGGATTTGTACCGAGGACCTGAAATACAATGTTTCGATGCGCAGTGGTAACTGGTGATACCCTGCGTGCAGAGTCTAGTTTAAGAAGTGAAGTCGAACGAATGCAAAGGGTAAACTGGTGATAGCCATATTTTTTTCAGTTTCATTTATTGTTCACAACAAAATGATTCACATGAATGATGCAGATTGTATGTTTATTATTTTTTCATCAGCACGTCATAAACTCGACGATATAATCGGATCTCAACAGATTTTACTCAAGTAATGTTCGGATTCTGAGATCCTTTACTCTTTATAATATTACTCGTCGATCACATCGGGTCCGATGTCCGATAACATCGGATCTTTTAGGACAAAGTTTAAGTGAAGATTTTGCTGTTCAAAAGTGCTATTTTGACCTAATATTTTGACACTTAATATATTATGCATATGCACATCCATTTACCGACCCAAGTATGCCTTTCAGTGCTTATGTATGGCTCATTATCAATTAAAGCGAGTATGAATGAGAAAAACAAATCGAAAACTATTATACGTTTACCTTATCTCTTAATTTGGACATAAAAATATATTTCAACTATAATTCTAGGCCAATTGCGCCTGCTAGAACATCTTAGTAACAATTCTAACCATCCGAAGGAATTGTTAGTGACATTATATTACCTTTATTGTCCATTTTCCTACGAGATGACATTATCAAACATTTGCTCGGCGGTATATGCGTGTCTTGCTCGGCGGTAGGTTGTATATACACGGGTACTCTTTCCCCTCGTGTTATTGGTTACATTAATTTCAATAGAATCTAGAATGAGTGACCTTGGGTGAAATGTTGATTATATAATAGCATACAGTTATTTGAAATTGTGTGTTCGGATCGGTTGGAATCGGACACACCTTGCCTAGCTCTGTGTGAATATTAAATAATAACTTCAAGAATTAGATAGATATATTAGGCCTATATAGGTTCAGTTTTTGTAACAATGTATGGCAGGCATGATGTAATAAGTAAGAACAATATAAGCACTTATGCATTAATATTTTAGAATGCTTCCAACTGACCGAGCCCATGCAACTTATTATAAATAAACAAACATATTGAAGTACATTTTAGGTTTATTTTAATATTGACATAGAAGAATTTCACATAAGTGTATGGGTGTAATAAAAAAGTATGGCTAGGCCATACAATTATATATATGTATATTTTACTACAGTAACGAATAAGAATGTAATTCGCATTAATATAATACAATAAACTATAAAAGTAAAATCAACGACCTTGTTCTATACATTTGAATTTATACACTATAATACACTACACAAATTATACAAATCATCTATAATGGATATCTCTCAAGAGACTTGAATACAAGTAATGTTTTGGATAAGTAGGTAATATCATTCATGTTTTTATCATGTAACACCATCATTTCTTCATTTTTGTGATCCTCTATACATTATATACACTCTACTATACCTAACCCCTAGAAATGCATAAGATGATCTGTTTGTCTAATTGTATTGTTTAGTATATTTTTGAAAGTACCTTATTAACATCTATCAGTCTTCCAATAAACCATTAATAAGGAACAGACAAATAAAAACAAATGACATAATCATTACTAATAAACCAAATAGGCTGCTCATGAACACCAAATGCAAGGTAAAGTAGAGTGTATATGGAACATGATTCTATGGGCCTTTGTCTCAAGGGCCCAGGGGTAAATCCGGGGGTAAATTAACAGAACATTCTTAGCTGTGGAAATTCCCTATTCCAATCTCGTAAACATAATATGAGAGTCATATAACCATCGTAATCACAATACCATAGTTTAAGTAATAGATTCCATCTCGTAACCATCTGTATCATAATGTTAGTAATAGAACAAAAGATGTACCTCTAGCAATCCTCTAGGAAATACTTCACATGGGTGAAAAACTTATCATCGGGGAAATACTTCACATGGGTGAAATACTTCTCATGGGGGAAATACTTCACATGGGTGAAACACTTCACATGGGTGAAATATTTTGCATGGGTGAAATACTTCACATGGGCAAAATAATTCCCATGGGTGAAATACTTCTCATGGTTGAAATATTTCTCATGGGGGAAATACTTCACATGGGTGAAATATTCTGCATGGGTGAAATACTTCACATGGGCGAAATAATTCACATGGGTGAAATACTTCACATGGGTGAAATACTTCTGATGGGTGAAATAATTCATATGGGTGAAATACTTCACATGGGTGAAAAACTTCACATGAGTGGTCCTATTTCATTTACACTACATCTGTAAGTAATATATTTTTACAATAATGAAATGTAAAATCAATCTACAAATGCAAATCTATTGGTGAAGTATCTAAAGAATGTGAACACAATACAACTGTAGTGACAGATATAGTTGTTTTTTAGTATTTCCAACAGCCTATCATAAACTATTAGGACCTGAAAGACAGATCTTCGTGTTAAATACTAATTGCCTTACTACAGCTTACACCAACAGACCTTTCAAAAGTGGATTGGTCAATAAGTTACAAAGGGTAAATTGATTCGTATTCAACTACTGTGTAGTTTACAAGCATTTCATTACAATGTGACGCAGAGCGTATATTGTGTTAAAAAAGGATATGTTCATAATTAAAGGTATATTCCTTACCAGACCATCTACTATGGTAGCTATAACTATATATATACTTTCCATTTTTAACAAACATGGAAAAATGTTTTGGTATGGTCAATATTTATCACTTAAAATGTAGTGCTCAATTCCAGTTGGCTGCCATCAACTTTGCATATAGCATTAGTTAGGTAAGGTAGCTATTAAGAATTACAAAACCAGCTGAATATTCTTTTTCAATTTTATCTATGATTTAATCATTCTAAAAGTCTCTTCTTTTATTCTACGCTGACAAGCTCTGAAAATATTTTTGTAAGGACCACTTGTCTAGAAGTGATTTTGTGCTACTTTCCTAGACTGTTATAGACAAGGTTATGAAAGTTGAGAGTCAATGACAACACTTCCTGAGTGAAATCTTAAAAGATGGCAGCTTAAACTGGAAATGAGCACATTTTATGAATGTCAATATTGACTATATTAAAACATTTTCCTATGTTTTGCTTAATATGGAAATTATATATATGATTATAGCTATCATATCAGGAAAGAAATGGTCTGGCCAGGAATGTCCCTTTAAGGTTCCTTTTACCAACTTAATTTTGCTAATCTTATTGCGCATGACAATGAAATCTATCTATGCCTAATTAATAAGATATTATAATAATAAGAACAGATCTTTGAACAGAAAGGGGCTGTTAATCAAAATGAATTTCTTGAACATAATACAGCTCTTAATAATTCACACACCACCCACAGATCCAAATACTAGACAAAGTATAGTGCCATAGAAGCGTGTACAGTCCAATTGAAAGCACCAAATAAATTAATGGAGGCTCACCTTAATATACAATAGTGATCTGTAGTACAGTTGGTACACATATGTACTTGAATAGCCTACTGTAGTACAGTTGACATACTGATGTACTTTAATAACCTATTGAAGTACAATTGATAAACATGTACTAATAGCCTACTATAGTACAGTTGGCACAGATGTACTTGAATAGCCTACTGTAGTACACTTGACACACAGATGTACTTTAATAACCTTACTGTAGTACAATTGGCACACATATGTACTCGAATAACCTACTGTAGTACAGATGGCACACAGATGTACTTGCGTAACCCACTGAAGTACAGTTGGCACACAGATGTTCTTGAATACCCCACTGTAGTACAGATGGCACACAGATGTACTTTCATAGCCTATTGTAGTATAGTTGGCACACATATGTTCATGAATAGCCTATTACAGTCTAGTGGTTTCATAATGCCTTGGTCACATTTGCTCAGATTTTCACTACGGCGCCCAGCCGATTGAGTATTCAATTTTGAACAAAATACTCAAGATGAATCGCAGAAAATGTGACCCAGGCATTATACAGCTTAACAATCTCATTCTAGTGAAACACTCTCTTGTTCACACTACTGTCCACATGTTTGAATGAGGTCAAGTGAGGTTAATGCGAACTTCTGTAATTGTATTGCACACTGCCCTCAAGAGTTTGAGAAGTTTTTATTATACATAAACTGGAGAAATCTCAGTACATTATTTTACATGAATTTCTTCAATCTGAATCAACTACATATTTTAGTCCAGCTTTTGAGTTTCTGATCTTCCTGGATTTTCTTTGAAGAATACACCTAACTTGAATTATTTTATCGATAAATAATAAAATATCCCAATTCCCCAATATGCTGCTAATGAAATACTTCTTATAACTAGATAACACAATAAAATTAAACTTTCAAACAATACCTATACATACTCCTCCCTTTACCAGTACCTTCATGGGAGAACACCCTGTAGTGCAGCTATGCACCTATATTGGTGTCCATCAGCCTAATGCCCCCACCCCCCCACACCTTTTGATTGGCACATACAACCTTTGCTTATAATACATTTACATTATAATCGACCACATTATACACAACATTCATATTCTTTATAGAATGTACTTAACTTGGCCTATATAATAGATAAATATAGCTACACTATTAAGTACATGTAATTACATAGGTAGCTCTGCGAGTCAGGGGTCCATTACTAGAAAATCTGACCATGCAAAGTAGAAAATTCACTCTATTATCACATACAATAATATCATTGATTGAAATGCTTTAATAAATCTTTCAAAATAGAAACAATGAACTTCTATAATATTCAACTCAAACTTATCATGACTTCAGAGCATAAATACTTCCAGTAATGGACCCCTGATTTAGAACAGATAGAAAGTAAATCTAATCCAGTACATTGAAATGGATGTATTGTCAGCGGCTTTCACATGATTCTTGCATAATCATGTATTATTCTAGTACATGTGTCAGGGAAAATTAACACTTTAATTTAGATATTTATCTGATTTATATATCTTTATTCTACATCCATATATTCAATCTATATCAATCATACATCAGTCCTTAGTGATATACTAAATTCAAATCAGTTGAATCAGTATATCAATACATAAGATGGGACTTGCACAAAAACCGGTTATATCATCCAGCATATGTAACTGCATATGTTGTGAAATTTCTCCAATAGGCCATTTTAAAGAGACTCTATTGAGACTTCTCTGTGGCATTTTTTCTTTATTCCTTTTTGTTTTGAATTTTTAACACCATAACATTAACTAACTACTCAATATGCAACTTTTCACCACGTAGAATTTTAAAATATTAAGTTTGAAAATTCCATTTTTATAATGGAGCTCAATGGGAAAAACTACATAATTTGAATTATTTTCAAACGTAGCGGCACAATTTTGATAAAATTGACAGATATAATAAATATTGGTAAGACGAAATGTTTGATGAAAAATGAAGAAAATTCACCGTCCTGATTACGCAAACTATAGAAAAATCTGAAATAATCATAAAAACCTGTAAAAATAGATTGAAGGGGGTGATATTCATTTCTAATGTGCCTTTCACTACTACAGGGTAACCATAATTTTGGTACTGATTTGATTTTACAATGAAAATCATTTCCATAGTGTATAGTCAGTTTAAATAATACAATTGCTATACATGTATTTCTTTACTGAACAGTGCAATCATTTATTTATTTATCAACAGTAATGCAAACTACATATTATACAGTTAGTAAAATATTAAAATAATTCTATTAAAATTAAAGCATTGAGATGATACTTAAATAATTACATATTATATTGATAGGCATATTATATTATAGGATTTAAGCCAATGACTCAATGCATTGTAGATGATTAAATTTATCATATGTCCTGATTCTAGACTATGAACGAGGGTGGTAGTCCGAATTCAAAGCCTAGACTAGAAGACATAAGTGAATTGAAGCATCCACTATTCATTGAATCATGTGCTTTAATTCAATTTCACACATTGCAAAATATTTTTTACAATTTCACTTAACAGAATGATATTTTTTCAAAGATATGTTGTACTTTTAGAATCATTTGCTTCAAAGAATTGAACTATGGCGGCCTTTACTCGTTATTTTACAATTTTTGCTCATTTTGATTTTGTTCATATTTGGTATATGAATACTATAAGCATGGCACACTGTCTAATGACTCTTCTGGTAGAAGGCGGCCATTTTAACGTATTTTACTATAACACGGAAAGTAGTGGAGCGATTTTGTTCATATTTGGTATGTGAATACTATAAGCATGGCACACTGTCTAATGACGCTTTTGGTAGAAGGCAGCCATTTTGAAAAATGGCCGTCATTTTAACGTATTTTACTATAACTCGAAAAGTAGTAGAGCGATTTTGTTCATATTTGATGCGTGAATACTATAAGCGTGGCATACTGTCTAACGACACTTTTTTGGTAGAAGGTGGCCATTTTGAAAAATGGCTGCCATTTTTGCTGTATACTTTGTTTGTAAAAAAAATGCCAGCCATGGCTGTTCGATGGGATTTGCTACACTTTGGTGTTGCTGTTGTCTAGTTGAAGGATGGATGGACGGACAAATGGAGGGGTCTCCATAGCTTATCCCCTAATCTTCGTTGGATTGAACAATTGTGAATATGGTTATTGTTGGACAAATAAAACTGATTGAATGTCTAAAAGCAAATAATGAAGTGGTAATTTATTTTAAATCATTAAAATCTCAAACATGCTTGCTTTTGGTCTAGTCACTTAATTCCTAAATGTCCCGTAATTTGTATCTATATACCTTATTAGATGCAGTGAAAGAGTTAAATCATTGGGATATGAATAAATCATGCAAAACATATTTTGTACATATTTCTCATCATTTAGGGTTACCCAGTAGTTTACAAGCTGACCTTTGCAAAATATATTTCACTTACTATCCTCATTCGCTATCACGCTATCTAGTTTCTTTCCAAATTGGCCTGAATTGCCTGGTTTATTGGTTTTAGCGAACCGTCCATTTCGTTGAACCATCATTTTGCTAAGGTTGTTTGTGATGAATATACAATATTCAGTTACATATAACTGTACAGCAACTTTATGCAAGGGAAGGTAATTGTGTGAGAGCACATAAAGTACACGAAGTATTGACCCACTTGTCTCAGTGAAACTTATAAACAGTGCATAAAGTTTTTTCTGTGCAATGATTGGCTCACAGTTACTTATAGTGTAAGTTATTTTATTTCTATACAGTGTAGAATAGAGTGTATAAACTTTTACAGTTTCAAGCAGGTTTTAGTGTTTTCTGACCAATGATATATTCAGACTTATTCATTTCACGATTATGTAATACTGACCTACATATCTGTATAGCATATCTTTAAAGTAATAATAAATAGTGCTAGGCATGTAAATTACAATTTTGAAGCTTTTTAGTATGATTTTACAGAAACTGATTTTATTTACTAAAACTACATACATTTTGACACCATTTTAAGTAAATATTTTTTATTTTTTGAAAATGTATTTAAAGCCTCTCAAAAAATGATTTAAAATCCAGATGAAAATCATATACAAGTATAGCCTTCAAACAGTTGTATTACTAGCATAACACATTGCATAATTCTGAGGAATGCATTACAATTATAACACTGACACTCATAAAGGCTGACCCAAAGCGCCAAAAACAACACTGTGAATATTTGTTGATTGCAGTTCTGCAATCCTTTGCTTCTAATATTAATTCTACTGTTTACACATAACTGGTGTATGTTGGTTCAAGACAACAATGAATGGCAGACTAGATTGTGTAAGTTTGTTAAGAGTGATGTCTAAATCCTGGTGTTTCAACCGACATTTGGGTTGCTGAGTTCCCGAAGGTCAGTTAATAGTCCCTCTGGTTTAAGAATAGATGTGCCTCCTGCAATAAACAATGAAACATGTGAGGATACTTTGGTAAATTAAACATATGAGGATAATCATGTCCAATGAAACATGAGAGGACATTGGAACACGTGAGGATAACCTCTTCCAATGAAACAAGAGAGGATAATTTGGTAAATGAAACATATAATGTACGACGTCAGATACTGTACATCGCGGCATTTTACTGCATTTTTACATGCGTACTTACTTTTAAAACCGCAATATCTCGACAGCAAAATCATATTTTTCTACAATTTTTCGTCATCAGTTGAACACGTATGTCCATGAAATATTTTGCCTATCAGAATTCCAAATAACTGATTTGGGACTTTTTAAATGAGAATCACGCAAGCCGTACTATGCGACTTTCTATGCTAAAACCGGGTGTCGACTGTAACATTTTGAAGAAAAGTGATTTTAATTTTAAACGAAAAATGAAGATAACTTTTTCATTTCCCAACGGATCTTTCTCAAATTTTCACAATATTTAAATTCACCATTTTGAAAAAGACAAACAGATTCTGTGTGATGACGTCATAATATAACAATGCTAACTTAACGCTTATATTTATGCAAAAAAAGTGTCGACAGGCAGAATTTCGTACAAACAAGATATATATTTTGATCAATTAAACATTAAATCGCTTGAAAGGTGAAATATTCTTTTTTGATTCCCGAAAGGCATATCATATTCTATATTTTTATCAAAAAACTATATCATTTCGATTAAAATTCAGTCTGTAAGAAGTATAAATTGAAAGAAATATGAAGTGAAGCCATGTGAAAAATTCACAAAATTACGTTTCATTTTTTGAGTTCAAATATTTCTAATTAAGGGATAAACATTCAAAACTTTCCAATGTTTCAGCATGTTCTTTTAAATATACCCCTTACTACATACAATTAATTTCATTAAATTTGAACCAGTATATATTGAGATAGACATCGTTTTATCACCGCAACCCCAAGTGAAGCCTTTACAAAATAAGACGTTACGCCGTTAGCGTATTATATGTTCTCCTTTATTATTCATTGCTTTAAATAAATAAAACTAAATATTCGAGTTAAAATAAATTACAAATAATGCATTTAACAATCCTTAATATCTTCCCGTCTGTGTTTATCAGTTGAATATGACAAGGGGCATTGTGAAAGAGTCTAGAAAGACGGTGCGACAACGAGAGCGCAGGGCCGAAAAGCGCGACAAAGAAGAAAACGGGTAGGGTTTGAAATGTCTACTTTCTGGTGATTCTAATTCTGTATATCGTGACACAACCTTTTTGAATATAGAATTGTATTGAAGCGCACATTAATCTGAACAAAACTTGAAGTTTTTAAGAAGATTCCACGAATATTAAAACGTTTGCAATTACTTGGAGGAGCATTGCGCATATTTATCGCGTAAATCTTTGCATTTTGTCGGTAAAATGAACAATTACACTGTTACGCCGTGATGTACAGTATCTGACGTCGTATCATAAGGATAATCTTGTCCAATGAAACATGAGAGGATAATGTGATACATTGAAACATGTGAGGATAACTTGTTCAAATGAAATATGAGAGGATACTTTGGTAAATGAAACATATAAGGATAATCTTGTCCAATGAAACATGAGAGGATAATGTGATACATTAAAACACATGAAGATAATTTATTCCAATGAAACATAACACCAAAAAATTAACAATCAACAACAATCAATTATCAATATTGTTTTTTATCATATACGGTATCAAAACAATTTCAACACCTACACCAATTATCAACTTTACATTGTATAATAAAAGATAGTACCGTGGGTACTGGGCCCACATGGTGTTGCTCAAAAGTGAATGATGGCTAAAATGACAACAAATAAAAAAAAAACGGATATAACTTTTTGCCGATTTTTTGTAACAAAATTATTTCATACAACTACTCTTTCCAAAGACATGGCTTTTTACAATCCAGGACACCTACAATTATTTATAAAGCTAGGAAATGGGCCAAAAGTGAATTTCGCGAGACAAAAATGGCGACCATTTTGTAAATATGCGAGCTTTTGAACCAGGAGTCATGGGGGAGTTTTTGTATTAATGTAGAACAAAAATAACTTAAAACTGGAATCCTATCGACAGAGGTTTTAAGGCTAATGGTCCAAAAGAGGATTTCGCGAGACAGATGGACAAATCAATGTTACCTAAAATGGCTGAAAAAAAAAACGGATATAATTTTTTGCTGATTTTTTTCTACCAAAGTTATTTCATACAACTACTCTTCACATTGACATGGATTTTTACAATGCAGGACACCTGAAATTATTTGTAAAGCTAGGAAATGGGTCAAAAGTGAATTTTGCGAGACAAAAATGGCGGCCATCTTGAAAATTGGCGAGCTTTTGAACCAGGAGTCATAGAGGAGTTTTATGTATTGATGTTGAACAAAGATTACTTAAAACGGGAATCCTATCGACAAAGGTTTTAAAACGTGCCACTATTGTTGGTCAAAAAGTGGATTTCGCAAGACAGATGGACAAATCAATGTTAACTAAAATGGCTGAAAATAAAAAAGACGGATATAATTTTTTGCTGAATATTTGTAACAAAATTATTTCATAAAACTACTCTTCACATTGACATGGATTTTTACAATACAGGACACCTGAAATTATTTGTAAAGCTAGGAAATGGGTCAAAAATGAATTTTGTGAGACAAAAGTGGTGGCCATCTTGAAATCAGGCGAGCTTTTGAACCAGGAGTCATAGGGGAGCTTTCTGTATTGATGTTGAACAAAAATAACTTAGAACGGGAATCCTATCGACAGAGGTTTTAAAACGTGCCACTATTGTTGATGGATGGACGGATGTCATTTGTTTTTGCTGCATTGGTTTCTTCATTTATTTTCTTCTTTCTTTGTCTTGATTTGATTGCGATGTTAGTTATCTTTCTTCAAGGTCCACAGACTTGAGACTGCGCATAGGTGGGTTAAACGTTTTGATGGACGGACGGACGCACGGACGGACAGACGGACAAGTGAGTGATTGCAAAAGCTCACCATGTGAGCTAATAACACATGAGGACCAACCTACCACTGAGCAAAGAGCCGAAAATGTTGGAGGGTGTAAGGGGTACAATTTTGAACTCCTATTTATATTTTGAATTCTCAATACCAGAAATAAATAAAACACAGAATTGTGTCTAACTGATATAGTAATTGTTCCATGCTCTCATGTTCGCAAAATAAATTAGTACTTGTTGCAATGTTAACTGTTAAATCGCTAACTTCAACTTCTAAATATTTAATTGATGCTTTACAGCTTATATAAGTAAGAATCATAGCTGTAGATAGATAGATACTCCAGTAGATTCAAAGATAAAAATAATTTAAAAAAGTCACGAATGGCATTAGTTTTGTGATAATAACTTCCCTTATGAGTATATATTTCAGGTCATGTTTGTTCAGAGTCAGGTTATGTTATACTGATATCAAAGCTAAATGCATTTTAAGAGTTGTGACATAAATATAATGTGACATATAATCATGAATATTTTGCTTGTTGGGATTGGCTACTCTGTGCAATTGCTGTTTTCGATTTCGATTTTTCAGGTAGGCCTAGAACAATAACAGCAAAGCCAGGGTCTTGCTCAGCGGAAGTTGTATCTAGAAAGATCCGCTATCCCCATGCATATAAGGTATCTTTTATATTAACATCAAGACAATTTAATCAACACCTACCAACAAGGACCTCCCAATTCTTCGCTCCTTTCGTAACCTCGTAGGCGCATCTCATCTCATTCATCATAATTCCACCAATCACAAACACAATCAGCCTGGGCCCAGAACGCGATCGTGATTGCTCATTACGTTGATGCCAGTGGCCGTATCTTGCACTAAAAGTGTAATACATTGAATCAATAATAAAATGACAGCAGTCCTGTTAACCTATTTATATGTAAAGAAAATATTGAAATCTGAATCTAGTTAACAACATCTTTATGTCATCACTTTGTGGGCTGGAAATGGTGAATCATAATACAAGAAATGAGTAGTTATAAGGAAATTATCAAACATCAATTGGTTCTTTGTTTACTGTTGATTCTCACTGTTTGTGCATATAATCCTGAAAGGCCAGACTCTAATTTTTGTGAATTTGATCGAGAACTTTACTCCGCTTATCTCCTTCACAAGAGTTTACCAGAGGTCCATGAACTCTTCTCTTTTTAGACCCCAGGTATCTCACATTTTGGTAATTTTATACCCAAGTCCTCATTTCAACTAACACCTAGCACTGACAAAGGAAGTTTTACACAATAGAATATAATCGCATTAGGAGTAATTCTAGCTGTACATAATTCAGACATGATGAGACCTCAATGAATCGACATGGTAAAATCTTTTCATCCGATGATACCAGATACCACCAGGCAAGGCTTAAGTCAATACCCTGAGGCCAAGGAATACGTTAAAAAATGTTTAAAAAGTCCCCTAGTGTACTGAGTTGGTAATGTGTGGTGTATACATGTATATTCTACTATAGAATACTTACATGCATAAAAATAAGACTGAATTTTTATTAATTACTATATACCCGGGCCTCAGTCAATACCCTATGTTTGACCTCTTTCAAAGGGTGACTGATCTAATAGTTCCATGAGATCGGTCAGCCTTTAAAATAGGTAACCTATATGCTGATGTTGCATGTTGATTGGTGAGGTCTAATCACAGAATAACACACAGGGATGTCAGGGCATCAGCAGACTCTTGCCTAGTAAAGTTAGACGCTACCATGATGATAAACCTCTTCAGGCAATAGCAAGCCTTGCCCAGCAAAAGATACCACTGGGCAGGACAAGGTATGATTGGTGTAGGGCTTGCGGAACAAATCATGTACATTATTATATACCGCATTCATATTAACCAACAGGGAAAGGCTAGTGAAGGTACTTAGCTTATTCTTTAAACCAATCACCAGGAAGGGAAGGGTTCCATAGAATTTAGGGGAATTAAATTGAAATCCATGTAAAGTACACCTTATTAAACAATACTGTATATTTTTATAAGTACCATTGTGAAAGGAGAAGCCCCGATAAGGAGAGCTTTTTAGAAGGACATTGATTTTTTCTGGATGTGATCATCATGGAAGGTTTTACACTACATCAGAGATGATCTTAGATATTAGGTGATCTTAGATATTCCCCAAAACAACTTGTGTGATATAAAAATTACTTTTTTAAGAACATTTTTTGCAAGGCAATGAACTCATTTTTTAAGGTTAGACTCTTTATTTGAGGTTAAAATCCGTGTATGGCCTGATGGGATAGGAACAAAGTGTCACAGTTGTAAGATACATATTTATCTGAACTCTTAGAAAATAAAAAGAAATCAATTGGTGTTTCCCTAGAAATGTTTTTTAGACCTTTTCCACTCATGAGAATGATGGAATAATGGAACCAATTCGTAAAAAATTCTTAAAATATATTTCTGGTGGAGCACCCATCGATTTCTTTACGAAAACTAAGACTTTGCTTCATTATGTTACTTAGTCACATTCTATTTTGCTCGCACAGTAATGGGAAAGTTATTGATTTTAAGCAAAATGTAACGGTTAAAACTGAATTTTATCGCTTCACAAAAACCGTCCTCCAAAGCATGTTTTAATAATTCGAAGAAAATATTTCAGGATGTATAAATTCACCTCATTTCAAAATTTCATGATGATCACTTCCAGAATAAAATAGTTGTGTCCTTCTAAAAAGCTCTCCATATCGGGGGTTCTCCTTTGTTTGGATTAATAATCAATTTTCAAATCTAGGTTGGATCTGGGATGAACATACAAAATTTAGTATATTCACCCCAGGTAAAACCTACCCTGAAACACAGAGAGGGAGCTAGTTGTCTGAGTATCAAGACTGGCAATCTTTAACCAGTAATCCTAAAAGCTCATTGATACTACCAAATATAGGTAAGCTCATTGATACTACCAAATATAGGTAAGCTCATTGATACTACCAAATATAGGTAAGCTCATTGATACTACCAAATATAGGTAAGTGGGATATTGATATTGTTTCTCAATTCAAAATATGCATCATATTAATCATTATCTATAATTAGAAACTTTAATTAGCTTTTAATAGCTTAACAATAGAGGGTAAAAAGATACAGCATGCTATAAGCTGACATACAAAAATCAAACCCCAAATCAAATCCAGACCCAATATAGGATACAACAGAAGCCCGAGAAAATATTGGCTCTCCTAGATGCTGGCCCACGATAAGATTGTAGGTGATCTACACTGTTTTTCAATCTTGCAGAAAAATATTTTATGCTCAGTTTGACTTGAAGTTCTTTGAATTGGGAGAGTTTTTGGTTAAGTGTAGAACCGTGTCAACGATAATTCACATTTGTAACACATACTAAACATTTGAAGCCAATATTGTCTGGGGGTAACTCCTGAGTATTATCAAAAATAATCACCATATAATTATATTTAACTGTAACCCCAGATTGTACCCCATTATTCCTTACATTAAGTGCAAACCACCAAGTATTCGGGTCCATAGGGAGCATACTTACCTAGAAGCTCCAGATATACTCTGTTTTGTTGATCTTACGCTGTGTATTACACACAATACAATCAATACTAGTTTAACATTAATGAGCCTAGTTACATGAAAGGCGGTCTTATTACATGAATTTTCAATTTTGAGTTTTACATTCGAAGAACAAAAAACAGATATTCTGTGATAAATGTTGAGACAATTTTTTTCTGCTCATAGCTGAAAAAACCTCAGATTCAAATATTCTTCATATTATTCTTCATTCTTCTATTAATCTTAATTCACATATGGCTAGACAAGGTGTGTCCAATTCCAGCCAATACACAGTATTTTTACATGACAGCAGCGCATGAAATAATCAATAATACGTTTGTTGTGTATGGTTGTAAGGTGATAAGATTGCAATTGATGCTTTGTCAATACTTGACCCTTGCAAAAAGTTTCATTGAAAATATGTTCTTTTAGTGATTTCATATCTTTTAGGTGATTTTGTAGAAAACATTTTGCAATGTGTGAAAAGAATTTAAGCCAAAGACTCAATGCATTGTAGCTACTTCATTCCACTCAGGCATTGTTTCCTAAGCTTTGCATTCCCGCTGCGCAGTCATGCAAAGATTTGGAAACAACACCTTCATGGTATGATTCTGCAAAGAATGCACTGGGTCAAAGGCTTAAATCCTTAAAAGACCCCATCAAGTTATTTGCAGTACAGTTGTCAACTCCAAAATAATATAGGATGTATATAAGATGCTATCTCAAAACACAGCCCAATAAATGAAGAATGTCTTCCATACACATGTTCTCGTTGGAATATATCAGAATATATCATACCTACATGTACATTCTTACTTATAATAGTAAATGTCATAACAAGCGTAATATTACATATGGGATGCATTGCAATTAACACATTACTCAAAATAACAAATATAAGCATAACACGTGATGAGCAGGATACTGTCAGCTGAGTATACTTAGCAAACTTATCAAAGCAATTAAGTTATATAAATATTAAAAATCATTGAATATGCACCAGTAAAGAAAATTCAGATATTGAGATAATAAATGCCCATAACAGACGAAAGTGTGGATGCGGCAGGATGAAACTTTTTTGACAAAAACAGAATTTCATGTGATTCTTTTCATTTTCACAAACTACTCCATTGCATACCAAAAGTACCCTTTAACTTTGTACCAATAAAAAGATGACTGAGTTCACATTGCAAATTGCTATATTCTAGGTATTAAAACATTGATATGTTACCTGGGCTATATTCTAGGTATTAAAACATTGATGAGTTACCTAGGCTATATTCTAGGTATTAAAACATTGATGAGTTACCTGGGCTATATTCTAGGTATTAAAACATTGATGTGTTACCTGGGCTATATTCTAGGTATTAAGACATTGATGTGTTACCTCAGGCTATATTCTAGGTATTAAGACATTGATGTGTTACCTGGGCTATATTCTAGCAGGGTTCGTACACCTTTTTCAAAATGAATTTCCCTGACATTTCCCTGACATTTCCAGGCAAAAAAGGAAATTTCCAGATCTAGTTTTCCTTGCACGGCCTCTAAAAAGTCTCTAACAACCGTATTATTTAAAAGACAAGACTTATTAAACATTTTGGGTTTATCCTTTTGTATCATTTCTCATGACTTAAAGGCATAATCAGATCTATAGGAGTGACGAAATTACAAGCAACTTGTATAATTGACCTACCAATCTATTCCTTACAATATCAAATACAATATCTCACAAAAGATTCACAATATGTTTTAAATTGGTGAAGTTATCAGTGACTCAAAGTGCAAAAATGGGCGAAAAATGTTTAAATTCTCCCAAATTATAAGAATGGTAACCATTCTTACAGAAAAATAATATATCGTTCTAAAAATCTTAAGTTTTCCTTGAATAAAGTATGCACTTTTTAGCTTTTTAGAAAATAGACATGACAAGGGATGACATGAGCCTGAAATATTTTAAAATTGAAAGAATTTTTCGTTTGTTACAGTCTATATACAGTAACAAAAACATTGGTATATAAAATTTTAACCAAATCTGTCAACTGATATTTGAGTTATCACCCTGATAGATAAATAGACTGAATACGACCGGACTGTCGAACATACAGCTCCTTAATATACAAGTAAATACAATTTTAAACTGTGAAGAGTTCCCAGATTAATCCCTCAACAAACCATGAAACATATACCAGTAATTAGCTTTGAATGGCCTAAAACTAACTTACTACATGGAAAAGCATAATTGTATTGAACCATCTATACATATTCTTTATTCGGTTTCAGTATAACATGGTATAATGTTCACACTGTTCTTACAAATAGACAAAACCAGATTTAATGTCTTTCAATCAACCCTAATGAAAAGATTTACAATTAGTGGAAACATCTTAACATTTGAATTTGGATTTCATTGATATCCTGTCATAGCCTTAAAATGTATTTTGCTGGAACATTATTTTTTCAACAATCATACAAAATTCCCTGACATTTCCCTGACACATCTTCTGTTTCAAAATTCCCTGACATTTTTGGCCCTTTTTGACCCAATTTTAAAATTCCCTGACATTTCCAGCACCTGGAAAAATAAATCAATTTCCCTGACATTTCCAGGTGTGTACGAACCCTGTCTAGGTATTAAGACATTCATGTGTTACCTGGGCTATATTCTAGGTATTAAAACATTGATGTGTTACCTGGGCTATATTCTAGGTATTAAAACATTGATGTGTTACCTGGGCTATATTCTAGGTATTAAAACATTGATGAGTTACCTGGGCTATATTCTAGGTATTAAAACATTGATGAGTTACCTGGGCTATATTCTAGGTATTAAAACATTGATGAGTTACCTGGGCTATATTCTAGGTATTAAAACATTGATGTGTTACCTGGGCTATATTCTAGGTATTAAAACATTGATGAGTTACCTAGGCTATATTCTAGGTATTAAAACATTGATGAGTTACCTAGGCTATATTCTAGGTATTAAAACATTGATGAGTTACCTAGGCTATATTCTAGGTATTAAAACATTGATGAGTTACCCAGGCTATATTCTAGGTATTAAAACATTGATGTGTTACCTGGGCTATATTCTAGGTATTAAGACATTGATGTGTTACCTGAGCTATATTCTAGGTATTAAAACATTGATATGTTACCCGGGCTATATTCTAGGTATTAAAACATTGATGTGTTACCTGGGCTATATTCTAGGTATTAAAACATTGATGAGTTACCCAGGCTATATTCTAGGTATTAAAACATTGATGTGTTACCTGGGCTATATTCTAGGTATTAAGACATTGATGTGTTACCTGGGCTATATTCTAGGTATTAAAACATTGATATGTTACCCGGGCTATATTCTAGGTATTAAAACATTGATGTGTTACCTGGACCGCTATATTCTAGGTATTAACACATTGATATGTTACCAAGGCTATATTCTAGGAATTAAAACATTGATGAGTTACCTGGGCTATATTCTAGGTATTAAAACATTGATGAGTTACCTGGGCTATATTCTAGGTATTAAAACATTGATGTGTTACCTGGGCTATATTCTAGGTATTAAAACATTGATTTGTTACCTGGGCTATATTCTAGGTATTAAGACATTGATGTGTTACCTGGGCTATATTCTAGGTATTAAAACATTGATATGTTACCTGGGCTATATTCTAGGTATTAAAACATTGATGTGTTACCTGGGCTATATTCTAGGTATTAAAACATTGATGTGTTACCTGGGCTATATTCTAGGTATTAAAACATTGATGTGTTACCTGGGCTATATTCTAGGAATTAAAACATTGATGAGTTACCTGGGCTATATTCTAGGTATTAAAACATTGATGTGTAACCTGGGCTATATTCTAGGTATTAAAACATTGATGTGTTACCCGGGCTATATTCTAGGTATTAAAACATTGATGTGTTACCTGGGCTATACTCTAGGTATTAAAACATCGATGTGTTACCCGGGCTACATTCTAGGTATTAAAACATTGATGAGTTACCCGGGCTATATTCTAGGTATTAAAACATTGATGTGTTACCTGGGCTATATTCTAGGTATTAAAACATTGATGTGTTACCTGGGCTATATTCTAGGTATTAAAACATTGATATGTTACCTGGCCTATATTCTAGGTATTAAAACATTGATGTGTTACCTGGGCTATATTCTAGGTATTTAAACATTGATGTGTCACCTGGGCTATATTCTAGGTATTAAAACATTGATGAGTTACCTGGGCTATATTCTAGGTATTAAAACATTGATGTGTTACCTGGGCTATATTCTAGGTATTAAAACATTGATGTGTTACCTGGGCTATATTCTAGGTATTAAAACACTGATGTGTTACCCGGGCTATATTCTAGGTATTAAGACATTGATGTGTTACCGGGGCTATATTCTAGGTATTAAAACATTGATGTGTTACCTGGGCTATATTCTAGGTATTAAAACATTGATGTGTTACCTGGGCTATATTCTAGGTATTAAAACATTGATGAGTTACCTGGGCTATATTCTAGGTATTTAAACATTGATGTGTCACCTGGGCTATATTCTAGGTATTAAAACATTGATGTGTTACCTGGGCTATATTCTAGGTATTTAAACATTGATGTGTCACCTGGGCTATATTCTAGGTATTAATACATTGATGAGTTACCTGGGCTATATTCTATGTATTAAAACATTGATATGTTACCTGGGCTATATTCTAGGTATTAAAACATTGATGAGTTACCTGGGCTATATTCTAGGTATTAAAACATTGATGAGTTACCTGGGCTATATTCTAGGTATTAAAACATTGATGAGTTACCTGGGCTATATTCTAGGTATTAAAACACTGATGAGTTACCTGGGCTATATTCTAGGTATTAAAACATTGATGAGTTACCTGGGCTATATTCTAGGTATTAAAACATTGATGAGTTACCTTGGCTATATTCTAGGTATTAAAACATTGATGTGTTACCTGGGCTATATTCTAGGTATTTAAACATTGAAGAGTTACCTGGGCTATATTCTAGGTATTAAAACATTGATGAGTTACCTTGGCTATATTCTAGGTATTAAAACATTGATGAGTTACCTGGGCTATATTCTAGGTATTAAAACATTGAAGAGTTACCTGGGCTATATTCTAGGTATTAAAACATTGATGAGTTACCTGGGCTATATTCTAGGTATTAAAACATTGATATGTTACCTGGTGGGGGCTGCTCCACTCATCATTGACCTAGCAGCTCCAGATAGGAATGGGTAGTGTCTCTGGTCTAACTTATCTTCTATGGCATCCTATAGAAACATTTCTACTATTATGAAATATTCAACCGATAAACTTAATAAAGTAAAATCTCTGCCATCCAAAAGGCACTGGGACAGGGCAAAAGATTTCTTTAACATTGTTGTAAATGGGAAAAAACAAAATTGGAGCAGAGAAAAAGTAATATCTTTGAGAAGTTCTCGAAAGAGAGATATATATGTTTTACTGTGTGTATCACAAATGGAATCACAAATGGAAACATGAATTCCTTTAAAAACAAAAAATGCCGCTATAAAATATATTTGGCTTATGCAGAATTTTGCGCAGAAATTTTAGTAGCCCTGTTTGTTTAAGGTCATACAAGAATAGAGAATGGTATAAAATAGTTTTGGTTTTTGGTAGGGGTCACACGGTTAACCGTGGCTTGCGGTTACCGCGGTTCATACCTCCACGACGGTTAGCTCGCACACAATCTTGAAAACCGCGGTTCTTGAAGAACCGTGACATTTTCAGTTTCACTTCAAAAAATAAAAATGTAAACTCGGAATAAAACTCCATTTCAAGCTTTCGTGTAATACCAATTAACTAAACATCGTCTAGAATCGTTAATCATCATGCAATAATGCGAACCATACCTGATATTTACGACGATCTTCTGATATAGACGGCAGATAACAAAAACAAAAGGAAAATGTTGATAAATTTCACCGGCATATTGACCCGGAAGTGACCTACGCTAAACATTTCGCGCAATCCTATTGGTTGATAGAACAGTATACTGTAAAAAGACGAACGCCGAATGCATTGAATTTGCGAACGAGTCACGTTCTGTGTATTACGTTCGCCTTTGATCCATGTTGAGTCCTGACAAAGTGTTGAACTTAGTTATATTTCTAAAGAAAACATTTATTCAGTTTAGTGAAGTACTGTGCTAATTTTGCCAACAGTTGACAAGTTATTTTATGTGTTGAAAAAACTTGGACATCAAACAAGAAGATCAACACAGTGAACACACAGATATTTTGGGAGGGAGGGAGGGAAAAAAGACTGAACAAACAAACAAACATTGTGTGAAACTGGATACTTACAATACTGAATACAATAAAGAGACACACTTAGTATGTTTTCTGATTTTCGGATCAATTTCATATATTTTTGCTCATTTCACGAGGCCCGTGAGAACTGTTACAGTATTATATTCTATTATATTCACATTAAGTTTAGTTTATCAATATGCATATACTGTAACTGATCTTCATTAGAGATCTTAGGTCAAGTCAAGGTCACAATGACATTATATCTTGTAAACATAACTGAACTGAATGACTCATTAACTCTTGGCCTTCCAGAAAGTACTGGAACTGTAATCATTTAATCAAGATTGAATCATGTGACTTAAGATGTCCAATCAGTGTTATTTTCTAGAAATCGTAACTTCTTGAAACATTTGGACTATGCCTTTGCACTATATAATGAGAGAGCTGATTTAGACTGTCAGCAGAATTTCAAAGTTTATCAAAAGGACATCTTCTTAGCACATACTGTGGGAACATTTATAACACTACAAACATACAACCTGAGGACTTTATATGGACATATATTACAACACACACTATATACGGATTATCATATACATTCGTGGATTATCATAAACATTTGTGGATTATCATCAAACATTTGCGGATTATCATCAAACATTATTGGATACGAACATTATAGGATTACAACAAACATTATTGGATTATTACAAACATTGGAGAACTATTATCGATTATTGAAACATTTCGTGATCCGGAACATTCTCAAGTATCGTCAACGACATTTATCGACATCAAGAATAAGCCGTATCATTGATTGGACATCACATAAGTATTAAACCTCCTTTATATTATTGTTATATTATTTAGTTTTCAAAATATAAATATATTGTTATCATATTTTAATTGCTGTTTTTACTTTCTGTTATTTTCGAACGTAACAGAAATTGGGGGCTCGTCCGGGATCCAACTACAACAAGCTAAAATTCAAATATTTTAAAATTCAAAATCCCAAATTTGTATATTTAAATTGTGAAGACAGCAATTAATTGAAAATGAGTTTTGAGGTTGAGACATTTTTAGAAGCGCCCTCTTTGGAGGAATTTGACAGTTTAAAGAAAACTGAACTTCTGGCACTAGCAAAACATGTTGGTTTGGCAGTAAAAACTTCATACCGAAAAGGTGCAATAAAAAATATTCTGGTACCATATTTGGTAGCGGAAGAAATATTACCGGAAGAAGCATTAAAGCTTATTGTAGAGCCAGTCCAGCATGTTGAGCCTGTAGATCCTATAAGGCTTAAAGAGCTTGAAATAAGAGAAAAAGAGCTTGAAAATGAAAGGAGAGAAAAAGAGTTGCAAAATGAAAAAGAATTAAGAGAAAAAGAGTTGGAAATGCAAAATGAAAGAGAAAAAAGAGAAAATGAAAGACAAATGAGAGAACAAGAAATTCAAAGAGAAATTGAATTAAAACGTTTGGAAATAGAAGCTCAATCCAAAACTGATGAACATGCTACTATGCATCAACATTTTGAAAATAGATTTGACGCTTCAAAATTTCTCAAATTTGTACCTAAATTTCAGGAGAAAAATGTTGATAAATACTTTACGCATTTTGAAAAAGTCGCTCAAAGCCTCGATTGGCCTAAATCAGCATGGCCAGTTATGCTTCAAAGTGTATTCATTGGTAAAGCGAGTGAAATATTTGCCTCTCTCTCAGCAGAAGCATGCTCTGATTATGACCTAGTTAAAAATGCAATTCTTAAAGCTTATGAACTAGTGCCAGAAGCTTACAGACAAAAATTTAGAAATGCCCACAAACAGAGTGACCAAACCCATGTTGAGTTTGCTCGAGAGCAAGAGCAGCTTTTTGACAGGTGGCTTGTCTCTAAAGATGTATCTGAAGAGTTCAAAAAGCTCAGAGAGCTTATGCTAATAGAACAATTTAAAAACTGTGTTCAATATCACATTAGAACTTACTTAGATGAACACAAGGTAGAAACTTTAAGTCAAGCTGCCACCCTGTCTGATGATTATGCTCTTACTCATAAGGGTAGTTTTATCAAAGGTAATTCTAACTTTAGAGGTTATCAAGGTAACAAACCTTCATATGACTCTAAATCAAATCAGTCCTCATCATCAAATGCATCAAACAAAGCAAAAGACCAGTCTAATTCATCACAGAATTCTAGCTCAAAATCAGATCAATCAAATTCTTCAGGTCCAAAATCAAACGTCACCTGTAATTATTGTAAAAAGCCTGGTCATCTTATTTCTGAATGCTATAGGATTAAGAATAGAAGAGAGATGTCTGGTTCTGCTCATTCAAATGGTTGTGCTACTGTTCCCATTTCAAGAAAGCCCATTGTTTGGGATTCATATACTCATACTGAGAAATCTACTCATAGTGATATTATGGAGGATTATAAGCCTTTCATGTCGGAAGGATCTGTGTCACTGTCAAGTGATGATACCAATTCAAAGCCAGTTAAGATTCTTAGAGACACGGGTGCATCTCAGACCTTGTTGTTAGAAGGTGTCCTTCCTTTATCTGAGGAGTCATTCACAGGTACCCATATTTTGATGCAAGGCATTGAATTAGGTTTTACTAAAGTTCCCCTCCATCGTATTCATATCACATCAGAGTTAGTCAAAGGGCCAGTTATTGTTGGTGTTAGGCCACAACTTCCTGTTGAAGGAGTCGCATTGCTTTTAGGCAATGATTTAGCTGGGGGTAAGGTATCATTAGACCCCATTGTTTCTGATCAGCCTTGTTCCATTGAGGATTCTGTCCAAGAGGACTCTGATATATATCCTGCTTGTGCTGTTACTAGGGCTATGGCTAAAAAGTTAGCTAATAGCGGGGATTCGTCTGTGGGAGATGACTTTGATAGTGGGTTTTTAAGCTCCTTGTTTGATGATGAATGTCACTCACCACTTGTTGAAGATGATCCTTATCCTATTTTAAAGGCAAATTCTTCATTGAAACAGCCTTCTGTTCGAGCCAAGCAGTCATCTATTGAGGCAAATTCTTCATTGAAAAAGCCTATTGCCAGAGGTGATTCACCTTCTGAGCAGGATCACTATTTTAATGCGGTTTCGCCCGCTCTTGCTAGTCCTGATGAAGTTTCATCTTCTTCTGCTAGTGTTCATGAGGTTTCATCCCCTCCTTGTTCTGAGGTTTCATCCTCTTCTAGTTCTGAGGTTTCATCCTCTATGTCTGATAGTGATTCTTTGAAAAATGATCCTCATTCTAAACACATGTTAATTTATGAACAAGAGCATGATCCATCACTCATTGATCTTCATAAAAGATGTCTTACTATTGATGAAGCTGACAAGGTCCCTGTTTGTTTCTACAAAAAGGATGGCATATTAATGCGAAAGTGGAGACCTCCTGAAGCTTCCCCTGAAGACGATTGGGCAATTGTACATCAGATTGTTGTTCCCAAATCATATCATAAGGAAATCTTGAGTCTAGCTCATGATTCGCCTATGGCAGGTCATTTAGGAGTAACTAAGACATACCATAAAATACTCAATCATTTCTATTGGCCCAAATTAAAACAAGATGTCCAAGAGTATTGTAGGTCTTGTCATACATGTCAAATGGTAGGGAAACCTAACCAGAAAATTCCAACTGCTCCTTTACACCCTATACCTGCATTCGATGAACCATTTAGTAAGGTTCTTATTGACTGTGTTGGTCCATTACCAAAAACAAAATCTGGTAATCAATATTTACTCACTATTCTTTGTATGGCCACACGGTTTCCAGAAGCGATTCCACTTAGAAATATCAAAGCCAAAAACATAGTGAAATCACTCATCAAATTTTTCACCTTAGTTGGACTGCCAAAAGATCTCCAGTCTGATCAGGGCTCAAATTTCATGTCAGGCTTATTCCAACAAGTCATGGATACCTTGGGTATCAAACAGTGTAAGTCAAGTGCCTATCACCCAGAGTCTCAAGGAGCTCTAGAGCGTTACCATCAGACGCTTAAGACCATGATCAGAGCTTTCTGTTTTGAATATGAGAAAGACTGGGATGAGGGCATACCCTTGCTTCTGTTTGCTACCAGAGAGGCTAAGCAAGAATCATTAGGGTTCAGTCCATTTGAGCTAGTATTTGGTCATTCTGTGCGTGGTCCACTTAAATTGCTCAAAGAAAAGTGGCTGTCAGAAACTGAAAAGTTTAATCTGCTGAACTATGTCACTGGGTTTAAAGAGCGCCTATCAAAGGCTTGTGAAATAGCCAAAGAAAATTTGCTAAATAGCCAAGATAAAATGAAAACTTGGTATGACAGAAAAGTCAAAGAAAGATCTTTCCAGCCAGGTGACAAAGTTCTTATATTGCTGCCACTTCAGACAAATCCATTACAGGCAAAATTCTATGGTCCTTATGTAGTGGATTCCAAGGTCAATGACCTCAATTATATTGTCAAAACTCCAGATAGGCGCAAAGAAACACAACTGTGTCACATCAATATGATGAAAATGTACTTTGAGCCAGACAAAGAGCCTGGCTCAGTTAAACCTGTAGTCACTTTGGCACCTGCCCTAGTAAAAGAAACTGATCTACAAGATTCAGATGATACCAATTGTACTAATTTAGACTATGAAGATATCAAAGGTTTGTCTAGGTTAAAGAACTCTGAAGTATTATCAAATCTAGATCATAAATTGCATCATGTGACAAATGATCAAAAACAGCAAGTCACAGAATTAATTCATGAGTTCACTGATATCTTCTCTGATGTACCGACTAAGACATCTATAGCTTATCATGATGTTGAAGTCCAAGATGTAACCCCTATTAAGCAACATGCTTATAGAGTTAATCCATCAAAATCTGAAGATTTGAGAGCTGAGGTCAATTATATGTTAGAAAATGACATAATTGAAAAGAGCAATAGCCCATGGAGTTCACCTGCTTTCATTGTTCCAAAATCAAACGGTGGACGTAGGCTAGTGGTTAACTATATCAAGGTGAATCGAGTAACAAAGACCGATTCTTATCCAATACCACGAATTGATGACTGCATTGACAAAATTGGAACTGCTAAATATGTTAGTAAATTTGATCTCCTCAAAGGATTCCTAGGGGTTCCATTAACTGAAAGAGCAAAACAGGTATCTGCCTTTGTTACTCCTGATGGTTTGTACCAATTTAAAGTTATGCCATTTGGTATGAAAAATGCACCTGCTACATTTCAAAGAATGATGAACGGCTTATTAGCAGATCTCAAAAACACTGGTGTATACATCGATGATGTAATCGTCTATTCTGACACTTTTGATGAACACATGTGTTTGCTGCGTATGTTGTTTGAAAGAATCTCTCTGGCCAATTTAACCATCAATTTGGCTAAGAGTGAATTTTGTAAAGCCACAGTTGAATATCTGGGCCATGTGGTAGGTCAAGGACAGGTCAAACCAGTGAGTGCCAAAGTGGAATCAATTACACAACTCCCAGCTCCTACTAACAAGAAAGAATTAATGAGAAGTCTTGGAATGGCTGGCTTTTATAGGAAGTTTTGTCCAAATTTCTCTTCAATTGCTCTTCCATTGACCAATTTACTTGGGAAAAACATCAAATATGTGTGGTCTGAGCAATGTCATACAGCCTTTGATAAAATCAAGGCCATACTTAGTGAAGAACCAGTGCTTGTTGCACCTGATTTTAGCAAGCCATTCAAAATTCAAGTAGATGCTTCTGATGTAGGAATGGGGGCTGTCCTATTACAAGAAAGGGATGGTATTGATCATCCAGTGTGTTATTATTCGAAGAAATTTGATAAGCATCAGAAAAACTACTCCACCATAGAAAAGGAATGTCTAGCATTACTTCTGTCATTACAACATTTTGAAGTATATGTTAGTGCACCAGTCCATGCAGTTACTGTATTTACTGATCACAATCCACTGACATTCCTTCATAGAATGAAGAACAAGAATCGTAGATTGTTGAGGTGGAGTCTGTTATTGTCAGAGTACAATCTTGACATAAGACACATCATAGGCAAGGATAATTTAATTGCTGACACTCTTTCAAGAGTGTAATACCTCTATTTTTAAGAGGCTATTTGGCTTATACTGTATATACTTGAGGCTTTATGTTGATATAATAAAAAAGATTGTACTTCGAATGTGATTTGATAATATTATTGTAATATGTTTTTGGGTTTACTCAATCTGTAACAATATAAATATTATTGTATTTGACTATTGTAAACAAATGTTATGTAAGTCTCAACCTCATCATTAAAAATTGTAACCCTCGCTACACCAGATATTATTGTAAAAGTTTTTCATTGTATTCAAAACTTTTCTTTTAAGGAGGGAGGTGTTACAGTATTATATTCTATTATATTCACATTAAGTTTAGTTTATCAATATGCATATACTGTAACTGATCTTCATTAGAGATCTTAGGTCAAGTCAAGGTCACAATGACATTATATCTTGTAAACATAACTGAACTGAATGACTCATTAACTCTTGGCCTTCCAGAAAGTACTGGAACTGTAATCATTTAATCAAGATTGAATCATGTGACTTAAGATGTCCAATCAGTGTTATTTTCTAGAAATCGTAACTTCTTGAAACATTTGGACTATGCCTTTGCACTATATAATGAGAGAGCTGATTTAGACTGTCAGCAGAATTTCAAAGTTTATCAAAAGGACATCTTCTTAGCACATACTGTGGGAACATTTATAACACTACAAACATACAACCTGAGGACTTTATATGGACATATATTACAACACACACTATATACGGATTATCATATACATTCGTGGATTATCATAAACATTTGTGGATTATCATCAAACATTTGCGGATTATCATCAAACATTATTGGATACGAACATTATAGGATTACAACAAACATTATTGGATTATTACAAACATTGGAGAACTATTATCGATTATTGAAACATTTCGTGATCCGGAACATTCTCAAGTATCGTCAACGACATTTATCGACATCAAGAATAAGCCGTATCATTGATTGGACATCACATAAGTATTAAACCTCCTTTATATTATTGTTATATTATTTAGTTTTCAAAATATAAATATATTGTTATCATATTTTAATTGCTGTTTTTACTTTCTGTTATTTTCGAACGTAACAGAACCGCAATCAGAACCGAACCGAACTGTGAAATACAATCACCGAACCGAACCGTGAAATTTCAAACCGTGTGACCCCTAGTTTTTGGACACATGTTTTTGTTTGCCTTTTTGTTAATTTAAACACAGGTCCTTTGAAAGATCGTTGATTAAGTATGGACTTTGTGGTAATGCCCAATTGAAGGTCAACTATAAAAATGTGTTATCTTCCGAGAAAAAGTTAAGCTGTAATACATTATTTTATTTAACATTCACAAAGGCTCCAACTTACTTCCATCAGATCTTTAATGTAAGGAGTCCACCTGGACATTTGGTATGTTTGTTCACTGATGCGTTCCCTCCTGTTAAATGCCTGGTATGGTTGTTGGCCTCTGCGTCTACCACCCTGAAACACAATAAGGTTAGTATCAGTAGTATGTTATTTGAAACAGAGAATTCAATCCTGCCACGACTTGGGCCTGATGTAAAAAAGTGACATAAAAGAAAAACGTCAATTCTTGTATGTGAGAATAAAAAATCAATATTTAGTATTTCATGTTCATGCTCTCATGTTAAAGCATCTTAACAACATATTGCTGTCTAATTTGAATTTCTATTTTCTCAATATTCCTGACTATCAGAACTGGCAGATAATATAGTGGTTTTGTACAGAATCGGTAAGTCAACAAATACAGTGGGGACAAAATTCAAACATTTTACAGCATCATTAAAATGTACAATTCAACTGCATCATCACTATATGGGTCCATCTAAGGGAAGCATTCAAATACCATGGTGGTGACATAAACACTGAACAAACCACATTTATAGATAGTAAGATAAACAGAGAGTTAATGTTAAGACAAACTTACATCAGAAATGATTGGTACTCCCAAGTTTTGTAAGTTGGTTAAAATACACTTCTCTTCTGGGGGAATCTGGGCATGCTGCACTAACTTTGCAAGGTTCTCTTCAGATATACCTAAATGTATAATAAAAAAATACTGTAGTGGATGTATAATAAATCTGACTTAACAATATACCATATTTGAGGAAGGGGATATTTCAATGTCTGATTCAATAAATTCACACGTAATTCAAATAATGTAATCAAAAGTGGTCTTCTTTCATTTCCCATTCTGATCACCATCCTATCTTTGCCCTTACATCACACTATCAAAATGTTTGTGAAAACAAACAAATCACTTTTAGGAAATATTCATTGAGTGCAATTAATAATTTTAGTGATTCACTGAAAGATATAGATTGGACGGGTATAATTAATGAAAAGGTTGATATAAATGTGGCTTATAATTTGTTTGCAGACAAAATTAGTAGAAAATATGATGAATATTTCCCTGTAAAAGTCAAAAATACAAAAATTTACAAGAACTCAATTAAGCCTTGGCTCTCACATGGTATACTAACATCTGTGAAACAGAAAAATAAACTTTATCGAAATACTTTGAAACACCCAACGAAACAGAATCTAGCTGAATACAAAACTTTTCGAAACAAACTCCATAAATTAATCCGCAAAGCAGAAAGGAAATATTTTTGTGATAGATTTACTGAAACAAGCAATAATATCAAGAGTACTTGGTCTGTTATAAATGACTTCACCGCAAAAAATGTGATTCAGTTTTTCCAGATAAATTTTATGATGGAGATGATATTTTGACTGATAGAAAAGATATTGCTAATCATTTTAACAGATTTTTTTCTAATGTTGGACCTAAATTAGCATCAAAGATAAGTTCAAAAACGTCCCCTTTTACATTTATGGAAATCAATGAATCTTCTTTAGAACTTACTCCTGTGACTAAGAATGAAATCGAAAATTTAATGTCAGTTTTAAAAGATTGCTCACCAGGCCTAGATGAATTCAAACCAATAGTAGTTAAACATGCAAGAAATAACTTACTTTTACCATTTGTTCATATAGCAAACTTGTCTATCCATACAGGGGTTTTTCCCACTAAGTTGAAAACAGCCAAAGTTATCCCACTTTTTAAAAAAGGAAATACTTCAAAATTTTCAAACTATAGACCTATATCTCTACTTAGTGTCTTTTCTAAACTCTTAGAACAGATCATGAAAAATAGATTAATAACATTTATTGAAACATACAAACTTTTATTCAAAAATCAGTTTGGTTTTAGAAAACATTATTCAACTTATATGGCAATCCTCTCCTTCTTGGAAGAAGTGAGGATATCTCTAGATAAAAGCTCAACTCATGCTATTGGAATATTTTTAGATTTATCCAAAGCCTTCGATACAGTAAACCATGAAATTCTTCTAAAAAAACTTGAAAATTTTGGAATTCGCAATGTCGCAAAAAATTGGTTTGAAAGCTATTTATCTGATAGGAAAATCATTACTTCTTTTAACAACACTCTATCTGAAGAAAATATTATCACTTGTGGTGTACCTCAAGGGTCTGTTTTAGGCCCCATCTTATTCATTCTCTATATAAATGATTTACATAAGGTTTCAAATATTCTTAAATTTACTATTTTCGCAGATGATACAAATATCTTATGTTCAAACAAAGACCTTCATGATCTATACAGAAATGTAAATCTAGAAATGGAAAAGACATTAGAATGGTTCAAATCAAATAAACTTTCTTTGAATATAGACAAGACAAATTATATGCTATTTACAAGATCAAAGTTAAATATTGATGAAAATCAAGATTTTAATATAAAAATAGGGGGTAATATTCTTGAAAGAGTAATGCATACAAATTTTCTGGGAGTAACAATTGATTGTAAATTAAAATGGAATGAGCACATAAATAAGGTTATACATAAAATATCTAAAATTATTGGTATTCTGGGAAAGATTAAATATAAATTGAATACAAAAACCATGATTACCATTTATAATTCACTTATATTATCACAATTGAACTATTGCAACATCATATGGGGTAATGCATGTAAAACCTTTTTGAATAAATTGCTTTTGTTACAAAAACGTGCAGTGAGAATAATCACAAATTCTGACTTTTTAGCACATAGCCCACCTCTTTTTAAACAACTCAATTTTCTAGATATTTTTGACATACATAAGCTTGAAGTTGCAAAATTTCTTTATCAATACACAACAAAACCCGATGGCTTTCCTTTTGACATATTTGAAAATTATTTTACTCCAAATTTGATATTTCACGAACATGAGACAAGATTCCAAAATTGTCTTCACATGAAAAAATTTAGAACAATTATAGGTCAAAACTCAATAAAATATTCAGGTGCTCAGCTTTGGAATAATCTGCCAACTTGTTTGAAAACATTACCTTCCATTAACTGTTTTAAAAAGAATTTTAAAATTCATATGACATCAACCTATGATGAACTGAATTACTGACAAACATATATGTAGATTTTATATATTAGTGTGGGAGCAAAAGTCCAAATAAGAGGTTCCGTGTCCTTTTTAGAGGCGAGCTAAGCGACATATGTTTTCATGAACTATACGTGATACTGATCAAGAAAAATGATGTTGGCAATTCTGAATCCGCGACGGCGTTGCTATGGTAACCAAGTAAATATGCCACGCCCACTTTTAGGGGCTCTTTTCAGTGTATGGCCCCTATCTCTGTCATTATTGCTCAGATTTAGATGAAATTCACAGCAAATGGAAGGTAATGGATAACGCAATCAGGAAATATTAGATTGGCAATTCTGAATCCGATATGGCGTTGCTATGGTAACAAAGTAAATATCCCACACCCACTTTTAGGGGCTCTTTTCAGTGTTTGGTCCCTATCTTCGTCAATATTGCTCAGATTTAGGTGAAATTTGTACCAAATGAAAGATAATGGAAAGAGCAATCAAATAGTTTATAAAATATGCAAATAAGGTGATTTGCATATTAATTATGACGTCATAACCATTTGTTCTTGCACATTTAATTTTAATCATGATGTATAAATCTGGGAAATTATTGTCATTAAAATGGTCAGTAATGCTTTATTTTCGTTGAGTTTATTAGATTATGTCATTCATACATGTATGGTCATAAAAAATTGAAAAATGTTGTGAAAATATCCAATTCAAGTTGTTGCTATGGTAATGGTATGTTGCAAAACTATCTGCTGTAAAAATAATTCTTTGGGAAATGTTACATTTTGACCAGTTGACTGACATGTATTCCTTCGAAAATTTGATGGCAGAGAATATCCTAATAACGATAGAAACTTATCTAATTTAAATTGTGTTATATTATGATGTCACAATGGCAATTAATCAGGGGCGCAGCCAGCTTTCAATCAGGGGCGCAGCCAGCTTTCAATCAGAGTGGGAGGGGGGTGCGATCTCGGCATAAGCAACCCAAAAAATGTTTATTTTGTCTTAAATTTTACAAAAATTCCTTCAAAATTGAGCTAGAAGCTTCAAGTCAAAAGCATTTTAAATCTCTTCTACCCTCTAATGGTTCTATTTTTATTGGTTAATGGGAGGGGGTGGGGGTGCCCCCATCACACCCCCTGGCTATGCCTATGTTTGCTATGGTATTCAGGTGAATATGCCGTCCCCAATTTCAGGTCTTTTCCAAAGTTTTGATTCTATCAGTTGTCATGATGATAGCTCTGGTGTATATGAAATTTTCATCAAATGGAAACTAAAGAATCAGACAATGCATGGGGAATTGACAGACTTGAATGTAGATTGACAGACTGGCATACCTGTTATGGTATGACTATCATAGCTGTTTTCGTGATTATTTTCTTGAAATAAGGTAAAATTGCTCAAGATGATTCCAAAAAGGTACCTTTGGTCCATTGACATTCACCATAAAAGTAGGTCAAAGCTGAAAACTATGATTGATTTTCATTCTATTTCTTTACATGTATAAAGTATGATCAAGAAATATTATGGGCAATTCTGAATCTGCGATGCCGTTGCTATGGTAACTAAGTAAATATGCCATGCCCATTTTTAGGGGCTCTTTACAGTGTTTGGCCCCCATCTCCACCATTATTGCTCAGTTTTTGATGAAATTCAGACCAAATTGAAGGTAATAGATAATCCAATCAGGAGATATTAAGTTGACAATTCTGAATCAACAATGGCGTTGCTATGGTAACAAAGTGAATATGCCCCATCCACTTTTAGGGGCTCTTTTCAGTTTTTTGCTCTTATCTTCTTCATTATTGCTCAGATTTAGATGAAATTTGCACCAAATTAAAGGTAATAGATAGAGTAATCAGACAGTTAGTAAACTTTGCAAATAGGATGATTTGCACATTGATTATGATGTCATAACTGTTTGTTCTTGCATATTTTATCTTAATCATGATGTTCTAATCTGTGAAATTATTGTCTTTAAAATAGTCAGTAATGCTTCTAACTCGTTAATTAATTTCTTTCTTTTAGTTGAGTTTATAATTTTATTTCATTCATACTTGCATGGTCATAAAAACTGAATAAATCTAAAAATATAATGAAAATCTCCAATTTATGCCGTTGCTATGGTTACAGCACGTAGCAAAACTATCTGATGTAAAAAGAATTCTTTAGGAAATTTTACATTTTGATGAGTTGACTGACACATGTATTCTTTTTAAAATATGATGACAGAAAATAATCTTGTAACTATAAAAAATTATTTACTTTGGATTGTGTTATATTATGATGCCATTATGGCAATTATTAATCAGGGGTGCAGCCAGCATTCAGTTTGGAGAGGGGGGGATTGCAATTGAAGCATAAGCAACCCAAAAATGTTTTTAAGATTTGTTTTGAATTTTACAAAAACTGATGCAACTTCCTTCAAAACTGATCTAGAATCTTCAAGTCAAAATGATTTTAAAGCTCTCCTTCTATTTAATGGTTATATTTTTTGGTTCATAGGGGCGCACCCATCGCACCCCCTGGCAATGCCTGTTAATCCAATATGATGTTGCTATGGTAACTAGGTGAATATGCCATCCCCGCTGTTCAGGGCTTTTCCAAAGTTTTGCTTCTATCTTTGTCATGATTACAGCTTGAGCGTATATGAAATATTCACCAAACTGAAGCTAAAGATTCAGACAATGCATGGATTATGTCAATTGACTGACTGGCATACCCATTGTCGCATTAATAGCTGCTAATGGTTTTGAAATCCGAAAAATATGTTCAATGTCAATTTACATAAAAAATAATATCATTTTATGGTATAGGTCAATTCTTTAGCCTATTTCATCTTTTAGGTCATGTAGACATAACTGTACCAATTTTGAACCGAATGGTCGGATGTCGGATTTCAAAACCAACAGCATATCTGAAATCAGGGGCTTCCATACTTCATACTTGTAAAGAAATGGAATCAATCATAGTTTTCAGCTTTGGCCTCATTTTATGGTGAATGTCAAAGGACAAGGTTCTAATTTGGAACCATTTTGAGCAATTTTGCCTTATTTCAAGAGATAATCACAAAAAGCAGCTATGATACCATAACAGGTACTGTACTCCTGGTATTTTTCGCCTGCTATTTAGTTTCGTGCTTGGTAAAATCGCAAAAAATAAGCTTAGCGAAATTGTCAATTAAATCCCAGGGATTTGTGAAATTTATTATTACATTTCGTGTTTTGTAAAATGTTTTTCAAGTGTTTTTAGGCGATTAATGGAATAGTTAGTAGCAATGTCTATTACAGTGGAATCATTTTGAGCAATTTTACTTTATTTCAAGAAAATAATCACAAAAAGGAGCTATGATAACCTAACAGGTACTTAGTATGTCAGTCAGCCAATCTACATTATTCATGTATTGTCTGATTCACCTAGCATATTCACCTAATGGTTACCATAGCAACATCATATTGGATTAACATAGGGAGTGCTTAGAGGAATGGGGGTGCGCTGGGTTCACTCACCCCCTAATAACCAATAAAAATAGAACCATTAGATAAAAGAAGACTTTTAACTTGAAGCTTTTTGCTAAATTTTGAAGGAAGTTGCATCAATCTTTGTAATATTCAAAACCTATCTTATAAATACTTTTGGGTTGCCTGTGCCACGATCGCAGGCCCCCATCTGACCGAAAGCTGGCTGCGCTCCTTATTAAAAATTGCCATTAGGACACCATAATATAACACAATCCAAATTTGATAACTATGGTTATTAGATTATTTTCTGTCACCAAATTTTAAAAAGAATACATGTCAGTCAACTGGTCAAAATGTAACATTTCCTAAAGAATTCTAGTTTACAGCAGATAGTTTTGTTACATGCTGTCACCAAAGCAACAGTGTGAATTGGACACTTTCATTATATTTATTCAATTTTTATGATCATACATGTATGAATGAAATAAACTAATAAAGTCAACTAAAAGAAATAAACTAAACTAATTAAAAGCATTATACTGACCATTTTAAAGACAATGATTTCCCAGATTTATACATTATGATTAAAATTAAATATGCAAGAACAAACAGTTATGACGTCATAGTTGAAAGGCAAATCTCCATATTTGCACATTTTAAAAATTGTTTGATTGCTCTTTCTATTACCTTTAATTTGGTGCAAATTTCATCTAAATCTGAGCAATAATGACAAAGTAAGGGGTCAAACACTGAAAATAGCTCCGAAAAGTGGGTGTGGCATATTTACTTTGTTACCATAGCAACGCCATATCGGATTCAGAATTGCCAACTCAATATTTCTTGATTGCGTTATCCATTACCTTCCATTTGGTGTGAATTTCATCTAAATCTGAGCAATAATGGCAGAGATAGGGGCCATACACTGAAAAGAGACCCTAAAAGTGGGCGTGGCATATTTACTTGGTTACCATAGCAACCCCGTCGCGGACTCAGAATTGCCAACATCATTTTTCTTGGTAAGTATCACGTATAGTTCATGAAAACATATGTCGCTTAGCTCGCCTCTAAAAAGGAAACGGAATGACCTTTGCTCCCATACTATATTGTTATCAATTTTATTCTCATTTAACTGAGTAAATATATTTAAATTGTTCTTTTTTTCTCATTTCCATTTGACTCAGGTTAATATTTAAATGTTTTCACGCTGATACACTTACTAAAAGTGTCAAGTGTTATTATGTATTTGATTTTAATTTTAGAGTATAAATATTTTTAATAAAAAAAAAAAAAAAAAAAAAAAATCAACAATAAACAATAGATTCAAACAGGTATCTTCAAGCAATGTTTACACTATTTTTGTCTTTTTATGAAACAGGACACTTTATACAATTACAAATTTTAATGAAAAAGTAAACTTATCTATTTGTCTATTGGGCTCTCGAATCAGAAATAGCAAGCAATCTTTCTTTTTTAATAAAACCTTTGAATTAAAATAAGATCTAATTATAAAAGATACCAGATGACAATAAGGCACAGAACCACTTACCTCCTTTGTGAATGATATACAGTAGAATGATTCTTATTTTGTCATACGCAGAGACATTTTGATCTAGAAGTATTGGTACAATGTTCCTCATGTGGTCTTTAATTCTCTCTCCCTCTCCATCAACACCCATAGCCAAGTCCTACAATTTCATTTACAGTTTATTTGATAAACCATCACCCAATCATTATTATTTATTTTTTTAATCATTTTATTTAACCTAGAAGGTAACAGTTAACAAGTACCATTATAACCCTCTAGGGTTCTACAATAAATACGTTACAATAGCATGTAAACTTAAATAAAAAATCATCCAATCCAATCATTATTGTCTGCTTAACATATATGCAATACAATTCAAACAGTTGACATAAAAACTATATAAAAACATTTTGTACAAAGTAGAAAGTTCAATTATCAGTGAAATATTCTAATACATTAGTTTTGTTTTGCATAATCTTGTTTGTTCATTTCCGATCAAATATTACAATTTTCTAGCCTCGAGTACCCTAGTACATGGAAAATACCAAAATTTTCCTTTTTTCTCGCATCCCTACCTCCTATGCATTTGTAAACATACTTCAAAATATAACTACAAAATATTACCTGTTCAACTTTACATAGTTTGTCGACGTGTCCCTGGTAGCATCTCATGGCATCCTCAGCCAAGTGTAAGTGGGTGGCGTACTTGCTCAGTTCTTTCTGGTACTGGGGCATCTTCTTCAACATAGACGATAGGTCCCTCATACTGGTTTGTGTCTTATCTCCTGCTGACTTCATCCGCTTCTCTGTCGCAAACTCCTTCAGTTTTCTTGTGACATTCCTGGTGGTAAATGTAAGATTCTATAATAGTTACTGATGGAAAAGTTGATTCACATATTTGATTTCAATCTATTAGCAATCAACTCATATTTACAATTATTGTTTGTAATTGTGTTTTATGTATATCATATTTTTGTAAAAAGATTTTACCCTCGTGCACTTACTGTGATACATTTGCGATGTGACCATGTCGTAAATCTGTCCACAATTCATCATTTTCATCTAGGAGAACTTCTTTCTCTATCACATCATTTCCCATTTGATTCTCATATCTGCAAGTATAACACATGGTATCAAATGACATCTATTTCTAATATCTGCAAGTATAACACATGTAATCAGATGACATCTATTTCTCATATCTGCAAGTATAACACATGTTATCAGATGACATCTATTTCTAATATCTGCAAGTATAACACATGTTATCAGATGACATCTATTTCTCATATCTGCAAGTATAACACATGTTATCAGATGACATCTATTTCTAATATCTGCAAGTATAACACATGTAATCAGATGACATCTATTTCTAATATCTTCAAGTATAACACATGTAATCAGATGACATCTATTTGTCTTATCTGAGAGTAGAATACATGGTATAATATGACATGAATCACCTAGACAACAAAACCTCAACTTCCAGTCATAGTGGCAATTAGGGGTGAGACGATTCGGAAAAATCCGATTCGAGTCGAATCCGATTCGAGTCAGAAAATGACGATTCGAGTTTCGAATCCGTTTCAAATCGCGAAAGTGCGAACAACATCGCTTTTGACCGTTCGTATTTTCAATGCATCAATGGTGGAAAGCCGGAAATATAAACAAACACAATTCGTCGTAAGTTTATTCTGATTTTATTACATATATTCTTTCATTTATGTGTACATACAATATAATAATTTAATACAAGCATATCCAAGTCATTGAAACTTATATATTCAACGCAATATCAAGTAAAAACATGCATATTGACAGTATTTTTCTGAATTTTTTTATTTTTTCGAATTTTTTTCTCAACTCGAAAATGATTCGATTCATCAACTTCGACTCGATTCGACTCGACTCGAAGCCCCAAACCCGCGAGTCCTCGACTCATCGGGTTGTCGTCTCACCCCAAATGGCAATACATAAATATAAAAAAAGAAATTCGTTCTTTGCTTACTTGTTTTTCAACCATTTTTTCACGATCCATACAATTAATAAATATTATGTTATTTGTTCGTCCAATTATAATTTCATGCTCTGAATGACTTCATGTATTGATAAACCCCTGTGTCACTGTTCATCGACTTGTGCTTTCCTCCAATGAACTTTATCAAAATAGTTATGCATGTACAATGTAATATGAGATGGCCTACCTGTACACATCATTCTCTATGGGTAGTAGATCGTAGACCATGGCTTGAAACGTCAGTTCATGAAGTAGGGCAGATATGGGATCAAACCCTCTGTCCAGTATGACCAGCTGGGACCTGTCTCGTCCGGGACCCTGAATAAACATACATATTTATAAAATGCGATGAAAATAAATTAAGGATACTTAGAACATGAGGAAAATCTGTGCAAAGTATATGTAACAGGTACTGTAGCTAGGATATATTTTTGGAATAAATCAGATTTACTGTAATCTCTTCCTTTGGAATCTCATATTGTTTTATTTTCATTGTAAGAAAGAAAATGTGGTGAGTAGCAGAAAGACAAGTATTCAATTATCACATAGTTTGAAAACTATCAGGATGCATGATTCTATATATATATCTTTTATCGACTCTTGTCCAACTGTCTTTTATTTTCATCAGATTGAAGAATTCGACAAGCAGGACATGTGGTGAACTATCAACCAATAAACTCCTCTTTCTTTGATGATGAAAATGGACATCAAAATTGTCAATAGATTGCATTAAAAACACAGTAGTTTTATGGTGTAAAATGTAAGCTCATTGCATTGATAAATAACAAAAAACACTTGAAACTGAATCATCTTTTGAGGTCATAATCACACCTTTGTACCAATATAGAGGTCTACAGTGAGATTTTGGTATTTCTAATAAAAAATGGAAAAGTCTCATAATCGTAAAAGCCAAACTTTACCAACAAAATCGTGACCAATATATGGGATTCATTATGTGACTGGTCTTTAATGAATAGGTCTGTATATAGAGTTATGGGAGAAGAGGAAAGTTAAATGGTACATAGTAATACCTGTATAAGTGGAATGCCTTCTGCCTCAAAATAATGCTCCACTTGGGAGGTGTTCAAAATGCTAAGTTTCGTTTTACATTTAAGTAAAGGCTGGGAGTATTCCAGTGAGGCCTCTATCAATGACATGCCCCCGTACGTGGTATTCCACGACATATGCAGTACCATTTTGTCCAGGATGACATAAAGTTTTCAGAAACCAATTTTGATATTTTCAAATATAGCTTAGATTCCAGATAATTAGCGTTAAAGTTACATAATCCATTGTTTTTGTATGTTATGAGAAACTGGACTTCGAAAAGAGTTTCAGTGTTCCGCTTAAAAAGACATTCCACTTAAAAGGTTTCACTGTATGTGTTCTATGCACTACCTGTCCCATAGTGTGATCATCTGCCTTGTATGCATCCAGCTTTTGCTGAACCAACTGTGCAAACTCTGCATTTCTAGGCCAATCACTGCAATAGGGGGAATGTAAGCAAGTCAGTCAACGCCACCAAAGTAAAATACTAGAGGTTTAAATTGAGGGATGTTAAACAGATTTTAAGTCAAAGTGGTCACGGTGTTTTTCAAAGAAATTTTCCTCCAAGTGGTTGCAAAATTCTTATTCTCACGATTCTGAACAATTTTTCATGATTTTTCTCATTTTCAAGTTGATGAGAATGTGTTTTCAAATAAACTTTGGCTCACTTTTCAAATCTCAGTTTGGTAAAGCGCCTACTTGTTTGAATCCTGGGAGATCACTGGGTTACAATGCTCCCCCTGTGAGTATGATCTCACTCGGTACAACTTATAAATATCTATTATCTGATTTATGTAGCATATTAGGCAGCTATATAATATGAGAACATGTCAGTTTAGAGATATTTACAAGCAATACTTATAAAGAGGGTTTATTTAGACCACTTAGACTTTGATCAGAAATTAAGGTTGAGAACTGCAAAGAAAATCAAAGCAAGCAGGTTAATCAAGCAAATCTCCACCTAAATCGGCATGATGTAGTTGTATGAATCAGGGTGTAAATGTTGCTAGAGTAGGCCAAGAAAAATCAATGTCTGTTTAGCAGTGCTAATCTAATCCTTTAAACCACCATAGTAAATGGGGAGTTTTTATTTAGACAAGTTCTAGTAATTGAAAGACCTTGGATAGTTTGTGGGTCTTTTATAGATAATCTGTAAAACAAACAATGATTTGAGGGGGTCTTATAGATACTAACACTCCCTTTGTCTTAGGAATAGGTATACAATGACTCGAGGGGAGAAATTATGTTGGCAAAGCTAAAATAGCATTGTCTTAATAGTTGACATAATGTACATGTAATAGCAATAATTTATTCTCAAAAGTCACCATATTTTTTCTTATTATGGTATGAATAAGGGTACAAATCTCAACACGTAATTGCCTATTAACTACCATTTTCTTAATATATAAATCTGGTCAAAATTTATTCAGATATCTATGTGACATATTACAAAGTTGAGATTTCCCCATACTAGAGTAGGTTATATAGTTGATGTCACCCTATAATGAAATGAATTCATTTGTTATTCCAACACCAGGTCACCCACTACCTAGCATGCAAAGAAGCAATCAAAGCATTTTAGAAGATTCATAAAATACCACCAATATTTTGATTACCATTCTTCTACATTTACCTTTCATTTAAACTCTCCAAGGGTAATGTCTTATTGTATGTGTACTATAGTTTAAAATGATGGTATGTATTTTATGAAAATCCTTTCAAAATAAAGAGGGGTTACACTAAACCAAACCATGTGCTCACACATGTCATCTGTTCATCCAATCACCATTGAAATCACCAATAGATGAGGTAAAGGATCATGGGATATGCTAACCACCATCCGTGTTCTACTGACCTGGCCCATAGTGGCATCATCTGCCTTGTAACCATCAAGTTTTTGCTGTACCATCTGGGCAAACTCCTGAGCCCCTTCTCCATCACTGTTCAATTGTGCCAATAGTTCAATTACCATGTACAACAATATAGAGTTTACATGGGTATAGCCAAGCATGAGGCAACTGCCATGCTAAATGTTACCTCTCTAGATTTCTTTTCTCACCTATTCTTGAGATGCTGGCTACACCCATTAACACTTAAATGGTGCTATCATACATATAATTAGAGTATACAGATACATGTATAGGATACTTCTGCATTAGGATTTTTCAAAATCTTTAATGAATATAAGTACAAAAACTCATTGAGAATTCTTCCCAGGCAAGCATACCTTTAATGTTCCACTAAAAGGTATTTTGGAATTAGAAAAATAGATTCAAGCGAAATGATAAATGCAGAAATAACAGAATAACAAAAAGGTATTTTATTTTTCATTAAACAATCAGTTATAACAACACCATCGTTCCTGTAAATTTTACAAAAAAACATAAACATACAAACAAATGAACACATCAACAATTATAAATTTTCCCATCATTGTTCAAAAAAGCTTTATTTCATGACTATAAATATTTCATTCATAAAATACATTGGCATACCTCCTATATCGTACTGATGGGTACTCTCCTAGTGTAGCACATAGTGTAGCTATCTGCTCTGCACATCGTTCTAAGTTCTGTGTACGACCTGACTGGTACTGTGGATTGTAGTAGTACTGGAATGTCTTGGGGGAATCCAAGGAGAAAACCTACAACGAAAGTAAAGGAAATTTATTTTACATCCATACACAGATGGGTTCCTGTTTAATACATTACAAGTTCTATTTTATTAATATAAATCAATTATAGAAACTTCCAATTCTATATCAAAATACTGTATTCCAAATAAAACCCCATTCATTTTTATATAAATATCTAATATCTACCGGACCATATTTTCTGTATTGGTATACAATACAACCCTGGACTATATTTACTGGTGGACTATAAATACGTTGACAGCAGTGACCGAATATATTGTCCGGTTAGATTTTGGTCCTATCTGTTATCTTTATTTTTAATGTATAGATGTCGTACTATAGTCGTACTATAATCTATACTTATCTGATATCTTATCAATGAATTCAAAAACACTGATGGCATCCAATCACGTTTAGGGTAGTGGTTAGAACAGTCTTCTGACTGTTGTCTATGGTGTGGATCGACTCCCACTCTTTCCTTATTTTTTTTTTATTTCTTTACTATATTCTGTATAAAATGGAACTAAACTGCATTGGCATATTCGTTTCCTCAATTTGCTGTGATGATTTTTAATACTAATTCACGTAAAGGAGACTATACATTCTACGTAATTCTGTCCCTGAGACAACTTATTCTTAATTTTCAAGATGTACGTGTCCATGCGGACTATATTTTCTGGTTGCTCCAGTCCCCAGGACAACTTATCCTAATTTTTCTAGTTATAGATGTCCAGGGAGACTTTGTTGTCTACTAACATTTGTCTAGAGACTATAAATACTGGGTGGTTTAGTCCCATTGGTAATACAATCAGTCAACATTACATAAAATACCGTGTTTTTTACAGAATGTTTTCAATGATTGGTTTAAGAGAAAAACATTGTTGAATTCAGTTCTCCATATCAATACCAATCCTTTGTGCCTTGAATGGAATCGAATAAATATTCATTTCGTTATAAATATTTATATTATGTTCTATTTTCACAGAAAAATGAAATGGCAAGGGTGACAAAAGATCATGGCATTATTATTTTATTATTTCTCAGGACTAATCAGTTTGAGACGGTATATTTAAAACGGAACCTTTAATGTAAGGGACATTCCACTTTTGGATGATATACAATTATAGGTGACATGGCTGTATTACACGAACGGTCTTGTATGTCAATGAACTGTTAATTATACATAGAGTCCTTTATTTATATGTCTAAAATATGGTCCGGTGTGACTTGTAAGAGACCATAATTTGGTATTTAAAGTCCGCCCCAGACACCCAGTTCTAGCACACGGACTAAAATATCTAAGGAAATATAGTCCATCAGACTTGTTATTCTATATAATATAGTCCAGGACAATATTTTCCAGGACTTATAGTCCAGCGGACCATATTTAGTACGGTCTATATATACGTTGACACCGGGCTTAATATACCGAAGAACAACCTATCATTTGTAATTTAAAAGATACTTACTTGACTTTCATATGGTAAGAATGCTATGTTAATTTCCTTCAGTGTTTTGATGTACTTTCCAGCTGGTGACTTGGACAGTTCGTTAAACAGCTCATCAGGACAAGCTACAATGGATAATTATATCAAATTGAGTAACTTGGGCAAGCTACAATGGATAATTATATCAAATTGAGTAACTTGGACAAGCTACAATGGATAATTAGATCAAATTGAGTATATTGGGCAAGCTACAATGGATAATTATATCAAATTGAGTAACTTGGGCAAGCTACAATGAATAATTAGATCAAATTGAGTAACTTGGGCAAGCTACAATGAATAATTATATCAAATTGAGTAACTTGGGCAAGCTACAATGAATAATTATATCAAATTGAGTATATTGGGCAAGCTACAATGAATAATTAGATCAAATTGAGTATATTGGACAACCTACAATGAATAATTATATCAAATTGAGTAACTTGGGCAAGCTACAATGAATAATTAGATCAAATTGAGTAACTTGGGCAAGCTACAATGAATAATTATATCAAATTGAGTAACTTGGGCAAGCTACAATGAATAATTATATCAAATTGAGTATATTGGGCAAGCTACAATGAATAATTAGATCAAATTGAGTATCTTGGGCAAGCTACAATGGATAATTAGATCAAATTGAGTAACTTGGGCAAGCTACAATGGATAATTAGATCAAATTGAGTAACTTGGGCAAGCTACAATGAATAATTAGATCAAATTGAGTAACTTGGGCAAGCTACAATGAATAATTAGATCAAATTGGGTATCTTGGGCAAGCTACAATGAATAATTAGATCAAATTGAGTAACTTGGGCAAGCTACAATGAATAATTAGATCAAATTGAGTATCTTGGGCAAGCTACAATACAAAATTGTATTAATTTGACATTTTGACTGATCCAGAAGTAATGTCAAAGATGTTGCTATTTCAATACAACTTGACTAAACATCTTGAAACTTGGTCCAGATGTTCCCTAAACATTAATGAGTTAATATCTAAAAAATAACATTTCCTATCATTTATTTTTTGTAATTCTAAATCTATTCTCAAGTATTTTTGCTCACAAAATAAACACCTGAAATATAAATGAATAGGGTGGGCCAAAACACCTGGTCCTTTACATAAACATGTCTAATAAACAATAACAGTTGACAGACAACACAAAAATTAAAATTCCCGACTCTTCAGATTCTAACATTTCTATTGAATTCCTTTTCAGCCATTTTTGATTTTTTAGCCAATCCTTGATCTTTCTGCAGAAAAGATCAGGGAAATGTTATCTAAATTAACATAAATATTCTATTATTCAGCCAAGAACTACAGAATAATTTCTCAAACAGGGAGATGTACATATTTTGAGTTAAAAAATGGTACTATAGACTATCAACTTTTAACTCATTGACATAGAAATACAGTCTAAACAGTATATGTTAAGTTATTGGAAGTTGTGAGAATTTGTTACAGACACCAACCACCAAACGCCATAAAAAAAACCGGAGGCCATAACAATATGTCACCACTTTTTGGTGGTGACATAATGATTTTAGACTTGGTGAACAGAGGTGGGGGTTAGAGTACAAGTAACAAGACTATTAAGTAACTTACCTTCTGTGAAATATACATGTGCACATTTGTACTGTAATGTATGGGTGGTTTTGAAGTCTTCTATCAAATTCCGAATGGACTGAAACATGAAAGAAGCTGATTTTACACATAGAACAATTTCATAATTGGATTTCTTTACAATTCCTTTTATTAACTGAACACTCTCTATTGTGTTAAACTATTTATCACCAAGTTGCAAGTATTATACAAAAATTTGTTTTTCATTCTATAGGGCGTCAAATAAGTCTGTTCTCCCCCTTAACTTTTTCAATTCAGAAATAACATAGGGTTGGTACATATCATCTTAAGGGAATTTAATTTGTTCATCACACACCAAATTTCAGAGTGATTGGTCAAATTCCAAATTTTTATAGACTATTTTTAGTGATGTCCATATTTCACTTTTTAACAGTCCGTATGTCTCCCCCAGTTTCCATAGTTGAAAATTATTTGACGCCCTGCAGATACTTTTGCATAAGAAAGCACTTGTTTTATGATTATCTAATAAGTGAAACTCTGTCAGAATGCCCCAGATTTTCTTTGTACAATGTATATCCTTTTAAGACCAGACTACCTCATATGTAGCACTTTGGATTTATAGTGACCTTTAATATCTGAGATTCCCATTCAATGTTCATTGAAAGTTGTGTCAATTGTCCATTGTTTGAAGTAGGTTGCTAAAGGTGGGGGGGGGGGTACTTACCTTCTCTGTAGGTGTTATAAGGTAGACAGCCTCCATTGACAACAAAGGTTCCCTTCTCTTGTTGATGTCTTCTACCACTGAAATATTAGATACAAAACTCAACTTCACTGCTTAGATATAATACATACAATTTAAATTGCTGCCAATGTATACAAATGACCAAATAAGTGATAATTCAAGAAAAACAGTGTCCATTTCAAATATTTTAGATATATCTATGCTACTGACCTATACTTTAATAGCAAATTGAAAAAAAAAAAAAAATTTGAGTAAGACTAGAAACAGACTGTTGTTTGGTGTGATGACATATGGGGTAATGAAAACAGAATGGCAGATTCAAAACGACAACGACACATGAACTACACAACTGCCATCTTTTAATCACACTAAAATACAAACAGTTCCTTACAAGTGATTCCATCAGACATGATTTCAGTCATTTTACAGCAAGCTGACAGCATCCTCATACTGAGTTGGTCTACCACCAGCACCTTCCAATCAGACCCCTTCACAGCACAAATAACATCTGTCAGAATTTCTGCAAACATAAAACATGTTATTACTAGAATGCGGAGAAGCACTACAGTATAGTGTCTACTTACTAGACAAGATTGTTGACACAGTTTCAACTTGCCTGACTTGAGAGCCTGGCTACCCTCAGGTATATGTTGTATATTCCAACTTGCTAGAATGCCTCAAGAAAACATGAACAAGACAGAAGTTGGTTCTTGTAAATTAATGGCGTATATGTACTGGTATGAGCCATTTCTTGTAGATGTGTGCTTGACTGTATATTATGTTATGTATTGCTGTTCTTGGTATGTATTGTATTGTATATTTATATCATTCCTTGCCGGGTCTTTGTCTAATGAAGGAACTATGGGCTTGTGGTCACACATCAAACTAACAAAATGGGACTTTCTTCATGACGAAATCACCAATTCTTTGAAATCAAAAGAACTGTGACAACCATTGGTGGTATGATGTCTCAAATGTCACCACCTGTCATTTGTTAAAAACACTGAATGCCAAATTCCAACTTCCGAATACCAACCAACACCACAAAAAAGTTAGAGACTATAACAATATGTCACAACTTGTGGTGTTGACATTATGAATATACATATTCATATGATTTAGTTAAAATAGAAGTTTAAATATATACCACTAATGTTGATGGATTGACAAACCAACAGTTATATATGAACATAACAATTGATGGACACCTTTCTAAACTGTTGAAGCCAACAACCTGGCTTTCTGCAGATTCACTGCTATGGAGGATACCAAGGAATAAGAAATTTTCACCTATTCAAAATTGTTAATAGTCTTCTTATATGAGTTCTATGTAATGTTCAGGTACTATACAAATATTTCATTCTCTGATTGGTCGACATCTTTCAAATGCCTACAGATATTTTAGTTGACGGTAACAGTTAGTTGAAGTTACCAGAAAAAAGTAAAATGTGAATGAATAATTGAAGTTACCAGAAAAAAGTAAAATGTGAATGAATAAATGTGCTTCAAACCTTTTCAAACATGGCAAAAACAATCTGATCGGGATACAAAATCAAAACAGAAAATATTGATTGAAGACCCCTTCATGTAACTGTAAGCATTTACAATCAACATCCACAAAGTAACCAGCAAATATTTTAAACTCTAGTCCACCATATAAAGAAAACGAGACATTATTGTAATTCCATCGATACATATAATAATAACATAATAACAAAACTAGAAATTAGTAAATTCCGACCAAAAATAGCTTCCTGGATGTTTCATCAATACATTGGTAGATGGTACAAAGATGCAATTTGCTAGATTCACAATATGCATGGTTATTGATTTTGTAGATGTTGTGAGCCTGAATCCAAGTATTCAATTGATTTACTGCTGTGGTAGATGCGTCCCAAGAGAATTACCCAATAAGACCAGATGTATGCTGAGAATTCCAATACTGTGAGATTAGTTCATCATAAACAGTATTTCTTATCTCTGCTATAGCATAAAAGGAAAGAATATAAATGCAATGCTTGTCTTTACGGAAAACAGCCATAGCTGAATTCCTTAATTTAAATGCAATAACGGAAATTCCAAATCAAACAACAATAGAGCTAAGTAGACCTGACATATATTTAGAAGCATCTAAATAGATAAATACCCCCCAAAATTGATGATAAATTTAATAAAAAGCTGCACATCGCTAGAAATCCAATTTTGGGTTGTTCCAGGGTCAACTGTAAAGTTTTGAGCTATAAAGAAAGATTTGGTGAACAAATGTGCAAATACACATGATAAATATGACATTATGAGGATTGTTCCTTAAATTGCTTAGATTGTTGCCAACAGTTTGATTTTTGGAAGTTTTTTTTATAGAATATGACATCACTACTGATTTAGAACATTCAACAGAATTTGCTGTAAACATATATGTTCACATAAATTGCATTTTAGAACGATGTGTAGGTTTAAAATACACCTTTCATTTTATTTTTTACAGTGCCGGGTGAATTCATGAATACATAAATATTTATCAAATCAAATTGTTACCATTCAAAAAATGACCATTGCATTGATAATGTGTACATTTTCAGATTTTTTTTATATGATAATTAGGGAGAAATAATTGTTGAATTTAGTTCACCAAATCATAAATAGTCTTCTTTAAAATGTAGAAATCTTGGTATTTCTTGGTACCAAAATGTCATGTTTCAGCCTTTACCAAAATGAGATGTTTTCACCTTCTGACCCGAATCACAGACTTACTGTAGACTTCAAGGGATTTTTTCAGGGAGAATACTACATTTGCTAATTAATTGAAAATATCCCTTGATGACATGATTTCAAGTGTTATGGTTTCATTATACCATTTACTTCATTATGAACATAGCATCAGTTACGTGATCGACAAAATGGAGAAGCTCAATTTCCCAAAAATTAATGTTCAGACTAGGCTGCATCTTCATTGTCTTAGTCTTGTTTGACAGAGTTTCACAATGTAACCTGGGCACCAAAGGACATACAGCATACTGGTAAGAAAACACATAAGAAGAACATTTTACATAAATTTCTTATTTTTCAGGGCCAAAATTGTTAAGGAAACAGTAAGAATTTATCCCGTGCAAGGAAGGACTATAGTCCTGAGAAGGTGTCAATCTTTTGCCTGTATGGTTACAACATGGGAGAAAAATCTATGCCTCACACATTTAAAATACCTACCTCAATATATTCCTGAGTATTTTAGCATTCTTTTGTAGTTGAATGCCCAATCATTTGGGTTGAACAGCTGAATAATGACATTTTTCTTTATCATCGATAAAGATCTCTTCACTTTTCAAGATGGCGGTAGGTTTTAAAAGGTAACCCCCATTTGGTGTTTTGGCATCCAGGTCTGGTTGCTGTAAAGCCTGGATATACCAATAGATGGAGGAATATTGATGGTTGAAATAAGTTAATTTACACACAAAAATTGTGGTTAAAATGAAAATTTCCTCATTCTGTCAATAAATCGACACAATTGGGGATACAACTACAGATAAAAAGGAATACTAAAATATCCAGGAATTTATTGAGGTAGGTATTTTAAGTTTAGGAGACGTGGATCATTCTCCAATGTTGTAATTGTACAGGCAAAAGATTGAAACCTTCTCAAGACAATTGCCCTGGTACAGGATGAGCAAGAATCATTGTAAAGGCCTATAAAGGACATATATTATCCCGTGCCAGGACTATAGTCCTGAGAACGTCTCAATCTTTTGCCTGTACGATTACAACATGGGAGAATTTTCTACGCCTCTTACACTTAGATACCTACTTCAATAGTTTCCTGGGTATACTAGCAATTCTTTTTGTGTAGTTGAATCCACAATTATCTGGCTTTATAGGCAGAACGGGAACATTTTTCTTTTTCATCAAGAGAGATTCCATCACTTTTCAAGATGGCGGTTGGATTCAAAAGGGGATTCCCCGTTTGACTGGCCAAGAAGTGGACCGGAAGTACCAAAAATGGAGGTTGAAATAAGTTAAATATTACACGCAAATGTTGCAATCAGAAACGAAAATTTCTTCGTTCTGCCGATAAAGCCAGATAATTGTGGACTACACGAAAAGAATGCTAAAATACCAAGGAATCTATTGAAGTAGGTATCTTAAGTGTAAGACGCGCAGAAAATTCTCCCATGTTGTAATCGTACAGGCAAAAGATTGAGACGTTCTCAGGACTATAGTCCTGGCACGGATAGAGTTACAATAGAGTCCTGGAACAAAATGAATCCGACCACATAATGTAAATGAGATGGACTATATTGGAGAAATTTGTGCTTCGGGTCAAGCTCTTGGGAAACAATCATTGGTTCGACCTTGTAAAAAAAGTAAACAAATCAAATCAGGAAATATTTGTTCGAAAATCAATTTTCATTTTAGGATTACAACTCAATTCCTATTTTATGCGTGACCCGATTTTGTTTTTCTTGTCACAATACAATAAACATAACTTGGTACATATATATGCAAAATAATTTATGAATTTATAATAGAAGTACTGAGTTAATTGAATAAATACTTACTCTGATGAACTGCATTTTTCAACGCCATCTTGAAATTTTGTCGAAGACCCCTTGAATTGATAGTAAAATAAATCCCCGGGGAAACACTGAACGAAAATATCTTTACAACCCGGGAGATTCAAAAGTCACATGGAGGACTAACCAAACCAGTCTGGCCCAGTTATCTACTCCTGACGTCCTAGATCTACGACATTTCAAAATCGGGGAATAGATAACTGGGCCAGACGAGTTTGGTTAATGGAGGACAAGATCACATTAGTAACTATTAGGCATTGCATTATATTTTAGAACAAAATGGGGACTTACATTTTTTCGACACTTTAATTTATCAAACTGATAAGAATTAGTATCTGTCAATTGTTCAAAATGTGTATTACAACTGAATATATTAAAGAAATCCGTAAAGAATGCTGGTATTGAAATTCATGCACTTTTGGGCATGTATGATAAAAGCGAGCCTGGCAGATTGCCCATACTCACTTATAAGGAAACACATTCTATCCTGCACTTGGTTGGAGGACTGTACCAGGGATTTTGTAAAACTGACTGAATTCAATGACTCAAATTCAAAAAGGAAATGAAACATCTGAAATTTGAGATTGACAAAAGTTTTGTGAACCAGGGGAAAACGAAAAAAGTCAAACGCTGAAAATCATTGACTTTTGAAAAATAAAGGCTGGACTAAACATGATTGAATAATCCACACATGATATATCGTGTAATGATTCTTGGTGAAGAATGCTGAATATATTTCATCAATTAGTTATATACTAATATACATAAAAGAACATCATTTTGTTTCATATATGATCTGTATTTACATATAATATACAATTCTATATAGCTGTACATCAATTTAACAAATACATGGAATACATGAACACTTAAAATACAAAAATCAATGAATTTTTACTGGCCCCTCGTCTATTGCATTCTAATCCATATATAAACGGCATTTTGTAAATAGGTAGTACCCAAACCCCATTATGCCATGTTCTTCCACCCCTGGCTACCATACAGTAGCAAGGCTTCAGCTAGGGGCTTCCCCTTATGATACATATTTACCAAATATGGTAATGCCTTTTGTAGCCATGATGCAATGTGGAAATGCATGACATAACAGAGTGAAAATTCTACCCCATGCCAATAGTTTTTTTTAATGATTCAATCAAGTTTGAAACTGCACTGTGTTTATTTGTGGCTGGTCAAATGCCTTATCGGATAAACGTCTTTCTTCGGCCCTTGGCACTTTAGACCAATCAAAGCTTGAATATGTGTATGCTGCTTTTTTCATTGTTCTTGATGCAACTGCGTCATCTATTGTGTCATATGGAGGACTGGAAAGGGATTATATATTAATTAAATCAAACTTCATGTACATAAACAGATTTTTATTTAATAAATGTGTCAGTTGCTCGTATAGAATTAGATTACTTTAATTCTAAATACATAGTTGTTCTAATTTACTTACTTAATCTACAATTTACAGTACAATATAAGCAACCCCTCCATGTTACATTAGAAGTCTTCATGTTATAAGAATAAGAAAGAAAACAGTTTTTAACTCAAGCTTCTAATTAAGTATCTTGTCACTTTTTAATTAATTAAATTAAAATCTAGGAAAAATATTTTTAAAAGCCCAGTATAGGAATACATTTCTATATAAAAACTGAAATAGAACTGCTTCACCATAACTTCTTTTCGTGACCCCTCTTTCAATAATTACTTTCTAGTTGTGTTGAAGTTAGAGCATACTTGCCAACCTAAGACCAAAATTTTGCGGTAGATTTTTTTAAAATTGCTGTATTTTTACGGTAGATTTTTTCAAAATGCGGTAGATTTTACGGTATTTTTCAACAAAAATGCGGTAGTTTTTGCGGTAGATTTTTAAAAAAATGGTAGTTTTTGCGGTAGATTTAAAAAAAAACGGTAGTTTTTGCGGTAAATTTTTTAAAAAACGGTAATTTTTGCGGTAGATTTTTAAAAAATACTGTAGTTTCAGAGGTTTGGGGTAGATTTTTGAAAAAAGTGTAATTTTGCGGTAGAAATTTTAAAAAAGGGGTTGTTTTACAGAAGATTTAGAAAAATGCGGTAGTTTTACGGTAGATTTTTAAAAATACGGTAATATTTACGGTAGTTTTTTGAAAAATCGTTAGTTTTGCGGAAGATTCTGAAAAAATGCAGTAGTTTTACGGTAGATTTTGAAAAAATGTGGTAGTTTTTACGGTAGTTATTTGAAAAACCGGTAGTTTTGTGGAAGATTTTGAAAAAATGCTGTAGTTTTACGGTAGATTTCGAAAAATGCGGTAGTTTTTACGGTAATTTTTTGAAAAACAGGTACATTTGCGGAAGATTTGCAAAAGATGCATTACTTTTACGGTAGATTTTGAAAAAATGCGGTAGTTTTTGCGGTAGATTTTTAAAAAACTAGTTTTGCGGAAAAATTTGAAAAAATGCAATAGTTTTGCGGTAGATTTTGAAAAAATGTGGTAGTTTTTGCTGTAGATTTCTAAAAAACTAATGAATAAAACAGTATGGTAACCCTGTTATCACACCAAACTAGTTCTCACTACGTTCTCAAAAACGGGCTTAAACCGTGCACAAACGGATTTGACGTACTATGAACCCACTAAGAACCGTTTGGGATCTGTTACAAACTTCATGAAACTACTCGAACGAGTAGGTCCTCCAGAACTTAGAGCATGCTCAAAATTTTCTGGTGATCGTCATGTTCTGCAATCAGCACGAGTGATAACGTACTTAAGACGACCTGGACGCACTGGGGACACACTACGAACGGAAGTGTCGTACTTTAATCCTACTAGGGACGTATTACGACGTTGTGTAGTCAGGCGTAAATTGCAGCCGTGAGTACCCCAATCTAGTCCGTTTGTAGCTCGTTCATTCTGTTCGTAGACAGAACCAACTCGACCGAATAAAAATAAATGCGTTCTGCACGGATTAGGGACACGATGTTTACTATTTTAGAACGAGTTCAACCGTATGGAAATTTGGTGGATAATTCAGTAACATATTAGGACGTATTGAGAACGAGGTACAACTAATTGTCAACTGGTTTAAACTGATTAAGGACGTAATTGAACTGCTTGGTTACGTTGTGTAGACCAGACGAACGCACAATTTAACCCCATCTAAACTTGATACCAACGTACTGCAGACGGAATAAAGACAAGATGAACGTATTAAAAACTGCTTATGAACGAATTAACAAAAATAGCGATCACACCAGAACCAGTTGTCTCTGCGTTCTGCAAAACGTTGCCGAATCGGTTTTAAACTGTGTGCGAACTGAATGAACGTAGCTACAACGTTCTACGGTCTGTTTACGAACTTTATGGACTTTCCCGGACGGGAAATGTGATTTAGAATTTTGAATCGATTCAACATCCTGCCGATACCTTATATTCGGTTTGGTAAAGGAATATTACAGGGACAGTACAGAAAGACTTCAATTTTAAGCATTTCCAAACAAAAACGGGAGATTTTACGGTAGTTTGAACAAAAATACTGTTGATTTTAGCAGAAATACGGTAGATTTTCAAACATTTACGGTAGATTTTCAAAAATTTACGGTAGATTTTACGGCTCTTCTCATGGAAAAAACGAGTTTTTTAAAAAAAAATTTACGGTAGATTTCGGAAAAAATACGGTAGATATTTTTACGGGCGTTTTTACGGGAAAAAAATGGCATTTTCTTACGGTAATTTGTCATTTTTTACGGAAAAACGAAAAATTTACGGTAGATTCCCGTAAAAATACGGTAGGTTGGCAGGTATGTAGAGTTTGGGTAAGAAATGGTTACCATGCCATTATTTGATTAAATTAAAATCTAGGAAAATATTTTTAAAAAGCCCAATAGAATACATTTCTAAATAAAAATTGAAAATAGAACGGCTTCACCATAACCTCTTTTCGTGACCCCTCTCTCAATTACTTTCTAGTTGTGTTAAGATATAGAGTATGGGTAAGAATTGGTTACCGTGCCACTATTTGATTAAATTAAAATCTAGGAAAGTATTTTTAAAAAGCCCAATAGAATACATTTCTAAATAAAATTGAAAATAATCCCACTTATCCTTTTCCTAAATTAGCTTTCACAACCTAGTGTTAATTTAGGGCATGGGGTAGAGTGAGAGAAAACATACCATTTGTGAGTAACATGGTCTTCATTAAAATGGGATCTACAAGTTACATGCAAAGTAAAGATAAGTTTTTCCTAATTGAATTTGACCTTTCAGATTGATCTGTTTGAGCTAATATCAATAGTATTGCTTCCCCATAATCTCTATAATAATAATTTTGTGCCCCCCCCCCCCCTTCACCAATTACAATCTACTTTACTTTTTTGGAGATTTTAGGTAAAAATAACTAAATATTGGCATAAATAGCATCTTTTTGTCAAAATAATTAAAGTTGCTGTCAAAAATTGAGCCCCTTGAAAGAATTTAAGCTGGCTAAGGGTAAGTCAACCACTATGTGGATATTACAGTGAGAGAGTGATCTTTCTAATGTGCATGCAAAACCTCTCAAAAATGTTGACGTTTAACGTTTTAAAATCTGTTGTAACGTGAGACAGACATATTAAAACAAGGCATTAACATTCAAAATGTCACCATCTGCCATTTGTTACAGATGCCAAATGCCGCCCACCGGACACCTTCACAAAAAAGTTGGAGACTATAACAATATGTCACCACTTGTGGAGGTGACATAAAAAATGATGTGACAGATATATTTTTCATGCAACATGTCCATGCTTATCTATTCTTAATAATTTACCTGTATGCTCTGTGTTTTCTGTATATTGATTGATTAATAACAAAACAAATGATATTAAACAAACAACAATAATCCAAGTTATACAACTGTACACAAAATGAGTGTACTTTACAAACAAAAACTATTTTTATTAAAATACAACAAAAATCAAAAAAATACAGTAATTCATGTGTGTCGGACTTACTTGTCTAGAAGGAAGTTGTTCGCAACATTTTTCACTGAAAATAGATAAATATAACTTGTTATAATATTGATATTTGCACTTGTTTATTTGAATGACCAATGTTGGCTTAAACGTTTTGGCTGAACAGACATTTTTGATGGATTTCTTGAATATTTGGGTATTTTACATGACTCAAAAGCCAGAATTGAAAATGTAGTCTGGCAAATTAAAAAAAATACATGCAAAAAAAATATAACAAAAAAATAAATGTTGGACTTCATTTTTTGTTTATATTTGACAGTTTGAAAGTTTTAATGATTTTAAAATATTAAAAGTATTGTTTCTGTAAAATCTTAGCTAAAGCACTAATTACACTTCTGACAACTCCAGCTACATAATGAAGTCACTCAGAAGTTATTTATGATTGACCTGCTTTTCTGCAATGGCACTTAATTATATTTTAATGACATTTTAATGTAAAAAAGTACTGCAAATTGGCATCTTATTAATCATTACATATTCATTGTGTTCATTCTAAGCAAATACAAATACCATACAGAATGACAAACAAAAAAAACAACAACAAAATAGTTTTCTTACTTGGTACAGTGACTTGTAACTTTTCTCTATCAGCTGGGTGGTATATACTGGGTGGTCCATCAGATCTTCTTCCAAATGATATTGTGTCAGAAATTGAAGTATTTTTCTGGTCATATAACCTTTTAGCGGTGTCCCTTTCAGATTTTAATACAGCTAAAATCAAATATCACAAACACACGTCAGAGAAACTTTTAGTAGAAAAAAATGTAATGCAAAGTGTATGTTTGAAATAAATGTAAACTATAATTATTTGAATGCCAATATTTTTGAATGTTTTGCTTTAATACCATATTTGGTTATCCAAGAAGGTATAGATAGAAATTCATGAATCGAATGCAAGTATTTGATAAGTATGAATCTTGACAGCGTAAGAGAGTAATATAGTTACAAAAACATGTATTTTATAAACCATCTGAACATTCCCCAAACATAGGTGCCCTAGTGTGCTGATTTACATGCCTGTATTTTGTCATACACAGTGCTTTCAAACAAGAATGAAATCATGACAGATCCATGCAAGTTTCCAGAGAGATATAAGAGTCAGAGGAAGAAAATGATTTCCTTGTAATTTTATGTGTAGAATGCAGTTAGTGCAATGATTATTTGCCATCATTAGATCATAAATTTATTTGTTGAGAAAGACAGCCCCCAATGCCCAAAGTGGAAAAGGTGCAATAATATCCATGCATTTATCATACCGGTACTTACTATTATACATCTAAAACACATATAAGTACAACAAATACTGTTATTGAATATTTATATTTTCTTGATCAGCAATGTTAATCACAGCAGGCTAGGATGTAAATAAATACATGTTGTAGTTGTTAGTCTTGTTATAAACAAAATTTATTAAGGCAAGGATATATCTATGTTAAATGTTATGTTATCTTTGTTGATATTAATAGAATATTTTTCTCCATATTAAATTACATGTACTTGGAAAGCTAGGGTGAAAATAATCGATTTTAGCCTCATTAAAGATGCTAAAGCACAGATCATCTTGATAAACATGAAACATTTAACTAATGAAAAGGTTCAAATTAATGTAAAAACTATTAAACTGAAAAAAGTGTTTTATTGTTTTGATAAAGTTTCCCCCTCACCTTGTCTGTCTAGTAGTTCTACCGATGGTACATGATGTATAACATACAGTCTGTACTCCTCCTCCTGAGAGATTGGGTTATTAAACAAATCTAAAAGTCAACATTTTATATCTTTAAAATATAGTTAAATAGGTCATCTAAATCATGAATGAAAAGTACAACATTGGGAATTATTTAAAGATATGGTGCAGCTACTTTTTTACTTATCAGATTTATCAGTTTTCCACATTTCAAGTCTTTGTCAAACCTTGTTTCGTTTTTGTTGGTGCACAATTTAGGAATAGTAAAAATTGCATGTTTTACAGTATAAACATCTACTTTATACATCACAATAATCATTAATTCTATTTTTGACATGACATGGTTGATTGACCTAACAGTAGCTTTTTGTCAATTACTCTGTGATTTTTATCAGTAGACAATTTAGAAAATGTAAAAATTGCATGCTTTACAGTAAATATGTGTAACCGTATATAACTCACTTAATACTTTGAGATTCTGCATTTTCCTCAGTTCATATATGACATTCTCTAGCTTGGTGAGTTGGTTGTCATGGAGATGAAGAACCTCCATACATGTGAGATGCTCTAGAGCTCCTGATATCTCCACCATTTCATTTTGATCTAAGTACAACTCTGCAAGTCTGAAGTTGTTGTTTAAACATCTTAGTCTTCTTAACTGTAATACAAGTAAAGAGGATGATGTCATTTTAGTAAACATCAATTCAATTTTGATAAAGCTATCTCGATATGTTGTTAAGCAATTTTATGAATGGTGAATTTATGTCAAATTGGAAAATATGCCTAACACAAGAGTGTGTATGCATAACTAAAGTGACAGTCACTTGTCAATAAGTGATATTAATGATCAATAAGTGACACAAGTGACATTATTAACATTATAACAGGCAGATGACAAATGGATGACATTCCTACAAAATTAAGACATTAGAGACAACAAAAATATAGACAATTTGAGAGCAAGCATTTAATTCTTATATAACTTGTAAATAGATATTTTTGATCAGATATCTCAAATTTTTCACAAAATAAATAAGAATTGTTAGGGAAACAAACAATAGCATATTTTTCTTTGTTTTTATTTTTTACTAGGGAATATAAAAATCCATGAAAACAAGGTCTCAATGTTCAGAGACTTATTATTGACAATTGTTGCTTTCACTGTTTATTCAAACTGGATAGCTTTCTCAGAAAAGGCTGGCCTCATTATAAATCTAAACTTAAGTAAAAAATAGTGTGCAACATTGTATTTTTCGCTAATGTATATGAACATTCAAAGTGTAATCATGCTTCATTCTTTGCTAGGCATTTCATACTATTTTTGGATCAATTTGTTTTATAATTGAACTGTATTGTTCATGTATTTGTACATATGCTAAAAGTTAAATTGAATAATAAAAAATATATATATGTATATTTTTCAAAAAGATTGCTCCAACCACTCTAATCTTTGCTAACACATAAGTCAATGATGTCACGATCTAATGCAACAATTTTGCAGACAAATGTAACAATTGATTATCTTACCCTGTTTTTACTGAGATAAAGATGTCTGAGATTAGGAAATCTGGATAGGTCACAAACATCAGTCAAATTCCTGAAATCATAAATATGACTATCAGAGAATATAATAAACCTATAGTTTTACAAGATAACATGAGAAAGCAAACTTTTTTTACTTCTAAACTGATAATGTTGGATGAAGCATTTCATTAATCCTTACACAGTATTGTATTTTAGGCTAGCAAAAAGAAAACTATTACAATTTCTGTGGTGGAAAATGTTTTAATACCTCAAAAGAAGATCGATTTTACATTAGTAAATAATCCCTGTTCCACTTATGAAGGTGTTTCAATTTCAGAGGTGTTCAACATCAGGAATAATAAATTGTTGAAGAATTTCATTTTCCACCAATGAACATGAACCAAGTGAGCAATTTCTCCTGGGCAATAATTGTAAAATAAAAGTCTAAAAGTCTATTAACAGTGTAAATACATACTTCTCAGACAAGTATAGCTCCTTTACATCAACATCCCTCTTGTTCTGTTTTGCTTGAAGCTGCTGCTCCACCAACTATAAGCAATTAAAGGGTGTCAATGACAACATCCTTTTTGTCCAATTACGAAACACTATACAATTGTCATGAAATGCAATACCATCATGAGGCCCCAGCTTTCACTTTCTTTTTTTCATGGGTTTGAACTTTTATATTAAATTAAAATAGCCAAAAGCCTTTCAAAAGTGAAAATCAAGCTTTTATTTGTGGTATCATATCAATACTAAGATCCTACACATTACCCTCTGTCAAAATTCTCATTTCCATCAATCTTCACCCTCGTTTTAATAGCAACGTTTGTGTGTTATTAAACTTATTTCAATGTGCCCCAAACTGTAAATTATAGGGGTTATAATATACATGTACATTGTACAAAGTAGTGTACATATGAGAATGCAAGAGGACGATACAGAGACCTGGAATTGGATAACCTTCCCCCATTGATGGGATAAAAGTGGCAAATGAATAAGAGACTTGTGTAGTGTCTGTGTTTATATTCAGACAAATGAATGAATCACAATCTTTAAAAATCACTGATTAGGCCAAGCATCACCAAAGGCACGGACATCTAATACGTTCTTCGAATGAGATAAGATATCAATTATTTGAAATCCCAGAATCTCCTTTCGCCAGAACATTCTCTCTGACTGTGACCAAAAGTTGAGTGTGCGCATAGGCCTAGGGGAAAAGTGGAGTTACTTGTTAGATTACCACTTTTTGACAGCTGTATTATAATGTCAACTGCTCAATAATGATTAGATAAAAGAAAATACAAACTTTTTCTGCTTTCCCTGACATTTTTTTGTTGCTACAATAAATAATTCAGAGCTACTAATTATATGAGTACTAGTTTCAAAATGCTTTCATCTTCTTAATAATTGTTGTTTTGAACAATGCAATATCTGATGATATAAATTGGAAAGTTCTTATCATTGTTTTTTTAGTTGTATGTTTATCTAAGGTAATATGTAGCAAAAATAAAATACGAAACAATATATTCGAAAACAAAATGGCTGAATTCAAAAAAGTAAAATCGAAAGCTTTTCGTCGTAGAAAGCACTCAGAAAGCAGTGAAGAGGACTCAGAAAAAGAAAGTGATGTAACGTAAGTAAAAAATCACCAAAATGGATAAATTTGTAAGGATTTCATTTGTATGTGTCGCATATTTATGGAGAAAAGTAGTTTTGAATGTAACTTTATTTTTCTTGTGGGTGATAATAGACCTAGAAAACTGAAAATTACAATACAATTGTAGGATTTTTGGTTCTCTTGTGTTTATATTATTGACCAAGTGTCACCTTATGATTAATATTATATAATATACGATATGTATAATTGTTATCAATATTTGTCTGAATAAGTGACAAGTGTAATGAAAGACAAGGCTGCCCTTACCGCTGCTGAGTTTTTATCTCAAAATGTTTCTGAAATCAGTAGCCGTTGTGAAACTAATATGTGGAAAGTTTTATGTGCCTCCGTCTGCCAATCAAGACTTCTTTTTTGGTCGAGGTGGAAACATTTAATGAGAAATTTTAATGGCGGTTTAACAAAAAATAATGAATCATCGGAGATTTCTGAATGAATGTTAACAAATGGCTGCATTCCTGGATATTTATCTTATTTATTTCCATTTGTTGTTTCATTTCATATTTGTTTCCATTTCAAAATGAAAATAAATAATATGAAATGTGTGTGCCCGGAGCAGCCATTTGTTAACATTCATTCAGAAATGTCCGGATGATTTTTTATTTTCCGTTAAAACAGCCATTTTAATTCTCGTAGAAAATTTTCACCTCGATCTATTAAAAAAAAGTCTTGATCTGGACAGAGGCATCTGAAACTTTCCATAATTTCACAGGCAAAGGCTATTGATGTTATAGGAACATTGAGAGATAAAAAGTAAGCAACTGAATTCAGTTTTCTGTTTCGGCTGTCACAATTACTAGGCGGATAATATTTGGGGAGCAAAGGCTAAATAATAAAATCAGTCCAGCCTTTGAAATAGGTAAGCCTGCCCAGTTGATTTATTTTACTGAATCATACTCAGTTTCCCGGAAACATTCATTACCAAATCTGCTCATGCATAATCCGCATACCCGGGCATAATCCTTCTTTTAATTTAGAAACCAATTTATATACCTACTAGATACAATATATAGTAAATCAGAAATCATATTTTACAGAGATGTTGTCGAAGATCTGAGAGAACTACAAAAATTAAGGAAACGCAAAAAGGGTGTAGATGTCGAAGACCTTGCTGCTGCAAAATTGACACAGAAGAAAGATGCTCCTGCAGAGGTGAAAATAACATTATTTTGACAGTTCTGCATGATCAATCCATAGTGAAAAAAGAGGCATCGTACAAGTAACAAGACAGGAAATGATAATATCAGGCCATTACTTGAGGGGTGAATTGAAAGAGCAATGAAGCCTTCTGATGAAGGATGGAGCAGACATCTCCCTGAATAAACTTACTGACCTAAAATTTCACTATGAAATAAAAGTCTATGGGTTTTATTTTGAAAGTACATGTAATTCTATTATACAGGGTGGTCCAAAAAAGGACACTTGTATTTCAAAAAAAAAAAAAGATTTTCTTGATGAAAACATGTCATGTTATATACCAGTGGATAGGGAATTTACTTATTTTTAATTTGTTACATCATGAGTTCAAATTTATTATAATGTCTGTCAACCAGCATCCGTTATATAAATGATGTCATTTTAGTTTCAAAACGGGTTTTCAAAAACTTGCAAAAAACAAGTTTTTTGTCACTTTTTTTTTACACAAACAGACGTTCAATATGTCCATCGTTTTGATCAATTATAGCCCTCAATTTTGGCTTTAACTGGTCTAAAACATCATTGATATTCTGTATAGACAATGAATTACACTTCTCAACAAGTCTATCCTTAATAAGGGACTGAGTAGATGTAAGGGGTTCATGGTAAACCAATTCTGTTAGTTCTCCCAATACGTGGTAGTCGCAGAAATTGACATCACAGTATCCAATTATGTTGTTTTTAGACCATCCTGATATGAGCTCATTCTCGAATCATTACATTTTCCAACAAGATGGGGCTCCAAGCAATAAATCTAACAAGAGTGTCAAATGTTTAAAAAAAATGTGCCTAGATTCATCCCCCTAATCACTGCCTCCCCCAGATCATGCGATCGTCCAACGTCTGTGACTACCAAGTATGGGGCGAACTAACAGAATTGGTGTACCATGAATCTTTATCATCATATATTCAGTCTCTTGTCTTTATAGCATATCAATGATGCTATTGGCCAGTTTAGGCCAAAATTGAGGGGTACAATTGATCAAAATGGTGGACATATTGAACGTCTGTTTATGTCAATAAAGTTGACGATAAAACTTGTTTTTGCAAGTTTTGGAAAACCCGTTTTGAAATGAAAATGACGTCATTTATATTATGGATGCTGGTTGACAGACATTATAATAAATTTGAACTTATAATATACCAAATTAAAGATAAGTAAATTCCCTATCCACTGGTATATAATATGACATGTTTTCATTAAGAAAATCAATATCTATTTTTGAAATACGAGTGTCCCATTCTTTTTGGACCACCCTGTACTTATATGATAAATGGCTCATTGTGCATATAACAGAAAAATCTGACAAAATTCTACTTCCATTGCACCACACTCATATTTTTCTTTCTTTGTGATTATAGAGAGATCCATATAAGTTAAAAGTTGGAGGAATTATAGATCTGCAGAAAATCCAAAGAGGGTAAGTTTCAGATTCGGACTTAATTTAAATTTAGCTTAGCAATTCATAGCATAAAACATTGTGATTTTCTCATTGCCTTCCCTATTTTGAACAGAATAATAAGGCATGGATAGAACAAATTATTAGCTAAAAGCATTCCATTCAGTGTTCTCCACAGGATTTTTTCTGAAATGGGTGCAAAATTAACATTTTCACAATTCAGACCAAAATTGGTCAAAATATGCCCATTTTTCTCATTTTCAAGTGGGTGCAAATGGATTTTCAGGTGGGTGTAAGCCTGTTTTTAAAATCTCAGGTGGGTGCTTTAATGCTGGAGAGATCACTGCTATTAATACATTGCGATTAGTGTTGATACAATCATTCATTCCTCTGAATGTTTAAAGCTTTTTAATGTGGAGAAACATTTTGAAGTAATATCACTACATGATTAGTGATGTACACATTATCTTTGGTTGGTAGGGCAGTCGGTCAGATTCTGCTTCCCAGGTTAATATGTTTTTTAGATTTTGCAAAGAATCGACTTCATTTAGTTTAACCAAAATTCTGCAATGTTACATATTTATTTCATATTGACTTAATTCTATTGATCTTATTCGATAATCCTTTGTACTTAAACATGATTTATTTGTAATTAATTGACAAATTTGACATACCTTTCACTACTTATGCAACTTGGTCTTTTTTTAAACGAGTATATATTACTTGTATAAGGGATCACCAAATGGCGCTGATACTGAACAATAATCCACATAGTTCAAATACATGTACTTAAATTTAAATTCAAGTTGTCAATCAATTAAGAACTCAAAAAGTATCCTAAATAATTTGTTTTAGGGAATCAATAGATGATGATGAAGCTATTGGTACATCTTTTGCTGCGGAGACGAATAGGAGAGATGAAGATGCAGACATGTAAGTAAATGCAAATGTTTTAACTCTAAATTCTTCATTAATCTGTTACTGATATCATGGGCTTTCAACTAGAAGGGTATGCAACTCTATGTAATAACATGAGACCTTCAAAATGAGCAATGACATGCTTCCCTTTTATGGCAATATTTCAAAAAGTATTAGATAAATGTATATGTTTTAGTATTATTTTGAATAAAAATCAATTTTTAATATGATTTAAGCATAAAATATATTCAATATCATATAAAAGTAGACAAAAGAGACCAATAAGAATAAGTATTGCATTGTGGGTAATTATTCAAGAACACATTCCAATAAAAACATAATTTGTGGGAGAATGTTCACTTTCTGTATTGTCATAATTATGATGAATTCCAATTTTTATTAAATTATCAAGATGTATGTAGAAGATCATGTTTTTATTTTTGAGTTATTTCTTTTAATCATCAATAAAAAGTACAAAATAAGATTTTCTTGGAATGTGTACATTCTCCAATTTTGAAAACCCATGGCAATGTTTATGTATGAAATATGAGAAGTTGCCTACCCTTCTAGTTGAAAGCCCATGCTGATATCCTTAACGATTGTGACATTTATATAATGTTTATACATAATGTTTATACATATTATATACTTGTATAACTTTTATTGAGACCTTACATCATTACATGATAACATTAGTCACAACTACGAACTACTCGCTAAAACTGCTATCTACTTCTATAATGGTTATAGAAAGCTATTTTGTTGAATCAGAAATGTAAAAATCATTTGCTAAATTAAATTGTTTTATTTTAGCACAGGTACTGGGGAAGTAAGCCATTGTGTGTAAGATTGTGAAGTTTAAGTGTCATGTTTTTTTGCTTCAGGTTGAAATATGTTGATCTCGAAATGGCAAAAAGGAAAGGTCTTGTGGATGATAAAGAAAAACAAGCTGAAAAGTAAGTTTTAATAATAAAATAGTGTCATTTATATTCCTCTCTGTAAATGACCCCAAGTAGGCTCATGTAATAAAAATCAAACTGGAGAAAATTATTGCACTGAACTATTTTATATCTTCAATTTTTCTCAAATCATTTTCAAATAGGATCTTTATTTCTTGGTTATCCTTCGTTTTCCTTCACTATCATATGGTCCATTTGGATAAAACATGAGTGTACTTCTACTTAATTTGGCGGCTGTTTTAATTTGGCAGATCTGCCAAATTGTTAAAGTCCACCAAATTAAGTCGCCGCCAAATTCCCAGGTAATTTTAGGTCCATGTAAATGAGTGCCATTAGTACATTGTAATATTGCAAGTTCGCCAAATTATCATTTCCCCACAATCTGGATCTGGCCCATTTGGATAGAGCATATTCTTAATTGCATTCAACTTGACCATAAAATAATGCTTTTGTTCTTTCCAGAATAAAAAATCCTGAAGATAATTTATATGCTATACCCGACCACCTGAAGGTTCAGTCGACCAAGAAACACACTGAAGATATGTTGTCCAATCAGATGTTGTCTGGCATACCAGAGGTGGACCTGGGCCTGGAGTAAGGCTTTTGTGAATTAAACGTCCCAACTTGGTCATCCAAAACTCAGTTTTACACTTTTTCTCCATTGAAACTTTCAATAAATTATAAAAACGATGCTCTGATATTTTCCATGCATGCTATTTAAACACTAATTTGGAGACAGTTTTCTATTTTCAACAGAATTGAAATCATATATTATACAGACTAATAAAATTACAATTAAAAAATCTATATAATTTTGAAATTTTTGTAAGATATGCCCTGATATATCCTGTAGAGAAAGGACTAAGATGTATTCAATTGATTTTCAGTGCAAAGATAAAGAACTTAGAGGCAACAGAAGAAGCAAAACAAAAACTTTTACAAGACAGAATGAGACAAAAGAAGAAAGAAGTGTCAGATTTTGTACCAACTAATATGGCAGTAAACTTTATGCAGCATAACAGATGTATGTTTGTATTTGTTGTATTGCAATAACCCTTATTCGGTCATATATGGTGTCTGATTTTTATGTCAGAATTGCCACTTTTTCTAAAACTGAGAATTGGCAGTCACATGTCAAAATTTTATGTGGATGCTTACATAGACCATCATTATATAATACTTAGTAGTTCAAAATCAAAATATTTTGTTAAAATTGTTTTTAATTGACATTTTCCAGAAACTATTTTTTAAAAAGTATGGACTACCATGATAGGAAGACTACCTTTAAAAATGCATTTGAGTAACCAATCAACATTCCCTTAAAAGAAAACAACACATACTAGGCTTATATTTCAATATGATGTTATTTCAGTCAATATAGAAGACACTGTACCCATTTTACCTAAAATAGAAGAACCAGTGAAGCAAAAAGTTTTAAGAGTTGGAGATGCAGATGATACTAGCAAAAAGGGTATGTTTCAGTTAGATTTTCAGTCGTGTGAATTTTGGACTTGTACATTAGTAACACATTCAACTTATTATTTAAGGATTCGTTGGTAAAATAGTTAGCCTAGCTACAATTCCCTGTGAGCCCCCCCCCCCCCCACAAGTGAAAAGGTGTGCAGGCAGGTAGTGGGAGGGAGGGGTCACAGGGGCTTGTAGCTAGACTAGTAAATAGTTGACTGTAAGAGTAAGTGTTCATATTAAATAAAAATAATGAAGTATTACCAGTTGTACATATATATATACTTGGTATTTAAACAAGGATTTAACCCTCCAGTTTGAATTATTTACTGCCTGATTCATAAATACAAGTAAAGTAAGTAAAAAAGTTTTATGGGAGATCAAAATTGATTTGTTTTTAGATAAGAGTAAACTAGAGGGAGAGAGATCTACAGATGATTATCACTTTGAGAAATACAAGAAACATTCGAGACGATGACATGCTGGTCTATGGTTGGTCAGTTATTACCAATAAAAGACTCGGGGAATATGAGTTCTGAACTCTTGCAATAACAGTGTTATAGTGAACACACGATTGGATCACGATTGACAGAACACTTAAGTATGGTACATCATATTGCTGCTCTATTATGTGGAAGAGCAGTGTGGACTAGCTATGGTTTAGACTGGACTGCATTGTACTATACATGGGGTGGGCCACCAGTTCTATTATGATGTCATCACTGAGAATACTATTACTACAAGTACATTGAAATATTGTACCCAGCCCACAACTGAGTTCAACCACTGGTACATCGAAAATTAAATTATTGCATCAAGCCCACAGAGTACAGTGTACAAATAAATGTTGTAACAGAGTAAGAAATATTTTTGTCGATCTTTTTTTGTTATTACTTTCATACATGATGTTGGTGTACAGGGTGTTCAGAAAGTATGGGGGCCCCCTTAGGCAGACATATACCAATGTCTCCATAGTATTTGTCGTATATCATTTTAAAGCTCATTTAAAGTTACATTGATTTGCCAAACATCATGGTTCAACTCACAAATGGGAAAAAGTTACAGGTTTTTCAAAATTTAGGGTTTAGCCAAATTAAAGTCAGTTTTACACCAAAATAATAGTCGATTTGCTTCCCTAGGCCATGTTAACAGCAGCAATGCTTTCCCTATATGACCTTAAATGCGCTTCAGATAGGGATGTGGCATTTTGTAATCCTTATAAAACCTTTTTAAGGCATTTTAGAAGAGTTTCCTTGGAGTATATACCCCCAACTTATTTTGAACACAATATCCATCCTATCTTCGACAATAGCACCCATATTTTAGGTCACATTCAGGTCAGGGCTGTTTCCAGGATACTGAAGTGAACTATATAAATGCCTGTAACTTTTTACCATTTGTGAGTTGAACCATGATACTTGGCAAATCAATGTAACTTTGGATAAGCTTTAAAATGATATATGACACATACCATGGAGAATGGAGACATTGGTATATGTCTGCCTAGGGGGGGGGCTCATACTTTCAGGACACCCTGTATATGTAAAAGTACTGTACTCCTGGTAATTTTTGCGTGCTTATACTATATTTCATGCTTTTCGTGAGTTTTGGAAAATGCATGAAATATAATAGATGCGAAATTCCAATAGTTCTAATTCACAAAATATAATAATCACGAAATTCCCGGTAATTTATTTCACTCAATGGTTACCATATTTTTGTCCAGTGTTGGGCGATAAAAGGTAGGAAGGTACTATTTCTATGTCACTACAAAAAGTTAATATTTGACCTTCAATGACCTCAAGTCAAAAAGGTCTTTTTCAAATTGCTTAAAATTGACCAATTTTTTACAAGTTCACAGAAGTTCAAATCTGCCTTTAGATTTGAGATTTGACCTTCTCAAGGTCAAAAAATGGTCAGAAAGGTATTTTTCAACTTGCTTCAAATTGACCAAATTTCTTTTTCAAAATCATCTAAAAGTTCTTAAAAGTTCAAATCTGACTATAGATTTGACCTTGTTGAGGTCAAAAAAGAGTTGACCTTCTTAAGGTCAAAAAAGTCTTTTTTCAAAATCATCTATAAGTTTTTCATCGACCTTCTCAGGGTCAAAAAAGGTATTTTTTCAACTTGCATCAATCAAAGTTCTCAGAAGTTCAAATCTGACTTAGGATCGAACTCATGATATTATGAGCAACTAGGTGGTGACATTTTGTCATGTTAATGCCTTGTATTAAATTACTTTCGGATTCTAAAAGATTTTAATCAAAGAAATTAGAAAAAAAGCTGGAACATTTTTTAGAAGTCACAAATCTGAAAAAATTAGTAGTCGCAAAATTTCAACAGACTGAAAATTAGTGAAAATGAATAGCCCCAAAACTTCAAAATTGCAAAAACATGAAACATAATAGCATCAAATATTGGTTGGAGTACAGTAACTTGCATATATTATAGCTTTAACAAAATCACATGGATAGTGTAGGTGTGACCATGAAAAGGAATGAAAGTACTCCAACAGTCTAATAATGCAAAGAACTGCAAATTTTCCCTGTAAAAATGGTTAAATCAGAATCACTCCCTAAGCAAATGATGTGCAACAATATACCTGTATACTGAACTATAAAGAGAGTGATTTAATCGGTCCATTTTGATCAAAAATGATGGGGGTATTGGACAGTGCACAAAGTAGTTTGAAAATTCCAGTCTGAAAAAATTGAAGCAGCACTAAGACTAATACAGTAAACATCAAAGTTGCTAAATCTACTTAGAATTGCAAGCAACATGTGCAAGCAAGTGTCCAGTGTAGACAATGGTAGAGGCTGCAGGTAATTTTGGAGTTACCGATTTGTTTTGAAATGCATGGTTTACAGTTGGCATTTGCTAGAAAGACACACATTTACTTTCTCCATCAACGTGAAGTATAATAATAACTTGCAGTGACTTTAATACCACTGTGACCTCTACTAAAGTGCTCTAACTGGAGACTGATGAAATGACTAGAGCTGGATTTGATTTTGGTTTTATCAACTTTGGTACATAGAAGCATTATTTAGGTCAATAAATGAGTTGTTGAACTCATACATTGAGTTTCATAAGTAAAACAAAATCAAAACAATTTATTGTTGAAGTTTTATAATAATGTGTAAATTTATTTCAGCTGACTAGATGAAACAGGGTAACAATAATAGGGGCCAATATTTGTTGAATAAAACTACAATATCAAATTTCAGTGTTTCCACTTGACTTTTTGGCTTTTATATCTTTGAGACACCCCCTTGCCTGTTTTCTACTTTCCCTATCGTGTGCTAGCTTCGATGCCTTGGTGCATTTCTCAAATGCTTTCTCAAACTCTCCATTATGTAGAAGTATTGAGCCCAAATTGCAGTAGAAAGCAGCTAACTCTGGGATCTGCAAAAGTTCACCTAATTCAATCGCCTTTTCACATTGTGATATAGCATTGTCTATATTCCCCATGAGGTAAGAGATGTTAGCTAAGTCATTCCAAAGTGTTGCTGTCTGTGGATGATTTTCCCCAAAGACTTGGAAAGCAACTGTCAGGGCCCTTTCTGTATATCCATAAGCATCCCGATAATTGTTCCTCGTGAGAAAGTACTTTGAGAATGCATCGAGGCACATTCCCCATAATGCAATAGTATTTTCATCAATCACTTCTGACTGTGACATTTTCCTCTCTTGTGCTTCAATGGCAAACCTGAAATGAAAACAAATATTTAACTTTACATAACATGTGTGTATTAAAATGACAACTGCAATTCATTAGGATTTAAGAAGGAGATGTTCACGGATTCATTGTTTATATATATAAGTCAAAAATCAAAGAATAATCTAGTTAGAACTGTTGGACTGATGACAACTGAAAGCTGAAAATATTCTAAAATTTGCAAAATTTGTCGGTAAAAGCAATATTCAGTATTTTGAATTTGTGCAGTTACTTGGTAGGTTTCTTTTTATCAGTTTGAAACCTCAAAATATCATAATGTAATCTTTTTGAATTATTGAACAAGACAATGAATGTAACTTGATTAACATACTTGTACCCCTCCACAGCCTCTTCATGTTTCTCCTGCATGGCATACAACATGGCTAGCTTCATTGATATCTCCACCAGTGCATTATCATCTTTCTCCAAACCAGCCTCAAGATAACCCCTCATTGCATCCTTGAACAATTTCTCTGCAGCTTCAAGTTTAAACATCCCAAAGGCAAGATTTGCCATATGTATGAAGATATAGTTCCGTTTGGTTATCCATTCATCTTGGGTTATTTCATGATTTTGATGTCTCATTGTTGCGATTCCTAAGGCTTTGTGATAGAACCTATTTGCTTTCTCAAACTTTTGTTTTTTCTCAGCAAGTTTTGCTTTTTTAAGTGTCAGAATGAGTTCATCTTTCTCCTCTTCAGTTTTCTTGGAGAACCCTATTAGGGCTAGAAGTCCAGCGGATGGTAAACTGAACGATTTTTTATTCTGAGTCCTGAAAAATACATGGGAATAAAACATGAGAGTATATATTACAACTGAATGCTAGACATCTATACACATGTCATTAAAGGAACCTTTAAACTGCAGTTTGGAAACCTTTAATGTTGCTTTCCACTTGTATTTATAACAGTATGAAGCCTTCATTTGTAGTATATGTGACTAACACTGAGAAAGTCCCAATAGATCTGGACCGGATTAGCCCCATCTATCTTCATAGTAGAGTAAACATACTATCCTGCTCCTGCTTAATGATGGAACAATTGGTCTATTGCTTACATTTGTAGGACAAGCAAAATGGTAACTACATATCTATAATGAGAGTGAGGACGAGCAAAAACCTTCGTAAAGGACCAAAAAGGACATGATACAACTTCCTGTGTTTTTTTAGGTGGTTTGATTGACATTAAATGTGAATTGGACAATACCAGTCGAAGCTACTAACAAATCATGATGATGATCTAGAATCTAAAAATGCTTGACAACAAAGCTTATATGGTAGAAAATGTATGAGTGTATACTAAGAACTGGTAGGTAGCCAATGTGACAGTCCCATTCATTAACGAAACCTTATTTTTTAGATCTGATTGATGCAAACTTCAGATTAGTTCAACAAGTTAAACCTAATTCTTAGTCTGGGCCTTATTTCTTATCTGACATTTCTTGTGGCCCGCCCTAGGTTTAACATCCGTGCCTATTCGGCCCTATGATGCAAAAAATTTTTAATGATGGCCTATGGCAGCGCATAGAATTCCATGCACGTTTTATTAATAACTGATAGTGAGAATTTGCAACCAATGAAAGCATAGCACGGAAGTTAAACCCAACCACGGCAACAAGAACACTCAGATTATAAATGAAAGCCGTGGTATTGGGTTTAACTTGTTGAACTAACTTCATATCAGACTTCAAAAATTCTTACAGTGGGGGGCATAAAGAATTACAAAACCTATGGAAATTACATGTTGTCGCATATGTAATAAATTCTTACCTCAGTGTATTCAGTGCTATATTTTCTCCGTCATAGTAAGTCCAGATATAGTGGAATTTGTGTCCATAATGACAAATAAGAACTTAAAAATTTGATGTGGAATTCACATGTTAATGCCGACTCTTCAAATGTTGAGGTGATTTTGGAGACAGATTACGCCACAATGTGGGTTGGCTCCCAGAATGCAACATGACATGTGTCAGCTTTCAAAATGCCATTCCGCCGTTTTGAAATACGTCACGAATAAATAAGGTTACTTGATGTTGCATTCTGGGAGTCAATCCTCCTTGGATCACAAACATGGCGATTCATGAAAACATTAGTCCGATTTGGTAGGGATTTATCCATCATTTGCAGGTATGAGGCTTTGGATTCATTTATTGTGCTACTTAAAGTGGATGGGAATTATTTTTCTACCACTTGGGAGAGTTTGAGACATGAAACTTAGAATTTAGCTCATTGTGACAACTTTTGAGGGTTGAGATTTATTTTTGTCCCCCACTTTACCTTCTATTGTGGTCTCTTTGAGGATAGTTCAGGTGTAACATCCCACTAAATTTAAATGTTTGACTATAAAATTTATAATTTTTATTCATATTTATTTGTAGAAGTCGTGGAAAGTAAGCATTTTTAAGAAATATGAAAATATTTGAAATTTTAAATTTCATGGGCGCAGCCATTTTAGCTAGCAAAATTTACTTTCGAACTTTGATTTCTATGACAAAATTTAAGCAAAACAGAACAATGTGATACAATAAAAGTATCGAAATATTTATTCAATCAAGAATTTATTTTTATTTTTATTTTAAAAGTGTAAAATAATATCATCAAGATGATCAAGGACCATCAAAAAATCAAATCAAATACGCCTGTCGGATATAAATAATTTCCACATTTTCTGAAAAAGTTCAAAGCAAAAACAGCAACACTGGTTTACACTAACTTTTTGTGATTTGCAGGTCTGTGAACTTTATATTTGATAATGAGTGTCGACTATTTTTTTACAATCTGCAAAAGTTCAGTGATCACATAATTAACAGTTCCTGAAGGTTTGAATCCTTGTATAAAAAAGATAAAAAAATGGGTGTCGACTTTTAGCAAACAACCGAAGATAGGCTACATGTACCTCAAGAAAAGCCGGAGATTGCCGAAGATTGCCGAAGATTGCCGAAGCTTTTCTTTGCAAATGAAGTTGGCTGAGGGTAACACGAATGTGAAGAGGACGTCTCTTATTGGTCAAAAATAGGGGCTCGTCATTCTCCGTCAGATTGAATCGGCAAAATTCGGTTGTATGGCTTACCTTCGGTTGTATGGTTTACCTTCGGCTGCATGGCCCAACCTCGATTGATTGGAAAAGATGCTGTCCCATAAAAAAATAGACAAGAAGACAAAATAAGTTTTCCAATTGAGGTCAATTGATGTAGACTAGAGTCCATTTCACTGCTTCATTTCGTCAGTAGAACGGCAAAAATAAGAAATTGGGAGACCATTGTGCAATAATATATGGAAAAGTATATTCATAATGTACATGAATGACATTTGTATATCTTGGATTGCTTCTAGTTTGGCTTATAAAGTGTGTGGCCTCTTATATTTGGATGTTTCTCTGCCATGTTATTTTCAAAAAGATTAACATGGCTGAAATTCTTCAAATTACAAGATGGCACAGGCTTATTGCACAAAAAACTAAAAAATCTGAAATCTAGTCCATTTCACTGCTTCATTGCGTCAGTAGAACAGCAAAAATAAGAAATTGGGAGACCATTGTGCAATAATATATGGAAAAGTATATTCATAATGTACATGAATGACATTTGTATATTTCAGATTTTTTAGTTTTTTGTGCAATAAGCCTGTGCCGTCTTGTAATTTGAAGAATTTCAACCATGTTAATCTTATTGAAAATAACATGGCAGAGAAGCATCCAAATATAAGAGGCCACACACTTTATAAGCCAAACTAGAAGCAATCCAAGATATACAAATGTCATTCATGTACAATAGGAATATATTTTTCCATATATTATTGCAAAATTATATTTTGATTTCTTATTTTTTAGCTTTTAGTACTGACGCAGTTAAACAGTGAAATGTTATCGCATCTTACGACCCCTTTAGAGTGTGGACCACAATCTAAAGTGGTCGGTAGGATACGATAAAGTGAAATGGACTCTAGTCTATGTGTTTTTAGCTATTTTAAAGCATACTAAAAACTGTATATCATATTGTCTGTCGAAATATTACATTGTCTATTATATGCGTTATACATTTGTAGACTAGTCTGGTTAAAAAATCTTGTGTGAAGGAGATAAAAAAGACAAAATGAACTCTTCAATGGTCAAAGACTGAGTTTGGGCAGTCTGCGTTAGGTTTTTCATTAACCCTTTTATGATGATATGCTCCATATGGAGCCCTATTACGTAATACCTTTCAGGATGAAAGGCTCCTTTTGACACCATTATTTCATTTATACTGTATACAATCATGAATGAAATGACAATATCTCCAGTTCTATTCAGTATTTTCACACTTAAAGAGATCGGGTCTGCTAAAAACACAATTGGAGTAACCCCCTGATTTTTTTGTGTTATTTGATTTAAAACAAGTTTGTTTATCAACTTATCAATTTTGAGGCTTGAATTAATTCTTTAACAGTATCAATTCGATGATTGTTCCTAGCCATGAATTTCCACCTACATCAATAGAAATTTTAATTTAAAAAGCCCGCTCAAATTTGTTCCAGTCTGATTGGCTTTTTCCTTCAGATTATTTTGGCTCAGAGAAGCCATATTTATTACTTCTAAGGGGTTACAATATAGATAAATCCCCAAAAAACACTGTATTCTGTTTTCGACTTGTTGCGTTCAATTCTGACAGTTGCTTGTTCTTTTGGTTGTCCGGTTGATATCCTCAATATATTGGTGATATCGTGCTTATAATTTGGTCTCAAGATATATCTAAGGTATATAATGATGTTTTATGAGCAATTATATTGGGACATTACTGATTGTCCAGAATAGAAATCTGGACGACTCGATCTCTTTAATTTTGACAAGTTGTTGGAATGTGATAATCTTTATTAAAATTGGACTTCACTGATAAATTTGAAACCTGCACCTGTCGATAAAAAGCAATTGTGGTTTGTTCTGATGTCCTTGGCAATATTATGAGCTAAAATGAGAGGATATATCATGTATACGATGATGATCAAATGGGGCAAATATTTTGTACAAATACTCATGAATCGAGGTGTCATTATCATGATTGTTTCTTCCATTGCTCCAATGTTCGCCAGCCATCCAATTTCTTGAAAGGTTCTCATTTCAGAATATTGCTCAGTCGGTAGAGCATCAGACTTTGGGTCCAACGGTCCTAGGTTCAATTCCCACACGGGGCATTGAATTTAGCATACTGTCTTTCAATTTCTTTATCTGGCTTGGTACACTATGCTCGTTAGTTAGTCATTCCCCTGTGGCACCCTCGGGTCATTACGCAAGTTCTGATATTGCATTTTACCATGGGCTTTCAAAAGAAGCTCATGGTTTTACATAATGGTCAGCTTTTAAAGTATAAGTACTGGGGTATAGGGGACTTGCAGTTTTTCCCTAAAAAAGCTCTTACTTGTCCTTCACCAGGCCAAGATTTCCTCTTATATTTAAGTTGGGAAAGGCTTAGTGGAAGTGCATTCCTATGATTCAAATTGGTTTTTGGTTTAAGTTTGTACATCAAATGTCCACAAATTGGGGGCCAGTTCATATTCTGTCATTGCACTTCTGTTGTGTGTATGCATGGTGTATGCTTTTTGTTTTTATACTAAACAAAATAAGGAGCATTATGGGTAGGGACTGCTCTGAAATAATGAACGTAAGGGACATATATCTTTAATCATAAGTTCTAATTAAGTTAATGATTGTGCATGCATTTTAATAATTTGAACCAATGAAATTGCTGTATTTATTTTTAAAAAAAACTTAAATTGGAACCTCACGCAGATTGCACATTTACATGGAACATAATGTGTATTCAAAAGAAGTACCAGTCTTCCATTACTGATTAGAGTTTTGCATTTTCTTTTTCAGTTTGTGTCATTCAAAAGGAATCTCATCTGAGAAAAATTTCTACTCAGCCAGACAAGACACAAAAGCCAAGATCCTACTCTGCAAATACAGTTTTGACAGAATACTACATATGAAACTGATAACATGGCAACAGATAAAGCTAATGATGAGACTTTCCCAAAATGTGAATTCTGTTTGAAGTTGGATTCTTCCTACTTCTGTCACGATTGCACCAGCTTTCTTTGTAACACTTGCATTCAACCTCATAATGAACACTCTCGTGTCACCATAGAGACAAACTTGAGGTTGTTTTGTGACAAACACAAATTCAAGATAAGGGATGTTTATTGTAAATCATGTAATGCAATTACATGCAAACTTTGCCATATTCATGGTCATAATGGCCATGATTCTATCAAAGTTTGCAGTGATAAGGAAGAAGAACTGAAGGAAGTGGCCAAGGAAGGTTTAGATGAGATTAGGTGTAATTTACCAAAGACTATAAATTATGTAAGCGTACAACTCATTAATGATAGAGACAGTATTCTGGAGAAGATAGCAAATATGTTATCCAACAAACAGAAAGATTTATCCTTGAGAAGTAAATCAATTGAAAATGATATAACTGAAAACATGGACCCAAATAAAATAAATACTGAAACACTCATACAAGACTTCCATACATATTTGAACACTCGTATTGGTGTTATAAGTGCAATAGCAGAGTTGTACGAAATAAGAATGGATTCTATTGAGGATACAGTTGAAGATATCAATTCCATGTCACAAAGTAACAGTATCAAGTGTGCACCAGCTGTTGTGAATAAGCCAAAGTTAGATGAAGAGGAACAGATTATTACTGATGACGATGATGATGTGATTGATGAAAAAGTACCACCAGATGATAAACATAAAGATGAATGTGAAAATTTGGCTCCAGATGATACCTCTGAGGCTGAATCATTAGACAACTTTGGATTATCCCTGCATCCTTCAAAGTATTATATCCTGGACAACAAGTCTGGTCAATTAGGTTTGTGTACTGTAACTTTGTTTAATTTAATTATTTTGCACCCTTTTTGTTTCGCAAATTTGACGTTTTCAAACAAATGCCAATTGACATTGTCATAAGGATAACCCCCTCCCCCTTTAGTGGGCCCAGAAAAAAAGTTTTTGGGCCCCAAAATTTTGTATTGCCTCAAAGAAATGAGTTTTTGGGCCAAATTTTTTTGTAGTCCCTCCCTTGTTAATTTCTGGATCCGCCACTGTAGTGCTTGTGTAGGTGGCTCAAATCTACCAAATTACCATAGGATAACACAATCAAGACCCCTCTTGACCTTTTTGCATATTTTAATATATAGGGAATAATACAACCATAAGGTATGCTCAAGATATATCCAAGGTTTGTAAGATATTATATGAGCAATAATAATGGGACATCATTGATTGTCTGGGAGAGAAACCTATGGTATACTGCATCTTTAAATAGTTGTCAAATGTCAAAATCTGAGGTAAAAATGGTTTGGATGTGTTCTTTTATTTTTTTGTCTGAAATGTAAGATACAGATTGGTGGTTGGAAGGTTTGAAATAGTTAGTGTACAGTTAAGTTTTTATTCTCCCAATGTGAACACTTTTCCAGTCCAGTTTTTATCCATCGAGTTCCATGCTGAAAATCTTGTGATGTGAACAACAGTGCCAATCCTAACACTTTTGAACTGTTCTAGTGGTGTTCAGGTTAGAAAGGATATACTTATACATAATACTGTATACGTGGTAATTTTGCCTAATCATTTAATTTGCCTATTGCCTTTTGCCAGGTTTGGAAATTTAAATGTGTGAAATATTATCTTCATAATGTTATCCAATGGGAAGTTTCTTGTCATAAAAAAGTTAAAATTAAGAAAATGATGTGTTTACATACTGGTAAATATTTCTTTGCTCTGCTATAAATGACTGTTAATTTGCATGATTCGAATCATCCTATTTCATGTGTACTTACAGCGATTCCCGGTGATCTTCAATTCAAGAACAATGGCAATCTGATTATTGCAGACTATAAAGCAAACAGAATCGTAGAACTAAACCTTTCATTTGATTCTAATCACAAACCCTCTACCACTCCAATACTAGAAATCAATGAACCAAAAAGAATTTTGCTGGTTGACAATGATGATATGTTTATCATAAGGGACAAAGAGAATGTGTTGAATATGCTGAAGGATGGAAAGATGGAGTATTTGCCCTTTAATGTTGAAGTTGATACTCTGAGAGGAATAGGACGCTGTAAAAATGGTGATGTCATAGTTACGGATATCAACAGACATCATGCTATACGCTATAACCTTGATAACCCTACTGATTCTGAAAGGAGACGTGAGTCCATTTTTGGCTGTGATGTGTTAAAATGCCCTGGTTTTGTCACAATTGGTGAGAATGGAAATATTTACATCTCTGATGCTCACGCAAATGCTATCCATGTATTTGATGGTTACTGTGACCATATCGGCACAATGAGTAGTTACGAATGTGACAGTACAACAGATGGGGAACAACCAAGACACCTTGAATGGCCTGCCGGAATATGCCAAGGACCCTGTGATAGCATCATAGTTGCAGATTTGGGAAATCGTTGCATAAGCATCTTTGATCCGTCAACAAGGAAGGGTGTACGTAGACTTATAAGTGACATAAAGGATGGACAACCTAATGCTGTAGCATTTGACCCAGAAAGGAGACGATTAGCCTTTTGCACTTATGGGTCCATTGGAATGAGTCCAACTGTACAAGTATTCCAGTTCTGATTATATAACATTGATAAAAGCTGAGATTAATAGTTGAGATTATTCAATATTGGGAATATTTTATTTTGAGTGGCTCATGTAACTTTTAATTAGCCATCACAGACCCTTAAGAGCATCAGAGGGTTTAGTGAAAAACTTTGGGATGATCAGAAATATTTTCTATTTGAATAGATATGGTGTATATAAAAAGAGCTACAAATATTGAAATATAGTTTGAGATTTTTATATTGAAAATCTTCCATATATGTTCCAGAAGAGAATCACAAAGTTTGGTTGCAAATCCATGGATTATCTATAAGTTCCAGGCCCGTAGCCAGCTTTTGCCAATGGGGGTGGTTTACTTTTTAAAAAATTACTGGGGGGTTCACAATATGGTATTGATTTTTGGAATATAAAAACTAACATCTCAAACTGGTAAGGTTAAAAAGATTGAACTGGCCAGGGTTTAATGACAATCTCTACTGAAGAAGTTTTAATGTGCTTTAATTCAAAATTCAAGCCATAGCTTTTTCACCTTACATCAATGTACAGGTTGGTGAAAAAACGGCAACCCTGTCACTATTTTCACCATATCTTTGTCACTTTAGGAAATTACTCCCTGATGATATTTGGCACATATGACGTCCATCATTTCCTACCAGCCTATTATATTTCATGACCATCAGACTGATGACACAGTGTTACAGCACTTAAAACAACATACTCCAGTGGCCACTATTGCACTGTAGGCAAACCTGCACACATCGTCCAAAATATCCAGACCTGACTTCTACCTGTGGATATATGCCAAAAATAGAGTGTATAAGAATGACCTCAGGACAATTGCAGACCTCAAAAGGGAGATTGCCTGTTTCTTTCAGGACATGACTGCTGAAGAATGCAGTCGGTCATTTACAACTTGTGTAGGTTTGCCTACAGTGTGATGATAGGCACATCTGGGGCATGTTGTTCGAAGTGCTGTAACATTGCAACTATCTGCCTATAGTCCATTTGTCATTTTCTGAACGTATAAATATCTAAAAGTATGATGTTTTTCTGTGTAAATACTATCATTGGGGATTATTGGAGTGATTTTGCTGGGTTGCCAAAAAAATAACTTTGGGGAAAATTTTTGTATCTATTACCATGGTAACATACCAGGTATATGGTGGTATCCAAACGCTAAGTCAATAGTCAACGCCATGTTAAGCGATTGCACCCCTCCCTAATCAGCCTATATCATTTTTTCCCCAAACAAAATTTTTGGGCAACCCAGTTAAATCACTTCAGAAAACCCTTATTATTATAAATCGACCATAAAACATCGTACTTTTAACAATTTCTAGGTTCACTATTGGATGTATAGGGGTGACAAATGGACTACTAATGGTCATGGAATATGGTAGGATAGTAGGAAATTGAATGATGTATAATGTGCCAAATAACAGGGTGTAATAGACTAGATTCGAGTAGAAATAATCTACATCATTTAATATACAAAATTCAGTCAAAGTGATGTCATATTTGAAATCTACATGTGAAAGTACATCTAGAAAATGTGATTTCAAAAATTATTTATTCAACTTTTAAAATTAATTTTTTTGAAAATGTGCATGTTATAAAATCACAAAAAGTGAAATATCTTGTATTGGACAGATAATATTTTCTTTTACTGGACATATTTTAATTTGACTATTAGATACATAAGGTTGATATGAAAATTGATCCACTGAAACTGATGAATATTCAAGTTAAAGGGAATTTTCTACTGTACCAGCCATGTTATCTGACCCGAATGAGCCACCTGTTGGTGAAACTGATAACTACCTACTCGCATCTAGGTCATTCCTTAAAATGATAGAGATATCAGGAAAATACAGGGTTGCCATTTTTTGACTACCCTGTAATTCTAAAGAGGAAAAAATTGAAATTACCCAGCCAAAATGACATAAGATTTATTTATATTATATACTATATATATCATTATATTATTATATGCAACACATGTAAAACATAGTTATTATAAAACATAGTTAACCTATCTAATAAAATGTATCATTATAGTTTCTATGTTTCCTAAGTGACATCCATACATTCAAGTAGATTTCATGTTAAAGGATTGGGTGAAATACATATTTAAGTGAAACCCACCAGAATGTACAGCCTCAGGAAATGGGTTGGGTGGGAGGGTAACTTATTTTTCAATCATTTCCCAATTCCATGATATTTCATCCAAATTTCATGATATGTAAACTATTATCCATTCCATTCGCTAATGACTACCTCTCTCGAATTCCCTATTTAGAATAAACATTCACTCTACTCAATAATATAGATGTCACTTAGGAAATCTATGTTTCCTAAGTGACATCCATACATTCAAGTAGATTTCATGTTAAAGGATTGGGTGAAATACACATTTAATTTTACCCTTTACGGTGTATTTACATCCTGAATAATGTGATTTGTTAATTTTTACTACTCCCAATCCTCAAATCTTTTATAAAAAATTAACAAAAAACTAACGTGGACATCGGATTTGAGAGCAATCTCTCCCAGTAGTTCTAGTAGATGGTTTTCCATGATGTAATTATGAAGCTAATACAACCTAAAATTGATCTATTTTTCTTTGTTTCTGTCAAATATTTGCCTCTCAGAAAACTTCTCTTATATTGTCTCATAGTTATAATTAATAGCCCCTTGCTCTGGCATATATCTCTGTATCTCTAGGCTCTCAAGGCCTTTTATTCATTACCCCATATGGTTCATATTTTTTGCCCCTTGCTTGCGCATATATTTTCAGGCCTTTGGAGCCTTTTATTTTAGCCCCTTGCTCGGGCGCCCCTTGCTCGGGCATTTATATCTAGGCCCTCAAAGCCTTTTATTTTAGCCCCTTGCTCGGGCATTTATATCTAGGCCCTCAAAGCCTTTTATTTTTAGCCCCTTGCTCGGGCATTTATATCTCTAGGCCCTCAAAGCCTTTTAATCTCTAGGCCCTCAAAGCCTTTTATTTTAGCCCCTTGCTCGGGCATTATATCTCTAGGCCCTCAAAGCCTTTTATTTTAGCCCCTTGCTCGGGCGCCCCTTGCTCGGGCATGTAAATCAAAATATGCTTACCACTGCTGAATGTATGTCTGGCCACTTCGAATTCCCTATTTAGAATAAACATTCACTCTACTCAATAATATAGATGTCACTTAGGAAATATATTATGCAAAACATATGAAACATTCACAGTTATTAAGTCACAAGATACCCATAAGCGAAAATAACAGTGCATATATCAATTGCCCATTGAAAATATATTACAATTTATTTGAAAATGCAAGATTCATAATTTACAGCTGATATGCCAATTCAAACAGTAAAATACAAAAATAGACAATACATGTCTGCACAAAAATAAGTCTAAAATATATTTTATTATGTATTTCTAATAATATATGTATCTAAATATGAGATTAGCAAGCTTTTATGATCATAGACAATATAAAAATAGACAATACATGTCTGCACAAAAATAAGTCGAAAATATTTTTTTATTATGTATTTCTAATAATATATGTATCTAAATATGAGATTAGCAAGCTTTTAAGATCATTACCTTCATATAAAATAAATTGTTTGTATGTATGAAGCTGTTTGAAAAATATAATACTTTACATATTTCAATACTATACATGTTTTCATCAAAATTTTCTACTACAGTAAAACCTGTTTATCTGAGCATCTCTCTAATCCGAACTACTCCTCTTAAAGGGAAAATTTTTCTTCATTACAATTTTCTTAAACCTCATTGACACGAAAATTAAATTGACCTTGAAATGTAAAACCTGCCTATCTGAACACTTAGCTGGTTCCAGTAGCATTCGGATGACACAGGTTTTACTGTACAAGTAAATATACAGAAGTGCAATATGACAATGATTGATAGTTTTTTTATCACACCATCGGTGGGATATATAGTCGTTGAGATCGTTATCATGATCGTCCCACTTTTTTTGTCATCGCCATTTCAGGGAAACCGCTCATCAGATTCTTTTCAAAATTCGCACATATGATAGAGGATATCAAGTTCTAGAGCTTATTAACTTTTGGGTGGCCATCTTGTTTTCTGGTGACCATTTTGAAGGTTTTTTGGAAAATTTTGTCATCTCCATTTCATGAAAACCGCTTGTCTGATTGTCTCCAAATACGCACACATGATAGAGGATATCAAGTTCTAGAGCTGATTAGCTTCTGGGCATGCCTAAAATATCATCACTTAGGTCTTCAAACCAAGAGACATCCCTAGAATTTTCAAAGCAATCCTTCAAGTTAGTCATGTAAGTGGTTTGTCTGGGAATGTGCTGACAAGATTTGAATCAAAATGCCCCCCCCCTTAACCCATCATGCCCTAAACTATCCAGTACTCAATTTTTACACCAAAAAGCATCTCTGTAAACAAGATTACGCACACAAGACTTAAGGTCTGTGAATCAATAAAATGTTGTTTTGATACCAATTAACATAACTGAAAACAGTTAAAATAACTGATAACAATACACAGCAATATACAATACAATACAATACAGCACCGCAGGGTGTGATAAATCATGTTGAATATACATGAAATATAACTTACAGGTTATTCAAAATTAGAATCTTCTGTATCTAAATAATGATGTAACAGCAAAAAATAATGAAAGCAGCTGAGTGTCCATATGCTACACTCCTGGGGATAGGGGTCTATTCAATTTAGCAATTTTTAAAAAGTAACCATAACAATTGCCCTTGCTGAAAACATGCATAGCATGGGATAATACTATACGTGTGAACATCCACACTCACCGGTCTACCTCTATAATAAGTGGAAGTGGAATTTATGTATTCCAGTAAGAAATGTCAGAGAACTTCCAATATTGCAAGCTACCCTAATCTCAGGATATACTGCTTATTTTGCCATAATCATATTTATCATGTAAAATCTGTTAATAAACTAAATGTAGCTTCCATGTTATGTAGTTTGACGTTTAAAACTGTTGATGTGTGCACATCTCAAAATGTGAATACAACCTGAGACTAACAATGCAACTCATCATTACAGGCAGCCAAAGAAGGATTGAAGAAATTACAATAAGGGGATCTGAAGACCTGATATCAGTTTATAAAATTAACAACCACCTCCTGTACTATATCCATAAACTGGTCCATAGTGAACTTTCAGCGTTTTAACAGCTGGCCATCTATCCTCATCAATCTCAAACAGTTTATCAAAGTCTTTTTTGTTTGTTACATCGGTCAAATATCTGGCTAGTCTTTTCTTTAGTTTCACAACATCTGCTTTGCCGCGTTTTTTTCGGATTCCCGATGTCAAATACGAGAGTTACATTCGAGTCGAAATGCCAAGGCATCCTTCCATATCGTACAAACATCAGGAGTGAGTTTAACACTGAGATAAATTGCTCAGGAAGTGATTTTTCAAGCCACTTGTTGGGTGTAGAGGTATAGGGCTTTATTGCATTCACTTCTGGCATTCGTGTAAACGCAGGGGTTGGTACAGTCTCTATGCTATCAGGGGTATCAATTTCCGTGTCTTGCTTCAATGTGTCACGCTCATACGCAAGGTTTAGAACAATGTTCTTCAGATGGTATGAGGTCAGAACATCATCGTGAAAGTTGCTGTTATTGTGGAAAATCGCCTTGTAAATCATTAAACATTTTCTCATGTTTTCCTCAAGTTTTGGGTCTCCTACCAGTTGAGATTCAGCAAAAGAGAAGGACTTTCTCCAGTATATCACGGGATCGAGAAATTCCAATAGAGTTTCAGGTTCATAACCTGGTCCACAGGAATTCTTAATGAAGACTGGCATGGATTGTTTATCATAGCTTTTATTCACAACATGAGGGAGGCAGTTATCATCAGTTTGAATGTACCCTGTGAAATCAACATCAAATCGTTTTTGCGGACGCAGGTCATACGTCACCTGAAGAGTTGTGTTTGGTCCATATGTCAAATCAACAGGTTTCACTTGTCGGATTTCAATCACCCTGTCAGGTAGTTTAAATTCTTTGATCCAAGAATTCAGAATACGCTCCAGTAAATCTTGAATTTTAACGGCGACTTTCTTTGGGGATAGATAGTATTTATCCTCGATCATTTCATCATCATATGTCTTCGTGTAGTGGACTATCAGGTCACACCAACCATTCCAGTTGGCAGCCTTTTCCTTTTGTTGTACTAACACGATCTGATTGTACAGTGGCCTCGATGGGTTATCAATTTGGAAAATTCCTTTAGGGATCTTTAAAGGAATCATGTAATCAAACTCCTCAGGGGTAATCACCTTTGTGTGATCTGCTGTGCTTCCACTCAGAACAATCCTCCCAACTGGATAATTTGGAAGTCTTGTTTCGAAGAACTCCTGGATATTTTTACGTACTGTTTCAACAACATCCATTGCATCTTTCATTTTTGTGTCATCAATTTTTGCGAATTGTTCGTAATAATTGTCAAGTTTTACTTGCAATTGCAGCATCTCTTGCTCCATTTGGGTTTGTTTTAACTGTTGGTACCAAAGCGCAGTTTTCACATAGGAAGATATCTGTAAACAAAATAATAATTTAATCACTATGTATGTAACATGCTGATATGCTAAAAAGTATTACGACAGTCATTGTTATGTACATAACTGGGCCTGTGTCAGAAAAATGATATAATATTTGAAATCTACTCTTAATTGCCTTTCATTTAACTATGAAAAAGCTATATTTCAGAAAGATCTCAAAACTGATTAACATTTCTTCTTCCCCAACACAGCCCCTGGGGAAACAATTTACCAATATACATATTTCCCCAGATATGAAGGAAATCTGTACTATAGGTATTCGAGTTATTTTCTGGTCAGACGGACAAATGGAGGTGTTCTCTATATCCCCCAAACATTGTTCAATAGAATAAAAATTATTAGCCCTATACTCATAATCATGGTACACATATGCATTCATTTTGTAAAATTGCAAGATGTAGACCATATGGGGCAAAAATTATGATTACTTGAAAATAACTTTTGTCTCTAATGTGAATGCTTTTAAAATGTTCATCATGCAGATATTCCTTAACTATACACTTAACATATACACTCATTAGGTGGTCTTTTACTCACCATTCTGATTCCCTGGTGAGTTTTCGTAAAAACTTCTCCAACAGATGTCTCTACTCGTTCTAACCATGATTCAATCTCTCGATATTTTGCTGGGAGTTTTACTCCTGCCCCCAAGGCCTGTGTAACGTAACAGGAACCATAGAGGTCACAGACAGTCAACTTCGAGCCAAGAATGAAGGAATATCCCGCAAGAAACCTCTCCAAGAGATAGTCTAGCACAGTGTAGAGTTGTTCTGTTGCATTCACATACTCTTGATCCTTGGGATCAACTCCTTTCAACTAAAATATAATTTCAATCCAACTTTCATTTTTTTACTTAGGGGAGGCATCAAAAGTTCAATGTCGGATAGAAAACTAAACCAGAACAACGGCAATGCCAAAGCGTAGCGAATCCCATCGAACAGAAATGGCTGGCATTTTTACAAACAAATAGCAAATATCATAAAACAACACACCAGAAAGGCCACCATTTTCAAAATGGTTGCTCACTAGCCAAGTTGTCATCAGAAGAAATAATATGCTTTTCAGTAGCCACCTCTAAAATTTTTGAAAAATCGCACACGTACTTGTAAAATAACACACATAAAAATGGTGGCCATTTTTCAAAATGGCCGACTACTCCCCAAAGTTTTATTAGACAATGTGCCATGCTTAAAGTATTCACATACCAAATATGAACAAAATCGCTCCACTACTTTTCGAGTTATAGTAAAATACGTTAAAATGGTGGCCATTTTTCAATTTTTTTTTCAAAATGGCCGCCTTCTACCAAAAGTGTCTTTAGACAGTGTACAATGCTTATAGTATTCACATACCAAATATGAACAAAATTGCTCCACTATTTTTTGAGTTATAGCAAAAATCGTAAAATGACGAGTAAAGGCCGCCATTTTTCAAGATGGCTGCCATGTGCTTCTTTAATAATAATATCTACATTTGTAGCATTATTAATGTCCTTTATAATTTTTTTACATTTAAAACATATTGATATAACAGTTTTACATATTGCACCTAAATTACTGTAAAATTGGCACTAAAATGGCCGCCATTTTGAAATGAGCGGCCATTTTGAAAATCGGCTTTCGAGCAGAACTTCTACCCCCATAAGGTATATGTGTACAAAATATGAACAAAATCGGGCCAACGGTATTTGAGTTATTGCCCGGACGGACAGACGGACGGACGGACGTACGTACGGACGTACGTACTTACGGACGGACGGACGGACGGAGGCGTTCCCTATATCCCTCCGAACTTCGTTCGATGGGATAATAAATCTAGTTAGGGGAGAGGGGGTTCAAACCCATTTCAGTTTGCTATCCGACAAATTTCAACATTTCAAATTTTTGGCAATTTTGACTCAGAATGCCTTGGAATGGTTTAAAAATAAAGATTTTACCTGATGCTTTCTTCGTCAAGATCATTCCAAAGGATTCTATCAAAAGTTGTTAAAAGCCACAAATTACGATAGGAATTAACAAAAACTAGATCGTGTTTAGCAATAATTTTTCAAATTCTCAAACCGGAAGTCAGCGATCAACTTTCATGGTATTTACTTTGTGGGGGGATGGGGGGGGTCAGAGTCAAAACTAGATTTATTTAGTTTCCAATCCAACATTGAACTTTTGATGCCTCCCCTTACTAGCTTTGGAATCTAAATACCTGATGATTTTAAATTTTGTGTACATCAATTTATGAATATGCTCCAAAAATCCTTTCAAATTCTTTGCAAATACTTTCCATGCAATTAAAACCTCATGGAAAGTTATCTAAAAGTTTCAATGTTAGACACCAATACTTACTTTTTTCAATACACAATTCATTAATCTAAGGGCAGCTACATTCAGATCCTGGGTACAGAAACCAAGGAATTCTGTCACTGAAGACGCTGCTGTAGTTCCCAGGAATAACTCAGCTCCTTTATTACTTTTCTCACACATGTATTGGATGATAGCAAAGCTGGAATTATAGTTTGGGAGAGGTTTGTCACAATGACCTTTGTAAAGCTAAAGACTTGTCTCGGTTTGGAGAACGAAGTTAATTAGTCTACTGCAAATTACGCCTGCTTAAGACAATTTTGATATTTTTACATATTGTAGATTTAAATGTCCTCTTTTGAATATTCATAATTTAATTTGGGTGTTATTTCTATATTTTTCATAAAAAAATTATTAGCACAGTACACTGATGAACTTAGTTCTCCAAATCTTTTCCAAATTTGGTTTGGGTGTTATTTCTATATTTTTCATAAAAGATTATTAGCCCAGGAGACTGTTCTCCAAACCGAGACTTGTCCTTTCACTTTTTACTTCTCGTTAAAACAAAGGGGTTGGTTTATTGTTTGGTTGGCCAGTTAATTGGCTGGTCTGTTGGTTGGTTTTAATGAAACTATCTGATGCCCACACATCACAATATTTCACTTTGTTCAACAATTTTGGAGCACTGTGTAACTTGGGTTCTTTTGGGACCATTCTTCTAAGCTTTTTTTAAATCATTGGATAGAATCACTTCTTGTAAGTATCACATACCAATGTACATGCCATTAAATCTATTTATTAATGTGCCAAACCCTCTGTGATAAAAGTGGTTGAGGAATTTGATAAGTATCAATTACAATTAATGTGTACCTCTTGTATATTCCACTGACCTGTTGTTAAATCCTACAGAATCAGATGTCAAAAATGGCAATTTTCCCAGTGGATTCAGCTTTGTAACATTCCTACTCTTTAGCCAGGCTTTATCTGGAAAATATATTTTCCAAAATTGCCATATTGCAAAATTATACAGTGAACACCTTTTAAAGGCTATCTGTGATCAAGTCATCATGTTCTTCAATATTCTGTTAGGCCTATATTATGTTTGGGAGTTGAAGTGCAAAAGATGGAATACACGGCATTATACCATATTCATGTACAGGCCAGTGAATCTTAATCCAAACAAAATACATAGCCCTCTAAAACTACCAGTAACAGATACGGTAAGACTTACATCTTTAATATAACAACATATAAAATACTAGATTAGCTAAATTTAGACAAAGTTGACCTTGCATCATGTACAGCTTGATCTCCTTCAGGGATGTATCCATAATACAAAAAATAGGTGAGGTAAATCTTAATAGGTGAGGTAAATTTAAATAGGTGAGGCAAATTTAAATAGGTGAGGCAAATTTATAGGTGAGGCAAATCTAAATAGGTGAGGCAAATTTAAATAGGTGAGGCAAATTTAAATAGGTGAGGCAAATCTAAATATGAGGCAAATTTAAATAGGTGAGGCAAATCTAAATAGGTGAGGCAAATCTAAATAGGTGAGGCAAATTTAAATAGGTGAGGCAAATCTAAATAGGTGAGGCAAATCTAAATGGGTGAGGCAAATTTAAATAGGTGAGGCAAATCGCCACGAGTGATGTGTTGGTGAAGTAGATAAGGAGGGTCCAAAATCGTGAAAGCAAGACAAGGGGGTGTTAAGGTACAGTAGGGGTTACAAGGGCTCATTGATTTAAGACTAACAGCTTTGTTCTTACCTATTTGTGAGACTATGCGCATGTCTTCCTGATATCCAATGATGGTTGAAAATATCTCTACCACCCTGCATCCTGGCATCAGCCGGTTTATGTAGACTACCATCTTCTACAATTGGACAAATGCAATCAATTCCATGGGTAGAAACATGTTCCTATAAATTCTGAAAAAGGTAATAATGTTAGTAATTCTCAAACTTTCAAACACAATACGAGTACATAAACTATACTGCATATATATGTGTACATCCTGTCCTAACAATAGAAACTCACATTTATACTTCTGATTTGGAAACAAATTAAATAATATATAAACTCAAACACCTATTATGTATCTCCAAAATGAGACAAAAGTCGGGACATACAGTTTGGAACAAAACAAATGACAGGTGGATTTTCTATCACCATATCCAAACCATGGTGTTTTGAAAGGCCTATAGTCTCAAATATTGTCTAGATACATATCCCTTAAAATTTGTATATTTTACATTTTGTATACTGTCATCCACTGATTTATGACCTCTTGAAAATTCTCTTAATTTTAACATGGGAAATCCTCACTTCAGCAAATCCATGTGTCATTATTTTTGTTCAAAACATTAAGTGTCAATATTTCTGAAAATATACAATTAATCTGAAAGGGCTGCTGTTAACAAGGCATTAATGTCAACTATGTTTTGGTCGGTGCTTTGAACGCACTGAACAGTCTATCACACAGCTCAGGGATGGGGAAAGAAACTTGATGACCAACCCATGGGGAGTAAGTCTCCCCCTCATTTATATTCCCTATATTAAAATATAATCTAAAATACACTAAAAAATATGAGAGGGGGAGTGACATATACCCCATGGATAGAGTCAGGACCAATCCTGTGAAATAAAATAAAAACACCAGAGACAGTCACAAGAGGAAAGTACCATTGAAAAAACAGCACCAGTGACTATTAGGTGACATGATAGCACCGTATATATGGACTTTACTTACCTTCTTCTAAGGCCACTGTATTGGCTAGAGACTCGAGTAAGACTAACCAAACCTGTCTGGCCCAGTTATCTACTCCTGATGTCGTAGATCTGGGCCAGACGAGGTCCAATGATAAAAAAAAGGGGGGATTTAATCCGGAAAAAACATGTCGCTGAACCATCACTTATTATTCATTCCCTATTAGCCATCCAACCCAAGTGTTTATTTGAAATAAAGAGTATATAACTTACACGTAAATGTGGTGTTTTGTTTGTTATATTGATGTTGAAATGGGCACAACATTTTGTCAATATTTTCGTCAGCTCTCCGCACCAAATAAAGTCACGTGATGTGACGTAACATAAGTGTGACGCAATAATTTTTCAACTTTCATGGAACGAAAATACATTTCCCGGGAATCAATGCATTCTAAATATTACGATTTTTTCAGCAGATTTGTTATCAAAATGTAGATTACTTTATAAAACAGACGTATCTGTGTTGTATTTAGACTTGAAAGAAATATTGTGGACATTAAATATGATTTTGTAATTTGTCGAACTGACCGAATGTAGTATGTAGTACTGAACAAAATATGCAGCCGGGACTTCTCGATATCCTACGAGATCACGAACAGATGGCAGAATAATTTTTCTTTTTGCTGCGTTTAATCGCTTCGTTCTTATTTATTAGCCGTCATCCAGCGATGGAAACCTAATATAAATACAAAGTCTGATACAAGGAACAAACACGTAAGTGTTTTTTATGATGTTTTTTCATTTATCAGCACGTATTATACATTGAAAAACCAGTGTGTTTTTTCCGGAGTAAATCCCCCTTTTTTGCATTGGATCTCGTCTGGCCCAGATCTACGACATCGGGAGTAGATAACTGGGCCAGACGGGTTTGGTTAGAGTAAGACTTAACGGAGTTAACCAACGGACGCCTGTAAATCCTATACGGCATATGGTATATTATTGATGTTTGACCAATCAGATTTGCATTTGGTTCAGCCCTTGTCAGAGAAACATTTTACGTGATTGGTCAAACATCAATAATATACCAAATGCCGTATCACGCGATACTAACTCCGACCGTTAATTTGAATTTTTGACCTACCAGATGCTTGAAATTCAAGGATTGCGAGTCTCATACTGCAACGTTTTTATACATTGATGTATAGGATTTACCATTCACCGTTAGGCCTAAGTAACCAACCATAAAATAGCAATGGACAACCATTTTTTTAAATTAACCCAACCCCATTAAGGCGACGCTATATTAAATAAAAAGTACAAAAAATGACTGCCATATTTTTTTGATAAAGACACATGTTTTTAAAATCTGTTTACCTTGTATATGAATTGTGTATCTTGACTAATGAAACATGTCAAAGTTAACATCACACATAAACGCATTTTTCCAAACTATGAATTGGAGGTGCATGGATCCCCAAAGCTAGCATGAAGAGTGCGAAGTGAGGCTAATTTTTGAAAGTTTCAAGGAGTAGCCTTGCAACAGTCACACATTTGCAAGAGTCTAAAATTTCCACAAATCATCTTACCTTACAAAAGGAACAACGAAGGAGCACAAAAATGTGTACTTCTTGCATTGTTAGAGTATAATAAAGCTCAAACCATTGTGAATTCTAAATATTTCATGTCCATCATTTTGTTTCCTGGAACTATTTTTTAGTCCAGAGTTATCTTCATTCATGTTTCCATTGTTTATCATTCATAAAGCCTCTATCATGTATCTATCATGATAATTACACTGTTATAGATAAAACATACAAGTGATAATCCATGCCACTTGGTGTAGTCACAAAACTTGCATGAGGATTAATCAGGAAGTCTAGAAGTAGTTCCGGCAGGGTGCACCCCAGTTGTCCGAAACCCAGTTCTCCGAAACCCAGTTGTCCGAAACCCAGTTCTCCGAAACCCAGTTGTCCGAAACCCAGTTGTCCGAAACCCACTTGTCCGAAACCCACTTGTCCGAAACCCACTTGTCCGAAACCCATTACTCCGAAAAATATAGTCATAATTTACCAGAGAAAGGGGAGACGTACTAAGCTTAGGCCAGTTTCATGCCATGTATTTGGCCAAATTAATGGCATGGACGCATTCTGATGTTCATAGATCTCTCTCTCACTTTGAATTGCATCCATTGCACGCGTTACCAGAATGGCAGGAACGGGGGATTTATTTTACATTGTGATTCTAAAAAAAAGGTTATCAAAACACAATATATATTACGGAACAGTTTATCTTATCTTCTTCAATCTCTTTTATATAGGCAAAATAAAATGAATCATTTTGAAACAGATAAAATAAGTTTACGCATATAGTACTTTAAGAATAAAACAGTATACATATTACGTTGTCAAAATATTTCGTCGCATTTAATTTCTTAGTCTCTGTATTTTATCAAATCGTAAAGGAACAAAACATTCTTAACTTAATCACTTGGGATCAACTGGAAACGAAGGCAGGCTGTCCTCGTATCAAAATGGATGTTCTCCCATTCGCAAGAAGTTTCATTTTCGCCATGTACTCACTTCATCCTTTTAATTTAATCTCTATTTCTCGAACAGAGAACGTAAATGAAGAATAAGTTTTGGTTTCAAAAGATGTACATGTCAACTTTACTAAATAAATGCCCACTGGCTTGGGAAAGCTATTTTTCTTTTTAGGCCGTTCTTTTTATGAACGCTCATCACCCATTGGAAAAATGTTGTTCCCTCTCAAAAAAGGCCCATGGGCCATAAAGAAAATTGGTTTAAAAATTGTAGACCCCTATCTATGTATGTTGTGTAAACGCCATTTTACAATGAGAATAACATAATTTAACTTTGTTTGTTTGAACATCTATATCACCTGTATATGAACTTTCGTAGGCTAAACATAAACAATTAACGTCTTGACTTAGCATAATTAGCCTAATTTTGCAATGATGTCAACGTTATTCCAATGTTATGTTGTGATTCGCAGAGGTTGCGACAACGAGATTCGTTTAAAAAAATGTATTTTTCAAATAAGATCCTCTAATTTTCGGAGAACTGGGTTTCGGACAACTGGGTATCGGAAAACTGTGTTTCGGAGAACTGGGTTTCGGACAACTGGGTTTCGGAAAACTGGGTTTCGGAGAACTGGGTTTCGGACAACTGGGTTGACCCCGTTCCGGCAAACAAAATGTGGACATGAAATATTTGGAATTTACAATGGTTTGAGGTTTATTATACTCTAACAATGCAAGAAGTGCACATTTTCATGCTCCTTCGTTGTTCCTGGGAAAGGTAAGATGATTTGTGGAAATTTTAGACTCTTGCAAATGTGTGACTGTTGCAAGGCTACTCCTTGAAACTTTCAAAAATTAGCCTCACTTCGCACTCTTCATGCTAGCTTTGGGGATCCATGCACCTCCAATTCATAGTTTGGAAAAATGCGTTTATGTGTGATGTTAACTTTGACATGTTTCATTAGTCAAGATACACAATTCATATACAAGGTAAACAGATTTTAAAAACATGTGTCTTTATCAAAAAAATATGGCAGTCATTTTTTGTACTTATTATTTAATATAGCGTCGCCTTAAACTATATATTTTCTGAAAGCTTGGAGTTTCAATAAAAAGAAAATCTATGACCTAAATTTTTAGAAAATGCATACTGGCCGTGACACCCATTTAAAGTAGGTCACCCTCAGGGGGTCCAAAAATCGTTTTTGCTAAAAACTGACCCCAACTTTGAAATTTAATTAAAAATTAACAGGTTTATCTTATTATCATACCTTATATTTTCTTGTAACTCTAACTTTTATTTAACAAAACAAAAAAAATGAAGGTCTAATTTAAGTTCATATTTTCGAAAATTAGAGTCACAGAGTATCACCCATGGGCGTTTTTTTGTATTTTTTAAAAATAAACATTTGCAATGTACAATTTCCTATGTCTCTTTCATTTGGATCAATGGAGAACATTAGTACAAATATTTTTTTGTAATATTCTTTCCATGTATACAAATAGTGTATCTATAAGCTGACACTACATGTATATCACTAAATTGTTTACCATATAATATACATATTATATATATATCATATGTACATGTATTATAGTTTTCAAAAGTCTTGAGAGAGACCAAAATTAAACTTTCCAAGTCTTTAAAACAAGCATGCTGCATCAAGAAATCAATTGTATGAGACATCAAGTGATTAGTGGTATGGGACATCAACTAACCAATAGTATGGGGCATCAAGTGATCAATGATATGGGACATCAAGTGATCAACAGTATGAAGTGATCAACAGTACTGGATATCAAGTAATCAACAGTCTTGGACAATCAATAATCAATAGTAAATAATAAGTATTAGGGAATAAAATAATTAACAGTGTGGGAAAGCAAGTGATCAATGGTATGGGGTAGTAAGTGTTAAATAGTATGGGACATCAAATGATCAATAGTATGGGACATCAAGTGATCAACAGTATGGGACGTCAAGTGATCAATAGTATATCAAAGGAATCAAGAGTGTGGGACATCAAGTGATCAATAGTGTGGGACATCAAGTGGTCAATAGTATGGTATACATGTATCAAATGATCAATAGTATGGGACATCAAGTGATCATTAGTATGGGTCATCAATGATAAACTTTTACAGTATGGGGCATCAAGGGAGGTGAGACTGCAAGTAGTCAAAGTGATTATCCGATGATAATAGATTGGGGCACCTGTAATTACTGAATTATGCAGTGGTAATTGTCAAATAATCATACCAACCTATCTTACTCACTTCGAAAGCCATGTTAGATTTTGAAACTTATATCAAAATCCAAATAGCTTTCGCAGGAAGTAAAACCTATCCACATCGATCCACGTGCTTGATCGCGAGAACAACAACAAACTAATCACGTGACAATAACAATCTTTTAATCTGTGTCTAATAAGTCCAAATTCAACAGACATTGTATGAAGAAGTTTTCAATAGCATATTTGGTTTCATAAATATACATTTATTTGAAGTAACAACCATAATTGAACACAGATTAACCAAAATTAACGATTTTATTTTTGCGCAAGACACGCGACCCCGGAAGATTAATATGGCCGCCATCTTGCATGAGAATCGGAAGATTACACTAGCCACTTTAAAAGTTGAATTTCTACATTTGCGCATATATATATCAGTGTAAGTTTTAATTTTTTACGATCTCAAGACTTTAAACTTTACAAATAACTGCTTAATCAAAGCGACCAAAAATTATTGAGGGTATACAGTTGGGGACATAAATAAATGACAGGTGGATTTGCTGAAGTGAGGATTTCCCATGTTAAAAATAAGAGAATTTACAAGAGGCCATAAATCAGTGGATGAGATTATACAAAATGTAAAATATACAAATTTTAAGGGATATGTATCTAGACAATATTGGAAATTATGGGCTTTCAGACCACCATAATTAGGAAATGGTGATTGAAAATCGACCTGTCATTTATTTTTGTCCCCAACTGTAATTAAATGATTTAAGGTCAGGGTGCATGATGGGAAATTTTCTGCATTCCTCAATTGAGTCACATGTTATTTTTCAAACAAGAATCACTCCTTCCCCAGAGAGTCTATATCTTCCAGGTTTGCACAAAGAGTGCTCTTATGTGCCTAGAAAAGACTTGTGAGAAGAATGTTTTGATAAAGAAGAAAATTCGGCGAAAAAATTCAGAAAATTTTCAGAAATTTTTTTCACTGAATTTTCTCGTTTTTTATACACAAATCTTCTCACAAGGCTTTTCTAGGCACATAAGTGCACTCTTTGTGCAAACCTGGAAGATGTAGACAATGTGGGGAAGGAGTTATTCTTGTTTGAAAAATAACATGTGACTCAATTGAAGAATGTAGAAAATTTCCCAACATGCACCCTGTCCTTAAGGTTCAGCTGGAAAGTAACATTTTGGTAAAAAATTGCTATACCTGCACATGTTATTTTCTGGTACAAAATTAAGTATGAAGGCATGTGTATATTTCCTTGATTTTTTCAGGAAAGTATCATTACACTGTCTTCTTTTAGAATATCTAGAAACAGGTCAATGGTAGCTCCTGTGTTGTCTGGAAACTTTGAAAGAAAATTTGGAAAAATAGAAAGTGTGAAATATCAGAATTTCCTGGAGGTCCCATTGAACGCCTACCAGATATTCTAAAAGAAGACAATGTAATGATACTTTCCTGAAAAAAGCAAGGAAATTGACACATGCCTTCATACTTTATTTTGTACCAGAAAATAACATGTGCAGGTATAGCAATTTATTACCAAAATGTTACTTTCCAGCTGTACCTTAAACTTTACCTCGTGAAGTTCGTCCTCGCCAAAAACGATTTTCTTCTATTCTTAAGAATGCGCGAAGACTTCAATCAATTATTAAACAGAAAGAAATAACAGCAAATCGACTCTTAACATAGTTAAAATGAGCGACCAAAATTGCATATAAAAGCGGGGTCAATTTTTTAGTGAATAAAATTTCCCGCGAAAACGCGCCATCTATTCGTTGTCCATTGCTACATAAAATTTTAAAAAATGTACACATATAAAAAGGTTGATTTCCAATGCTTTTGAATTCTTTCATGGATCTAATTGATGTCATTTGCTTACCTGGAATGCTTTTCGAGCTCCGATTCATACAATGGTCTAATGATAAGTTGTAGAATGATGGAAAATCGACGGTTTTTTAAACAAATCTGTAACAAACTGAAACTTTTCAAGTAACTCAAAGTAGGCTTAGCTTTCGGAGTTTCGTTTACGACATTACTGTTTACACGATTCTAGCAGCCGGGATAATCATTACTTTTGATTTCTATAACACATTTGTCGAATCATATGTTTACAATTCAAATTTGTTGCCTGTGATTTAATGCTTGATTTCTTTTAATTTTATTGTTTACGACAACAAGTACGAACCAATTTCAGCCATATTGGTTGCCAATCACAACTTTTAAAGATTTGTCTCGACAAAATGGTAAGTTTCGTGCTTATTCAAGCCTACAATAAAGTGCTTACTATCAATTTGAGATCTTGGTCACATCAAGGGTCATATGACATGAATTGCATGTAGTTTTATCGCAGAATATGCAAGGAAATTGTGTTTTTCTATCTCCATAATTTATATAATAATTATTTTCATATTTTTTTACAAGCACTGAGCTTGACTGAGCACTCAAAGGGAGGTGCATTTTCAAAAAATTGTTTTTTTGGGGAGAAGTAGTTTTATGATGTCATAGACCCTAGGGGTTGGTTGAGTAGCCCTCAGATTGGGGAACTGTGGGCTGCGCTTGCGCTAGACTGCTTCGGGAAGATCTAGTCAAGTGAACTCGACTTAATGTTGTTGTTTCACGTTTCTTTTTGACGATTTGGATATTTGTTTTTTATTTTTGTTTTCAACATTTGCGTCGAGGATATTAAGCCCTGTATATTGCGGTAAATGCTTTTCTGCCCTCTATGCTCAACAAAAGTTACACAGATAAGATAATGGATCCAATGCTTCAACTAGAATGTATTAACTCTTACCTTAAACACAGGAAGTACTTGATAATTGAAGAAATGTAATCATTTTTGTATATGTTTGAACCAATTTCCAATATGGTTCTCAAGGTCACTCAAGGTCACTGAATACTGTCTAAATGTGAAACCATGCAACCAAAACGAAATCGTAATTATTTATTACCAACATATCTGTTTTCGGTTTCTTCACCCTCCTTGGTGTCTGAGAAGGCGATTCAATTGTCATAAGACGATGATAAACTTTCGAGTTGAAATCTCGATCTCAATATGGCTGCTGTTATTTATTGTAATTTCGTTTTTCGCTTCACCTAGAGTTTTACTTTTACACAATCATTACCCAGAATGCATCTACACATGGGGAAAAAAAAAATTTCCAGAAAAATTCTTATACTTCTTCAATTATCAAGCGTTTGACGTGTGTAAGGTAGGATTAAATACATTATCGATGAAGAGCATATTCTAATACATAATTTGTGTGATTTTGGTTGCCTAAACAGGCCAGGAAAGCATTTCCCTCAATTTACAACCGGGAAGTGTGTACGACCCTAGTACAGTTGGGGACAAAAATAAATGACAGATTTTCGATCACCATTTCCTAATTATGGTGGTCTGAAAGCCCATAATTTCCAATATTGTCTAGATATATATCCCTTAAAATTTGTATATTTTACATTTTGTATAATCTCATCCACTGATGTATGGCCTCTTGTAAATTCTCTTATTTTTAACATGGGAAATCCTCACTTCAGCAAATCCACCTGTCATTTATTTATGTCCCCAACTGTATGCAAGAAAATAACAAAAAATAAATATCCAAATTATCAAAAAATAATGACAAATAAAGCATACGATGGTCGGATTTATATGACTAGGAAGATCTATCCAATTCCAACGGTATTATCGGAAAATTTGAAGTTTATGTTCTCTGTGCGTTATCTCATTAACCCAACCTGATATATTTTGAGATTGGCCATGTGGTATTAGCATGCTGACCACAAGGTTTGTTTGGGTATGAATGTGGTTTTAATGATAGCCATCACAAATAGGCGTGAGGATCATGTGGATCTTGAAACATCAGAAAGTATACATTAATAACACTAGATACAAAATTCAAATAACAGATGTCACACAGAATTTTTTAATGAGGTTCCCACTGGTCCTACACACATCCTTATCTGGTTAGACAATGGACTGTTACAGTTGCAGGGATTGAATTGAACAAAAAAACTCTGGAATGGTATATATGCCTTGAGTGCAAAATAGAATTTATAGATAGTGAAACAATGATTATAATGTTCGCAACAACTTGTAAAGTTTACTATTATAAGTATACATATAGTGAAGTGTTTGAACCCATGATTTCTTTATGTTTTTTGTACAAAACTGGGAGAAAATTACTGAAAATGTTATGTTGTGAGTTTTGATACTGAAGCCTAGTATCATGGAATGGGACAGCTTTGGGCAATCGTCCAATCCCTGAACAGTTGTTTACATGTATGTTTTCTTTTAGCCACCCAAATCGAAGACATCATCTCAGAGCCGAGTCTCTACTGCATCCTCAACTAGAAGTAAACCAAGCAAGGACAGGGTTAGCATTGTGTGGCTTTCTACAGAGTTACCCCCCCCCTCCCATATCTTTGCATTTGCATTTAATTTAGTAAATACTAGTTTAAAAGGAAAACATGCACTAGCGATAGACACATGCATACAATTGTAAAATATCACATGCAGTATTATTTCATCATTATTGTAGAATAGATATCACAATTTTACAATACAATATACCATTTAAAGCATGATAAAGTATTCTATATATATACTATATGGTATTCAATAATAACTAGAAATTATTTTTAATTAACTTTTATTTTTTAGATTTTGTCTTGAAGAAGAAACTTCAACTAATTTGTATCAAAATTTCATTTTGATCGTATATAGGTGATATCATAGTTATATAACATATGTGCACCTACACATTTTTATCTTTAAAAATTTAGTTAAATCAATAAAATTACTATATTCCACTGTAGCTTAACCTGGTAAGTTTACATGGTCTATCATATTGAAAATATAATGCCCTTATAGTTATTATGATTTTGTGCTAATCTCTTTGATTAAAATTTTGTTTTAGCCATTTAGTCGCAAGCTAACTGTAGCTAATAAAGGAGGCATTAGTAAATTAAGTGCTAGCAGAACTAGCATAGCAACAAGCCTAGCAACCACAGACATAGGCTTTGATGATGATGATTCCGTATACAGTGATGGGGAGGTAACCATAGCAACAGACAAAACCATCTCCCATCACCCCCGCCGCCCCCATGTGAATCTTTATTGTAACTAAGAATGTGTTTTGGTAATCATTGAGTAATACACATGTATGCATGCATGTATGGGAAAGTCACTCGCTAGAAAAGAGGAAAGATCACTGAATGTTTTTATAAATTGACAATAAATGTATATGTTATATTAGAAACCCCACTCCCTCTTCTCCCTTAACTGAACAGAACTTTGTCGTCACCTGTATGTTACATCAAAAGGCACATAAAGAATGGGCGTCTCAAGGTTGTGCAATGGCATTCCTCTTTTTGAGTCAATTTTCCTGGGAATTTTTGCTTAGAATACTGAGGAGGAGACCTAAAGGAATCACTATATTCTCTTATGTATGTGTAGAACCACCCTCTCCCTTTAAAAATACTGTTGATGACCATGTATAGAATACTGAGTAGGAGACCTGTAGAAAAGAACTATGTGCTCTAATGTAGATGTAGAACCACCCTCTCCCTTAAAAACGCTGTTGATGCCCATGTATAGAATATCTAAAGTTGTTTCACTTCACATCACAGGCCCGTAGCCAGTGTATAGGTTCAAGTGATTTTGGCCATTTTTGGGCCAAAGTTGCGCCTGCATCACATACATAGTTATAGTAAATTATTTTTTATTCCAGTAGTTCCCAAACAGCAGCCTCTGACACCTACAGTGACTAGTCACATGATTCCCAATTCATCAACAAGATGCATCTGAATTTTTTTACATACAGTAAAACCTGTGTATATTGAACATTTTTTGTCAAGAAAAGACGTTCAGTGTTGGTAGGAGTTCACTATAGAGAGGGTAATTTATACAGAAGTCAGTAGAGTATGTGTGGAGGAATGGTATCCACTTGAGACAGGGGTTCATTAGACAGAGAGAGGTGTTCACTAAGACAGGTTTTACTGTATATATAGCAACATTATATAAATTAAAATGTGATTATTCACTTATTTAATAAATGTTCAGCCAAACAAAGGCCTTGGTGTCTTGCATGCATTATTGCAGTTAGACAAAGCTTACAATTTGAACATTTCATTTTATACTGAATTAATATTTGTACATTGTATATTTCAACTATCAATTTTTTACAACAAACAGTATTTGCAATAATATCCTATTCTCAAAAACCTTTTTACACATTTCCCTGTAATATTTTGTGTAAGAATTTCATGAATGCATTCAACAATTACAGCTTCTAATGAAGGAAGAAAAGGAAAAAGATATTTACAAAAGGTTTTACCATACATATTTCACTGTAATATTTCTACAATGCAATTTCAGACACTATAGCTTCTGGTGATGGAAAAAAAATACTTTTAAATTCACAAAATATTTTTCTAATCAGATTTCACTGATATATTTCTACAATGAAATTTCAGCCACCCAAGCCATCTGGAAAAGGTGGCAAGAAGAAGCTGACAAAGGCTGAGAAAGAGAAACTTAAGAAGGAAGAGGCAGAGAGAAAGGCTGCAGAGGAGGAAGAGGCCAGACAGGCTGCTGCAGCTGAAGAAGATGCACGCAAAGAAAAGGAGAAAGCCGAGGCAACAGAAATAAGAAGATTGGAAAATGAAGTAGGTTTAAATGTCACAATATCTAGGTGACATATTGTATTATTGTATAGTCACCATTTAAATTGAACCTTAAGTGCATAATACGAGTGATGAAAACTCTATTGAAATAAAACGTGCCATTGGATTAAGTTTCTTGGTGCAGTATGTGGCTCTAAAACACTCACAGTTGAATGAATGCCACTTTTCCTTGAATGCATACTTATTTCATGTATACTTTGTAAGCGTCACTTAACTGTGAACCTCATAAATTGTTTTACCCAATGATTTATGGAAAATTTTCTCCTCCAGGAAAGGCGCAGAAGGAAAGCCCAGCTGCAAGAACTTTATAACATTATAGACAACAATAAGAATATACTCCTAAGCAGAGCTGAAGATAGACGCAAGAATGCAAAGGTAAAGTTAACATCTTTAATTCAGTTCATCAAGTGTTGCATTTGAATTTGAATGTGTAAAACAGTTATGAACTTACATAGCATTGAACAGGAATTTAGTGAAATCTTGTTTTCCATTATCTATCAATCACAATCACATTTTTCAAAAATGGAACTTATTTAAATGATTAGTACAAATGAGTTATAAGAGAACATGCAAGGCATTAGAATAATGCTATTGTATAATAAGAACTATCATAATGCACAACAAGAAGAGTTAAAACATGATACTGTATACTCCAGTGGGCCCGGTACATGCGCTGTGATGGTTCTCCAGATCCTACCATTCCTGGTGAAATAAATGCTTACATGAACCTGTGGAGGGATAGGGAGACTGGCAATGATATACATTCTGTGCTATCAGATGGCAAACTAAGCCTATCAGTAAGTTATAATAATGTTTATTTCAAAACTTCTAAGGCCACAGGCCTCCTAGTTACAGTTAATTTTCATACAATTTTAGACAGTGTTAAGCAAAACAACTTAAATTACAAATTAAGTTTTCATTTTCCGTTGACATTAACTGTATAAATTTTACCATATCTGGTCTATAACAATAATAATCTGGCAAACACATTTTTCTTAGAGATTTAAATTTCTCACATATCATAACCATGTGGTACTCATCTCCAATAATATTAACATGTGCTGCTAAACAGAACTTACAAAACCGTAGTTAGTTACTGTTTTGTGTGTACTGTATTTAATATTTAGTAACCACCCTACATGTATATACATATGTTGTAGTATTATTAAAGACTTGTATCATATATTTATGCCTTTCATCTCATGGTTGCAAAGCTACACTGAATGAAGATTTTTATTATTTGGGATTTTATTTTTCTGAAGATAGACATTTTTATAAACTGCGTTTTCTCTGCTTGTAGTTGATAGATGAGCTAAAGTTCTTACTAAAGGACACTCCAGCTGATGAACTGACTGAACAACAAAGAGAAAGATACACTAAGGTAATGTTTCAATTATGTAACACTTCTTTTTCAATACTTCCGTAACAATACTTGTGACATTGTTTTACAATACATGTATTGTAACATTTCCTTTACAATACTTGTAAAACTTCTTTTACAATACATGTACTACAAAACATGTAATACTTACTTTATTACAATAAATGAAATGCTTCTTTTACTGAACATATAACACTACCTTTGTTGTGTTTTGTTTGATAGGATCTGCAACACAGGCAATTGCTGTTTTTCTTTATTTACCCATTCTCTGTTACAGACCATACAAGACTTGGACAAATTACTACAGATGAAAATGGACAGATCATCCCATGAGTTACTTCTCCAAGCCACTGAACTTTCCAACAGTGAGACAAGTAATTTACAGAGCACAATCGGGAATGAAATCGCAACACTCTGCATGTGGGGAAACCTCAGTAAGAACCCCAGGATAAAATCACACGAGTTTGAAGAAATGGGATTCACGTTTGAGCTGCCAAAGATCTTAACACTGTCGGATTGTGCAATGAGAATACTGTTCCTGAATTACGATCATTTTTCAATGTACTGCAAGACATTTTATCCAAGAAAGAAAGAGAAAATTGTTGAAGGTAAGTTACCATAGACTACATGTACAATTATCCAATATTATCAACTGAAATGACAATTAGTAAAAACCACATACATATAACAAGTAAATGTTGAACTTAGTCAGGCCACTTCTGGTGCTAAAATTATCCCACGTGTAAACTCTTCTTCACCCTACCAAATCTCAATTCTGGCAATTATGAACCATACTTTAACTACCATCATCTTTTTCAGAACCTGTTGAAGAAGAGGTTGTAGAGGAAGTGAAAGAAGAAGAGGTAAAGGAAGAGGCACCAGCAGAAGATGAGCCAGATTTAAATCGAGAAAATACAGAGGTATTTGACTAAAGATTATTTTGTTTCTCGTGTTAGACGGAAGGACACATAAATTCACAAATATAGAAATTTAACAAGATTACAAAGGAGGGAAGTAATTGTAGACTTTTTTAGCAACATCTGTTTCGCAAAGTTCAAAGATAAATTCATATGCAGTTTGTACATGTAGCATGTAAATGCGGTGATCAGGTGATTTAATTTACAATATGCTTCAGATATAAACCTTTAGAAAATGAAACAGCAATATCAATACCCAGAGAACTTGGGTCATTTACAAATAACTTATCTCAAACAATGAACGTCAAGTCGTCCATTATGTAAAACACAAAATACAATCTTAGATCGTGTCAGTCTGCCATTGGGTATAATTATAAAATTTGTTCTCTGCTAACAGTTAAAAATGAATGAGTTTGCTGTTTTTTCCAGGACCTAATGGCTTCATTATACCAGGATCCCAACAAGGAAGAAGAGGAGCCAAAGGAAGAAGAAGTAAAAGAAGAGGTAGAAGAACTGGAAGAAGAGTTTGAAGAAATCAAAACACCAGAACCAGTTGAATGGGAGGATTTTGACGGAGATGAAGACATGGTCGATCTAAGAGCCTGGTCTCCTATTGGTCCAATCTTCCAGTTCAATCTCCTCCAGATGCCGCCACAGCCTAAAGTCATTAAGAACTGGACGATAACCCAGAATGTAGAACCTGAACTGGTGCCTATGCCGTATCTCTGTGATACAGTCAACCCTGAAATCCTCGCTGCCAAGGCTAGAGAGGAAGAAGAAGGAGAGCGGGATAACAAGAAAGATGAAGGGAAAGAAAAAAGAGAGGAGCGTCCTCCAATTGCTGTGAATCTCATGTAAGTTTGCCCTAGATACTGATATAATATGGGTCATCAGATGATACACATTTTTGGTCACCCCTGAAAATAATCCTTAAAATCAAATAATTAAATATTTTTAACATACACTGTATACGATATGCACTTTTTATTTTCAAGATGTATGAAATGTCAATGGTATGACTTAAGCCCATTTTCTGTAGATAGCCTCGTACATATGTAAGCCATGTTCTTCCTAACTGACTTCCCTTCACACTGATGACCTCTTATTCTTCTCCAGTTCACAATATATCTGTTACTTCATTCCCTCTTTCAGTTTGCCCAAGAAGATCTACTTTTGTGAAGAACCACAAGTTGCTCGATGGGATGCCGAAGAGAAATGTTGGAGATTAGATGGATTCACTGACATTTCATTTAGTGAAGGTATGAACCATATGATTAATTCAAAGATTTGCATGCTCTTTATTTAGTACTGAGGGAGATGACTGTAAATAGATGGCAGACTTCAACTAGGTTTTTATATGCTTGAACATGGAAATATTTCTTTAAAATATACAGGGTGTTCATAAGTTTCTAGAATAAAGAGGCTAAACACAGTGAGAAGTGCAAAGAGACTTTATGGATGCCCTGTATTTCGTTGATAATTGTAGATTAACCTTCATGATCAAAAATCGCTGTATTTTTTATAATTGCTGATATGATATGAGAAATAAACTATGAATAAAGACAATGATTCATAGAATATTGCTTGATATCCTAGTTATGGCCCGCCATCTACGTATAAGTTATCATTGAGTAATTTTAACATCCAAGCATTCACTATACACAAATTGTCTGATCTTAGATTCTTAATTGAATGCACAAATTTTTCTTCGTGGAAATTAAGGGAAGTTGTTTGTAACACTTGTGTTGATATCAAAGAATTAACAAAAGAAGTAACTGAGGAGTTTTCCATTCTGCATGGTTTATTTATGATCTGCACATATTTTGCAAATTTTGTGTGCATGCTAACAAAGTAACAATTATATGAAAATAACAAAAGAAAAGTATAATTATTAAGTAAAAATAAAGATTATGTATGATAATGCACAATGCACATTTTTTCTTTCATTTCCAGAGGGTAATATAAATTGATTGTGATTGTACTTGGAGTTGAATTTGATTTGAAAGATTTATGTGCATGTAATTAATCCAGTGATTTCTTCGATCGTAATGCTAACATACACTTTAAATATTTCTGGGGCATAGCCATGATTTAAAATAGGTGAGGCAAATCTAATAGGTGAGGCAAATGAGATATGATACTTATTTCCACAGTTTTTGTTGAAGAAATTTCGTTAATAAAAATATTTCTGAAAGATTTCGGTGAACAAATGCCTCACCTCAGCTGCCTCATGGCTATGCCCAAGCATTGTCAAAACCACACATAATTTATTGATAACATTTGATGATTTCTACATCAACTTATCCATATTTTTCAAATATATTTTTTGTACTGTAAAACCTCCCATTTTGAACACCCCTCTAATAAGGTAAACACCCAAGTAACATGAACATACTTTCATTGGTCCCATTTTTATTATGTCACCACCACAATCTGTGACATATTGTTATTGTCTCCAACTTTTTTGTGGATGGTGTTTGACGCTAGGTGTTTGGTGGTCAGCATCTGTAACAAATGGCAGGTGGTGACATTTTGCGTGTTAATGCCTTGTTATCTTTATGGCTGCGGAGGGGGGAATCACATGGTTAAACGATGATATTACCCCTCCACAATCAATTTCATCCACCCATGTGTTGATTTGATTGATTTGATCACATATGAAATGTAATTAATTGTGTGTTTATCCCACCAGATCCTGATCACCCAGGTAACAACAGCACATGATAAACTCATCCAATCAAATCCTTTGTCCAAAAATGTCACACTTTTCGTATCTTTTCCAGGAAATGGTTTGTCATGAAATAAATGTGAATTTACAGAGTACCATAAAATGGGGTATTTTGTTCGAAATGTTTAAAATATAAACAGCATGAAAATTGTGACTTTTTAACAAGGGCACCCTATATGTTATAATCTACAGGATGGGGCAGAAATAAGGATCACTCTAAAATAGAGATATAGATATCAAATTAGTATTTGGTAATCCTTGTGGTGTCCACATTTCTGAACCACCCTGTACACTCCACATTGTTATCTGCACCTTTTATAGATGTGTTTATAGAGAATTAAATGCTAGATCATACATTCTTGTTCATTGCTCAGCATATGTATCACTCTTTGATTATTGTATCACAATATATACACCTTTGCCACTTATAGAGAGTTTAGTCACAAAATACACCTACTGTACGCTGGTGGGCTGGCACGGAACAAAATTCAGGTTCATCATGTCGTATATTGTTCCTAAACCTGGAGCATTCTTTACTGCTCTGTCATTAATGTTCCAAAAAAATTCCTTTTGTATTAAGAAAACACTGGATGATATTTAATGGTTTACTGATGATTTGGTCGATGATCAAATATAATTAAATAAAAATACTGGATGGTATTTTAGCCTTGAAGTTCCAAATTCTGTCCCACTCAGACTCCATTCTGTTCCACTCAGACTCCATTCTGTTCCACTCAGACTCCATTCTGTGCCACTCAGACTCCATTCTGTGCCACTCAGACTCCATTCTGTTCCACTCAAACTCCATTCTGTTCCACTCAGACTTAATTCTGTTCCACTCAGACTCCATTCTGTTCTACTCAGACCCCATTCTGTTCCACTCAGACTCCATTCTGTTCCACTCAGACTCCATTCAGTGCCAATCCTACTTCATTTTGAATGATTACTCTTTGGCATCATCATTGTGAAACAGCTTGTTCGACACACAGCCTGCATAAACTAGTTAAGACTGAAGCATAAACACTATAGTTCACAAGAGGCTTTGTATTGGTATCCTAGTTCTGTATAGAAAACTGTATATTCTTTATGGTTTTTAGGTGTTGACAATTGGCAGAGTGACAGACTTTTTGTTTTAGTAGGCATATATAAAGATAAAATTGTTTATAGTAAATAGTGAAATACATGTATATTTACAAATTATAGGAGAAGGAAAATACAAACGTAAGGAACCGATTTCACACTGTGGCATATATGGTCAAATTATTCTGTGAATGAACTTTCTTTGTAGTTTTAGAACTTTGTTTTAGTGTACACTGTAATACTGTAATACAAGAACTTTTTGGGTATGAATATTGAAAACAGCAAAATTTTCTTGTTTGCAGTTTTATTTTTCTATTGCTTTTGAAAAACTTTTGCATAAATATAGTATTCTTTACATTACAAGATGTTCCAAAAGTAACAGTTCTGTGATTTTTCATCATTTCATTGGTATGATCTCCCATTGCTTGTGTCACCTTATGTTTTATGAGAATTCATAACTTCCGGACTCGATTTTAATTTTAAGAAATGCAGTGTAGTACTGGATGCCCATTATTAATAAACTTAGGCACAGTGTGATAAGGAATTCTGGGATACCCCCCCCCCCCAATGAAATAAAAATCACAGTCTGTTTGTTTTGGAGAATTCACTTCTTTGTAGATAAATGGTGTACTATGGTTGCAATTTCTATCTAGTTTTCATCACTGTAGCATTTTTAATAAATACCTCTTATACTGTATACCATATTAGATATTAATTTTTTCATTTTACGTTATTTTGTATCTGCTTTTCAAAAGATGTTCATGGACATAAAAGCATTTTCAGTGGAATTGGGATATATTATGTTATTATTACATATTGCACAATAAATTGAATTTCAATACAATGTTTTGAATCTCAATATACATATTGCAGCTTAAAAAAGATGTAATCATGTAAAGATACAATACTATATGTCAATAGAAGTTATGGATAATATGTTTTGAATCAATATATATTGTAGTTTGATATCAAAATTTTTTGAATTGCAATATATTGCAGTTTTGAAAAAAATATAACAGTTGAGAAAACATTTAAATTGCAATATGTTTTATGGCTAATACATTGTATTTTATATATTCTCAGTATACATGTATTGCAGTTTTGAAAGTAATATGTTTTAAATATATTGTCATTCAATAGTTGTGCAATTTTGAAACAAGTTCATTGCTAAAAAAAATATAAAGAATTGTTTCAATTTATAAATGCATTGAAAGAATTTTTTAATCTATAAATGTGTTGAAGGAATTGTTTCAATTTATAAATTTATTGAAAGAATGTTTCAATTTATAAATGTGTTGAAAGAATTGTTTCAATATATAAATGCATTGAAAGAATGTTTCAATTTATAAATGCATTAAAGAATTGTTTCAATTTATAAATGCATTAAAGAATTGTTTCAATTTATAAATGCATTGAAAGAATGTTTAAATTTATAAATGTGTTGAAATAATTGTTTCAATTTATAAATGCATTAAAGAATTGTTTCAATTTATAAATGCATTGAAAGAATTGTTTTAATTTATAAATGTGTTGAAAGAATTATTTCAATTTATAAATCCATTAAAGAATTGTTTCAAATTATAAATGCATTTAAAGAATTGTTTTAATTCATAAATGTGTTGAAAGAACTGTTTCAATTTATAAATGTGTTGAAAGAATTGCTTCAATGTATTGTTCTTTTTCAAAAATGAAATAATTTGAGAATCAAAGCATTCATTAATGCAGTATATATGTAATGCAATATACCGGACTGCATATATACGAGATGAATGCAATTAAATTATTTAATTGCCGCTAATGTTGCAAAACTTTGGCAATCAGCTAACTTTGTACATCTATGTTATTATTTGAAATAAATCGATAACATGAAAAAAAAAAAAAAAAAAAATGCAATTAATCACTAAATATCACATTCTAGAAAATGATTCTTTGTCTCTCAAACTTTTTCAGTGTAGAAAGCAATACGTATTGCATTTAAGAAAATAAAGCCAATCCATAATAATTATTTCTCATGAGACAGAATTTAGGAAATATGTGAATTCATATTAAAATTAATGAAAAAACATTTGATTCAATCCTTATATGTACTTTTTCAAATAAACCAGCAATAATTCAATGTTTATATTATATTTCAGAAAATCGTACATTTAGTTTCAAGACTGCCTACTTTGGAACAATGACGCTTCTTCAAGACCTTCACATCAATATGCCATTCCAGTCGTGGGAGTTACGTCCACACGGCACAAACCACGCTGTTCTCAGTATCATTGCAGCCATCATTGAAGTCGAGATTGATATCAAGGTCAGTGCAATTTAAAAACTGTGTAACAAGGCTTTTCACTTTAAAATTACTATTTTATATTTTAGTAAAACAACAATACATTAGTATGAGGTTTTTACATAGTTTGAGGTTTTGAGAAAAAAATGGAAAAATCATGGAAATTTTCCAGTGAGGATTTGAGAAAATCATCCCTGACAGATGTCACGAAACAAACAGCGAATTTGTAAGGGCCTAAGAATTAGCAGTCAGTTTTACAAAAAACACTTTATTTTGCTAGGCCAGGTAAAGATTACATGGAACATAGACATTATGTTATCCTCGTAATAAGAGAATGTGTCAAGAGTCCAATGTTGTCCCAAATGTGATTTATTAGGATTTCAGATACTAGACTCACTCTCCCAAGAAGTATCATTAAACATTAACTCATTTTTATGTCACGACCAGAAGTGTGGATATATTGTTAGAGTCTCCTTTTTTGTGGACAACTCACAAATATCTAGAAACCATCAAATACCAGTTATGAACAGCTACTAGCACTGTATGGAAAGCTGTATATGCTTAATAGATGGCAGAACAAACTATTTATATTAGTATTTAACCTGTATTCTCTATACGGTTTATTATTTTATCTGAATAGAGAGAGCAAAGTAAATTTACTCTATTCCATGTACATGCAAAACTTGAATAGCTGGATTTATATGGTTTAAATGGTAAAAGCACAGCTAGAACGCGGTGTTATTATAACAAATTTAGATCATGTGACTGTGCTTACAAGCCAATGATAAGGTTCGATCAAAGTTACGTGCCTAATCATTATAATGTATGCCTTGTTGTGTTCATGATATAGCAACTACTGCTATTAGGCTGAACTACTGCTATTAAAGAGGGCAAGATGTATCTATTCATTCTCCTAGCATGTCTAATGGGGATAACTGAGGTATGGAGTGCAAAGATATTACTCAATCCATATTCTCAGGGAAAGAGCTCAAGATTGATGAACATGGAGAAGCTCAGCTGGATATTACTTGAAGCTGGACATGAGGTCTCTATGGTGGTCAACAGTAGATATGATGAAACAACGAGACCTGTCTCAAAGAATGTGACATTCTTCAAGTACAAGATCCCTAAACATGCTCTGCTTATTCATGATGATGAAGTTATGAAAAGAATCCAGGAAGGTTCCCTCTTTGATATTATGAATGTCTTAGTTGAAGTGTCCTATGGTGCATGTTATGATTTCCTAGCAAGTGGAATTCTACAGATATTGAAGGCACAAAATTTTGATTTATTCCTCTTTGACTATGTGGAAAATTGCGCTCGTTTTACTGTTGACTACCTCGATGTTCCAACAATCTCATATGCCAATGAAGGAGCTGGTTCGGATTATTTATTTGGACATTTGGGTCACCCAGAACCATGGGCCATTGTTCCTCACATGGTCATGGGTTGTTCTGATTCTATGACATTTCTGCAACGTGTTGAAAATACTGTGATTCAATTAGGCCTACAATGTACATTTTTACCTGCATTTATATTCACAATGAACAGATTGCGAACTGAATATGGACTTAACACATCTCTGTCCATCATGGATAGCAATTCTCGAGGAGTAGCTCTCCAGTTCAGTAATAACCATAATGTACTGGACTGGGTTAGACCTTTGATGCCTAACCATATTTACATCGGAGGTATCTTCTTTGCTCCTTCTAAACCCCTTCCAGTCGACTTGGAGACGATTGTGCAGAATGCATCACCTAATGGTGTCATATTTGCAAGCTTTGGTTCAATGTTAAAAGCCACTTTTCTTGAAAAAGAGAGAATGGAACAAATGGCAGTTGCATTTGCTAATGTACCTATGACGGTGATCTGGAAATACTCAGGAGAACCTCCAAAAGCCTTAGGGAGAAATACCCATTTGATGCCATGGGTCCCCCAAAATGATCTGCTGGGACATCCAAATGTTAAACTATTTGTGACGCATTGCGGCTGCAGTTCTACATTCGAGACTGTCTATCATGGTCTCCCCGTTGTTACAATTCCTATGAATGGTGATCAGTTTAAACACTCAACTCAGCTCACTTCAAGGCTTAACATGGGAATCGAGGTGGACTTCACAACCTTAATGAACACAACACTCATTGAAGCAATCAACAAAGTCACGGGTGACCCCTCATACAGGAAGAATGCTGAAGAAGCCTCTAGGCGCATCCAAGACAACTCAAATAAACCGAAAGATTTATTCTTATACTGGGTGAATTATGTTATAAGGAATAAAGGTGCAGAACACTTAAAATCAAAACCAATGCAAGAACTTCATTGGTTTCAATATTTCTTACTGGATGTGTTTTTATTTCTGGGTGGAATTTTAGCAGTATCAATCACAATAGTAATTGTCATCATTAAGTTTATTTTTAGAAAATTAAGGCTGTTATGTTCAAAAAGTAAGACCAAAAAAGATTAGAATTATTGATTTATTATTATCACCATCAATCTACTACCAGGCTCTACACTTTTTTAAACATTAGCGATAAGTTAGGTGGAAAGTTGTCAGTTCATAGTAAATGCTCATATATTTAAGGATTTAAGCCCTGGACATAGTGCATTGTAGATTGAATCATTCTTCAAAAAGGTGTTATTTCTACCTTTGCACCAGATGCACAGCATCGAGTGTAAATCTTAGGAAATAACACCTGAGTAGAATGAATCAGCCACAATTCACCAAGTCTTGGGCTTAAATTCTTTTCACACATTGCAAAATATTTTTTACAAAATCACCTAAAAGATACGAAATCACTAAAAGAACATATTTTCATTGAAACTTTTTGCAAGGGTCAAGTTGACAAAGTATCAATTTCAATCTGTAGAGTCAAGTTGTCACCTTGACAACCATTCAATGAATGACCTTGGATGGGTTGTCAGTTATATAATGCAGTGCAGTTATATGAAGTACTGATTGGCTGGAATCTGACACACCTTGTCTATCTATGTGTGAAAAGCATGTAAGATATATGATGTACTATGTATAACATAAACAAGAGAAATTGTAAATAAAAGATGTGTTGTAGAAGGGATAGAGAATGTAACATGTTGGAAGCAATCTATTCAAAAATAGTGTGTTTCCCTTACAATCTTTTCATTATTTGAAAAGAAGAATTGAGACATCTGATCAAGTGTAGAAGTTAATATTGAAGATTTATAATGCAAAAATTCATTCATTAGAATTAAAAGGGGAGCATCTTATTGATGTGCCATGCCGGCCAAGCCTGAAATGTGGTCTTGAGAACTCTGGTTCAGCCCTACATTATTTTTCAAAACCTAATAATTTTCTTCACATCCAATACACCTATTTCTACCTCAATCAGTTCGGCAATCTCAAATTATTCACTTTACCTTTTTAAATTCAGCTGGTATTTAAAAATGTCAGGTGTCCAGTCTGATGGGGAGGAGAGTTCATTCAATCTCTTGCATGCACAAAAAAGCAAGGCAAAAAAGCGAGCCGAGTGCAGATTGCCCCTACTCCCTTATTAGGAAACACATTTTTCACTTAATTTTCAACTGGTCTTGATCCCTTCTACTTCCTTTAACTTTTGGGAATATATTTATCAAATCTGATATTTTTATATTTATTTACCTTGTGTATTTGTATTGAAGTGAAATTTTCTAATTTTATATTGTAATATAATTATACTTTGTACCATCATTTATTCCTTAAATAAAAGATATGTAAAAATACTGCATAAAAATATGTATAGTAGTTTGGTTTATTATAAACATATAACATAAATCCATTTGATGACATTAAATAATAACTTTTGATGTACTCTTCCCTTATTTCAATGTAAGAAGGACAAACTAAAATAAAATGGAATTCATCCTCCAAAGTATTTATCACCCCAAAAATACAGTGTAGCTACGATTGCCTTTCATGGGAGATTGAATAGAAAATAAATCGCAGCTACTTATGATGGCATAAAGTTCTGTGCCTGCAATTCTGATTGGTCAGCTGATTACAGAGCATGAATGAAAAAATGTCCTTAAGTTTTGCAAAATATGTTACTCACTCCACAATCAATCCGAATGTATTGTTATAGTCTCCAACTTTTGTGGCTGATTTTTGGTGTTCGGTGTCCGTAACAGCAGTCTGTGTCTGTAACAAATGGCATGTGGTGACATTTTGCATGTTAATGCCTTGTGTTGATGTTGCTGTGTAACATGCGTTTTAACTTAAATGTAGACGCGACTGATTTTAATATAATGTGCATCCAACTGATAGAAAAGTGTTTGCAAATAAGTCAATAAATAAACAAATAAAAATAAATATTCCAGGAGGACCAGTGTTGCTTAATTAAGCCTGATGATCGCCCTGAATTGGACTGGTTGGTTGGGAAGTGGATGGCCCCACAACAACTAAAACAGGTAAAGAACTCATGCCTATATGCTTCAATGCCCAATGTTGAAACACCTAAAAATTTATTCAAAAGTATTATTATATCCTTTACATCATATAGAAATACAGTACAATGAAGAAACTGGTCTCAGTTATCCAGCATTATAAAAATTGACCCATTATATCGTTATATTTTTCATGTTCTTGATTTTTCATAGTTCCACAGATTGGAGATACGGCATATGAGATATGAAATCGATGCCTTGTATAGTTTATAGTAATTCGAGATTATTTGGAGCCCACTTATTTTGGTCACCATGTATCTAATGTTGATCAATTCATGTCATCTGCGCTATGTTTATTGGAACTTTTGTTGTTTCAGAAAATGATTGCCAGTGGTATGAACATCTTCCCTAATGAGGATTCTTCAAAATATGTCCGCATTCAAAATAAGGTAACATTCATTACAAGTTAAACACAATCTGGCCCATAGCCACTTTTGCCAAGGGGGTAGTATCTAGAGAATTTCAGGGGGATTTGAATTTGACAATTATGGCCCGGAACCACTTGAAAAGTGCTCAAAATGGCAAAAACTACTGGCCTGATACTGCATGTAAAATAAATAAATAGATTTGATTTGATTTGATTTGAAATGAGCTTAATACATGCAGAATCTAGGACTATGTATAAATAATTAAATTAGGCTAAGAAAAATACATTTGTATGTGTAAACCAATATATATGTACCTCTACATTTGTCCAAATTGTATGTGTTTCTGTGTTTATACCTATTCACATGATATTTTATTATATTTTTATTGTCATCTTTTGTTTTTGAGACTGGTTATCAGTGCCTGTTACTAATTATTACACTTTTGTTATCATGGGCAATAACTTGGTGATATTTTGCTGATTAATGCCTTTTTATATTTTAATTTTTGATTAATTTTTTTTATACATTTTTGAAGAACCCCATCACTATGCACAGGATATATGAGCAAGTAGCTCTAACAGCCTCTGCCATGGCTTACTCCTGGTCTAAGTGGAACGCACAAATTGATGACTTCCATAAGGTGATCATCCAGGGTGCTGAAATGCTCGAGGACGAACCACTTTTAGAGGTAGGGGGTGATGTTACAGTTACAGTTATAAAATATTTGAAATATATAAAATTAACATGAAGCTCAGGGTTCTCAACAGAATATTTTCAGACCCCGGATTTTTCGTGATATCGCGACTACTCCTCCCCATGTGAGATCAGAGATATCCTATTAGTATATTTTTCAAAATTCTACTTAAAATTATCTTCCTATTTTAATCACAATATACATTTCTAAAAGGTTTCTGACTTCCTATTCAAGTTTTATGTATTTTCTCAATAGTTTTACCATAAATAATGTGGCAAAAATGTAAAATTAGACTCCGGAAAAAACACTTTAGACTCCGGAAAATCTATTAGACTCTGGAGCAAGAGGGTCTAAAGACATTAGACTCTGGAGAATCTGAGGAGTCTAAAAGCCTAGTGAGAACCCTGTAGCTATATTGTTTATGATTGATTAACAGTTTGGACTAAATAGATTTATGAGTTCTTTGTGAAATTTATAACACAAAATATTTGAAATTGCATTACTTTCTTTTTAAGATATAGACTGTGTTTAAATAGCTGTTTAATGAATATGATAACAATACAGAGTGTATATAGTATGACGAGAGTAATAAGTACTTATCCTTATGTGACATTTTATGTAGAAATGGGTGGTAAGTTAGAATAAGATATAGTCTAAGCCTGCTTGTACATGTACATTATGACACCTTTTATCAAGCCAGAAAATTACTTACTGGTGCATGCATGTGTGAAATAATGCAATATAATAAAGATGCTTACTGTCCAAGATATTCATATTCTCATTACTCAATGGATGGATGGATAGCCATAATGCAACACCTACCATTACCCATGATAATGTTCTAAATGCTTTTCAAAAAACTGACATTGTTATTGCATTGTTTCATACTTCGGTAATGCTTTTCATATTTTTTTTCTTTTCTTGAATGCCATCATTGCAACTTACCATATTGTATTTATACTTACAATGTGAATCATTCATATTAAATGGTGCTTTTCTAATCATGAATTAAAATTATGTTTTGCATTTGTTTAAATATTACTTATTGGAAGTTCAAAATTCTTTACAGCCAGCATTGAATCTTTCACAGCTATTGTTTATCATTATAATATGCATTGGGGTTGAGATAATAGTGCCATGGTTCAATGATTTTAGGGGCAAAGGATAGGTATCGATATGGAGAACTGAATTCAACAATGTTTTTCTCTTAAACCAATCATTGAAAACATTCTGTAAAAAAACATGCTATTTTATTCAATGTTGACCAATTGACAACAATTTAATGCGAAAATTATTTAGAAATATTTTGTATAAATGTTTTTGTTAACATTTTTTGTTTTTTTAGTGCAATCGCTTTTGCTCCTTTCTACCAATTCTTGAGAATGAAATAAAACGTCTTTCCGAACCTTGTTGGAACAAAATAGCATATACAACATGTTTTTAGACCTCTCAATATTAAAGTTATACAAAGGAATCTTTGGTTGATTTTAAAAAAGTATTCAAAAAATTAAAACAAAATCCCCCCCAAAATAGATAAAAATCAAGAAAAAACTTTTATTTCATTAACAAGATACTTTTTTAAAATCAACCAAAATTTCCTTTGTACAATTACAATATTGAGAGACCTAAACATGTTGTGTTTATGTCGTTTTGTTCCAATGAGGTTCGGAAAGATGTTTCATTTTACTCTGGAAATATGATACCAAGAAGAAAACAAGTGTTTGATGTGTTTTTTAAAACAATATAGATGAAAGTATGTATATCTATTTCAAATTATATTGTTACCATTCAAAAGATGGCCATTGAATTGACAATTTGTAAGATTTTCAGAAATTTTTGATGACTGGTTTAAGAGAAACGTGTGTTCAAAAAGTTCGCCATATCGATACCCATTCTTTATATTTTCCTGAAAAAATGGAGTATTCCAAGATTGTTTTTGCAGTTTAAGAATGATCTATTGGCAATTAAGCATTTTATTGGCACTTAACTAACTTTAGGGGTGGTTTGAATTTTAGCCAAATCATTTTCTTGTGAATTTAAAAATCAGAGCAAATGTGACCACGCCATTACTTAGAGAATGGTTCCTTGTCAATGTCGGTGTTTGATTCAATTTCCTGAAAAAACTGTCACAATAGCTTTTATATCAATCAAGATTTGATTTGAGCAAGATGATGTATAAGTTAATTCAGGGTGGAGGTTTATTGTATTTTTCATACTTAATTTTAGTTTTTTACAATTCTCTTTTATTTTTCAGCTTTATTTTTTAAATATTTTTAATATTTTTTTACTTTTATTTTGCGAACAATATAGTTTCATTTCTTTGTTTTTTAAATTATTTTGAGGTGCATGTTTATGTTATTGTACAATTTATATTCATATGATTGTTTTCTATATACTAGTATTCTAAGCATGTATATTGTTTTCATTACACTCAAACAGTGTTCATCCAGTCATCATACATTGACTGTCATGCATTACAAATCTACACAATTATTATTTGAAATACACTCACAAGTTTATAGAATTTTATTAAAATATCTTTAGTTAATGATAAGTTACATTTTGCTCCTGTTAGTTTCCCTTAGCAACCTAGTCTAGTTGCCTAGCAACCCACTTTTTACCATAATCTATAGATGATACCATTCCTTTATTAAACAAATATCTGAACCACCGTAGAGTTATTACTTAATATAAAACTTTCTTAAATGAATTCAGCTAAATTTCCCAATAGTATTGGTTGCCTCAAAATGTTAACAATTATATCTAATTAGCAATCATAGTGTTCTGTTGAGTTCTGCATTATTTTACTTAAAACCCATTATGATTTTCAGGAGGATTGGTCAATGTTCATGATTACAAGTAAACGAACAATGAAGCTGAAGATGACAGAGTTTGATGATAACTTTTCAGAAGAGGTTGCGGAAAATACAAATGTAAGTGAATGACAATGTTTACAAATAAATATTTTTATTTGTATATAGGGAAATGTATGTCATGATCATTATCACCTCAATATATTGGCACCCATCAGAATCTTTATATAGTCAAACGATGTTCCATATAGATTCTCGAGTCACAGCAGTGCATTAACATAAATTGTTGCTTGCACTGTCTTGCTGAAATGTATATTTAATCCTAATGTAGGCAAGGGGGGGGTAAGATGACCCTTGACTATTTGTGTCTTGACTAAAGGATGGTTTGTATTAAGGTTAAAAAGAAGTATGGCATATCATAAATTAAAGCAGTTCTTTTTATAACTACAAAATGTATTTTGCAATTCCATTGACCTGTCTATTTTCAATGAAATTTTACTGCCTTTTTGTGTATTTTATAGTGTTTTGCCTTATATTACACATTTTCTTTGTGTACTTTCAGTTCCACGCTGATTTATACCACATGGCGCAAGAAATAGCATCAGAGGAGGCCAAGCAACGTATCACAAACACATCATATGAATTCACAGACTGTGTCCAGCAACTCATGTTTGCAACTAAACTCCTCTCTTACTCTTAGTAATCTGGAGACTATTTCTTGGAGATATGTGAATTGCGATTTATGGTTTTTAGTTGTCTTCAGTGTACAGTTGCTATGACAATAGCATAAACGAGATTATAATTTGGGAAAGTGACATCCATGACCTGATGACAGTGAAAAGCATTTATTGAGATTTAAATTTGTCAAATGATTTTTTTTTTGTAAAATTTGTCAAATGATGATGGTCTTTTTTAATAACTTTTGAAAAACCAATCAAAGACAGCATAAAGGGTTTAATTTCAGATTTCAACAGCCAACATTTGTACAAAATATTTTTCATTAACTCAACTGCCTCGGATGGCTTATTCAGACTGTAGCCATATCATCATGAACATTTTGCACTCAACGGGTTAAACTGAACTCAGTAAAACATATCTGTGATATCTGTCTTCTTAATCCTTCTTAATCCGTCCATGATTTTATATTATACATTGTAGCTTTTATTCTTATGGATCAGTCTTCAGATCCAATAATGTGCCAATGTACATATTATAAAATCCCTATAAACCATTTATAAAGGTTGAAGCTGTACTGTGTCAATCAGCACAAAACCGTCCATAATGTAATTGTACATTCCATGTAAATTGTAAATATTCATTTCATATTGTATTTAAAAATTGTATATTATTTTAAATTGTTATGAGAGTTTATAAAATATAAGAATGACGTGTGAAAACATAATATAAATTATAAAGTGACAATGTTCCTTATTTTGGTTAAAAGATGGTGCACATGTAGAATTAACGTAGTAATACAACTTGCACGCTTTCAGTCCATGAATCATACATCGACATTGAACTTCAACATCCTCATAAACAACTTGATCGAATATTGGTTATGCTCTCTTACAATGTATTTTGAATAAAGCTTAAAAATAGGTACATTTGCAATACATTAATTGTGATGAGCTTACATTGTGAGGATAAGAGAATGATATACACTCAAACATCTCAAGTTGTGTCTACTTAAACCCCCCCCCCCCCCCCCTCTAAGAATATGTCCTTTTTGAATTGTGGTAAAAATAGGTATGTTTGCAATATATTAATAGTAATGGCATTACATTGTGAGAATAAGAGGTTGATCTATAGTTAAGCATCTCAACTTGAACATCTCTCAAGAATGAACACCTTTGTAAGGTGAACACTTCCCATTTTCAATTCTTCCATTGGCTTCCATGTAAAATCATACTTTGTAAGATGAACATCCTATACTAAAACTTGAACACTTGTCACACATTAGCCAGGTGTTGTTGAAGTTCCTGGTACATTAACCAGGATATCCCGCAGCCAGGTATTGCACGATGACATGAGTTCAGTACGCCAGACATAGCAAAATGATGTTATCCCGCATGTATAAGAGAAGCACAAAACACGAAAGGCAAATAACAAAATACAAGCTAGAGATCTCTGTATTTATGTATTTAAATCAAGCAGATTTATTGATCTAAGGGTTGATATTGCTTGTTCACGTTCATGTCCTACAATTATTCAATATCATAGTACTAAGACATCAACATTACTGAAATGATCAAACTCATTTAGGCTAGTTTGGCCTCGATATATTCAGATACACGTTTTTATGATCATATTCCTCCTCGGACTATATAATTTAATGCTGTGATATTTTTAACTATTGGAAACAAATTCCTTGTGAAAATCTGGAAATTGTAATATCTTGAATAATTAACCTTGGCCCATACGAGGGACCACCAAACTCAAATTGAACATATTGTCTTCGTGGAGTTAAAAGTTTTGGATCATTCCTTGTAACAACCAAGGTTGCGGTATGTTCCCTCAAGGGTATTCTAACCTACTTGAAAGTGCAATATACCTGCACTAAGCGATATCTAGGATAAAGAAAAAATATTTTTCTTTCTGGGAGATTCTTAGTACAGTGTACTTACTTTTTAAATATGCCTGCTGGAGCTTGCAAAAAGTAATTTCTAGAAACAATAGAAAGTAGGCCAATAGTATGTACAATAAACAATGCTCTGTATAAATTATGTGAATTAAAGCACCCATAAACAGACACGTCTGAAGGGAGAGGGTGTTGGCGGCAAATCCTCCCCCTCCCTTTTTCCAGAAAATTATTTTTAGAGATTTGTATTTAACGATGTAAATATGGCTCTCAGATATGCTCGGAGGGTCTTTTCGCTGTTGATGCTTTGCGTTGGCATGTGAGTGGTACAATCCATCCATACGCAAAAGTACCCCCCCCTCTCCACCTCTTGAGAAATCTTTTGTTGGACAGGCCTGTTGTGTGAACCAAAAGGAGATGTTTTATTTTTGATATGGAGATTTTGAAGTAAAAATATATGGTATTGTTGGGTGTTATAAACCTACCATAAAATCTCAATAATCGTTAAAAATTTAATGATTAACTAAATAAATACTTCAAATTGCCAATCCACTCACTAGCCCACTTAATGAGCCTACGCACAATAGAAGATAAATGGGCAATTGACAAGTCTAGAATCACACAGAGGTGTAAAAGAACAAAAAAGTATGTGATATACCATGATGCCAGTAAGGGATAATGTCCAAATGTTGGCGGTTGTGGAAAAGTTAATTCGCTTCATTTCTAAACATTACAATATGCCATTCAGAAAATCAACATTCATCACTTAGGACATTTTCATTACCCCCTCCCCCTTATAACAACTTCAATATTCCACAATGATTGGTATCTTGACACCATCCCCTAGACACCAGAATCAATCAATTCCTATTCAGCATTTTTTTATACAGCAAATGTCAAGTTGTTTCTCTAAATTCCTATAATAAGACTTAGAATAGGCATTTGACTGTTAGATCAATACAGTATGAAACCAACTGCCAGAATGACTCATTATTCATGATCAACTTTTTGAGATCATGGTGAACTTCACCTTCGAACATAATGTGTGCTTCACCTTGAACATAATATGTGTGTCAGTCAATATTACGTATGTGGAGTTCTGGATGCATAAATTGTATGATTAATCTTGATCAAGCATCAGTTCCTTAACTTGAACTTGGGATTTAACACTTCTTTCTTATCCACAACTTTTTATACAAACTTTAACTCTTGATTTTCTGCTTTAATTGGCACAAAGTGCATCCATGTAATTTAAACATTTTCTATTCTACAATTTTGAACTTTGGATTCTGCTTAATTATTTAGGTACGAAACGTAAATCTATACTACATTATGCAATGAAAGAAATTATATTTGTATGCACATGCGGACACTGCCATGGGAGTTTGCCTTTTCATTACACAGCTCATCTCTGGATGTAAAGAAGATAAGGGGAGGGGGTCCAGAGACTTGATGCAAGACTATATTTCTGGCTGCATACATGACTATATATAGAACGTGTGTTAAAATTGGCAAGGTCAATTATGCTTACAGTATTGCGGGTAACTCTACATGAATCAACTGTCACTTGAAGCTTAAGTAAATGATTTAAGTGCAATTGAAAGAGCAATGACACTCAACTTATTTACATACTATTTTTAAAATGAAAGTGATATGTTTGATGGTGAAATTTTAAATTACATTAGAAATCGACTTTTACAATTTGATTACAGATGTGTTTGTGTAGTAGGAGTACTTATCTTGCAGTTTGCTCATTCAACTTGATGTAAGGTTTTTGCAACTTCAAGTGTGTGCACTTTGGGCTGGTGTTTTTTAAAGATATCAAACTTTTTTCAAATTAGGGTCTGATTGGTTTCTCATTGGGCATTTTGGGCTATAATATAAAAAATTTACAAATACTCTTCACATAAAACTAAAACAAGCATGTATTTTATATTTTTTATTGTTGTTTTATTTTTTCTTATTTACTCCATTTAGTATAACTTCGTACAAATTTTTTTACAAATAATGATTCATTTTGATTTTCCTCAGTATTAATAACTCAATCTGACCACCAGTCAGTGAAAAAACAACAAATAAATTGTTTGAATTTTGCAAATTATCTCAAGTCTCCAAGTAAGACTTCCAGTAAATATTTTTTAAAAATGAAAAATAAATAAGTTATTGGACCTTAGAGCCATGCAACCATACATGTAGCATAGTCAATGGTAAAACAGTCACACTTATACTACTATACTACATGACAAGTGTGTATCCATTCACCTGTCATGAGACATGGTCCAACTCCTCAACCTAGTATTTCTTACAAATAGTACCGGACAGTATCTTATGACAGGTAACTTTACTATCTTTACTGATCTACAGTATTGCAATTTATGTACATAATTTCTACAGCTATAAATATATAAACAAGAAAACATTATATACAATATCTATGACAATATTTACAGGGTGTCCTCAACATACAACATTTAAACTATACCCCAGCTGTTTTTAGCAACAAACATTTTTTTTTAATTTCTTGTAGCTTTTGATCATTGTACAAAGAAGAAAATCAATATTCATAGCCAACATGTCATTAGTATATCCCTTGCCATATCAACATTTGTCTCAGACTTTGAACCAACCATCTAAAATAACAGTATTTCTGCTGGGGGTTTTAAGAAAAATACAACTGTGCTGTCTCTGCATGTTGTCTGTTTGAGGATACCATGTTTTTAATTATCCGAATTGGCCTCAATTCAAAGTCCCCCCCGAGGCACTCAAAAGCCATATCATTTTGTCATTCTTTTGAAATAACATCCTATACCCCTCCTCCAATCACCCAAATTTTGCTTTTATTTTTGATTTAATTTCTAAAGAAACAAAACTGATTTTTTTTATATTGAGATCTTGCGACAATTTAATATGCTTGGGGTGATTTTTCATAACCCATGGTATTTAGGAGGAATTGATAACTTATTAGTCACACATATCTTAAGTGAAAACTTACATTGTCAATCATAAAAAGAAAGTCATACATTTCAGATGTTGGCATAAACTCTATTATGGAATTCTAGAAATAAATATCATGACAATTAGGTCAAAATGGTAATTGTTACAGATGTACGCAATTTGTTTTGGCAGAGATCAAAATAATTATTTTTGGCAATAATACAAATGTAGTAGGTTACATATCTCAATGTCAAGGCCTACTGTATAGAGGTACATTAAATTTACATATTTTTCTTTAATTTTATGACTTAAGAGTATAAACTAATTCAACTTTTACATAAGTATCTACTTCATGTCCAGAAAATACTGCAAATTGAGGAAGCACCAGCTGATCCTATAAACATTTCTTCAGTTTTTACTTCCTGTTCCTGTGGAACTGCCGCTCAGTTACACTCCCACCTCAAATCTTACTGGTCACTTTCCAGTCTCTACTATTTACATATCGTACAAGTTCTTAAGACAATCGTCTCTAGAGATCTCAGTTCCAATCTGTCAGTTAATATTTACACATGGCCTATCTGAATGTAATACTGTAGTGTTCAATTCACAATCTGTAATGTTCTTATTTTTATCTCTAGTCCATTAAAATATCCTGAAGGCAAGCATATGTGAGTTATTCACTACAATGGAACTTATGGCTAGGCTTGATATATTTGGTATAGAGGATATGCACGTCACAGTGACATGCCAAAAACGCACAAACTCAGATCTAGTTATTGCACGGGACCTCAGATACTTTTAAGATAGCTCGTCCATCAATTTGACACGAACTGAGTTTTTCAAATACACTGTTCACCTGTTCGACAGGGAAAACACTATAACAGGGTGGTTGCACTTGTTCTGCAGCGAATACATTTAATAGTTCTTCAAGTTGGGCCCTAGAGCCTTTAGATACACCAAGGATACTCTGTGCATTAGCTGCAAGGTCGTTAAGACAAATCATCACCTCGTGACGAGAGTTGCCACCTGCTAGGATCATACCCTCCTGGAATGAAAAGAATAACAAAAAGTTTAATCATCAATATAAAATCATCATTATAAAGTTCTAGATTTTATTTTTATTTATATAACCTTGAAACAAGTGTTTTTTATTGTTATTGAGAAGTTACACAAGAAAACATGGGGGTTCTATTTCTAAAAATAGCTTACCCTATTTAGGCAGCGGATAGCTCTGTTCATTGTTCTCTGACTGCTTACAAAGTCTATAACGACGTCTACTCCACCACGGCAGACATCGAGAGTCCTTTCAACAAGGTATTGCTCATGGTCACAATCTGACCAATGAATGACATCGTAGCATCCATGATCTTGGGCCACTATTAGCTTCTCTATGCTGGTGTCGGCGACTGTGATGCGGACCTTGTCAGAGTTTTGGCCAATGAAATGTTTGGCAAGGGTGAGAGTCCAGAGGCCAAGTCCACCTGCACCAACTATAAGGATATTACAGGACTCTGAAAGCACAAAAATCATTCATTAGATATGATTACAATGAAACCTGTTAAGTGGAACACCTCTAAAAGTAGAACATCTCTGTTAGTGGAAAAACATTTCAAAGTCCCAAGACCAACTTAATGTCAAATGATCCTCTAAAGGTAGAACACCTCCCAAATGGAACACATTCTAAAATGTAACACAGATCTTTCACTTAGACAGGTTTTACTGTAAAATGAAAAGCTATTGGCAAACAATACTCATAGATAATTTTAGTTCTGATTGCTGACATGAACTAAACAATCTAAAATGTAGCTTTCAAAGACTTGAAGTTGAATTCAAAATGAATATCGGATACTTTTAGACTGACAAGTATTTTTTTCATTTTTGAAAATTGAACATCGATTTTATGTGGAATTATTTTTCACAACATCATCATGTACGAATAGTACAAATCACATAATGATCGAATTAAGTAAAAATTTTCAAAATAGTTACAGAACTGGTTTGACATTGACCTTCAATGTGCTTTCTTAAGAAACTACATGTATGTGTAAACCATATGATAAAGCAGATTTTTCGAGTACACAATATGCAGCAGGCTTACTATTTTACATCCTAGGTCATTAGGCCTGGGTCACCATGCTCTAATGTTACTGAGTTAAGTTGAGACCGTGTCACATCCTTAAATATTCAACCACTTACACGACACTTTAATTGTTCAGCAAGAGGAAAGCTTTAATGGAATTCAATATTCAGAAAAAATGTAGGCTATGCCAATAAAAAAAATCATTCTTATGACAAAGAAACAGTCAGTTAACAACATTCAATGCTATCTGAATGAAGATTTGCATGAAAGAACATTTACTTTTGATTGATTTTAGAGTTGTTTGCCAGATCTCTGCTAAAAATATAGAACCTTGTGGTGTCAAATAAAACGGATACATTATAGTAATTTTTACTGTTGATTAAGATACACATTCCTAGCACTAAAATAGCTATAAAAGCTGTATGCTGTTTTAAAATTTGTAATGTCATGAATTAATAGATATTTTAGGCATTTACGAGTTAGAATTTGGGAAAATACTATAAAATTACACCTAGTTGAGGAAAAGTTCCAGCATATTGAACTATTTATTTTTATCTGACACTTATTTTCAAAACTGTTATTGATATTTGAAATCTCGGTCAGAGAAACTAGGTTTACTGCCCTTAAGTTTTAAGGTCACATAAAAAAAATTCTCTCAAAATACCATCACATGACGTCAAATACTTGAGGACATATGTTAATTTGTAATGTAATGCAGTATAGAGATTTGATAAATATTGCCATATTTTGTTCGTATTCAATACGATTTTGAAATATTGAAACAGTATTTGGTAACTATGGTAACGATTATCTCAGGGCAACATGATCTGCAAGCTGCCAGAGCTTTATGATAATAAGCCACGCATCTGAAGCATGCTAGAGTTTTCCTCACTTTCCAATATGTAGTAAACAGCGACCTTATATGACCAAGAAACTAATATTGTATGTACTTTGTTCTCTGGGCCAATACAAATATAGATGTACTGGAAACAGGGAGAGCTCATCATTCCACGGCATTCTAATGGAATTAAATGTTTTGGTTAGTGTTTCAAAAAGTGTCCGCTTTTAGAATAAAATGTACAATATACATTGCATATTTAGCCTTTAGAATACAGTTTAAACTGAGATTTACCTAGATCAGACAACCTCAACCTTCATGAATATTTATCAGCTTAAGTACATTAATGTTCAGTCAATCACTATCCCGCAATCCAACTGAACTAGCATGATTTAACACAATTTACCTTAAAGGAGAACATTCCTATAATGAAATGATATCACTGATAGCCTAGAGCTTAAGTGATTATCTTCCTTTATCTGAAAAACTGTTTTTGTTCATAATAAAGTCAGCTGATTTTATGACGCAGTTCCAGGACCTATTTCAACATTTTTAGGACAAATCTATAATTTTGTATCATTAAACTTCCAGATTTTTTTATTCTGAAATGAAATATGTCAAAATGATCTTGGGAGAAAATAACTCTATCACATATGGTTCTGAAACTGGATATAAGATTTAAATATTTCGAATCTATCTTATGGATTATTATGAATGAAATTCAAAATAAGGTTGTTGAACTTTCTTTGAGGCAACGGATTATATTGCGTCATAAATGTATTAAACTAATCTTAGAAACACTTAATTAAATTCATTATATGGCTGACCTAAAGCAAACAAATCACTTTATATTAATTCCTTACGATTAGAGATTTGTCACAGGATTAGTGGATGTCCTTATGTTAACTTTCGCTTACTTCAGGTCAGATGGCAAATAGAGTCAACCGAATTAACACAATATTGAAACAACATTAACACATAAGTTTATGTGACCTTAAATCTGCTTTTTTTAGTTCATCTTAGCATGAAATCAATGAAGTTAATTTATTCATGGTAACATTTCATTAACTCTAAAAATAATTTTTTTATTTTATTGACATTCTAAAGCCTCAGACTCAAATTTTTTTCTAAATTAAAAATAACATTTTCAAGACTGATTCATTTTTAAATGTTTATGTTTTTTAAACAACTGACTAACAGCCTACAGCCTTCAAAAAACTCCTACACACAAAAGCCTTTTGAAACCTCCATACATTTCTAACATTTTTTCAATAAGCTATAAAAGTACAAGATTAGGAAAAAACAACAACTAGTAATGTCATGGACATAACTAAAGGCTATAAAAATACAATGTCAATGACTTCTATAAAATAAAATTTCTGGACAGCTTTTAACCTTTGACTATTGAGCAGTTTAAATTCAATATTTCTAAAGTCTTAGAACTAAGATTAAACTAAGATTAAATTATGTCAGCATTCAAATGATGAAAACAAGTCTGAGAGTTCCTATTTCAAGGCATGTCAAAAGAGGTGTGTCAATATCGAGCAATCCGATAAATGTTCTTTAAGTGAACGTGATGAGTAAGAGTATTATCGACTCAATAGCAAGTTCAATGGCCTATTGTATTGTTTGCATTGGGTTGGGATCAGTCAAGGTTACATATAACTTAAAAGCCTATACTACAAAAGCAAATCAATGGATCAATACAATTCTACATAACATTAACATAACAAAGTTAAAGCAGCTGATGTACAAAAAGTCTGGATGTTTTAGGTCAGCTCTTTTATTAAAATGAATAAGCATATTTGTTAATGGAAAATCTAAGAATTAAATTGTAAAGTAAATGAACATTACATCTAAACCTCTCAAAGTACCACAATATTTTTTTAATATCTTAGTGTTTTGTTAACTCAATTTTTAACTGCTCCATTAAAATCTAGAATGTCATGCCTACCTTTAGTTTTCATAAGGTCTCTGACGTGAGGCTCGGCACGTTTAACGGCGCTATATGCTGTCAGAGCTGATGACGGGAGCATTGAGCCAATCTCTAGAGACATGCTTTCTGGGAGTTTGAACACATTCTTTAAGTCTTTTACTGCTATGTATTCAGAGTAACTGGAATTAAAAGGCGCACAGAAATAATCAGCATGTTCAATTTTATAGGATCCAAGACATCAAAGTTAGTATTAATTCAACGAAACTAGTTAAATTCATTCAAAAACTGTAAAATTATTATCTCAAGGAAATAGAGTTTTTTATATTTGTCCAAATGTTAAACTTTCAGCAAATAGAATGCAAACTTATGAGTCGAAATCGAATACAAATGTTTATTTATTTAAATGGAAAAAATTAATTAGGTACCCAACAAACAAACTTTAGATGAAAGAACCAGACAAAAAATCCAACTTACCCGACTTCGTGTTTTTCCTCGCCATCAGGGTATACTACAACTTTGTCACCAGGTAGAAGATTACAATTTGGCACAGAGTTGCACACCTGGTCTATCACCCCACTAACCTCAAAGCCTGTAACATACAATATGGGAATCCTGCATTCATGTACTAATGTATTAATTATGAATATTACTAAAGGGGAGGTCTCTAATTTTCATGACATCACTTTCATAATTATAAATTACTTAAATCTTGGAACAGAATTAACTTCTCAAATTTTGGTACATTATTTTCAGCTTGTTTGGGGTGATAAATAATATTTATTATCAAATCATGAATTCTATTTTTAATTTCCTATAGTTAAAATACAAAAACTGATATAAAAATACTATTGCCCAAAACCATAAAGAAAACACACAGGGTTCAGTTAACTATCTATTTCACCCCAATACAATACAATACAATACAATACAACCATTCTTGGCCAAAAACCAGGAAAACATTATCTTGTAGCGTGATCACCATTTTCTCTAAATGATACCAGTTTTTGACAGAAACTCATTCCATGATTCATAGAATATTTACTCTTTTTCTGTTTAGACTGATTCTAGGCCTAGAGCCTTGAACTAGTTTTCTAACGATTTATTGCTCTGTTTTTCATTTTGTTGAGATAGCAGCTTATGTTAATGTCATGATACTCATTCACGTAATCCAATAATGTTTACTGGTATATTTTCGAAAGGGTAAACAACATGATAGTGGTATTGTTATATGTTATTTTACATCATTAAGCTGTGATATATTCCCAAGTTTATTTTCATTTTTGTCCTATAATGGAGGGTTGTGGCATGATGGTTTATAATTTCTATTTTTACAACACATTCCATTTTTCTTTCAAGACCATCATTCTCAATATTTTTCTAACCCCATATTTCTCTTTTATTTTTCTGTCATATTCCATATTTCAAATTATGCCACTCAACCCCTTTATTGTGTAATAAACAAGGGTAAACATCTCATGATAGTAACATATAATAGTTATCAAATTTATAGATACAAAACATGAATAATGATATATAGTACATATACATGATTACTATAGATGTTGGCAAAAGCACAGCATTATTAGAAAGATATAGTCTCGTATCAAGTCTCTGCCACCAAAAAAATGACGAACTTGATCCAAGACTATGAGAGAAAGTGTTAGTTAATATAAAATATCCTGATATCCCTACAGAACACAAGTTCACAGTCTTAAAACCAATCTGGATTCTTCTCATCTATTATACATGTTCATACTTTAACCACTTAACTAATCGATGATAAACTAAGTAATTTAATAAAGGAGAAATCATAATATAAGATATAGAAAGCAAGCAAGGATGCGTAGCAAAGCAGCTATATAGGGTGCTATCTATCAAAAACAAATCAAAACAAAGAGAAAAAAAACACAAAATATGAATCAATTCAAAAACAGTCTTATATTCAAGCTACCCCCATCTCTAATACAAACTTGGGTGTTCTTTAATAGAAGACCGCCTTTGATGTGAAGAAAGGATATTTGCAAATTTCGCTAATCAATTGCTTTCAACTATATTGTATCTGGAGTAATGATGGGAAATTCAAGTCGGCACGATTATTGACCAATCAGATGGCCCATATAATTATCTCCGTAACCTTGACGCAAAGTGCATGGATATTTGTTGTGGGCATTGGCCAGTAAAGTATACTGTAACTGACAAAATATAGGTTGATGGATTGATTACAGTTGGTTTAACTGGTGTTTTCATATTTGCTGTTTAGCTGTGTACCTTATGAAATGGCCTAGAATATATTGATTTTCTGAATTGTATTGCCTTTCCAAAATAACAATTTTCTCAGCTTATGCTTCACAAGAATCAATAACATTATCATAAAAAGAAAAACTGCAAGTTCATTCACCTTTCCATAATTCTGATCCACATGATAATTTTTTTGTCCTATAATGGAACTGTACTCAGTGCAACATAGTTGACGATAATTACCTTGGGCTTATCTTATTCAATCATATAAAGAGACTCATGCAATCTCTGATTATATTTCAATTACATATGAGGCAATAGGCTCGGATGTTGTCATAGTTACCAGTGTGATGAAATATCACAAAGGTTTTAGGATGAGAAAATACTTCCCTAGAATGACAACTTTCAAGCCAGAAAGCCGCAGTTTGCAGGTTGAATTAAGAACAAGCAGCCGCTCAGCAATGATGTAGCTCCATTAACAAAAGAGGAAAAAGAAATGCAAACCTGGAAACAATGAAGTGTCTCTAATACCTGCCATTTTTGGTCGACGACCAGTTTTCCTGAGTTGGGAGTCGGTGAAACATGCTCCAGCGTAAACAACCTGCAAATATATGCGAAAAATAACATTATTTTTAGCTTTCTCCTTAAGGAGCCAATTGAATATATGCATATTGAGGATATGTGATTGACTCATATTGCAGTGAAAATTCTATTAAAAGCACTCTCCTTAGAGATATAATGCAGTCGAATGATATCGCCATACATGCTTACACTCATAGTTCTAGGAGATACAAAATAGATTGAATGATATTGCATAATAACACAAAACTTTTATTTAATGTTTTAACTTTTCAATGATTTTTTGATATATCAGAACAGTTAAGATTTAGCAATCCTATTACTCAGTATATGCTTGAGTCAGTTTAACCAGTTGTCCTAAGTGGAAGATACCGGTATTATCTAAACTAATTTTAAGTTTATGTACTGGGTAGACAGTCATAATCAAATCTTTTATTAAAAACCTCATCGCTGAAGGTCAATGTTCTATTTCTCCCATTTTAACATATAAATCCTTGAGAATAAAAAGACCATGTTATATTCTACTATAAATTGTTATTGTTCACAAAAACATTAATCATAGTAAACACAGATAAACAAACGAAAATATTTCTATATGGCTATTTTATGGCTATGTGTCAGCTGTGTTATATGAGAATTGGTCACGTTCACCAACAATCACGCTGTTTTGCCGTGATACGCAAGGTCAATGATGGTAAAGTAAATTGCCTTATTGATTTTACTCTGCCATTAATGAATATATTAACCTACAAGTAGTATAGCATACTGCTGGGGGTTTTCAAAGGCTTATATGAATATATGTCCACATAAATAAAGGACAATTCAAAATTGATTGATCAACCTTCATGAATATTCACATTGTCAATACTTTTAATAATTTCAAATTTTGATTCTACATGTTTTGTGATCCCCTATGTGTTTAGGCATATATATTTAAGATATCAAAATTTTGGATTAAGATAGTTTTCCTTCAAGTTTTCCTTCACCTTGCACAAGTAAAATAACTCAAAGATTACATAATATGTTGATAAGATCATTACCCATTTATGATACTATAAACAGAATATTACATCACAGGGCAAATACCCATTGATTATTTCTTGATTAGAACCTGGTTTCTGTACAATGTAATTTAACAACAACAAGGCCCTGGTTAACCATATTAAACCTGAGCCTTTGCGCAAATAGTGTGGAGCAAGATCCGGTTCTGGACTTGGCAAATGTTTTCAAAGTGCACCAAATAAAGGTCATATTGTCAATTTAATATTGTTATGTATATGACTAATAAAATTGAGTGTTATCAACACAGAATAAAAAATTCATTAATTTCAAACAATTTAATGATCGAAAATGTTACGGTTTATTCTTCTAAGAAAAAAGTGGCCAAGGGAGATATTTTAATGCAAAGTAGGTTATAAAAGCTTATATAACACGTCTTGAGCAAATTGATCCACAATGTGAAAGGAGCTTGGCTTATAGTTCAAACATGTGCAGGCACATGTGCTTATTTTATTAGGAATACTTTATGAACTGAAACATTAAAATTAATAGCCCAAGGTTTGTGAAGACCTGGATATAACAATAACACAAACACATACATCCTTTTCTAATGTCATTGTTGTGATATTTTAATCTTAAGGTTACTTTGAATTTAGTTTGACAGCTCACGGATATAAATAGTCATTTTTCTGAATCAAAAAATAAAACATTTAGGACAATGTTAGAACTTTATTCTAGATATCTGAGAAGTTTTGCAATGTGATGAGGATGTGAAGACACGCCTTCTTTTAACTGACGTCATGTCAAAATGTTTTCCTCTTTTAACAGTAATGTTGATGATTTTTCTCAAGCAATTACCATTTCACTCTTGACAGCTCTAGAAAAATGATACAAGTTTGTTCCTGTATAAGACACTCCATTCAATCAATCATAAAAGGTTGTTACTTTTAAACTCCAAGTTGGAAAAAGTAGAGCAAAACTTCATCATTTAAAGTTCACATAAACTACCATATTACATGTACCATATAAAAAGATCCACCTACAGAAAGTGAAAAGAATTCCGATGAACACCTGACAAACAAAAAAAGTATAGCCTCCCATACATTGCAAGTGGTTATAATATTGTGCATGCAAGTTACACACGTATAAAATTCCCAGGTTTGATTTACATGCTAATTATTTAATTTACTGGATTTTGAAGGTGAAAGGAGAGGTGCCTAGAAAAAAACCTGCTCTGATACATCAGTTATCATGCAAACTAGTTTTTGAAGTAAAAACACATAGAACATACTTAGATATTAATGTTAGATACTGAATCGAAATATTTTGATTCTGTACCATATATTCTATCACCAATGTGGAAATAACTCGTCCATGAAAACAAGGAAAATATTACCCATTTCCTAATTATAAGTATTTTACAATTAATATGAAAATAACACAAATATTCTTATCATTTGGATCAACCTAAAGTGGACTACTCACCCTAATTCTGCAGCCGCCACGTGGTATCTCGGGTACGGGGTTGTTCGAACACAGCTGATATGGTTCAGTTACGCTGGTCCTGTGGGCACGTTTCATGTTTAAGTTGTCGTTATCGTTCATTCTGTGAGTTTGGTTTAAGTTCGCCAGTTTGATAGATTTGTATGTCACGTATTTGTTATCGCTTGAATCGCTTTGTTTTATCTGAAACAAGTGCAAAGTACAGTCAGTTATACATGATAAACTAAGAATATCTTATCAATTGTCCTTATAGCCCCCTCAAATACTCAATGCCATCTCCTGTACAATATGAGCCAACACATAAAAGCAACCCTCTAGTTCCTTCCAAAAAATCAACTCAAATTCCTGACACACAATTCTACCTCTGATATCACCAGCTTTAGAACATCTAATTGAAAATCCAGATGTTCTTATTTCTGAATAAATCCTAATCTAGTACAGGTTATGTGATAATCCTGTTTTAATATTACTATATACATGTATGTGATATCCCTAGTGAAAAATATCCGACTCCTTCCTACCTTTGTTTTTCACATTTGTTATCTGCTTTCTGTTTATCCAGCACAAGCATTTATAACTCACTGATATGTTTACCATAAAATCAACCAATGAGATTGCAGCTTCATATCATGTGACTCAACTTTTTATAAACAACACAAATGACCTTGGACACATTTTTGGACACACTGGGTATGAACCATGGCTCAAAGTATGTTTCCATAACTGCACCCATTACCCAGTAACCTATACAATCAAATGCAAGAGATGTAACCTGCAATAAGGGATGAACATTGGGGAAATATCTCTTGGGTGCACTGGACTTTCCAATAACTGGGAATTTAACAAGCTGCATAATTTAGCCTAGATATTGGACAGAAAGTCCAATGCATGCTGGGAAGTAATGAGGATGTGGAATTATCTTCATTGTTTTATGAGTTTGAGCTGACTGATCTGAATACTGGATAGCTCAACAAAGACAAGCAAGAAAGTCATTTAGAAACTGAAAATCATTCTTTGAAAAAAATTATAAATTCTAACAAAGCAACAGCCAATGTAACAAGGAAAGCTTATACCCAGATTTAAGAAGGTGTGTCCTAAGCCCCGCCTTGATGAGCTACTGACAGTTCAAAACAACTCTAGAGTCAAGAACGAATGAGAAGATTACTCAAGAATCTCCTTAAGATTACATAACATCCTGAAAAGGAAACATTGATATGGAACAAATTCAGAAATTCAGTACACAGACCCTTTGTTCAGTAACTGATATACCCTTTCAAGTATATTTTAAAAGTTCAATCATGACAAACAAATTGTTTATAGCTTCAGGATATTTTCGGTGAAAGTTTAATTAGTACATCAGTGTGAATATCCACTCTCCATCTCATAGTTTTCTATATGTTGAAGCATCGAGCATGGTAATCTAGGCATTTTAGATTTCCAAGATATAAGTTGTGTAATGTCGTAAACAAAATATATGAAGAAAATGTTTTCAGTATGAAAAATAAATTTTTGAAGTATGAAAACATTTTTCTAAAATGATCACAAATCATGCCATCTATTTGTGTAAATATGACTCAAAACTATTAAACTTTCATCTCCCAGTCTATAAAAACAAATAAATCAATTTTATGGTTTTGGAAATACCAACCAGATAAACAACCTCTGATCTAAGAGTCCTGAAACCAGGCCAAACATATTTCTCATCTATAGAACTGAATGTTGACCACTAAGCAAGAAGGTTGATGAATAAATTATGATAATTATCCAAAATCTGGAACTCTTATTCAGAACATCTTGAGATTCATACCTGGCTGCATATTTAGTGTAGGTGTATAATCAACCTACACAAGATTCAGGAAATGATTTTCAATGATTGAAATAACTTTTTCCTGTTTAGTCAACTGATAACTCTTCTAGAACGAATTACTTCATCTTACTTGCTTTCCAAAAAAGGTTAAAGGAGGTGGCTTAATATTATTAACAAATCTACATGCAGTTGGCTTCATAGGACATGAATTTAAAAGTACAAATCTGAGATGAAGTATGTGGGTCATATCTCAGTCAGGAGATGAATTGCACTTCAATGCCATTTACCTTATTCCGTTATCTCCTTACCTACATGTAGGAAATCCCATTACATCATTCTCTTTCTCATTTTACATTCATGTTTTTCATTTCAACTCGCAGTTTCAATAAAGCACATTTAAGCTAAACTGAGGTACATATAGCGAATATAGACCACTTAAATACATTAAGGCATATCTGCATGAGGAGAAATTTTTGCAATTTTGAAAAGAAGACCGCTCAATTTTGTAGTTATTTACACATTCTTAAAAAAATAAACAATTAATAATCTGGGTACGACTAAGCACCTTTTATGAAAAAATGAAAGATTTAGGAATGAGTTTGGAATGAGTTATGTTCATCTGAAAAAGCACATGGCTATCAAAATGGTAAAAAGTGCAGTCTGACCTAATACGTATTGATGATCCTACAACAATCTATTTCACGTTTTCTCTTTTTACTCAAGACTAGAAATCATATTCATACAATACAGTTTTGAACTGAATTCCACACAATCAATGTCTGAATATAAATCTAAAACTGGCGTATATACTGGCAATAGCTGAATTACATGTACCTTACTGTAAATCCTGACTAAATATACTCACCATCAAGTACCCCAAATGTTATCCTTGAGACTAAGCTTCAAATTTTGTAACAATTTAATAACTGGTTCTATATATGCTATCAAATCTGATTCTGATTCTGGAATAAAAATGATTCCAAGATTTCTTCATCCTTTAGAACAAGGTGACCTTTATTATCATGCCACAAGAGCGTGGCTCTTGGATGTCTCTCAGCTGATTGTAATTTGAATCAATATCCAAATGTAGTTCTTCTCAATAACCATCACGCTCACACCCACTCATATAACTAAGACCATTACACATTACGTCATAAGGGTAATTTCCAGTCCTTGATGATGAAATTACTAGACGTAGATCAAGAACAAAAAAGCAATTCTCAGGTATTTTCACTCCTGCTGGATGATGAAATGACTGATCACTATGCTGAGGTGTGCAAGGAGTCACATGCACTTAAAGGCTGATTGATGCATGATTAATGAAAGATTTTTTTCAATCACTACTGTTGTTCATGTTCGGTCTATGGAAAATACATGTGATTGTGGTTTCTTTAAATAGGAAAACCAATAATCTAATTTGTAGAGCAAGAAATGTTAATATTTGGATATGGTGAGTAAGGATGAAAAGAAAAATTGGTTTCTGATGTGAATATGTAAGAATAGTCAATAATGTGATATATTTTGTTTAAACTTTGTATAACTGAAAACTATACAAATAAACAAATACAATTTGCAAATCAGTAACTAGTTCTAGAATCAACCTTATCATCATTTTAACTCTTAGTTCAGACATAATTATAATCTATATTTTTTATATTTTTTAGTCAGTAAATTTTGATAAGAGAGCCTCTCCGGTTAATATGTAACATGTATTCATATAAGATTGGACTGAAAAAAATCAGATTCAAATAATTCAAAATTGCAGATCCAACAGCCATAATAATACTAAAAGCAGGAAATACTCTATAGGATAATTGATCAAAGATTGATCATAAGTCCCCCCTACTGCTATTAGACACAATACCTGATATCATACACAAATTGATTTATCCTTATTTACGACAGTGCTACCTAAATGTGAGTTTGTTCCTCAACTTGGAAACAAAAATCTATAAGTATGTCAGTCAGGTCAAGGACCTTCGCCTCGCCTAGTATTTTTTTCCTTGGATAGGTATTCTGGCATTTATCCCGTGCCATGACTGTAGTCCTGGAACGAGCCAAATCTTTTGTCTGTACAATTAAAACTTGGGAGAATTATCTACGCCCCTAACACTTTAGATACCTACTTCATTAGATTCCTTGGAATTTTAGCATTCTTTTCGTGTAGTTGAATCCAAAATTGTCTGGGTTTATCGGCAGGATGAAGAAATTTTTGTTTTTGATCAAGAGAGATTCCATCACTTTCCAAGATGGCAGTTGGATTTAAAAGGGGATTCCCCGTTTGACTGGCCCGGAAGTGACCCAGAAGTACCAATAAATGGAGGAATTTGACGGTTGATATAAGTTAAATATTACACGCAAAAACGAAAATTTCTTCGTTCTGCCGATAAACCCAGACAATTTTGGATTCAACTACATGAAAAGAAAGGTAAAATACCAAGGAATCTATTGAAGTAGGTATCTAAAGTGTAAGGGGATAATCTCACAAGTTGTAATCATAAACTCGATAAAAGGCTGGCGCTGGCTAGAATTGTCTATGGTTCTAGCCAGGATAAAGATACCTGTTCTTCAACTCGACAATGGGAAGAACTGCTCTACCTAAGTGACTAATATGTCATAATATGACATCTAAAGAGTCGATAAAAGATATATATATATACAGGCAAAAGATTGGGCTCATTCCAGGACTATAGTCCTAGCACGGGATAATTCTGGCATATCCACTTCATGGTCATCCAGTAGATCTACAGTTACTCACCTGAGATTATTCCGTGCCAGGACTATAGTCCTACATTGAGCGCAATCTTTTGCCTGTACGATTACAACTTGGCAGAATTATCTACGTCCCTTACACTCTACTTCAATAGATTCCTGGGTATTTTAGCATTCTTTTTGTGTAGTTGAATCCAATTGTCTGGGTATATCGGCAGATCGGGAACATTTTTCTTTTTCATCGAGAGATATTCCATCACTTTCCAAGATGGCGGTTGGATTAAAAGGGGATTCCCCATTTGACTGACCCGGAAGTGGCCCGGAAGCACCAATAATGGAGGAATTTGACGGTTGAAATAAGTTAAATATTACACGCAAATATTGTGATTAAAAAAGAAAATTTCTTTGTTCTGCCGATAAACCCAGACAATTGTGGATTCAACTACACGAAAAGAATGCTAAAATACCAAGGAATCTATTGAAATAGGTATCTTAAGTGTAAGAAGCGTAGAAAATTCTCCCATGTTGTAATCGTACAGGCAAAAGAATATAAGACGTTCGCAGGACTATAGCCTAGTCGTGGATAAACCTGACTAGAGGATCTAGTCTAATTAGAAGTCTCTTTACTCTTTTCATTGAAATAAAATAAATGTATCATCTTCAATAACCTAATATGAGAAATACTTACGTTTCGTCTCTTCAGTCTGCTTTTCTGTTCTAACAAAGAATAGATCTATAAGAATTTCAAAACTTATGACAAATGTATGTGCAATCACAAAAATCGATCACTTATCAGCTGAATGGCACGTGAAAGCTGGTGAAATCAGCTGTCAGGCGCTGAATGAATGATCGAAGGTCGAACAGAATTTTTGTGATTCAGCTCAATAATCACACTTACTTTTAATCTACTTCTAATCTATATATATCCACCTACCTCAATATATGAATAATTCAGCTATCACACCACAGATATTATCAATAATGCAGATATTTTGTTATAAATATTTCGTTGGATTTTGCTGATTTTCGGAGTCGGGGCAATCTGCGCGAGATTCGGTTTCTACTTGGTTCGGTTTTTCATTAAAGGAAGTACTTCATTCCCATGATTGAAAGTGCCTTTCTGCCATCAGTTCGGTTTAAGTTTGTACAACATACGTCTACAAATCCTGGCCAGGTTGATGTTATGTCATTACATTTGTTTTGGGTGCATACTTTTTGTTTTGACAATAAACAAAAATATTCCCGCACTATATGGTGCATCATGGGTAGGGACTGCTGTGAAAAAATGAACGTAAGTGACATCTATCTCAAATTAAATGTTCCTATAAGTTATTAATTGCGCATGCGTCATAATAATTTGAACCAATTAAATTGCTGAATTTATTGCGCATGCGCTAAAAACCGAACCAAAAAATGGAATCTCGCGCAGATTGCCTCTAGTGGATTTTCGTTTTGTTTGTCAATATACGGAGTGACTTTTTAGAGGCTTCTGATTGGTCACGTTTTTATTCAGATCCAACATGTCGCTGTCTCAACCAGGAAATAGATGAATTTTGACAGATATTTCGCGAATCTCTATCTCTTCAGGTAACCATGGATAATAAATAGCATGCACACACGTTCATAAAGCAGTTATCTTTGTATTCCATATTAAACATGTTTGTCAAAAATGAGAAATATAGATCTAGACGGTTTAGAAAATTGTATTTTCCATGTTTCCAGCTATTTCATATTTGTTTAAAAAACAAGTAAAGTTTTACTTTATAATATGAAATTTAGTTTCTTTACACTGATATTACATTCTAAGACTAAGTCCTGTAGTATATTTAATACAGGAGTTATATTGATTGATTACCAAGTCCCCTGGCCGGCCCTACATTCGATTGTACCATGGGCAGCAGATTTCAAGAGATGTTTCACTCAGATAGACTAGTGACAAGTTCCCTCACAGTCAGCACCATCTATCTGATATCTAATATAATAGACTAGAATGAAGTCTGGTGACTTTGAAAAAAAGAAAATTCTAAATAATTTTTTTCTCATGGCAGGGGTGTTGATCAGTGATATTTCATGTTTATTCAACTTTCATATTTTTCTAACTTGTCAGAAAGCACTCTCCTCTGAAACTGCCCAAATTGTTCCCATGAAACTGAAAAATGTTGTTTTTCACGATTTTCTGGGAGTTTCAATTTTATCTCTCTCCGAACTCAGATTTCAAATAACTCACAACGATAACTCAAATGTCAGTAAACTGAAAAACCTCATATCAAACCTACATATCATAAGGTTTTTGCATAAAATATGTTCACCCTTAGCGGGAGTAAACGCTTGGACATGCGACATCAACCTTGGGGAAGATGTCTGTGGCTCCAAGTGTTTTCTTTATGCTACATGTTTTCCAGTGTACTCTATGTGTCATTTTATCTTTTCATTGTCAAATATAAACATGTACATATTGTAAGTTTTTTTTGCATGAGCTTTTTTCAAACAGGAGTCACCACTTGGACATCCGACATCAACCTTGGGCAAGATGTCTGCGGATCCAAGTGTTTTCTTCAGCTACGTGTTTCCCCAGGCCTGTAGTCTGGATTTGCCAAGGGGGGGGTTCACTTTTTGAAAAATTCCAGGGCCAGTGGGGGGGGTTTGCTCGAACCCATCGAACCCCCCCCCCCTGACTACGGGCCTGTTCCCTGTGTACTATACATGTCAGCTCTAAGAGCTTACCTATAATTATTATTTGAGTAAGAAGAGCTCTATTTTGTGTATTGTAACTTAAATTTTGATACGTGTTTAATATTTCTGTAATATATAATTATTATATTATCTCCAATCAATGGAGGGAAAATAAATCTAATAATAATAATAATTATAACACAACAGGTATTGTCATTTGAGTGCATCTAGTCACTTACTTTATAGTATATACAGGGTGATCAATAAATAAGGTAAAAGTATCTGGCATTTCTTCAGATTTTACCCAATCCTCATAAATTTTGCACAGAATAATGTTCAAACATTATTGAATTGAAATAATAAGTTACAGATCAAAGTGATGTAATTGGTTGAAGTTATGGTTGCCATAGCAACAGAAAGCATGAAGACCCGGGGCAACTATCAAAAAACTAAACTTTCAATCGAAACACTTTTGATGATATATTTCAAATCACAATTAAAATGGCATATCATATTCTTATTTCATACTTCATAACTGCTACTTAATGTCCTTTGTTTTTAACATATGCATAGTTCATGTCTTTATTACTCCAGTCTTTGAACTCTTTTTAAACCCATTTTCCCATAGACTGCAAAAGACGGCTGACTTCAAGTTATCCCATGAGAAACTCTCTCAACTCCCTCTTCAGCTCACGGCCGGCATGACGGTAAAATCATAACGATAAGGGGATAAGTCAGGAGAGTATAGTACATGACCTAACATTGGGAAACCCAGTGCTTCAATGGTTTGTACCATGAGAATCGCATTGTGAGATGGATAATTATCCCAGTGCAATATGAACGTTTTTGGGAGCCTCTTAGCTTCTTCCTCTTTGCTCTCATCAAACCTCTTCTCTGGGTATTGTTTTTCATCATTGACCTGTGTCATAGACTTTATATGACCACATCAGTTTTCATTATATATTTATCTTTTCCATGACATCAAAAATCAAATTTGCAAGAAAATATGTAACAATGGAAACAAAGCATTAAAACAATAAATGCTAGCACCCACATTTATTTATTTTCAGTTTGAAAAAGATGTGCTTTTTACCATTTTTTATTCAAATTGGACGCAATGAAATTGCCCCGGGTACCCCCGACTCCAGTTGCCATAGTAACTATAATATTAACCTATCAGATGTCAGAAGTTATATATTTATATGTTTTAATTTAGAAATGTACAAGGTATATTCTGACCAAATTTCAGGATGTTTGGACCAATATTTACAAAATGCCAGATACTTTTACCTTATTTATTGATCACCCTGTAACATTGAAGATTTCATGATTTCAGTTATCTACAACAGAAAACTACACAAAAGCAATGACTGGGCCAAATGATAACCCATACATAGATAACAGAAAAAGAAAATCGGCAGATTCTCCACCAGCAAATGATATCCTGAAGTCGAAAAAAAGCAAAATATCCATCATTTATTAAGTTCAAAAACAATACTGGTCGAACAGTTGACGTGGTATGGTTGAATTTCGAAGGGAAACGTGTCAAGTATACCACACTTGAGCCAACTAGATGGGTAGATGTGAATACATATGCGGGACATCCTTGGATTGTGCGAGATAGTGCTAGCGGAGATAAACTCTTAGTTCAGTTGAAAGAGGTTTATGATCCAGTTGCCTGGTCAAGAGAGGTAGATGGATGGCCTCCTAGGAGGAAAGAAGTCCAAATTACATTACCAGGTAACATGGGATACTGTACACACATTTTATATTTATTTTGTTCCCAATATAGCAAAGCAAATTGAATTGAGAATAACAATTTTCAATGAAAGAATAGTCATATTACTGAATTGACTGCTTGAAACTACAGTAAAACCTGTCTATAGTGAACACCTATGGAGCCACAAAAAGTGTTCACTGTAAGTAATTATTCACTACAGAGAGATTTTATACAGGAGTCAATGTAGATTTGTGACTTAAAGTGGTGTTCACTAAACAAAGGTGTTCAAAAGAGAGAGGTGGGTCACTAGGACAGGTTTTACCATATTTACTATGAAATTCATGATTGATTAAAAATAATTAGTTCATATATCTAGGGCATGTTTAATATAGTAAATAAAATCTGTTCTGATATTTTAAAAGGTTTTTAGAAGGCTTAAAATGTACTCTTTAATACCAGTCTCCAGTATAAATCATTTTATCAAATTGGATTATAATATTAATCTTATATATCATTATCTCATTTTTCAGTATATTCACTTACTGAGAGGTGTGTGCAAATAATCAGAAAGCAAGTTAATAGGAATAACTTCCATCAACTGGACATTCCACGGGAATTAATCGACCATTTACTGTCACAAGAAGCCCCAAATATACAGGAGCCTGTTGGTGGGATTTAGATAGGATCACTGAAATTCTGTAGAAAATTTGGAATATTTGCTCACAGTTCTGAATTAAACTAAGCACTAAATGAGGTGCTCTGCACTTTTATTCATATTGAATGGTTGTATAGACTACGCTGCCATCTATAAATGTTATAAAGTGCTGAATTTAGTTCTGCTGCATATATTTGCCATAGAAAATAGTGCCACTTTTAGACGATACAAGAGACTGCGAGTATTTCTGGGCCATTGCAATATAAATATTTATATTATGTTTATTGTGCAAAATATTATAAAAGATATGTATATATTTATTGTATAGATATTGAGACAGTTGCATTATGATATGAATCTATATCACAAGTATTATATATATTATCCTACATGTATATTGATTTATAGTACAGTTATGTGGACTGTGTTGCTAGTCATAGTATTAAGAGATGCTCATTCTGCCATCAGCTCAAAGACTGAAGAAAGAAAATCGTTCATCTGAGAAACAAACAATGCATCATTCAAGAATCCTATACTGTACTTCTGAATAAAATCGACACAACTACACGCACACTGTATTTAGTATTATATAGTGCAATTCGCAAAAAGTCATCTGCTTAGCCAATAATCAAAGACATGAATAACTTCTTTAATTGTGTGTACACCCCATATAGAGACAAGAGTTGATCTGACAATGTTCACATAATCTGCATACCCATTAATTACCCATAAGAGTAAGAAGGCAGGATGGTTTAATGAACTCAATGGTTCCGGGATACATGATCACAATATGATTAAATGTCCTTGTGAAGCGGATCCAGATTGGGCTACTTTAGACATCACAGCCTTTGAGAGCAATGAGCAACACTGTGCAGTCATAGAGAGCATTAAAGGTATTCTATTTACAGTAAAACCTGTCATATGAAACAACTCAGTAAGGAATACCTCTACATGAAACAGTTTTGAAAAGAAATCTCTTTTGGTTATATGTTAATGAAGCCTCTTTGTAAGAAACACCTGACTCCAAAAATACCCATGCAGTTCTTTTCAAGGTAAAAAAAAATGTCTTTTTTCAACTTGCTTCAAATTGACCCAATTTTTGTCAACATCATCTCCAAGTTGTCGGATATTTGGGAAGAATCAAACGAATTAATTAGACATGACACACAGACAAGCTATTTTGACTGATTCACAGATGAAATTTCAAAATGCCAAAAACGCGAAATAATATAGCGTCAAATATAAGTGGGAGTACAGTACACCTTTTTATAAAAAATAGTAACTAATATGACTTGTATTTAGTATAAGACCCAAACAAATAAGTGTCTGTTTAGTAGGGACTGAACAATGTATCCAAAAAACTCCATGTCAAATATCTTTCTATTTGGATTTTTAGGCATTTAATTTCATTCTAATATATCTGCAATTTAAAAGTAAAAGAAAAAAGCTTGGTTACTGGGTCCTTTTTTAAAAATAAACCCTGTTAAACAGACAATTTACTTGTAAGGGCCTTGATCTTGAGACATGTTTCCTAAAGTTCATCCTCCTTATGTTCCAGTCCCCCCTGTGGCCAATGACACCTCAAACCCAGGAATGATGTTGTTTGACAAAGCAGTTTGCCAATTCATGAGGGAGCAAAACATCCCTGGTGTCAGCCTGGCTATTGGCAGAGCTGGTCAACTTATTTACTGCCAAGGTACTAAGACTTAATGATTTGTTGCCACTGTTACATGATTGTGATATTGTGCTTTGCACAACCAATAGACTGTAGGATGTATCATACAATTGAAATGAAGTTGTGTTTCATTGGTTGGATATTATAAACATTTTGTATTAGATACCATATCTTACAACCATCTAGAATTGGTGACGTTTTGTTAAAAGCTTTCCATCTTTCATCTTCTATTTGGTGTGTTGTGACATCTAATGAGTCACATCAAATATAATCTCTAATGTGTCACATCAAATTATATGATCTCTAGTGCGTCACATCGAATATAATCTTTGGTGTATCACATTAAATGTAGTTTCTGTTATGTCCTTGAATTCTGCTCCTAGTGAGCCACATTATGGGCATTGCCATGGTGACACAGAAGCCAGTTACCCAAGATGCTCTTATCTCTTATTTTCAGTATACGGGAGTGCAGGTTGGGGTAGATTGGTGCGCAAAGACAGCAGGTTTAGAATAGCTAGCATTAGTAAAGTTCTTACATCTGTGGCAGTCCTCAGACTTGTCCAGGACAAAGCACTAAGTCTCACAGACAAAGTGTTTGGACCAAAAGGTAAAGACTTTTGAATCTCCTGCCTCTATACATTCCAATTTTGGTTTTATTGTAGTTTGCGCATGCGTAGTAAAAATCTTCAGAATTATAAAGAAATTTTGACTTCATACAATTCGTTCATACAAGTGTTTTGAAATATTTAATGCTGATTTTCAGAAATAAGTCGGTCCCTTAAAGATTCTCGCAATCTTTATCCAATCAGCGTTTGCGAGTGTGTCGGCTCACGTATAAAAGGCGAATCCAACTCAAATCCATGCAGGGGTGTATGAGGTACTCGAATATGAAAGAGCTCGTGAAATCTGAATTTATATGCACATGGTCAATGTTTACACATGTTTGGAGTTATTGAAGAAAATGTGATATGGGTGTGGTTCCGGATTTGAAGTCATTGCTGGAAAATATGATTTTAATACGTGAAATTATATCTATAAATACAGCACTAAAAATAACAGTACACTATATACATGTATGATTGTGTCCAGAAAGGTTTGAAACCCTTACGGAAAATTCTGTCTACATTTTGTCACCATTGCTCTTTCTTCCCGCATTCTAGTGCTGTTTAAATGAATATATTAATTAATGTATTTCTAACTAAAATATATCACTTTTTTTTATAAACCTCAAACATTTAGATCATAAACAATTATTCAATACTTGAGTGAGCACGATATGCAAGGGTTACTAAGTTGACACAGTAAATGACCACTGATATTGTGTTAGTCCATGCACACAGCGTATTCTGCTAAGGCCATAAGAAGTAGATCCTCTGTTTTGCATCCCCTTGCTTGAACGATTTTGAGTAAATCAGAAAAAACACATCCAAATAGCAATCACAAGGGTCTGAAAGTACCATCGCATTTCAGAATCAGATGAAATGGCGGATAATTTGATGTGCGTCAAAATTGACAGTGTTATAATTATTTGACATACATTGTGTTTTTTCTTATTTTTTACCCTTGAATAATAGCTATATTTTTATATATTGTATAAAATGTATAGATATGTGTTTGTAATCACTGCAAATTGGGATGTCATCCTTTAGGCCATCAGCTTCACCCCAAAATTTAGGTTATCGGTATCAAATCTGGGGAATAATCGCCATAGTGATTTTTGGGAAGGTTAAGACCTCTAGAGTAAGAAACTATGTGATAGCATTGCAACAGTTGTAGCTAAATGGGTGTTATCACCCATTTTTCAAAATGGCCGCCGGTGCACGTGTTACAGTATAAGAGTGGGTATATCTAAGCACACTGAGATGCAAAAACTGTGATTTTAGGGCCTATTTTAGGGTTTTAGGGGCCAGGATTTTATTTATGCCGAAATCTAAGTCATCAAGCAATTACTTCTTATAGAAATCCAAGATGGCCACCAAAATGGGTGCCAAAACAAATACCGGTATGTAACCATTGATTTAAGCTCAAAGAACAGTTAAGAACAGTGATTTTGGAGAGCATGTCACAGTTCTTGAGTCATGGATTTCTTTTATGTCTAAATCGGAGTCATCAAATAATTACATTTTCATAGAAATACAAGATGGCAGCCAAAATGGGTGCCAAGACAAAAATGTAACTATTGATTTAAGCTCAAAGAACAGTGATTTTGGAGATCATGTCTTGGTTTTAAGGGTCAAGGATTTCATTTATGTCTAAATCTAAGTCATCAAACAATTACTTTTTATAGAAATCCAAGATGGCCACCAAAATGAATGCCAAAATGAATATGCAACTATTGATTTAAGTTAAAAGAACAGTTAAAAACAGTAATTTTGGAGACTCTGTCTAGTTTGTAGGGGCCAAAGATTTCATTTATGTCTAAATCTAAGTAATCAAATAATTACTTTTTAAAGAAATCCAAGATGGCCACCAAAATGGGTGCTGAAATGAATATGTAACTATTGATCTAAGCTCAAAGAACAGTTAAGGACAGTGATTTTGGAGACCATGTCCAGGTTTAAGAGGCCAAGAATTTCAATTTTGTCTAGAATTAAGTCATAAAATAATTCCTTTATTTTGATATCCAAGATGGCCACCAAAATGGCTGCAGAGTCACAATTTTGAGGAGTGACTAAAATGTTTATCTTCATCAAACTCTTTCTGGTGTATGATACACTTGTCTTTGAGGAATTTCTTGTGCTTGATCTTCTCCATCCAATAATCTACTTCTTCCTATGGGCAGTCTACTTCTTTCTATGGTCAATGTTTATGATACTGAGCCACAACAAAACTAAGGGAAAGGAAGGCAAATCACAATAATATTGCTAATGCGATGATCATAAGATTTTATTTTGCAAATTTCCATGTTATTGTCTGTTCTTATTTGCCCTTTTAGTGATTTAACACCTTGGTATCCATCTTGAATTCTGATATTAATCTCAGATTGTTTCATGGCATAGCTCTAGATAACTGAAATTCTTGACCTCCTTAAAGTAAAAATTGCTTCCAAAATTATTGTTCTTGGTGATCCATGCGGTTAAATGGATAGTTATATGAATTCATTTTGGCAGCCATTTTGGGGGCCATCTTGGATATCTATATAAATAATAAAATGTTTGTTGATTTTATTAAAGACAAAATTAAAATCATTGACCTCACAAACTTAAAATATCAAAAATTAATGTTGGAAGCCATCTTGGATCCAATTAAAGGAATTAGTTATAGTTTTAGACATAACTGAAATTCTTGACACCAAAAATTTTGATATGGTCTAAAATTACTGTTATAAACTGTTCTTTGAGCTTAAATCAAAATTTACTTGTTATTGGCACCCATTTTGGTGACCATCTTGGATTTATATGAAAAGCAATTATTCGATGACTCAGATTTAGACATAAATGAAACCTTTGACCCCTAAAACCTTGACATTGTCTCCAAAATCACTCTTCTTAACTGTTCTTTGAGCTTAAAACAATAGTTAAATATTCATTTTGGCACCTGTTTGGATGGCCATCTTGGTATTCAATATAAAGTAATTGTTTGATGACTTAGATTTAGACATAAGTCAAATCCTTGACCCTTTAAACCTATACATTGTCTCAAAAATCACCGTTCTCAACTGTTCTTTGAGCTTAAATCAATCAGTTAAATATTCATTTTGGCACCCATTTTGGTGGCCATCTTGGATTTCTATATAAAGTAATTGTTTGATAACTCAGATTTAGACATGTATGAAATCCTGGACCCCTAAAACGCAGACATGTGCTCCAAAATCACTGTTCTTTGAGCTTAAATCAATAGTTGAATATTCATTTTGGTGGCCATCTTGGAATTTTTATTTAAAGTAATTGTTTGATGACTTAGATTTAGACATAAGTCAAATCCTTGACCCTTAAAACCTAGATATGGTCTTTAAAATCACTGTTCTTCACTGTTCTTTGAGCTTAAATTAATAGTTACATATTCGACTTGGCATCCATTTTGGTGGCCATCTTGGATTTCTATGAAAAGCAATTATCTGATGACTCAGATTTAGACATAAATCAAATCCTTGACCCCTAAAACGTAGACATGGGCTCCAAAATCACTGTTCTTAAGTGTTTATTGAGCATTAACAGGAGTTAAATATTCGTTTTTGCACCCATTTTGGCAGCCATCTTGGATTTCTATAAGAAGTAATTGCTTGATGACTTAGATTTCGGCATAAATAAAATCCTTGGCCTCTAAAACCCTAACATAGGCCCTAAAATCACAGTTTTTGCATCTCAGTGTGCTTAGATATACCCACTCTTATATTGTAACACGTGCACCGGCGGCCATTTTGAAAAATGGGTGATAACACTCATTTAGCTACAACTGTTACAATGCTATCACATATTTTCTTACTATGGAGGTCTTAACCTTCCCAAAAATCACTATGGCGATTATTCCCCTAATTTGATACCGACCAACCCCCCAGGCTGATCGCCTACTTTTTTATGCCCCTAAAATGTATATATTTCTCAGCAAACAAGTTTGTGTTTTTTTCTTGAGTTTGTGTTTGTTTTCCTTGTACCCTTGCATGATTTGGATTTTGCCAGGACGCAAAACAAAGAATCTACCTCTTATGGCCTAATATACATTTGCTAACACCCCCACTTTCATAGTGAAGTGACTAATTGGTTTATGTTTACGTTTTAATGTGTTTTGGGTTCCTTGTTACAGCAAGGGGGGCCAGTAAAGTAGACTAACATGTTTGCATGGCAAATTTTGATCGAATATGTGAGACACTTTAAGGGTTAAAATAAGCAGAAGTGACCATGGTGACATAAAGCACAAAGAAAACATGAATAAATCTGATAATTGTTGATATGGCGACTTAAGTGTGACCTCAAATAGCTTCCTTACCTAAACCTACCAAACAGCCAAGCACACAAGAGATTGATTCTGAAAAGCTGATTCTCATAAATTACTTTATAGGAGTGTAATATACTTGTAGGCATTTTGAAAGAGTATGGCCCAGTTGTTGGGGGAGACCGTAGAATTAATCGCATTACAGTACACCATCTTTTACAACACTCTGGAGGATGGGATTTTGATGAGATTGAGGATCCAATGTACTATCGTCATGTAGGGGTTGCCATGGGGACAGAGGAGCCAGTTACCCAAGATGCACTGATAAGATACATGATGCAGCAAAGGCTTCAGTTTACTCCAGGTAGGCTTAGGCATGGGAGTTAAGTTTTTTTTTAGGTCACCACCAGGATTGTGTTCACATATTGTTATAGTCTCAATTTTTTTATGAACAGCAAACAGTCAGTGTTTGGGGTCTGTAACAAATGTAACAAATGACAGGTGGTGATATATTGCATGTTAATGTCTTGTTCCCGGGCCTTGTGAGAGGTTGTTTGTTTATTTTTGAAGGTTACCTCAACAGGCCTGTCAACTCACCAGCATTTTATGTATTTGTCAAGCATTTGCTAAAGATATTGAAGTCACAATAGTTTTTTTGCATGACAATATTTCCGGATATCTAGATTTATTCAGATAAATATGAAATAATTTATTATCCATTCTGATTCTTTATGGTCAGTGTTACCATTATTGAGGTTGACTAATTTCAAGGTCAAGGTCAAACTAGGATTCCTCAAAACGAGAAAAGAATATTTTTACTAGGTTTTTTCAAACTTTAGAAATACTGTATTGTCTTGTTATGTGGAGCATGGAGAAGAAAATATTTTATAAGGAATCAGGTTGCCATACCTACTTCCACTGAAATTTTAATCCACCCCATCATACCCTTTACATTTTTAACAGTCATGCTAAACTTGTAAGCCTTTGTTTCTTTAAATGATTCTATATTTAAATTAAAAAAGGTTGGTTTAGGGCACTGCCACAGCAGGCTTTGGACAGTCTTTGTAACATACAGGTCCGTAGCTAGCTTTTGGTTAGGGGATTCACTTTTCACAAAATACCAGTGGAAGCTTTAGCCCAAAATCACTTGAAAAGTGCTCAAAATGGTGAAAACTGCATGATATTGAAAGAATTTTTGGTCAGTTGGTACACTCGAACCCCACCCCCTGACTATGGGCCTGCTATATAAAGTTTGCTTATTCATTCATAATTTAGTGTCATCTTTAATTTTCTTTCCAGGTAGTCGCCATTCCTACTGCAACTTTGGCTATATGGTGCTTGGAAGGGTGATTGAAAGAGTCTCTGGGAAGACTTATGAGGAACACATCACTGGACTACTGGCCCCACTCGGGATAGCGTCATGTCAAATAGGTGGCACTAAACGACAACAGACTTCCATTGATGAGGTATGTATATTTGTTATTTATTTATTTTGATTTTCTGGTTGTTGATGCCATGTCAAGCTGAATAAAGCCCAAGCCTTACATATAAGGTCATAAGTTCACACATGACTCACTTCTTCTGATTTCTATAGAAAGGAGGCTGGCAGGTTAGGAACCTATTGTGTTTGCTTGCCTTTCGTTTTAACCATTTCAACTTAATTAAAGTTACAAATATGGCTAAAATATGGTATTTTACACACGATATGGTCGCTCTTTTACACATTTTCCCCAAACCCTGCTTTGAGGCTACCTGTGGAGAACACTGACCAGTTGGTGGTCAGTGGGGTTGGTCTTTTCCGTACACCCATTTTCATACACATTACAAATCCCTTGGTGTACAGATTACTTCATATGGAACAGTATCAAGACTAAGTGAATATACTCCTTCCATATTAGGAGTCGCACCATCGGGAATAGTGAGTTCACACCTCTGCAGTATACGAGTAAGAAGCAAAAATATTTGAATTTTTGCTATCAACTCTCCCAAGCATCGACGTCGTCCAAGACCAAATGCAACAACTTTTTCAGCAAGATCTTGAATGATTTCACCATCTTGATCAAGAAATCTCTCCGGTCGGAAGTTTTCAGGGTCACCCCATGTGGCCTCATCATGGTGAAGGGCCCATAGGTTGATGAAGGTGAGAGTCTTGGCAGGAATTGTGTAACCATTCAGTGTTGTCTCCCATGTATTAGCATGAGGCAGTGCCATGGGAGTTAAAGAGGATTTGCGATTGATTTCCAAAATACAAGCTTCTGTATATTTCATATTCGTTTTGTCCCACCAATGACAGCTGAAATCTCTGCATGTACTTTACTCTGTATCTTTGTATAAAAAGCCATGTAGAGGACAGCCCAATGCATGAATGAAGACACTGCTCCAATTAACTCTATTGTCAGACAGAGAATGAACTGCTCATCTAAATATTCCATATTTTCTGTTCCTCTTACATCACGACTTGCTTTAATAAGTGCATCAGTGATATCTCTTAGATCATCTTGATTGTATGTTGAGACATGTTCCTTGTGCTTCCGTGTATGAAGTTTCATATTCGCATCCATAATCTGAATAAACTCATGTAATTTTCTTTTGGTGAAAATCTTTGTCCACGGCATGAGGTCAGCTATATTGCCACCACTTGCTTGTAAAGCATTAAACTTTCTATTCCTTTCGATTATGCCTTTGAAATCTTGATCTTCTTTACTTGCTATAGATTCACCAAAAACAAGTGTAAAGATAATACTTCCTACACACATCTTTATGGGAATCCTAGGATCAATTGGTTGTCCATTGGTAGATAGTAGTTCTTTGATAAGAGTGTCACATTCATCTAGGATGTTGGCATCTATTGGACGCTTCTTATCATTGACCAAAAGTCTAGCTGCGTTAACCATAATCTTTCTCAATAGTTTCCATCTTGCATCAAAGTGGGGTGAAAAAGCAACACCTTTTCCTTTGTTGATGTATTGAAATGATTGAAAATCAGGACGTCCTGCAAAATCATCGCCACATTTGAGCAAAGCTTCAAACACAGTTTCATAACCACTCAATACAATAGTTGGACGACTTCCAAAATGAATCATATAAATATCTCCATATTTTCTTGCAAAAGCTGTCATAGTTTTGTGTGGATGTTTTCCAAGCTGGTGTAGGTTCCCGATGATTGGTAGGCCCATGGGTCCAGGGGGTAGGGTCCTTGCCCAAAGGAAATATGTCACCACACGCATTAAAATTGCAGTCCCTATGAAGATAGCTAGGCAGACCCTCACCTCAGATAGTTCAATCCCGTATAGATCCATATTGACCTGAAATACATAGTCATAAAATAAGAAGTATGTCACCACACGCATCAGAATGACAGTCCCTATATTAATGACCAAGAAGACCCTCGCCTCATATGGTTCAATCCCAAATAGATTCATCTCAACCTAAAACAACTGTTAAAGATGGCAAGATATAAACAAGTGGTTGTATACTCTACAGAGAGGCCCCCTACAGGTTATGCAAAATAAGAAACACAATAGCTTAACAAACATCAAATAAACTTCCTTTCTTTACCCAATATCTTCAAATTTGCTCTCTAGATTATAATTTTACTTTTGATATTCATCAACTTACGTTATATGGTCGCGATGAAGAAATTATTGTCGGTCTCTTGAGTAAATGCTTCACCAGTGCAGCAATATCTGTACGATTTACATACGTGACAGTTTTCACATTCAGTTTTTTACTGCATGTTATTATGCACTAGAGGTTTATGAAATAGAAGGTCACAGTAAACAGGGGTTTTTAGGATCAAAACATTTGCCGTTAATAAAAAAGATATATTATGGGTATTATAACCTTTTATAGCTATCTTTATGAAATACATTCCTGTGATATTGACTTTGGAAACTGAAAACATGAATGTTTCATATTAGCAGTTCATGTTTTGATACACATTTTTATTGCTATTATTTGTTTATAGCTATCAGATGTTTTATGGGTGTTTCAAACACTCCGACCCAGAAATCAACACATGATGCAAATTACTAAGAACTTAAAATGTATGGATAAACTATCAATTTCAGCATTAAGAAGTGTAAATTCAGTTCAAAGCTTCTATAAAGGCTAGGAAGTCCCGCTTATAGATTTTTAAGATCCACCACTTTTCAAGAGGAATATCAGCTAAAATAATGTTCATCCAGGGGTTTCTTGGGAGATAATAAAAATATATATAGTCTTGATGAAATATCCAAACTTAAATATATTTTGACACTGGTCCATGAATGTTGAATGGCCCCTCTGCACTAATTGTTGCACCTTTAAGTCTATGGCAATGCATTAGAAATGAGCATTTTGCTATAATTTGCAATACAATTTTTTATCAGCAAAACAGCAATATGTTGCAAATGGAATGAATTTGTGATTCAATACTTTTTCCATTTGTTGATCAAATTTTTAAAGCTAGAAAACAAAATTCTCAAGAATTTAACATGGAGTAAACAAAAATCAAAAATATGCAAATGAGGGAATAAGTATGTTTTTTTGCTGTTACACTTTATATGCTTAAAGGTATGGGGGTGTACATGTATGTACTACAAGGGACCATCTCAAAGGTAAAGCTTTTTATAAGTATTACTAGAAAGTCTTAATCACTATCAGTTCGCCATATCCATACCCATCCTTTATCTGGATAGTTGTATATGATATCTAAGTAATTAATGCTTGACTTTTTCAAATATTAAACTTACTCACTACATTTCAATGAGCAACATCCATCTTTTTCAGGCACTAATCGGCTTCTGGGAATTAGTTCGCCGCACCACTGCTCCATTAAGGATACATATCTCCAACATCAACAGGTATAAGGGCAATCACGAACTCAGCCCCCTTTTGGACAAGGTGTTGCAAATTCAACCAGCTAACATCCTTAATCTCCAACTGTCACACCTCCTTAATGGAGCGTTGGAATGGTGAACTAATACCCAGTAGCCGATAAGTGCCTGTAGAAGATCGACTTTGTTCATCGAAACGTAGCGAGTAAGTTAAATATTTGGATAAATCGAGCATAAATTACTTAGATATCACCCACTGAAATATTTTCAGACGGAAAAATTGAATAGATTATGCCATGTTAAATTCTCATCGGAATTTTGTTTTCTAGCTTTAGAAATTAAATCAACAGAAGAAAAAATTACTGAATCACAAATACATTTGGGACAGAGGCATTCTCTTTGCAACCAATATTGCTGTTTTGTGGATAAATATGTTTTATTACAAATTACAGTAGAACCTGTACATCTGAACACCTGGCTAATCCAAACACCTCCCAATCTGAACACTTTTTTTCGGTCCCATTTTTTCCTCCCATTGACTCCCATGTTAAAAATAACTTGAAATGTGAACACCTCTCAATTTGAACAGTGAACATTCATTTTGGAAAAATTAACCTGTCTCATCTGAACACCTTTCATTAAAATTCACATGTTTCATACAAAATTGCTCAAATATTGTTATGATATCAAAACTTTTTGAAAAAAACTTGAATGGTCTTGATTAAAATAGGGCTTTCCAGCATGACTAGATTCATTTGAATCGAATTTTCAAATTTCTGAAATGCCATAAAGCTATGTGGTCAAATGAACTATAAATATGTACCAAGAATGTGTTCACATTTCTTCAGAATCCGGAATCTCGTGAATTCAAAAACCTCGAAATGTGAACACCTCCTAATCTGAACGCTTAAAGCCGGTCCCAATGGTGTTCTGATTAGACAGGTTTTACAGTACAGCAAAAATGCTCAACATAATGCATTGACAAGATTATTAGTTTTTCCTTCAGACAACTCTAATACATTGTAATAGGTGCCCATGAATGAATTTTTCTTTATGGTAAAGAGTGCTAAAATGAACCAAGGATTTAACTAAACAATATTGAAGAAATTCCCAGAGGAGCCCCCCGAATTAAAGGAATTCTTTTCCCCTATTATCTTCACTATTTTCAACAGAGACTATTGGATATTGATCTAAAGTTATACATTATATAATTAATATAAATGATAAATCATCATTTTTTGTGTAAAATCCATTAGACTAAGGAAAATTTTTGAAAAGAAACAAGAAACTTTACGACCCTGACATGATCAGAAAACCTACAGAGAAGCTTTCTTGGTTTAATGCCAAAACTTAATTCTGAAACTTGACCATTTTTTAAATTAATTAAGGATTATTTTGAGATAATATTACTTGAGTATTAGGAAGAAAGCAGATAATGAAAGATATTTATCGGGAGGAAATTGTTATTGTCCTGTGGTTGAGGTAAAATATGTGCTTTTTCATTCATAATCCTTTAAAACTACCATCTTGACTTTATCCTGTCTACACTTTGTTGGTATCAGGTTCAGATCTGGTAGAATTGTTCACCTCATGTGGGCTATACATTCCCAAGCACTTTAATCCCATCAATAGCCAGTTTAAATCTGTTCTTTAGTTAGTTCAACCTTGTTCCTAATATAGTCAAAAAACGATCAAACTATTTCTAAAAGTGTCCATACTACAGTTGATATCAGACCGTACTTTGCAAGGTTGAAGTATAATTCCAGTTATAGTATGGCCATCTTGCTTTATCTATAGTGAACTACAAAATGAATGTGGCTCTTAAATCAAATACAATCCTGTCCTGATAAAAATAGAAAGTTTCATGCTTCGTTCCATGAATGAACTTTCTTTTGCACTATTGATCTCGCTACTTTAAAATATGTTGTCAGTATGTTTTAGAGCACTTTCCCAACTTCCACATCCATAAGGTTATTAACTGTATAGCTTCATCAAATATGCTTCAACACAGTTTGAGCATGTTCTGAAATAGTGAGAACTAGTTTGGTGTGAAGGCGGTTTAAGCAATGGTTTCACATACATTTGATAGGTCTTTTTACAAGTGCTCTATCTTACTAATCCCTTGGTGTAATTGTGACATCAAATGGTGCAGGATCTAGAGCAAGTCCATAGACCCCTTCCATATTAGGAGTAACACCTTCTGGAATTGCAAACTCACATCTTTGCAATGTACGTGTAAGAAGCAAAAATAGTTCAAGTTTTGCTATAAATTCTCCCAAGCATCGACGTCGTCCAAGACCAAATGCTACAACTTTTTCTGCAAGTTCCTGGATGATTTCGCCATCTTTGTCAAGGAATCTCTCTGGTCTGAAGTTTTCAGGGTCGCCCCATGTGGTCTCATCATGGTGAAGGGCCCATAGATTGATGAAGGTCAGGGTCTTAGCAGGTATTGTGTAACCATTCAGTGTTGTATCACATGTAGTAGCATGGGGCAGTGCCATGGGAGTTAAAGAGGATTTGCGATTGATTTCCAAAATACAAGCCTCTGTATATTTCATATTAATTTTGTCCCCAATTTGAGGTTGGCGGCCATCACCAATGACAGCTGAAATCTCTGCATGTACTTTACTCTGTATCTTTGGATAAGAAGCCATATAAAGGACAGCCCAATGCATGAAAGTAGACACTGTGTTAAACCCAGCTCCAATAAACTCTCCTGTAAGAGTAAGGATGAATCGCTCATCTAAATCTACCATATTTTCAATCTTTCTTACATCCCGACTTGCTTTAATGAGTGCATCAGTGATATCTCTTAGATCCTCTTGATTGTATGTTAAGACATGTTCCTTGTGTTTCCGTTGATGAAGTTTCTGGTTTTCATCAATAAGCTCAATAAACTCTTGTAATCTTTTCTTGGTGAAAATCTTTGTCCAAGGCATGATGTCAGCTATATTGCCACCACTTGCTTGAAAAGCTGTGAATTTTCTAGAACTTTCAATCATGTCTTTGAAATCTTGATCTTCTCTACTTGCTATAGATTCACCAAACACCAATGTAAAAATAATACTTCCTACACACATCTTTATGGGGATCCTAGGATCAATTGGTTGTCCATTGGTAGATAGTAGTTCTTTGATAAGAGTGTCACATTCATCTAGGATGTTGGCATCTATTGGACGCTTCTTATCATTGACCAAAAGTCTAGCTGCGTTAACCATAATCTTTCTCAATAGTTTCCATCTTGCATCGTAGTGAGGTGAAAAAGCAACACCTTTTCCTTCGTTGATGTATTGAAATGATTGAAAATCAGGACGTCCGGCGAAATCATCGCCATGTTTGATCATAGCTTCCCGTACAGTTTCATAATCACTTAATACAACTGTTGGACGACTTCCAAAATGAATCATATAAACATTGCCATATTTTCTTGCAAAGGATGCCATTGTTTTGTGAGGATTTTTCCCGAGCTGATGAAGATTCCCGATGATGGGTAGTCCCATGGGTCCCGGGGGTAGGGTCCTTGCCCAAAGGAAGTACATCACCACACGCATCAAAATTGCAGTCCCAATGAAGATAATCAGGAAGACCCTCACCTCAGATAGTTCAAACCCGAATAGATCCATATTAACCTGAAAGTAGATAGCCGTAACATAACATAATATAACAAACATAACATTACAACATAACATAAAATTATAGCATAACATAACATTTCAACATAACATTACATAACAACAGAACATAACATTACAACATAATATTATATTACAGCATCACATGACAACATAACATGAGTACCATTAAGATTTATAAGAGTGCCTCTTTATCTAAAGCTTTTTAGTGATACGTAGACTCTTGCAGAGAGCCTGCAGTGAAATCCAAAAGGATCTAGTATCTGCTATAGTACATCACCCTATGTAGACTGTGCTATATGAAAACAAGCGGTTCGGATATCATGGAATTTTCAATATGCGGCTGAGTTTCAAAATAATCACCATTTTGTATAAAAGAATGTAATCTTTGATAACTCAAATATAGGTTGATGGATTTGGTTGAAATATTATATGATGATGCCTCGAGAGAAAGGAGCTCTGCTCATCAAGGAGACGTTTTCAAGAAGGCCACTTAATTTCAAAATGGCGGCCATTTTTTGTAGAAAATTATAATTTTTGATGATCAAATACAGTAAAACCTGTCCGATGGAATACCTCTCTGTAGGGAAAACCTATGAACAAGGAATGCTTTTCAAAAGAACCAAATATTTTTCCATTGACTTACATGTTAACGGACCCTCTCTGTAGGGAAAACCTATGAACAGGGAACAAGGAACACTATTTTGGGGCAAATTATGAAAATTCACCTGTGAACAAGGAATATGGAATATTGGTGACACTGTATATTCCATTATTTTTCAGAGGTGTGAAATTCTTAAGCCAATATCTAAATATAAAAAGCTTGGATTAATATGATTGAGATTAAGATGAGCCAATTGTTTACATGATGTAGCATCCCACCCACTGTTAATTACCCTGATTTATTTTAAAACTAATACTAATCTGTTTTTACTTATTATCATGACACTAATTCTTCCTTTCAAAAACCTAATTGCATCAAATCAGTTTTGATAATCTAGGGACTGACACAATTGTTTTATGGAGATAACAGATAAGTACATGGTCATGTTGAGCCAAATCTCTTTAAATCTTTTACTGATCCAAACTTCTAGATTATCAATGATATAAAATGGGGTTGATTAAACTAGAAATTCAGTTCTTAGCAATATATCTCTACAAATCATATCAATAATTACATCAACTATAGACACCATCAGACGCTAGCAGCAGCTAAAATCAACATGGGGAGAACGTAACCAAGTATGGAGCCGGCACTTGTACAATCAATCAATATATTTACAAATATGCTTATTCGGCAACTTTGAGTTTGCTGAAAGTGCGGCCCCTCTCTGTAGGGATAACCTCTGAACAAGGAAACTTTCCTTCAGTCCCAAGAGCATTCCCTGTTCGCAGGTTTTACTGTACCAGTAGAATGCTTTGGTTCAAATTTTATGCAATGATGCCCAGAGATAAAGGAGTTCTCCTCAAGATAGCAGCTGAAATGGCCACCATTTTTCATAAAAAAATATTATCTTCATAACTCAAATACCAGTGGACAGATTTGGTTCTAATTTCATATGCTTATACCTAAGGACAAGGGAGCTCCGTTCACAAAGAGATTTTCAAGATGGCCGCTATTTATCAAAACATGTTTTGTTTGGTGGGATTTGCTACTCCTTGGAGTTTCTGTTTTCTTGTTGAATTTGATATTTCACAAACTAAGGCATGTTGGGTACTCATTTATATTCATACATGCAGGTTCCCCAATAAAAATGGAATTATGCAAAAAGGTGTGTACTTCATTCTATAGCGACACATCAAACAATATTATTCTCTTCAAAGCAAATACATGTAATTAAAATTTGCAGTTGTAACACAATGAAACAGCATTCATTCAATATTGATGATCGAGATAATTATACCTATGAATTCAAATTATATTTGCATTTTGAAAGTTGAAAGGTTTCTGTGTGATTTTATTATTAGCTCACATGGTGAGCTTTTGCAATCACTCACTTGTCCGTCTGTCTATCCGTGTGTGCATGCGTCCGTGCAAGTCCGTCCGTCACCAATAGTGGCACGTTTTACGATAGGATTCCTGTTTTAAGTTATTTCTGTTCAACATCAATACAGAAAACTCCCCTATTACTCCTGGTTCAAAACCTCGCCTATTTTCAAAATGGTCACCATTTTTGTCTCGCGAAATTCACTTTTGACCCATTTCCTAGCTTTACAAATAATTTCAGGTGTCCTGCTTTGTAAAAATCCATGTCAATGTAAAGAGTAGTTGTATGAAATAATTTTGTTACAAAAAATCGGCAAGAAATTATATCCGTTATTTTTTTCAGTCATTTTAGTTAAAATTGATTTGTCTATCTGTCTCGCGAAATCCTCTTTTGGACCATTTGCCTTAAAACCTCTGTCGATAGGATTCCAGTTTTAAGTTTTTTTTTGTTCAACATCAATACAAAAAACTCCACTATGACTCCTGGTTCAAAAGCTTGCCTATTTTAAAAATGGTCGCCATTTTTGTCTCAAGAAATTCAATTGTGGCCCATTTCCTAGCTTTACAAATAATTTCAGGTGTCCTGCATTGCAAAAAGCTATGTCACTGTAAAGAGTAGTTGTATGAAATAATTTTGTTACAAAAAGTCGGCAAGAAATTATATCAATTTTTTTTAAATCTGTCATTTTAGCCATCATTCACTTTTGAGCAACACCATGTGAGCCCAGTACCCACGGTACTATTTTTATACAAAATGTGAAACATTAAAACAAAGAAAATGTGCTACCTCTGTGTGGATATCCGTTAAGTGACAATATCCGTACCCCTTGTTTTGATGAATGTTTTTAATTTTTAAATATTCACACAGAAAGTTTATGACTTTCAAAATGCAAATTAATTCATATTGATAGGTCATCTTGATCATCAGTACTAAATGAAAATTGGAAAAAGTATATTAAAGGTGCAGCAAGTACTATTTTCTCTCTACAAGCCTTATTGCCCCTTTAAAGCAGCAATATCAAATTATTTGCTATGGAGAATTCAAATTCATAAATGACTGTTAATATCCACAGATTGCGCACATGATATCCGCACCGCTTGTTTTTGTCTAGCACAGTCTGTATAGGGTGTACATACAGTACATGTAACAGATCATTTTATAGTATTGTTGGATTGATAAATATATTAATTGATTCTATTTTGATACAATGGCTCACCTGAAAAAAAATAACTGTATCATATATATCAAAAACACATTGATGTTTCAAAGATTTTGACAACAACCTTTTAGGCAGACTTTTGTAGAAAATACATTGATTAGAAATAATGTGAGCCTAAATGAATGCACAATTGCTAAAGTGAAATTAAATGTCATTCACTCAACTGATTACATGAACTTACCTTAGTTATGATTTGAGAATAAGAACTTATCAGTCTCCACCTTATAGTAGCTTACTCTTATTATCAAATAGTGTATGTGGTGTACAGCACTTACTTTGTTTTGTAACTTAGTATATTGTTTCTACTTAGGAAGAAGAAGGTCAACTTTGTTTCATAACTTGAAGTACATTGTGTTCTGTATATGAAGGTCGAGTTCGCCTTAGTTGAGTAGTTATACAAACCTTTCAATTACAGTTAAACCTGTGTTTGTAAACACCCCTCTAGGTGAACCCCATGTAACTGTGAGCATTTTCAGTATTATTCCCATTGTGAAGTCCTATCAACAATGAATAGTGAACACCAAATCTTGACAAAATTAATTGAATTGCCCTGTGCATAATGGACATTGAAACGCATGATTATGATATCTGGTGATTTTGTAGGGCAAAATATATATGTTCAATATACACAGGTTTTACTGTATATTAGCTCTTGCCTTGAATATTAGATCTGTTTATGTTGGGTGACCTGCGTTTGTATACATGCTTTTCAAAAATATAAAACTATTCAAGCTTACCAAAACATCTTTGTATTTGCTTGTCGTGCACATGTTTGAACCATGCATGATTATATTTAAAATTTGCAATTGATACACCATTTAAACCATTTATTGCCTATTTATAAATCATTTGACTAGTGGATAAGTAACTGTATAACTCACTGCACTTCTTGGTGGTTGGAGTTTGGTACTTGGTTTTCAGCATTCAGTGGTTAGCATTTGTAACAAATGGCAGGTTGTGACATTTTGTATGTTTTTGCCTTGTATGATAACTTTTGGCCTTTTCACTTGCTCAGATTGCGTATAAAGTGTATGTATCCCGTACATGTTAAGGACTTAGGTATATAACATGCAGGAATATACAAGTACAGTGTATAGTGTATCTAGGGAGCTGGATGGAGATTTCTGTATTCATCCTGGTCCTGCATCATAAAACTTTTAAAAAAAACTTCTTCTGTGTAAATATTAGAGCAAGAAAAAAATAAGTAGCAAAGAAAACAGCATTGCTAAGAGATGGTTAGCGTGCATTCACACATATCAAATAGATGTTTTTCAATTACTTTTCAATGAGTACAGTAGATGGCACATATATCAATAGAATGAATCTTTTTATTTGAATATCTTTACATCTGATGTTTGACACTTTAATTTTAAAACTTTAAATATGAATGGTTTTTTGATTTTCATAAAGTTTTAAATACAGAGTTATTATCCCTTGGAGAAAATCCCAAAAATGTATCCAAAACCTCACAAAACATTACCTTTATATACCGAGAATGGGCCAAAAATATACAAATTATGAGGGAAATAGTTGTATTAGTTGTAAAATAAATTATTTCCCCATGAGATTAATCCTGAAAGTAGTTAGTTTGTTGGTCTTTATTATTGCAAAGTTTAAAGTAATTTTATCAAAATCCAACAAAATTAGAGCAGGGTGTCCAAGACTTTTTGATCACCTCCGTAAGTTCTCTATAAAATGAGAACCTTTTAACCTCCCTAATACTATGAAAACCCAATTTAAGAATTTCATTCTGTGAATTTTTGTAAACTGATATATGATTTCTCACTTACATTTCAGGTCAACTATTTCACCTTGAGTCCAGATCACTACGGAGAGAGTGTCTTCCCCCTTGAGGGCCAGGTCCCCACGCCATATGGAGCCTTCCATCTACCCCAGGGTGCTCCCAATGGGGGATGGGTTGCTACATCAGAAGATTTAGTCAAGGTGAGTATCGAGTACTTCAACTTGATATACCGCCGGAGTTTTCTTTCACATGTAAAATCCTGATTGGACTATTTTTGTGAGCAAAGTGCCAGTAGGCAGTAATTTGGATAACATGGCGGATATAGTGAAAAGATCCCCAAAAATTTAATATGCATTAGATATATTGCATCCATGTTTATATTGAGTTTGATAATACCACTGACAATATATCAAATAAAAGAAATATTTTCTGTAGAATACAATAAAAGATATTTCACTTTTCCTGATTTCATAATATGGACTCTTTAACTCTCTAAAGGAATTTTAATTCCAAAAATGAACAATTTTTAAAACCACCTTTTTGGATGTAATTTTAGATGTAGATTTCAAATTTGACATCAATCAGTTTTGAATATTTAATTATGAAAATCAATATTGTGTCTCCTTGCACCTTGTCTATTAATGAACTGCACTTCATGTTGATAACATTGAAAATTGCATACATTGTTCTCACATACATGTAAGAGTATGTATCAAATATGTTTGAGAGACTTGGAATATGTCATTATGTATGTACTGCCCTTTCTTCCTCTTTCTAACAGATACCATGTCATTGAATCAACGGTTGCTGGGTATTTAGAAAATTATTGAATTGTGATCTTTGTTAATTCTTTAACCACCCCAATTACAATAACACATAAAGGCTCATAAAATTTTTTCCAGTTATTTCTGGAGCTGTCAAGATGTCTGAATAGGGAGACTAAGGGGGAACTATTAGGAAGGGATATTGCGAGAATGATGCTGAAAAGACCCTCATATACTAAAGGAACCACATGGTGAGTGTCTTAACTGCCGAGTATTCTGGGAGAACTTATGAGAACAAGACAACGCTTCAACTACAACTGTAATTTATTTCAGAACTGACCAATGACGTCACTACTATGATCACGTGACTTAACATATCTTAAAGGGACACTATACATAGATTTACAGTATATATTATGACAGTGAGTGATCTACAGGTTGTCCCAAAAATGTCTGTTTAATGGTGTAATTGAATGTACAGCTATGTAATTTTCTCAAAGCGATTGTAATTGTAACATTTATTATAGTGTCTTGGGTACAACTATACATGAAATATAAAATAAAGGGCTTTATTACAGCAATAATACAAATGAATATCAGTTTTTGTAATAATATTATCATTATCTGGCTGAGACTTTTGGGACACCCTGTACATACATGAAATTGAATAAATTAGTAAATGGACCAATTAGGTGGGGGTATATTAAAATGTGATGCAATAAAAGCTATAGATAAATGATATAATTCCAGGTATGGTCTTGGCCTGGAAGTATTTGACAAGGGGTTGTCATGGCAACATACAGGAGCCATGGATGGGACAGTATCAGTCGTCACTCATGACAAATCTGGCTTCACATGGGCCATACTGGCAAACTGTTGGTCATGCGACACTGACCTAGATAGCATGGTGAAGTATGCCATGACACGTGTGGATGCCTGGTGTGAGGGAGTTTTACCTGGATTTAGCCCACAATACGGTAATATGAAACACTTGGGGGTAACTCTCGATCATTGTGTTGTACGTTGCCAAGTACCCATCAATCACATGACTGATTTGTGTGCTGAATTCTCCAATAAGAAGCTCAGCATTGCCTCTGTGATGTCATACATGTTCAAGGGATCAGTGTACTGTAACGTAGTTTGGACTACAGGAGATAAAAAACAGATTGTGCACTTTGCTTTAAATCTGTCAGGCCTGAATCATGTTCTAGATAGTCATAAGGGTACTTACTGCCCAATGTGGCTGGACTCACATATAGAGAGCTCTGGTGTTTGTTATAGTGTTATACTAGAGGAGAACCTTAGTGCATCAGGATCCAGTTGCTCAGAAATACCAAGGGGTAGTTTTACTACTGCTTCGGAAATATCAGAGCTCCAACATGCAAAAGGTGATGCTGGAAAATCAGGGACTATTTGTATGACCAATAGCACTGAAATATCAGTGTCCAGTTCCCGAAAAACTGTATTCGATATATCTGGACCAGGTTATTCAAAAAGCAGTTCTGAAAAATCTGAATCCAGTTGTTTGAAAAATAGTTCTGAACACCCTCACTCTGAATGGACAGTGGTTTGTGGAGTGGTTTCCAAAGATGATGCAAAAACTAAAATCAACATGTTAGTTGAAAAAGGGTATACACTAAATGGACTATCAGTTATCAAGCATAAGGAGCATACTTATGAAATGTTGGCTTGGTTTACTTCTCAGAGACTGGGAAATCAAGTAGATGGATTAATTGGGAAAAAATCCAAACAAAACCATACTGGAAAAAAATTGCCAAAGAGACAAAAACTTGAACCTTTAAAGCATAGTTGGTATGTATTTGATGTCACGAAAGAAGAATACGAGACTGCATTCAGTAAGCATGTTCGGTTTGGTCATACCTTGGTATATGCTAAAGGCTATACATATGGTAATGATGTCATGTATAGTGCTGTGTGGGGGAGGTCTGGCTCTCATCTGTATGCAAGCTCTCTGCATCTTTCCAAATATGGATTATGGCTTGACATGGTGGAATATTGCCAATTAGGATTTAGCCCTGTCTGTATTAGCTCTTACCAGCAAGATGACTTTGAACACTTTATAGCAGTGTGGCATAAACATTTGTAATAATAGAACACATGGGTAGCATTTATGCCCTGATTATACCTTGATATATCAGTCCTTAGTGTAGGATTTGATCCTATGTTTCAAATTAACAAAGTGATACATAGTCAGGCCCGTAGCCAGGGGGAGTTCAGGGGGTTTGGGCGAACCCCTCCCCCCTGGCCAAATTTTCTTTCAAAATCATGCTGTTTATCACCATTCTGACTATTTGAGTGATTTTTGGCCAAATTTGCCAAAGTGAACCCCCTAGAATTTTTTGGAAAAGTGAACCCCCCTTGGAAAATTCTGGCTAGGGGCCTGATAGTACTGAATTAAATCTTTGTAATGTGAATAGCCTAACTGCCAATACTGTTAAGAACAATAGCTAATGCTTTCTAGAAAGCTACACGACTACCCTCTTTTTAATGAACAACAAAAACATTATGTTAGGGATAAAGAATGAGTCTTCGGTATTAGGAAAATAATGGCCAGTAGTTTTTCACTCAATTGTTAACTTGAAATTATGAAATTGATGATGGTAATCAATTTCACTGAATCTAAAAATAACTGTTAAGAGGCACTATTTGTAAAAAGTGGAATGTTCACTCAAACTGAAAAATCATAGAATACCACATCAAAGTGCTCTAATGATATTTCTGAACAGAGTTGTCTTGTACAACGGCTTGTCACTCTTGGAGAATTAGTTTGATTAATGTTTGTGTAGCCATCTTGAATATTTTGGCCATATAGGATTTTTCACAATATTCTCTTGTGAATTATTTCACAAGATTGATTTCTAAGTCGACAGTTAATTTCTAACTAGCATAAACTGAACATGTAGTACTTGTATTGCTTTTAAAATTCATTTTATGAAGTACATGCATGTGCATAAAAAAATTTATACATGTGTACACAAATATAAACAAAAAAGTACATATTGTTAAGTACTGTCACAGTACAATGACTGGGGTACACTGTCCTAATACATATAATTGACAAAAACTTGTGCAAATTTCGTATTTTCCTTTTTGCTCTAATTATTCAACAAATACATTGTTTTCAAGAATAGTCAAAGATTATTTCACTCTTTTTATTTTAAGAATAATCAGAATACTTTACCATTTAAGGCCAGGGTGCATGTTGGAATTTTTTTGCAATTTTGAAAACTAAACCATGGAATATTCTAGTTATTCAAACATTCTGAAGAATTATCAACCCTTAATTAATAGTCTAGGTACACTAATGTATCTTTTGTGCAAGAATGAAAGATGTAGATGATGTGTGGGATGAGTTATGTTTATCTGAAAATAGTTCATGGTTATGCAATTCCATCAAAGTGCAACCTGACCTTAAAGGATTTGGATATTTTGAATTTGGGTTTGTTTAGTTTTCTTTCTAACAAGACACATATATGTCAATGTCCTAATGACATCATATTACACAATACAGAACGATCAAAAATTGTTATGCAAGGGATCGTGTGTAATTTTCAGACTCAGAACTTGTGAAAGAAAAAACTTTATTTTGGTGGTCAAAATGTTTATTAGTATTTCTATGGGCATCCAATTGAAAGTCCATGGTATTTCCAAATGAAATTCATATAAAAACAAATCAAAATTTTGAGGAGGACGGGGTGTTCAACCGTGACTGGATTTATTTTGTTTTTCGTACTGTCAATGTTTGGATACTTTCCCTTAGTACTTTTATAGATGATAAGATAACTTGGAACAACTTGTACCTTTCAATACTGAATAGTCTTGGCCTTCACATTACATGTTAATTACACACCAAAACACTTAGCGACCAGACAATCCTGGATGACAGGATATGGCACCACTACCACAGTCCAATCAAACTATTTTATCTTGACATGTTTTAAAACAATGATAAGAACACAATAGATTTGTGACATAAAATACTTGTTAAAACACTTGTCATAGTTTTAAGTGTCTTTCATAAATTGTTACGTAAACAAATGCAAATGTTCTCTACTTTTGAGAGAGAAATGTTGTACCAAACTAGGCTTGGCTAATGCTAAATCAATTAAAACGTTTTTAAATTCATAATGATCTGTGGCTTAACTTAGAGAAAAAAACTCATTTTCTGAAAATATCAAAACAACAAAGTTGGTCACCTTATACACCTGCATTATACTTGTAAGCCCCTTGACAAGATCCGACTTTTCTCATTTTCAACTTTAAATTGCACTTTTAGAAGTATTTACAGATATTTACATGAAAGAAGGTGTTTGTATAGTAGTTAGATCTACTGATGGTGCAAGTTCGAGATCAGTAACCAGAAACTATAAGCATTTTTAATACGGTAACTTTTATGTTTATTTTCCACTTCTCCCTTTATTTTCTAGGAAAGTCAAAAAGCTCCTTCCAAAGTGTTCCAAATTATAACCAACTGGCGATAATTTTGATTCTTTTCAATGGACTTTTTTTCAAAGAATTTTAAGAAATTTCATTTGATGGTTCTCGGGCTTCTGTAAGATAGCGCTTAATTTTCAAAAATAATAACTCCTGAACTTACTTTTATAGAAAAATTGTTAAGTTTTGAATCACTTGCCTAAAAAGCGTTCAAAGGTCTTCGATTTACTGATTTTCAGTAAAGTTGGATGCACAATAAAAATGCGAAGTTAATTTTTATGTCACCACCAAAAGTGGTGACATATTGTTGTGGTCTCCGTTTTTTGCGACGGCGGTTGGTGGTTGGCGTCCGGCGGTTGGCGTCCGGCGGTTGGTGGTTGGCGTCTGTAACAATTTCTTACAACTCCCTATAACTTAACAAATACTGTTTAGACTGACTTCAATTTTTTTCTAAATCATCTACATGTTCTCAGAAGTTCAAATCTGACTTTAGATTTGACATTTGACCTTCAATGACCTTCTCAAGGTCAAAAAGGTCTTTTTTCAACTTGCTTCACATTGACTAAATTTTTTTTCAAAATCATCTACATGTTCTCAGAAATTCAAATCTGACTTTAGATTTGACTTTAGATTTGACATTTGACCTTCAAATCTGACTTTAAATTTGACATTTGACCTTCAATGACCTTCTCAAGGTCAAAAATGTTCAAAAAGGTCTGTTTTCAACTTGCTTCAAATTGACTAAATTTTTTTTTCAAAATCATCTACGTGTTCTCAGAAATTCAAATCTGACTTTAGATTTGACTTAAGATTTGACATTTGACCTTCAATGACCTTCTCAAAGTTTAAAAAATATTTTTTTATGTCTCTGGGTCACGCATCTGGCAATCTAAATCATACAATCTTACAAATTGTTTTTGCAATCTGTGTAATTTCAATAAATTTTTATGTGGAACACTTCCCCAAATTTGGTTGTTATAGTTTAAGTGTGAGTAAATTAATGAGTTATATATTGTTTTACGGCTTTTTTGATCTAAGTTATCCTTTATTCTATGAAGAACGCCTAGTATCTTGGATATCTTAGTCTCAACATATTTTATATTCTAAGATAAATTTTCGTCGACTAGAGTGTCAAGAAAATTACTTACATTGGTTCTCTGTAACATAGTGTGATTCATATTTAAGTTTATTTTGTTGTAATCTATTATTTTATTTGATGTTTTGAATATGATATAGTTAGTTTCTGATGCATGTAGGGCAATTTTATTGCATATGAACCATTCATTGATTTTGACGAGTTCTGTATTGACAGTGTTATTTAGTTCTTCCAGATTTTTGCCAGAAAATATAATATTGGTATCATCAGCATAAAGAAACATTTTTGCAATATCTGAGCACTTGTAAATATCATTCGTATATATTATAACAGCAGGGGTCCTAAAATTGTGCCTTGTGGCACACTACAGGACAGATGAAGAACATCAGAATCAGTATCACCTTCTTCAATATTTATGATACGAACTTATGATCCGACATTAGTATGATACTAGTATTACTTTATTACCTTGAAGTACACATCATACTTATGTCCGATCATAAGTTCGAATAATAGTTGTGTTTCAAATATTAATTGTATGACAAATATGAGACCAACATTAATGCTACCAGGGGGAATCGAACCTGCAGGCCTTACAATTTATACATTATTTTCTGTTTGAAAAAGAGAAAATCTACAAATATTTCGTTGCGGTTTTTTCTTTAAATCGTAATTTCAATCACCTCCATCACTATTCAAACTAGTTACCTTGAAATATCAAGACGTCGTGCTATTCTCATAATTATAGAACTCAATGTGACTGTCATTCACCATTACCCTACTATCACACCAAACTAGTTCTCACTACGTTCTCGAAAACTGGCTTCAACTGTGTACGAACGGACTGGACGTACTTAGAACCGTTAGGGGTCTATCTACAAACTTCATCGAACGTACTCGAACGGGTAGGTCCTCTAGAACTTAGAACATGCTCAAAATGTTCTCGTGGTCGATACGTTCTACAATTAGAACGAGTGACAACGTACTAACGACGAGCTGGACGTACTACGAACGGAACCGTCGTACTTCACTCCTACTAGAGACGTTTTTACAACGAGTTGAACTGTCTGAGGACGTATTGAGAACGAGGTACAACTAATCACAAACTAGTTTAAACTGATTAAGAACGTATTTAAGACTGCTTATGAACGAGTTAGCAAAAATATAGCTATCACACCAAACAAGTTGCCACTGCGTTCTTCAAAACTGGTTTTAAACTGTGTGCGAACGGAATGAACGTAACTGCAACTTTCTAAGGTCTCAGACGGGAAGGTGATTTTAGAATTTTGAATCGATTCAAAATTCGATGGCGACCATACCGTTCTGTAATCAGGTCATGGTGACCTTCTAGACTAAGGGACGCGTTATACGACGTTCCACACCGACGTGGTGCGACCTGAACGAACTGCGAACGAGATGGACGTATTGAAGACTGTTTATGAACGAAGTAGCTAATTATTTTAGACAAATTTCCCGACCACAGCTAGATTGAGCCCGTTTTACGACGTTTTCGTAGGACTGGCAAGAACGGGTAAGAACTAGTTTGGTGTGATAGGGGGGTTATAAAGCGGTAAAAATTAATTTGCTTCATGGGTGGCAAAATTTTTCTAATTTCCTGGTGAATGTAGAGTCTCGTATCATATGAATGTAATTTTAGGCGATCTGTCTGCATAGGTTGGATTAAGGATCTCCCTAGACGGAAGGGGCGACTTTTGCGTACGGATGGGTTGCGTAGCGGATTAGAAGGGGGAGGGTCGGTCGCCCCCAATACTCTTCCCTTTCGAACGGGCTTTGAATGCCATTTTAAAAAGTTGACTTCCATCTGCGCATGGCCAATGGACAATATATATTCGTTAGGATTCGCTCCGTCGTAATGAAAAACAAATACTTGAAATTATGTTATGGTTACGTTTACCAAACAAGTATCACGTGTCATGCATTTAGTTTCGATTCAAATAATGTCATAATCACGCGTGATAATAGCCGAATCAGCTGCTCCATAATCAGAACTGAACAACTACTAGTATACAATGGAAGCACTCTACTTAGGTGTTTTTCTTGCACGTTGCTTTACGTTGACGTTTTCTCAAACAGGTAATATGTAAACGATATATGAAATTAAATAAAAAATCATACAGGCTTTCATAAGGTGTTATAAATGTAAATTAAATACTCAATATTATTTGTTGAATTAAAAAATTTAATAATCGGAATCAAATTTGATTTTGTTTTGCTTGTCATTTATAATGCCAATAAGATTATTGTTTTTTAGTTATTGAATTTTTGAAATTTTAAATGTGCACAATGGACACTCATATCACATTTTTCGTTTTTTAGCCGAAAGTGGCAATCTTTTTTTTTATTTTGATCCAGCCCATTTGGATATGTATACACACCCGGTGATCGTGAAAATGGGACGGAGGGGGGGAGCAGGCAATTTCCGCTAAAAAATTCAACAAATCTGGTAAAATTATTTTTTCAAGACAGAGTTTACGATTGAATTGCAAATTGAATAAGCGCACGGTATGATAAAATATGTTAGTTATTCTACGATTATTTTTCAACTGATACTCTTTTAAGATATAAGATCTATTAAAAAAGGCGCAACGCAACCAACGTGCAAAAGTCAAAGTTTTTGCTATAAATCAAGCAACAATGGACTACACGACCTGTAATAAATACTTGTAAGTGATGTTATCATAACTAAATTAATGTCATTGCTGAATTTATAAAATAAGTTTCCATACGTAAAATAAAAAATAATCGAAAATAATTAAAATGGGACGGAGGGGGGGGGAGGGGACGGAGGGGGGGAGTAATAATTCTATAAAGTGAAACAACTTCACACGAATTCTTGTATTTGAAAAATTATCTCATTAACTTAGTAAGAAACTGGATGATATACCCCTGGAGACTGAAAAATGGGGACATTTGGAGTAAAAGGACTTAATGTCGCGAAACATCTCTAATCATGTCTTATATACATATTGCTCCCCCCCCCCCTCCGTCCCCTCCCCCCTCCGTCCCAAATTCATTATTTTCGATTATTTTTTATTTCACATATGGAAACTTATTTTATAAATTCAGCAATGACATTAATTTAGTTATGATAACATCACTTACAAGTATTTATTACAGGTCGTCCAGACCATTGTTGCTCGATTTATAGCAAAAACGTTGATTTGTGCCTGTTGATGGCCTTGCGCCTTTTTTAATAGATCTCATACCTTAGATGCGTATCGTTTCAGAAAAAATCCCAGAAAACCTATATTCTACCATACCGTATGCCTATCCATTTAGCAATTCAATAGTAAACTTTTTCTTGAAAAAATAAATCTTCCAGATTTGTTGAATTTCCTAGCAGAAATTGCCTGCTCCCCCCCCCCTCCGTCCCATATTCACGATCACCGGGTGTGTGTATACGCCCTACTGAATCTACTCAGCTCAGAGGTCCAATGGCGTAAATACTAATTTCGCGATAGATTAACACGTTTCGGAATTCATGTCAAAATGTTCACTTGACCTTTTCTTTTTTAGTGAGACCGTCATGCGACCGTAATTTTACAGAGAACGACATCTTTGATGCAATTGAGAGTCCAAACTACCCCCAGTACTATCCCACATACTCAAGGTGCACGTTCAATGTAATATTCGAAAAGTCGAACGTTCCCTTCGAAGTTGAATTATATATCTCCAACTTCCGCACCTATTACTCTGGGGGCAATCGAGACTACTTAAATATCAACAACCGGAATTATTTCGGCGATGGGGCCACTCATTCCACTGCATTACAAACTGGACAGACATATACATGTAAGTAAAGCATTCCTATATAGTGTTAAAGACGTGCAGATCAATCATAGTTATGTTGCAACAATGAAAATGGGCTTTAGCACGAGAGTATTAATTCTTATATTTATCTGTATTACATACCCAGCGAAGCATTTGTATTGAAGTCAATGGAGCTGAAGGTCGGCTATATATTCCTGTATTACATACCTAGCGAAGCATTTGTATGGAAGTCAATGGGAAAGTTAGCGAGCTATATCCACCGATATTGCCCGATTACCCCGATATAGCCCGCTTACCTCGTTTTGATATTAGATTTCTTTAATAACCATGATAATATCATGACGTCACGTCATTGATACAAAGTAACCATGGGAACAAAGGCATGTAATACATCAGTTATGTCACTATGACGTGAAATATGCCTTCGTTCTTGCCCAAATATAGAGCCTCCCAAGGTCGGCCTATATTGGGAGAACTCAGGCATATTTCACGTCATAGTGACATAACCTCTAAGTATAGCCGCCAAACCTTTTACCATGACAATCTTATGACGTCATCGGGACGTCATGTTTCATTTCTTCCTAATTTCACTCGCACACAGACACGTGGCGTCATTGATATAACGTAGCCATGATATAAAAGTAGGCTATGTATCTCATACTTGAGTGGGTTTGGGGTAGATATCACCCGGGAATATATATCGTATCTGAGGAGCGGGCAGGATATATTGTATATGTCCCGCTCCAGGCCAAATGCGGGCAGATATAATATACCCATCCCGCTCCCGGGAATTTTTCAAAAGTTTAAGAAAATTTAAATATCAAAAGTTTTAATTTTTTAATTTTAAAATTTAATTTTTTTAAGTTTAAATGTTACAATTTCATTGTATTGAACAAAAAGAATATTACGAAAATGTTAATATCTTGTCATTTGAAAAAGGTGGAAAAGGTTATATCTACCCTAAACCCACTCAAGTATGAGATACACCAGTTATGCACGGTCGGTTTGGATACATGGAATATCCCTTGGGATATACAATACATCTTCCCTCGGTCCCTTCGGTCCCTCGGGAAGAAATATTGTATATCCCTCGGGATATTCCCTGTATCCAAAACCTCCCAGTGCATAACCCCTATGTAATACAACAATTATGTCCGTATCATTGAATATATGCCTTCGGTCTGTCGTAATATAACCCTCGCAAGCTCGGGCTATATTGGTGACAGACCTCAGGCATATATTCAATGATAGGGACATAACTGCTAAATATTGTTTATGACGGTGCTGGTAAAATAAACGGTAACTGGTTGAGTTGACTAAAGGTTGAGTTGACCAAGGCTTGAGCTGGATTGGGGTCGACTTGACTAAGGGTTGAGTTGACCATGGCTTAAAGTCTTCAGGAATTTCAGGAAATTTCAGGAAAAAATTGACCAAAATCTGACCCCATTGAGTTCAATACAAATCTGGATTTATTTCTAGGGGGGAGAATGGGGTCAAGCAAGGGTTTCAAAATTAGTGTTATAATTTTCCTATGAAAACACTTTTTCCTTATTTGAAAGTGTATGTGGGGTCTACATTACTCGAAAAAGCCCTCAATCAAATCTCATTTTTCCAAAATTTCTTGGAGGGAGGACCCGCCAAAACCCACCGCTTGCTTGGCCTCGTCTTTCGTCATTAAATTTTCAGGAAATTCGAAATTTACTGCTTTAAGCCATGGTTGACTTGGGATTGACTTGACTACGGGTTGAATTGACTTGGGGTCGACTTGACTAAGGGTTGAGTTGACTTGTGATTGACTTGACTACGGGTTGAATTGACTTGGGGTCGAGTTGACTAAGGGTTGAGATGACTTAGGGTCGACTTGACTAAGGGTTGAGTTGGCTTTGGGTCGACTTGACTAAGGGTTGAATTGACAAGCAGGAAGCAAATGAACAGTACTATACAAATATTGAATGAGTGCAATAGCCTACCTGTATTTATTATTTCTCGAATAGTGATAATCAGCATGTGATTGGTCAGTCATGTACCATGTGACTAAAAATACCACAAGGTATTCCATTCATGTATAAGTCATCGATATGAAAGGTGTAGTTTTTGAAAAATAAATACAGGTATTCAACGAATGTGACGTCACATGTATACACGCGGTCCTAACTTCGACTGTTAATTTGAATTTTTGACCTACCGGATGTTTGAAAATCAAGGATTACGAGTCTCATACTGCACCGTTTTTCTTCAAACTTGTTCCATTCAAAGCATAACAAAAATCCCTTTCTGTTGGTACATTATTCTCTAAACAGAGTCCCTACTTCCAGCGGCATTTTGGTCCCCAGCTGTGAGAAGGCCTTCAAACAGCTGGGGACTAAAACGCTTCGAGAACGAGGGACTCTTTACAATAAAGTAATGCACTGACAGAAAGGCAATTTTGTTTTGCTTTTAATGGTATAAATTAAGAAAAACGGTGCAGGTATGAGACTCGCAATCCTTGATTTTCGAGCATCTGGTAGGTCAAAAATTCAAATTAACGGTCGAAGTTAGGACCGCGTGGTATAGGCTACTGTAAACATGTCGCAATTATTTATCCAATTTTCAATTTTTGAGACACTTGCACACCATCCCGGTTTGAAAAATAGGTGTAATCGCGATTGTGGATTTACAAAAGCGCTTTCCCAAAACTCCTAGAACCCTAGTCACTAGAAAACGCCTAAATCGATAGGCGCTTTTGGAGTGTAGTGTAATACCTAACGGTTTTTGTAAAACGCCTTACCCGGGTTTTTACCATTTACCCTAAACGAAATAAAACGTATTTCCAATGCTTTTCATTTGGGCAAGAGTTTATTTTGGCCACCGCAAAAATACCGGAAATGATGGACGGGACCCAAAAATGCATTTAGGTCATCAAATTATATCGCAAGAATTGAAAGTAAGTTCACATCACCGCAAAAGTCTCGGTTACGTTTTCTCTTAGATGCTAAAAGAATACATTTATTGTATATGTACAATCTGCTGGATATTCTCCATATTCTACATCGTTAAAAGTGCAAAGGCGTTTTAGAAATGACAGGATAATTCCAAAGTAAAATTCCCAAGGCGCTTTAGAAATGTTGGTGTAATCAGGATGGCGATTTTGTAAAGTGCTTTCCACTGAAGCGCTTTTAGCGTTTTTTCAGGTGTAATTCTAGCAACTATATCGTTAATAAGTTAATATTGTTAAACTGTCAATATGTATTCCTTCTTTTTCTGAGATTGTGGTATACACGTAAATGGGTGAAATAATAAAACAAATATTGAATTCTGTTTTCGTGCAATACCTGTATATATTTTCGGGGGATGAAATATATACAGGTATTGTTGCACTCAACATCATTCAATATTTGTATAATATTAAACATGTTAAATAAAAGTATAAAAGTAGTACACTTAAATGAATTGCTATTCTAGTATGATTTAAGACCTGCCAATTCTATGAATTGTTTGATGATTTATTGCACGTGATTCTTGCCTGCAGTCTAAAATGAAGGCTTCGCCTTTATTCCGAGTTTTAAGTTGGCATGTAAGAGTCAATAGGCCCCAACAGAATCAAAGGATCAGCTCACACTACTGCACTCGTCTATGGAATGTCTAACAATTTGCATTCACCTTTGTTTATAGATCGAGCCATCGGTTTTATCCAGTTATTTTTTAATGCTCCATCAGGCAGTTCAGCCCCTGGATTCAGTCTAGATTTCGTAGTCAGTGAAGATGATCCCGACAAACCAAATATTACAGGTTATTAGGAAAGATAGAGTATTGCATAATATAGGAACATTTCAAAATTTTCCGGAATTCTTAATTCATTTGTCAAATTGCATGATTATGTATAGAAAGTATAATTTCTGAATTATTCTTTGCTTTGGAGATAGAATTCTTCCTTCATAAATCCCGTCGTTTTACTTGTGATTAAGTAATACGAGTATATCTCAATGTTTACTTTCATAGTTTTGTTATTTCCAAAGAGGATTGGCAGCCATTATTCAAACTCGATACCGTTGCCTTGGCAACGGAATATCGAGTTTAAATAACGGCTTCCAATCCTCCTTCATATCCTTGGTTATTTCTATACTTTTTGTAGCCACACGTCATGAAATAGTTTCCAATTTTTGTTGAAATTACCATAAGAAAGACCAACTATTTTAATGTTGTAAATACACCGTCACGGATCTCAAAGAAGTATGGACAAGTGTCAATTTGTGTCAACAAGCCATAGATTCCATTTTCATAAATTTTTATTTAGAAAAGTGTGACGAGGTTACATGCCAATACGGAGGGACTTGTCATTCTTACGGACCACAACGATTCACATGCTTTTGCCAGCCGGGTTATTTTGGAGATTTCTGCCAGTTCATTCCAAGTAAGTTCAAACAATAGTTATCAACAGTACAAATGTGCTACTTTCACTGAGGGGTATCGTGATGCAACAACACCGTGTTGTTGCATCAAGATGGCCAGACTTCCGGTGATAGATTTTCGTACGATATTTTGTTTTCCCAATTTAAACCCATTTCTAGGACGAGTTGCTCAATAATCATACACGTGCAGTTAGCCCATGATCTATATTTAAAAAAACTCTCATTAGTATGCATGTAGCATCATCAAGAAGCGAGAAATTCGCCGTTTTAATTCCTCACTATTGATGCAACAACACCACTCTGTTTATCATCGATGATGCAACAACACCAATGTGCTGATGCAAAAACGCCAATATAATGTATCATTGAATATCAAGCGAAACTGTTTTACGTTCTGTTTATCTCGTAGGTGTTGGTCGGGACATGAATAAAACGCGTGAGTGCGTGGTTCATGAATGAAACGTATTTTGTTTGGTTCCTTAATGTATTTGTCTTTATGTTATCAAAGTTAAAAGGATATACAAGGTAAACTAAATACATAGGCTAAGTATTGAATCCCCGGGAGCCAACCCCATTGATATTGTATCTGAAAAATAAAGATTATTCATTTTCTAAATTAAATACCCTTGATTTACCGTATCGTATGGAAATTGTTTACAAAGAACTAATATAACTAGATAGGAAGGAACGGATAGGGATAAAATGGATAGGATAGGAAGGATAGGATAGAATAAGAAGGAACGATAGGATAGGATAGGATAGGATAGGATAGGATAGGAAGGATGGATGGATTTTTCGACATTTTCTTGGCTACCCTTGACTTTCTATCAGGATACCATCAGATCGATTTTTCTCGAAATTTCAAAACGCCATAATTTCCGAACCGGAAGTCGGATCGAAATTTGGTTTGCAGATTCTGATTCCTGAGAAAATTCTTCATAACTCAAACGGTAAATTTGGTGAATTCTTTATTTTGACCTACTTTTTGGACACCATATCTCAAAAGTGGGTTAAAATACTTTCTGACGGCAAAGGGCTAACACTATTAGTACACTCTTGGCTACATGTATACACAATTTGACCTAGATTTTGACCTAGACATTTTTGTGTCCAAATTTTGAAGCTAGATTGCTTTTGAGGTACCCTTCATTTAAAGTCTTTCATTAAATTAAGCTGTACTCGGTCGTATATATGTCGTATTTTACACTTCAAAAAAATATTTTTTCCCTTTGACTTAACATGGGGCACCAAATTTAGCGATTTTGAGTTTTCAAAACGCCATAACTTCCGATGAGTGTAGGTTTAATGATATTGCAGTTATACAATGCTATTATATAGAGGTTATTTACTGAGAGGGATTCAATATTGGTTTTATTCCGGGACACATTATGATATTTCCCGAGGGCCCAGGGGGAATCTGGGATTACTGTACCCCTATTAATTTACCTTTTCGGGACCTAAATCCTATTACCTACCTTTTTACTCAATCGGGGAGAACGAATCCAAAGAGAACAATACTTCTACATGTGCGCCGTGCAAGATTTCCAATAGCTCGTCGTGTTTACCGAGAACGAAAGATGTTTGCCCACCATTTTGAATGATACTAACTGGTATCAGGGTCATCAAACTATGGAACAGGGGTTTATGATAATAGATTGGGTTACTATAGCTTGCAATGTTAAAGGCGATTGAACTATGTTATAAAACAACTTCCAGTACATTATGATATTTAAAAGTATAAATTTTTGAAAATACATATAAAGAATCTTCGCCCGCAGGACGTGTATTTTGAATGCCTGAGAAGAACGCAAATGGGTACTGGCCCGGTGTTGCAATAGTAGCATTTAAAAATCTGTTCCTCTCGAGATTTATGGTCTTCTGAAATTATACTATTAATTGGTGTTGTTGCATCATTGCTCAAATCTAGAGGAGTGTTGTTGCATCTTCGGTTTGGTGTTGTTGCATCAATAGTGAGGAACTAAAACCGTGAACTTCTTGCTTCTTGATGATGCTACATGTATACTAATGACAGTTTCTTTAAATATAGATCGTGCGCTAACTTCATGTGTATGGTTATTGAGAAACTCGTCCTAGAAATGGGTTTAAATTGGGGAAACAACATATCGTACGAAAATCTATCACCGGAAGTCTGGCCATCTTGATGCAACAACACGGTGTTGTTGCATCACGATACCCCCCAGTGACTTTGTAGTAGCTATAGCGCTATAGGCTTATTGAAAAGGTTGTTAGGCCAACACATTATAGAAATAAGTAATAAACATTGGTCTCAATTTATCAACTCAATGAAAAAAAAACGATATTAAATTGAATTATCCCACCGAACGAATTTCGAGGGGGATATAGTAAAGCCGTCCGTCCATCCGTTTGTCCGGTCGATAACTCAAATACCGGTTGACGGAATTGATTCAAATTTTATAGGCTTATGCCTTATGGCAATAGAACCTCTGTTCGAGACGGAATTTTCAATAAGGTCGCTTAATTCAAAATGGCCGCCATTTTTTCGTAAAAAATGTAATCTTTGATTCCTCAAATACTAGTTGACGGATTTGGTACGCTGGTGCCTAGGGACAAAGGAGCTATGCTGAAGAAGAGATTTTCAAGATGGCTGCTGAGTTTCAAAATGGCATCCATTTTTCATAAAAACAAACGTAATCTTTGATAACTCAAATACCAGTGAATGGATTTGGTTCAAATTTTATATGACGATGCCTAGGGACAAAGTAGATTTGTTCAAGAAAGACTTCAAGATGGCGGCTGAATTTCAAAATGGCCGCCATTTAACCGTAATCTTTGATAACTCAAATACTAGTTGAAGGAGTTTATGACATCAAACCCATTATTTTACGTCAATCTAAGGATGAACTTCTTAACCCTCTTCTTTTTATTTATAACAAGTCTTTTCAACAGGGATGCTTTCCCGATCTTCTCAAAGTGGCTAAAGTCATACCTATATTTAAATCTGGTGAAAATGACAAATTTACAAATTACAGGCCAATATCAATTTTTTCTGTATTTTCAAAGCTCATTGAAACTTGTCCATAAGCAATTATACACTTTTTGAAAAATCAAAATTACTTTACTTACACCAGTTTGGATTCGAAAAAAATTCCTCACACATATGGCAATTTTGGCCTTTGTCGAAAATATAAGATCCGCTCGTGAAAATAATAAATATTCCATTGGAATCTTCCTTGACCTGTCAAAAGCGTTCGACACTATCAACCACGATATTCTCTTAAAAAATGATTTGATTACTATGGTGTCGGACAAGTTGAACAATTTTTTTTCAAAAGCTATCTTCAAAATCGTAAACGAATCGTTTCTTATGTTGGTACCCTGTCTGACACCCAAACTGTTTCTCGGGGAGTCCCTCGGGGATCAATTTTGGGACCACTGTTATTTATAATTTACGTTAATTTTACTAGACGTGTTAATACTGTCAATCAGGAATTCATTACTCTTGGTGACTGGTTTAAAGCAAACCTTCTTCCTTTAAAATATTCCAAAACAAAATTCATCTTCTTCTCCAAAAAACGAAAAAAGGTTTTTCAAAATTTGAAATATTCATAAACGGAAAAAATTGATAGGGTCCAAGAAACAAATTTTTCGGGAGTAACAATTGATGAATTCCTTGACTGGAAAAGTCACATGAATATTTAGAAAGAAAAAATATCTAGAACCATTAGAATCTTATTCAAATGCAGATACTTGCTAAACATAAAAAGTATATTAGCAATTTATAATTCTTTAACATACTCATACTTGACTTATTGCAAAATTATTTGGGCTGGAGCATATTCAGCTTTGGATAAATTACTCAAATTACAAAAATCAAACCTTCATCTCATGGCAGGGAAAGACAGGTTTGAGCACTCGGCTCTTTTATTTAAACAATTTAAGATACTTCCAATTGCAATGCATGACATCCATACCCTGCTTGCAGAGTCTAGTTATTATAAACTACAGACGAAGCTCTCTTTTAAGAAGTGAAGTCGAACTAATGCAAAGGGTAGACATCTATCAATTAAATGTTGGAATTTTTGTTTATTGCTTGTATAATATATCAGTCCAACGTAAGATTTTTGAAAACTATTTTACGTTAAATGTTGACATTCATCAATATCAAACTAGACATCCACATGATATTCATGCCTTCAAGTTCAAAACAAATGTTGGCCTCTATTCAATGAAAGTCAAGGTCAGCAAATCTGGAACTCTATATCCTGTGTTCCTGTCCCCGAGTATTAATATTGTTTACATAATGATTTCCAACTTTGGCCAGTGTCATTCTCAGGTATTTCTTCACTTCATTTCTATTTATCTTACTATACCCTTTGGGTGGCACTGACTGAGTTAATTAATGGATTAGCCACCTGTTCAAATCCTTCGAAAATAGTCAAAATCCAACATGTGACTGTCTGAAATCTGTTGCGATACCTTCGGTGGTTCTTTACAGACTTATGCATTTTAAAAGACTGTCTACTGCGCTAATAATTTTTTATGAAAAATATAGAAATAAAACCCAAATTAAATTATGATTATTCAAAAGAGGACATTTAAATCTACAATATGTAAAAATATCAAAATTGTCCAAAGCAGGCGTAACGTGCAGCAGACTGATGAACTTTTCCAAACCGAGTTATTTTGAGTTACTCGAGTCTCTAGACACTCAGTGGCCATAGAATATGGTAAATTTTGAGAACCGTTGATTGATTTGTCATGGAGATTTTGAGAATGTAAGCACTTGACAAGTTTGAAAATCAAAAATGTGTAATGTAACGCTTTAGAATTTCAACTCAGGTTTTAGAGATCGATTTCCATATTTTTTAGATACACACGACTGCCCAAAATCCTACAATGAAGACGGGTCGGGGGCTGGAGAGATCCGAAGTACTTACTACCCTGCAAACTACCCAGATAATCACTATTGTGATTTGGTCATACGTAATACAATTGTGGGGTATACAATGTCGATATACGTGGTTGATTTTCGAACAGAAAACTTTCACGATAGACTTTGTATCGAAGATGGTGTAAATGTGACTAGGTGTTACAGTGGCGATGGGCGCTCTTCTAGTTCTGCAATGCGTATAGGAGAAACTTATTTTTGTGAGTGTAAAAAATCATTATTTCTTATGAATTAATTATTACTATTTAGGAAGTACGTTCAATTTACATAATATTCAATTCAGCTTTTATTTTCTTATAAATAGTATTATTTAAAAGATTTTACATGACACCCTTGTGGGTGTATTCAGTCATTAACATAGGAACAAAAGAGTGATTACATTTTAAAAGTAATGTTTTTTTTTTGTTTTAAAAATAGTGGCACTTCAAAATTTATGTATTCTGTTTAAACTATTTTCATTACCTCTTTGGGTTGAGAAATTCAAACCATCATTTTTACAATAACTTTCTTGGACTCTGATTGTTCTAATTTTTTTGTTGAGAAATTGTGATAGATGCATTTTCAAAACATTTTCACACTACCCTACCACCTGACCACGTTTAAAAGGGATACAGGATACAGTTAGGACGTCTGTTTATTTCCATGTTTCTGAACGTAGTCTACATTTTACATATATTCCTAGTGTTCTACCAGACATAAAATAGATTCATCAAGCAGTTTGTAGAATATTGTTAGCAAAAACCCCGTATAGGCAAAGATAGGTAATAGTGGGCGCATTAAAGATTGAAGGCAATACAAGATACTTTTTAGAAAATTCATTAATGTACAGGGCGCGTGTAAGTTTTACTTTGAATATCTTACTTCTTTTTTGACATCGATATGCATCAAAATCCTAGTTAAAGTTTCAATAAATACCACAGAAGAAATTTGGAAATCATTTTACCTTTCCCGAGCTATTAGTGCAACGTTTGGACTAATGTCTTCTTCGCCTTACCTATTTTCTTAAAATGTATGCACTTGTCGACGAATACCACCAATCAGACTTGCAAATAGACTTCTAAATAAGCAATTGAAAGGATGGACGTCCTGCATTTTGTTTTTTGACACATTTCTGAATCTCCGCCATTTAAGATTCTTACTGCAACTGAGATTAGGTAAGACCGCATGTCAGCAGCTGTTTTACTTTTATTTGCTACATTGACGCAACTAAGGCATTCTCGAGTGTTAATCGAGACTGCCTATGGTATAAACTCAATAAGATTGGCATCAAAGGCAAAATCTTTAAAGCAGTTCAATCCCTATATGAAGATGTGACATGTAACATTCGCATAAATGGTCTACTATCTCCAAAAGTAAACGTAAGCAATGGCTGCCGGGAAGGCTGTCTGCTATCCCCGACATTATTTTCAGTGTATGTGAATGATCTAGTGTCCGACATTAACAGTCTACAATGTGGAATACAAATGGAGGACGAGAACATAGGCATCCTTCTTTATGCTGATGACATAGCGCTTATTGCAAGCTCAGCTGATAACTTACAACAGATGTTAAACACTCTACATGAATGGTGCCGCAAATGGAGACTTCTAATTAACCCTCGAAAATCTAAAATAGTGCATTATCGCCCAAAATCACATCCTAGGTCAGACTCTGCTTTTAAATGTGGGGACTTTGATCTGGATTATACAGACACTTATAAATATCTGGGGATCTGGCTCCAAGAGCATGTGGACTCAACACACTCTGCCAGAGAAATTGCAAAATCGGCAAATAGAGCCCTGAGTGTAATTATCAGCAAATACAAGCAAACTGGGGGTATGGAGTTCGCAGTTTACAACAAGCTATATGACTCTTTAGTCCAGCCTATACTAAACTATGGTTCATCTATATTTGGCCTCAACCAACATCAATGCCTGAACAATGTTCAAAATAAAGCTGGCAAGTTCTTTCTAGGTGTAAACAAACGCACTAGTAATGAGGCTGTTAGAGGAGATCTCGGATGGGACACTCCACATTTAAAACAAAAGGTGGAATGTGCTAGATTGTTCATTAAACTGAAGTCCATGAATCAGAATAGGCTGAATTTTAAAATACATGAATGGTCCATTAAACGGAAAAGCAGTTGGGACTTTAAAGTTAATTCAATGTTAAATACATGTAATATAAATTTCACTGGTCATACCAAGGACATTTTAAAACTGTTTACTAACTCTCTTCGAAATTCTGATAAATTTATCCATAACATATGGGATGATAGAAATAATGAAATTAATGGCAATAAATTGAGGCAATATAGACTGTACAAATATGGTGTTTGCAAGGAAGGGTATTTGGCCCTACCAAAGCATCACCGTAGGTCACTCGCTAGATTCAGAACTGGTACTTTACCCTTAGCAATTGAAACAGGGCGCTACACAGGTATACCATTACACGAAAGGAAATGCTTATTATGTGACATGAATTGTATTGAAGATGAAAAGCATTTCTTATTAGAATGTAGTCATTATGATGATCTAAGATGTGATTTTTATGAAAATGTTAAACAGAAATTGCCTTATTTAGATGTAACATCAGCCAATTCTACACTTCTTTTTGTCTCCATTATGAATTGTACTTCACTCCAAAGACCATTAGGAGCTTTAGTTTATAATATGTGCAATAAGAGATCTCTTAATATTGATAGGCTATAATCACTAAATGAGTATGCATGTCACCTAAATTTCCTTTATAAAATATTTATTTAAAATGTATCTAGTCAGAAACTCCTTGGTTTTATGATGCCTCTTTTTAGTGCTTCGAGCTATCAACCTTGGGGAAGATGGTCTCAATTCACTACTGCAGAGGTGTATATTATCTATGGGGTTCTTTTTTATTTATTCACTGCTCATGCAAATCACATTTAGTGCAATATATGTATTTATTACTCAATATGCATCTCACATTTAGTGCAATATATGCATTTATTGTAATATTTGTCTTCAAACATATGCATTATGTATTTCACATTTAGTGCAATATTCATATTAATTGTAATATTTGACCATATGCAATAAATATACTACTTACATTTAGTGCAATATATGTATTTATCATGCAATATGCATCTCACATTTAGTGCAATACATGTATTTATTGTAATATTTGTCTTCAACCGATGCATTGTGTATTTCACATTTAGTGCAATGTTTATATTTATTGTAATTTTTGACCATAGTGCAACATGCTACTTACATTAAGTGCAATATATGAATTTATTGTTATAACAGTCTTCGACCATATGCATGATACAATTCACATATCATTCCATAAACTGCTTATTTATTTATGCCAAACTGATTAATCAGACTGAATTTATATCATTGGTTATTAATCATGTATAAATTTTTACCAGGGACATTTTTTGTCTCTGTCTTTATGAGTGTTGACCCAAGCTGCCCATTGGGGGTAGTAATGGGTGACACTCAGATATAATGTATACTGTGTCTCATAAGTCGGCACCGGCTGGTGATGTTACAAAATGTTGTTTTTATTATGTATTTTATATGTATATTGTAATGTCAGTGACACAAAAATAAACTATTTTAAACTAAACTAAACTAAACTTTACAGTATAGCGGGTTTGTGTAAAAAACCGGGTGACCGGGTAACCGGGTAACCGGGTACTTAACGTTCCTGGCAGGGTTAGGATTTTTTTTATTTATAACGTTGGATCTGGACAATACATGTACGTTATTTTCGACGTCACGTTTTGAGGTTATTTCACATTGTAAGAACGTTTTGACAAAGTTAACTTTTAACGTTAAAATAACGTTTAACTCACAGATATTTTGAAGCCATTTCCACAATGTTGACCATCCATCGACGTTTTGCTGCATATTAAAATAACGTCAGATCATTACGATCCATGAACGTCATTATTGACGTCACGTTTTGAGGTGATTTCAAATCGAAAAAACGTTTCGACAACATTAAATTTTAACGTTAACAATACGTCGGAAATGAACCGACTTAGTGAGAACACAAAGTTTTTGTCATGTTTTTTTCCACCAACAAATATTTTGATATTAAAAGCCTGTTTTGACAACGTTGAATTTTAACGTTTGAGTTACGTCAAATATGGACCAATGTAGTAAAAAATCAAACGTTCCTGTTTGTTATGTTTTCCACACTAACGAACTTTACGGACAGGTTACAACAACGTTCTTTTTATACCATCAATAGATGTCTCATGTTTACGTTGCCTCGATGTGTAAAGAACGAAAATGTGCAACGTCTTCTAGGAACTTAGATGCTACTTATGAGCAACGTGACATGGACGTCACTGTTTGCTGGATCGATTACTTTAAAGAGTGCTCTGTCTCGTATAGGGTAAAAATATCGAACAGCAGTGCACTCGGTAGGCTAAGTCTGTCAAGTAGACGTTAATTACGCCCGTTCAGAAGTGAATTCTATACGCGTATATACAATATATATTATATACAAATACAGGTGTAAACTAACGGCGTTAAAATGTTCAATAGCGTTTGTTAAGACATTATTTAACATGCATTGGAAAACATCTAATACGCCCGTCGAGTTTGTTTTAGCGCCGTGAATTATGAACCAATCAGCATCTTGCTTACATAATAATACAATGCATCTTAGCTAAAAGTGCAACTCCAAGATCCTTGTGCAAGTTAATAACATACTCACGAACAACTGTTGCAATTGATGGCATATGAAACATCATTTCTTTTCTGGGCATCTCAGTGCACTATTTGTGCAAATGTGAAAGATGTACATCATGAAATGAGTTATGTATTCCTGAAAATAACATGTGACTCTAAAGTGGACTGCATAAGGATTCCAAAAAGTACACATCTCCCTAATACCAAATTTGAACATATGTTGGCTAGGTATACTAGGTATACAGGCTTATCTGACATTTTCAGTACATTTTCAAAAAATGGCAGATCTATAGGATATAGCTATAGTCTATTTGTAGTTTATCAGATACTATAATTCTGGTATCTGAACACATCCTTTAGAGTGATACATTAGCGATCTGACTGTAGTGCTTTGTAAGCTGCAATGCGTGTGAGCTTAAGTCCCTACCTCTGAAGCCGACGCCTAGATTGGAAAATTATCAAAAAAAATCATCGTAATAGAAACCAAACATGTATACCTTTCAATATATACTGCAATTTTGTCGTTTCTACAATGGGTGTTGATAACTGCCGACACAGTACAAGTATCTTCAATTTGCCTTTTAATTTGCTCTAAAAATTGAATACTTTTTTTTGGTTAAGTCTAACAATCTTGAACGAATATTTAAGGACCTCAGTGCAACACACTAAAATGTAAGCAGGCTTCTAGTTGTTAATTACTTGCGCAAGGATCTTGGAGTTAACGTCCGTAAATAATCATTTTAACGCCGTAAGTTTACGCCCGTAAATGTTGTTTGAACGCCCGTAGAATTTACTTCTTCACGGGCGTAATTTACGCCTACACAGGCGTACTTTTTCGTCTGCATGGGCGTAGTTTTACATCTGCACGTGCGTAATTAACGCCTACACACCCGTAAACAACGTGTGCATACTTTGGGCGGGTAGGCCAACCATATCAGCTAGACTGGTCCACTGACGAAGAAAAATAAAAAAATCGAAGATTAAAACAGCTCAAATCTACCCATATTCAAGGTCTTCTTGACATGCAAAATGTTGGATAGAACGTTAGGTGAAAACGGAATCTGGAATCCAATGACAATATCACCGGGAAATCATCGAACTCCCGTGCAGTGATATATCACTGCGGCGGGCAGGTATCTCACCGTAAGCATGGTAACTTCGTAATAAACAACTGACGTGATTGGTTCTAGTCCCATGCTCAGGTCGCGTGATTGTAAAAGGACCTTATACACCCTCCATTGGGATCTCCCCATGGGAAAAAAATAATTCATCTGATTTTTCAAAATGAGTATTCTGCTTCAATTATTACATTTATATGCACACTAGTATCTTGTTGACCTATATTCAGCACTGTATTGATGTATAGGCCACTTATTAGGGTCATAATTCAATCATGAAGTGTAGAGGCATAGATTCCAAACCAGGAAGTATTTTTGTGTCTGTCAAAATCCATTTACATCCTACGCATCCCTGCATCTTATCCAAATATGTTACTACATAATGAAATATAATAGTATAATCTTTGGTTTTACAAACTTGTATGATATTTGATAAGTGTAAAAGTTGTTTTTGGAGCATTTTTCTATAGCCATTTTGTAGGGAAAAAAATGATGAAAAAATGTACAATCTTTTTAATTTTAAGTATGACCTGAATCGATTGCAAACTTCATATTTGCACATTTGATGAGATAAACCATTTGTGTCGTATTGTGAAATTATTAAGTTTGCAATCGATTCAGGTCATAGTGTATTTTTGGTATTTCTGTGATAATCAATGGAAACCAATGGCCTCTATTGGGATCTGCTGATATCCTCATGTTAAGTCAATGGTGCACAGCCCCATGTAAGTCAATACAACCTTACTGAACGAAATGATCCCTATCTCAGCTTATGTGTGTCCGAGCACTTTAATACTTTCCAAAGTATTATATGACATTTTATTCTTCATGTTACACCTACGAATGATTCATTTTGACCATAGGGATATTTGCCAATAATTGCACCTTGTCCTTTGGACAATTTCATTGGTTGAATTGCACGTATTAACTAATAAACAACACGTGCGGTAAACTATTATCAACACAACTTTTACTCAGAATTCCTTCCGCGGTGATTTCTTCTCATATTTCAATAATTTTGAAATATTTTGACAAAATAATGGTTCGGGAACATTCATGGATACATGTTTTTAGTTGTGTGAAAATTGACCACTTATATGATGAAAAGGGGAACTATTTTCCCCAAATTTTGGGGATTTTCTTCATCTGCCCGCCGCAGTGTCTATAATCTATACCGAGACACTGCATTGGAGTTCGGGAAATCATTAAAAGGTACGTTCAAGCATTTTTTCTGTCGATGTCGGGAGAAGATTCCCGGGGATTTAGGATGCCAGTTATTGTGAATATCGGCAGAAATTAGGTACGTTCCACTGGCGGATCTGGGGAGGGGGGCGACCCCCCCCCTCCTTGTTGGTTCCCAGATCCGCCCCTGCGTTCGGTTTTTTTTGTAGCTAATGGAAATAGATGTTAGCCTTGATGAAATATCCAAACTTCGATATTTTGACACCAGGTCCATGATCGTCGGATACGTCTCTGCACTATTTACTCAACCTTTAACTATTATTTATACCGCGTGTCATTGTGTTATATGTAGATACGTTTTCTAGTATGTTCTTCAACTGTATTTTTGTGAATTAATTGTTTTTCTAAAATTTTAAGATGAAATAAAAATTGCCTGAAATGTCATTACTTTCTGGTAAGGCAGAACATATTGTAAAACAATTTTCCTCTTGTCACAAAGAGGATCATATTTGTTTTGCGGTGTCTTGTGATGAGCGTTTCATGATTGAATGCAACATCACTGGAGCAGATATAATCCAAAAGCATTTCCATATAGCATTTTGAAACATTCTAATGACGCCCCCCCCCCTCCCCTGTAAGGATTCGTGCTTCACTGTTCCAATGAAACGTATCATTCTTTCTATTAGTCATTACATTCTGGTTCTGAATGTCAAATACAGCTCCATGTACCACTGGATATCGAGGGAATTAGAAATAATGATTGGCATACTGTATGTACGTCAGTTGTTATTAATGTACTCGTCTGAAACTAAAGATTAGACCAATTTAGCGGTTTACAAATGTACCATCGAACTGTTGTACAACAAATATGTTCTAAGATAATTCTAGCTCTAGTATATTACTGACTATCTCAGAATTGGTTTTGGTATAAAACCAGCAAATCGATCTGTATATACATTTATATAATTTACATTTCCTGCGCCCTGTATAGATCAACTTGTCGAATTATGTGCCCTGTACTTTGACATATCAAATATTTGACAATCTAAAACGATATTATTTACATGTTTCCTTGTACAGACATATAGTTTTAAACATGTAGTTTACTAGGTTGTTCTCCACAACTGCCCCATTGGTTTATGTGTAAATATTGCTGTTTTGAAACTTCAAATTCTCTACATATTTCAAATAAATAATATCATATTTTCCTTCATCATTATTTACTGTACAAACATGTTTTAAGATTCAAAATTAGAAGTTTTGGATATTTTTAATAAAATTTATCTTGGGAGATTTTTGGAACTTTCTTTACATGTTAAAGTATGCTACTAAACCTACTGAATTTTTCGCCATCTATTGACAGTCCTGAAGGCCATTGATCGAATAAGAGTATTGACCAATTTCTTACTCGACACGTTCTAAGCTTTCCCAGGTACAGTCGATTTACTGCGCCCTGGACGAGTCAAAAATCTCGCGCATGCGCGATCAAGGAAGGGTAATGTGATTTTACTTTGCACCAATTTTAACAAATTTGACTCTAACTTTTTATGTTTCAGATCAAATAACAGATACAATTTTCAGGTTGAACTTTAGGACGGATGGATCGGTCAGGTACCGTGGATTTAGACTTGAGTACACGATCGTTGACACAGACTCACTTAATTTTACTAGTATGTACATGTCTTCCTATTTTAAAAGTACAAAAAAAGTCGATGTTGATAATTATTTGTAGTAAGCCGTCCTAGCCCTGTATACTCTGGCAGGTGAAATGCTTGAACTGGGGGGGTGGGGGCAAAACGATCGAAATGCTTGAAACTGTTGAAATGAAATTGAAAGAGAAAATAGCTCAGGCGCAAGCAGCCATACTGTAATTTCATTCTCCATCATCGATTGAACTGATTGAAACTACCGAAACGTTCATACAGGAATTCGATTATCTGATAATATTTGTGGTATATCAAGTGTTCATTTCTGATGCTCTATTATTTGTTACACCATTACAGTACGACGTTTGCCATGTTCGCTGTTTTTTAGCTTCTGGACGTACAAACAAAGGAACTGCCTTCTCTTTCGCGTATTTACCACATCGGTTCGGTATTACGGCTGGATATACGAGAATATTTGTGACAAGTGAACTCCTCGCACAGGTAGATGTAACTTTATCAGCAACGGGACAAACTACAAACTATACGGTCGAACCCTTTACTCCACTCATAGTTGACTTATCTGGAAGTATGAGAGTTATCAATGGGTATGAACAGAAGGGTATTAGAGTCAAGGCTAATGTAAATATCACCGTGGCAACGTTTTCCTCCACGGGTGATGACGCTGACGGCTCTTTGATGCTCCCTGAAGTTAACCTCGGAACTCAATACGTCATTGCAGCGTACAAACCCTTGCCTGGATCATACGCTTATATAACGGTAGTTGGTTTTGGACAGCTCACATCAGCGTGGTTGATATTCCGTAATGAATCAGCAAATGGTGGCGCTGGTGGATATGATTATGATAATGCTATTCAGGTCCAGGTGAATGATCTCGAAACATTCACATATCGCTCTCAGTCTGATCTAACGGGAGTTCTCGTCGTATCTAACCACCCTGTGTCCGTCCTCAGTGGCTGTGATTACGCCCAAGTGCCAGAAGACGTCACATACGGTGACCAACTTGTAGAAATGATTCCCCCGGTTATAACTCTCGGATATGACTTTATCGTGCCCCCAATAGCGGAACGACTAGACGGAGGGATCATAAGAGTGATTGCTTGGACTGATGAGACCGCAGTCATCCTACCAATATCAGGATTCAACACAGAACTAAATGAAGGTGAATTCGTTGATATAACCGCGCCGTCTGGGTCAACTGAAACGATTACTTGTAGTGCGAAATGTCTAGTTGTGCAGTACAATACAGGGGGTGGACGTGACTCCATTTTGTCTGACCCGTTTATGTCAGTGGTACCACCCATACAGCAATACTCACAGAATAACGTTTTCCATGCGCCAACCGAATTTAGAAACTGGGTCAACGTTGTTATTAACTCCGCTAACGTTGAAGGCTTTCAGCTTAATGGGGTCAATGTATCCACATTGGCTTCTTTCATAACTGTCCCAAACACTGACTACTCTGTGGGACAAATTTCAATTGGTGATTCCAATGGGTTTCTCTCACATCTAAATGGAGATCACATCGAGTGGTTGGCGATGGCTTACGGGCACAGCAGGAGTGGCTCTTATGGGTATGGCTTCCCTCTTGGAATGAAACTTGAGCCACTTGCAAGTAAGTTAATCTAGATGCCAATCGTTCCTATTACATACAAGAAGAAGATCCTGAAACTTAACCATAAAATGTGAAATAGATTTGTCAAAATAAAAGTCTCCATTTCATGAATGTGTGGCGATCTTCGAGCGTTCGATTTGCTGAACGATATGCATTACCCTTTAAGGGGCATGAACGGATAGTAGGGGCATGAACGGATAGTAGAGGTCCTGTTTATGGCCTGTGCTGCTAAATTGGTGTCCCTTGATGGTAAATGGTTTTTCATTTTGGGCGCTATACGGCACTTCTAGATATAGTATTAATACGAGTACAAAACACTTTAGATACTATTGAAGTAAATGTTATTACAGCTGTTACCTATGAGCCACCCAAAGAAACTGAACCTCCTGTTACAGCGCCACCAGGGAATTACACAGAAAGGTATTTAAAATTCAAGATGAAATTAAATGTCATCGATTTACGACCGTAGACAGAGAGCTCGTGCGAACCACCTAACCCTCGATCTAGGAAAAATGTTGACATACCACTTTTCAAAAATATATTTTTATAACTATCGCATGTAGGCATACTTTTAGCATTAAACTGAAAGGGGATGATTTGTTTTTAGATGCAGGTGCAACTTCCGATTGTTAGGAAATGAAAGTTTAGGAGAAGAAGAATTTGGAGCTTTGATTCATGACTTCGAGGACATCCTGTACTTCTTTCCATCACAGGATTGCGATTCCTGCAACACAATGTTTAGCGAATGCCCTCAGGCATGTCGCCAGAGGGCTCTGGAACAGTGGGGCACAGATGGTCTGGCATCTGAAATCGTTGTCGAGAATACGCGCAGAAAAGCACTCGGGCAAGTGATGTGTGAGAGGAACTACAGAAAGATCCCACCGCCTGGGCGAAAACTAGGGGTGTTCTACCGACCAGGGTCATGCCTCGGAGAGGATAGATCCTTGCTGATCGGCCGGATCACCGCCGGACCTTACCTGTGTTGCACGGAAGTTGAAATTCCAATCATCGGACATATCCCTGCCTGGGATATTAATTGTGACGGTCTAAATATATATCTTAATAGCGAAAATATGTTGGCAAACATTGCACATTTGTATAAATTGAAAGGTTTAAAACAGAATGAGATTAATGGTCATATCCGAACGATCAGAGATACGCGTATAGAACGCGGTGGTTTGTAAACTTAACGTTTTTGAATAAAGCAACAGTCTAGCTACAAGCCTATTTGACCCCCCCCCTCAATTTGACTAAACATTTTCGCACACAGTGTTGTAGGGGGGGGGGGGCGTCAAAAGGGGTTGTAGCTAGACTAATATAAATGCAACAACCAGTGTCATAAGTACATTAATAACAATACATGTATGGCTATAAATAAATAAATATTGAGTGTCATTATTTTTAGGTTAATACAAAAAAATTGTGCTGAACAAGATTGGACACACTATGTTTTTCAGTTGTATGTTTTGGTATATTACGTTACTTTTTTGTGTGCTACTTGAAATTAAATAAACCATGGTGTTGTTAAAATGAGATTTACAGTGTTGGTAAATGCAGCACGAAAATCAAACACCAAAATATAAATGTCACACCTTCAATTTATTGGTTTAATTGATCTGATCATAAGTCCTAATTACATAAAATATATACTTTTTTAAAGTTCAAGTTCTGGACTTTATCAAAGTTCATATTCAGGACTTTACCAAGGAAAATAAATGTATACGCACTGTGCCACATACCACTGATATCTCTTTTTAAAACTAAGGTCAGCTAGAGGTCAAATTGAAACTGCTGAAGACTGTTCCCAAGAACTTCAATCTTAATATGCATGAAACATTACATTCACTGTTCCACAACAAGTTACTTTGACTGAACGTCAATGTAACAAAATGGATGAACTTCCTGTATACGTGTTTTTTGTTTTCTCTATACAAACCTACTTATAAGTCAAGTTGCAGATTATAATTTGGCACAAAGCTAAAAAATATAGTCTCGTTTTAATAAGTTTCTTCGATTTGGAATTTGTTTTGAAAAGGAAGTTCATCCATTTTGTTACATTGACGTTCCATCAAAATAACTAGTTGTGAAACAGTGACATTGCTAGCAAGGATCTGAGAATATTTTTTCTAACTTCTGATTCAGATCAAATTAATTTTTAATTTGTAGATCTGTAATTCTTTGACAGTCCAGGTTCATGAGAGTAGTCTTGCTTCAAGATTGTGTATTCACACTCAACACGCTCTACACATTGTGTTGTGTTGGGCAGGTGAAGTACATGGGGAGTAGAGACTTTAGGCAAGACTACGTGAATGGTAATTATGCAAAAATGCATATAGAGTGCTTGCCCGTAGCCAGCTTTAACCAGGAGGGCGAGCTTTTTCCAAGGCGGGAGCTTTTTCACAATTTTGGCTAAAAATAATGCTAAAAATTCTCAGAATGGTGAAAAACTGCATGATTTTGAAAGAACTTCCCCCAGCTCCCCCTCTGGCTACGGGCCTGGCGTGTGCAAAGTCTTAATTATGCCACGTGGGCCTTGTCACTCCTGCCTTTATTATCTCCTTGGTGTGTTGATTGTGATGTGTGATTGGCCACTTGTTCATCCATGGTCCTGGCATCAATAGATTAGACGTGTCATATTTCTAATGAAAGCCAACAATAGATAATAAGAAATAAATCAAAATTAAAAAAAAGAAATAATGTCACCACCTGTTAGATGTTACTGATAGCATAATTTGCTGCAAATGCCGAATGCCACATAACTACTGAATGCTGGTCACAAAAACACTCGATATTATAACAATCTGTCATTATTACTTTGTGGAAGTGGCTTTACAAAAAGTTAACAAAAAATAGAAAATATATAATTTAAAGAAGAGAGAATAGTTACTCAGATATAAGTGTTGTCTTTACAAGTAATATACGATTTAAATGATAAAATAAAGATACATTCAAATTAAATTATGTGTCTCTATAATGTCTCTAAAAGAGTATTATTTTCATATCTGTCCAGATGATATAATATTACTCCCAAGAGATGTCAGAAATCGTATTAAATTTCCCCAGTGTATTTTAACACAATTCTACTAAAATAATAAAAGGCATGTACAAAGTACCCGTACACATTGTAATATGTGTCCTTATCAGGAATTCTAAGTAAAATAAGGTAAAATGGAGAAGATTTACACACCTTCGAAACATTAAACTCAGACCAGTCAATCTGGTAAAGAGGATCAGCAGTCTTTCTCATTGGTATTCCAAACTTCAAATCATAGAATCCATACAGTTTCTCATGTGTCTGCCAACGCAGGTCCAGGCTCCAACGAATTGTGTCGGACAGGTTGTTCAAGCTGAAATTCAAAGATTATTCAGAAATTTTGGTTGAGGATTTGTTTTTCTAGTTTTGGAATAAACTGATAGAAAAATTGCTAAATGGTAGAAGAGAGGTTTAATATAGTATCATATTGCATACCATGGTGTTGTATTGTATTGCATTGTATTATATTGTATTGTGTTGCATCGTATTGTATTGCATTGTATAGTATTGCATTGCATTGTATGGGATAAATTCTATTTTCAGAAACATACAAAGCAGAATTGGGAATTCTTTAGTTCAACAAAATGTCCCTAATAGAACATTTTACTTAAATTCAATTAAGATCAAATATTGAAATAAAGAAATACAATATTAAAAAAAATAAAAATTAAGATCAATGAAATTGATAAATTGTCACCAACAAGATAAGTATGACTTTAATTTTAAATCTAGATTTAAATCCATAGCTAACAGATACAGATTGTAAAATCAACGGTTGTTCTTCTTTTGAGAATTAGAGAATGGCAACGCTGCAATCTGATTGGATGAGCAACTTATACTTGTAAAGCACAGTCAGGTTTAGCCTTGCCCAAGTCGGTCTCTTTTACTTATCTTGATTTCTATTAATAATAATTCAAGATCAGATAAGTAAAAAAATACCAACTTGGGCAAGGCTAGGTCGTGTTTGAATTTTAAATCTAGATGTGTGATTACCTTCTATGTACCACTAGGTTGTTGAACAGCAGCAAGCCTCCAAATGGCACTTCACATGTTACCCTGTCTTTCTTTAAGTCACAACCTGAGGTGAAAATAAAAGAATAAAAATCAAAAACAAGAATAAATAAGGCATTTAGAAGACAAATACAGGTATGCTATCAAGTTGCAACTTGAAATGTGTAACAGTTGTGATACCAAATGATAGTCACAAAACAGTGGCTAAAATGTGCAACAATATCATTCTGTCACCGTTTCTTGTCGGTGACATAAACTTGAAATTATTGAATAAAAAAGGACTTATCTTTTTAATAGTATGGGATATACTGATTCTGATATCACAAATTATGGTTCATATATCATAGTACTAAAGTTCACACGTAGACATGATTCTGATGTATAAAGGAACAGGATCAATGTAACAATGCACACACACAAACCTCAGATAAATTGTAACGCTTTTAGCAAAACGCAAGAGAAATCAACAAATTAAAATCAGACCCTGCATTAAGGGTGGGTAAGTGGAAATCCACCTAGGTAAGGGCGGTAAATTACATAATCCCGAAAATTTTAATAATTTCATTTTCTGACATCATGCTGACCTAAGCTCCATAATGAAAAGATTTCCAAAAGTGTAAAAATAGCCCTTGTGTATCCCCGAGGACTCCTACCTAGTATTTTAGGGGATTCTTCTTCATCCAGCATCACGTAATGTGTCGTACCCCAGCAACAGTTGTGTTTAGCAACTTTCCCAGACTTGTGACTATTTCTTATCACCTGCAGAAAAACAGAAAAATCTCATAGACATCCATGTCACAAAAATGTTTTTTTTCTTTTTTTATAAATAAATCTTTATTTTCACATATTATTTTTTACAGGTTATTAATGTTGTTTACTGTAAGAGAGAGAGAGAGAGAGAGAGAGAGAGAGAGAGAGAGAGAGAAAGGAAGATTGATGATTTTTGTCACTTTGTATAAATTGATGATATTAACGCACAAAAATGTTCATATTCCACTAAATAATTGACCAAGCCAGGATCAGCCCAAAGGTCCATATATAAATCCGAGTTTTAAAGATGTACTAAAACCATTTTACTCAATTCAGATTTTACTTATACTCCCTTACCATTTGAAGGCCAGACTATACGATAGTGAACCACCAAACCTTCCAAAATTTAATTTAATTTTGTGGGGAAATATCACTAGCTTTGTAGTTAAAATAACAAAAGAATTGTGCTAAGTACAAGCTAATTAAAGATGATTCTGACAATGGTTTAATTTTAGTATATCTTTAAAGGAGTTACCTGAAGGCATCCATTCTTTTCTGTTGCATCTAATAGAGGAATCCAGGCTGTGGGTTGTAAAACACTATAGGAATCACTATCAAGGTAGCCACAATCTACAACATTCAGGTTAGTAACACATGTAACGGAAACGTGGCAGGCTAGTCTAGCTACAAGCCATTGTGATCCCTCACTACACACCTCCTCTGTCCCCTGTAGTCAAGTAGTGATAGGGGGAGGGGGTCTACTGCAGGTAATCTCCAACTACATGGCTGTAAGATCAGTTGCTTTCTCCCAGAGGAATGATTCTTGATCTATGCATATGGAGGGTGACTACAGGATCATCATCGATGCATTAGACCAGTATCATCAAGATTCACAGAAAGTGACACCAACAAACAAACACTGACACCGACCATTAATGTTGATAACCATGATTGTTTTGTTGTCATTGTACCATGCATGATTAGAAAATATAAACACAAACGGTTCTTTAATGATGGTGACCTTAATATTAAATATCATCCCAAAAGTGCTAAAACACCAAGCAACGAGGCATTAACATGCAAAATGACATAACCTGAGCCATTTGTTACAGACACCGAACACAAACCACCAAATGCCGAACACTGTCCACAAAAAAGTTGGATACTATAACTACAAGGGACACTTGGGAGGAATGAAGGAGGGCACAAGGACTAACTGATAACACATTAAACAATGCGTTAACATGCAAAATGTCACCACCTGTCATTTGTTACAGATGCCAACCACCTTTGCGTAATTATGTACTATTATATGTTATTACCAAGACACCCTGTAATTAAGTAAATGGTATTACCTACCCTGATGCCAAGGTACAGTAGTTGCCTCATTCTGTGGAACTTTAGGTCTAAGATTCCAAACAGGGTGACCAGCAATGTTTGGACCTATCAGCTGCTCCATCATGTTGAGAAGTTTTTCATTTGACCAGAGGTCACGGAATGCCTAAAACATAAAGATGCCAGTCAAATACAAGGGCTGTTCAATAAATACTGCCTATCCCAAAATTGACAATTTTAATCGTAATAGTACAAATCATAGTCAAACACTTATTTCCGATGGAACATATACTTTTTAACAAAAACTACAATATTCAACTCAGATATTTTTCTGAAAAAACTGCAAACTCCCATAGCATCAATCATATTTCACCTACCTTTGGCAATTTGCCTAATTTATGCAGCATGACACATGCTCCTGGACAATCTTCCTCAAGTCTAGCAAGCCTCTGGTAAAATCCAAATTCCCTGTACTTCCCTACAAATAGTGTACATATATTGTTTAACCATGTACTGGTGTATTCTTACTAGGGACTGCCTTTTAAAAGAGAATGAAGGTGAAAATTTGCCATTAAAGGACCAATCCCTTTAATGATCCACTCATGCTCATCATCATGTTAAGACTTAAAATATGGAGAAATAAGTAAGTACTCCAATAATTCTACTATTTGATATCATGGACCATTTTTAGGGATTGTTCTCCTGAATAAAGTAAAGGACATATTGATTAAAGAATATTAAATGGAGCTTGCAATTTGGTCACCCTGTATATACTCAGATTCCTCAGATTAGAAAAGTTGAACCGAACTCCCGTGCAGTGATATATCACTGCGGCGGGCAGGTATCTCATCGTAAGCATGGTAACATCGTAATAAACAACTGACGTGATTGGTTCTAGTCCCATGCTCAGGTCGCGTGATTGTAAAATTTAGACAATTTCATTGGTTGAATTGCGCGTATTAACTAATAAACAACACGTGCGGTAAACTTTTATCAACACAACTTTTACTCAGAATTCCTTCCGCGGGGATTTCCTCTTATATTTCATTGATTTTGGAATATTTTGACAAAATAGTTATTGGTGAACATAAAAGAACATATATTTTATAAGTTGTGTGAAAAACAAGTACATCTGTGAGAAAAAGGGGGACTATCTTCCCCAAATTTTGGGGATTCCATAATCTGCCCGCCGCAGTGTCTATACCAAGACACTGCATAGGAGTTCGGAGTTGAACACTCCTTCAAATAATAATTTCTGCTTTACTTTTTATTTTCTTCTCCTCAAAAAGCTGTTCAGCAAGATCATCAACCATAACATCTATAGCATCTTTACAGGCATTCAGCTCTTCCACATTTAGGTAATCCTTAATCAATACATAGCCCTGGAAACGAGAACAATTGTGAATAACAACTCCATACTACAAAGTGCAATACAGCACAGTATAATGCAATGCAATGCAGCATATTGCAATACAACAAAATGCATTATAAGACAACTCAATGAAATGCAATACAATGTAATACATAACACAACACATTGAAATACAACACTGGCCGTATACATAGCACAAGTAACGTAACACAGCATGAAACATACGCTATACAACTATATAAACAATATAACATGACTTAATGCTGTACAATATATAGCAATGCAATACAATACATGATGAGACAGAACAATACACATGACATAATTCTACATAATACAACACAGCAGTACAATACATTATACCAGTGGTGTAGCGTGGGTATTTTGTGAGCGTACGCCGTGAGTGAGTGAAATGATCTTTGAGGGGGTTTGGGGTTTCCCCCCAAGAAAATTTGAAAATTAGATTGCAGTTGAAGCGCTGGGGCATTTTAAAATGTGAAATTCCGACTAAATATGGACTAATAAAATGTAAAATATCAGCCATTTTTATCCATGTTTAAAGTCTGGGGCAATTCAATCTAAGAAATCAACTTTCTCTAAATTTTGAGAGTACGCCATGGCGTTTTATGTGTATCTGACGCTATGCCATTGTTATACTGCAACACAATACGATACCATACAATGCAATACAAAGAACTAATACAGAACGGACAAACTGATGGACAGACAGAAAAAAAGATTCACACTAGGAAAGGTGTGTCCGATTCCAGCCATTCAAAACGGAGTATTCACATAATAAACAGTGTGTGAAATATTAATAACGCATTTGTTGTATACAGTTGCTAAGCGATTGAGATTGAAATTGAGTTTTCTAATACTTGACCCTTGCAAAAAGTTTCATTGAAAATATGTTCTTTTAGTGATTTTGTATCTTTTAGGTGATTTTATAGAAAATATTTTGCAATGTGTGAAAAGAATTTAAGCCCAAGACTCAATGCATTGTGGCTAGTTCATTCCACTCAGATGTTGTTTCCAAAACTTTGCATTCTCCCTGCGGAGTCATGCAAAGATTTGGAAACAACATCTGAGTGGTATGGTTCAGCACACAATGCACTGAGTCCAGGGCTTAAATCCTTGAATAACTTGAATGATACTACTAATGCTGCATTAATATCTACTGAACCTGAATTTATGTGTATGCTCAAATACTGTACGCCCGGTATTTTACGCGAGTTTTAATTTCCCGAATTTTTAGAAATACCAATTTCGAAGCTATTAAATTTCGCGGTTTTCAAAGGTTTAAATTCCATTATTCTCTAAATCCTCAAGCTTTGTAATCTAATTTACCTCATCTACAGTAATTACACCTACCCAATATCATATTTGGATAAGATTTACAATTTCTAGATCTTAGTCAACGGCATGTTGCACCTCAGCCTTTAATTGGCAAAATTCGCGACGATTAATTTTCGCGATTTTAAAACAATCGTGAAAAGCGCGAAATTAAATCGCTCGCGAAAAATACTGGGCGTACAGTACCTTATCAAAGAACTGCTCCAGTTGCTTGGGTGTCAGTTGACCTGGCTTCTTCTCAGATGGTTGAGGGGGTATGGTGTTGAATATATCAGGGTAGGCCTCATCTGTGAACCCAGGTAGGTTCATCTGAGATGTGTCTACTTCTCCCTCTAACATTATGAATGTTACTGAAAAAAGATATATATTTACAATGAGGTAAGCAAACTTATAACAATACTGAGATACAGATACATTTTCCACCTTTTATCAAAGAAACAAGCATAGAAATCAAGAAACTTATGTATGTTGGTTATTTAAAGTTTCAAACAATTACAATGTATAATTTTGATGTACAGATTTTGTCTGACACTTAATTACTCATTCAAGGGTCCATTACACTAAAATAACTTTATGAAGTTTAAAATCATGCCTTTTTAAAGTTATTTGTGAAAAAATTTAAATAAAATTGTAATGTACTAGATTAACTCATATAATAGAATTTTTTTAATGATTCTAAGCCTTCCATGATAATTTTCTTGAACATTTTATCACAGCAACTGCTAAAATTGCTAGCAGTTGTAAATAGTGCCTTGAAGTAAAGAAAGGAACAAAATCATTCAATCAAACAATTTTGTAACCAGTGAACATCTGTAAAGAGGCAAGATTCTTAAAGCAGACCACTCACCTTTTGATGGTGTTATGGAGCCTTGGTAAAAATTACGTCACTTACTTTTGAATGAGGAGCGGACTTTGAAGCTCTCGTTAACTAAGCTATAATAACAATTAGATTCTGAAAACAATACAAGTACTGTTAGAGTCAAATTCAAGGTTACTCTGTTTATCTTTGTTCTTCAAGTGATCAAAGTGTATCTTCTACTTGACAAACAAACACCTTGACTGCAGAATATCTTCAAGGTTTCTTATCTTGGAGTTGCTGGTAAGGGTTTCAGTCACAATTTCACATCTACAGGGTGAACCAAAAATTGCAAAACTCTAATTCTAAAATCTCTAAATGTCTAAGTTTTTAATTCAATACACGTAGCCTACCTACATGTATACCACTGTTTGTTTGTTCCATTGAACACTCTATCGACTCAAGAGGTTTTAAAAATGTAGAAAGTTAATTATTCTAAAATTAGAAGCTTACCTTTTTGGGTCACCCTGTACATGGAACATAATAGTTTTCACAAGGAGGATTGGCTCCCAGAGTGCAACACCGATTCTCTCCCATATGTGGGGATACAAAATTAGAATTCCAGCAGCCGCCATTTTGTTCACTTCAACATTTGAAAACGTGAATTTTGGTCTTATTTTCTCATGAAAAATTCCAAAACTTACAAGAAATGATCGAGATATTGGTTCAAATCTTTTGAACTGTTTAATTTGAATTTATAATCGGTCATAATTTCAGAAAATAACGACATTTCAGTGTTTTCATTGTTGGAAAATATCAACTTTGATTCTGGGAGCCAATCCTCCTTGAGTTTTCAATTCTTACATTTTTCAGATCATACATTGAGTGACCTCTGCACCAAAAGTACCACTGTAACAAGATAACATAAATGCAATCGACTCTTGACAGTTAGATGTCACTGTGGTTTGGATTATGAATACTGCTATATCTAGACATCTTTCTTTTGACTAACTATCGATGATGTTGAATTCTGTACTTTTTCATTTATTCAGTTCAGTTATTTAGCATTCTAGCAGCTTGGAAGACACCATGGTAGATATTACAAGACTACATTCGAGAACATATATTTTAAATTTCTATTGTTTTGAGGTGTTGTTTTTATCTTGTGTTGTTACTCCTCCTCCAGTTTCCTGATAACAGAAATTATCGTTCCTATATTTCTCATCTATAATACCATTTACAATGACACTCATATGAATTAAATTTGTTTAAATCTGCAGTGATACTCCAACAGCAAGTTGACATTTAGCAGTTAAGTTTTTATGACGCGATAAGCCAGATTTCTGCTGATAAAGGACAACTTTGGAAGGGCTCATATAGACAAAAATAAGGGCATATTTTGTGTCATAGATACGTAACTAATGTATTACACACCTTTATTGCCATAGCAACGTTATGAATGTTGACACACAACTAATGAGAAATTGGTAGAAATGACAAGGTGACACAGGGTTGTCATGGAAATAAATAAAAGCTGGATATTCTACCATAATGTCATTTTTCCCAAAATGGATACTCAGTAGATTTTTCCTGACTCATGGCCTTAAATTTGGTAGATATGTGAAAACAAGTTTTTTCATAATATCATTATTATTTTATTTTAGTAATCCCTTATTCATTAGATTATGCAAGGCTTGATGCATCAAATGCCTTCATTATTTTGAAAACTATCATGTGGTGATATAATTGAGAATAGTACTTTTCAAATGTGTAGTGAACATCTATACTCATGGGCTATGATTTGTATCTCCCTAGATATAAAATTTCACCATGTTATAGAAATATATATTTTTAATGACTGATTATGGGTGAATAAAAATATTTGAAATCTTCACATGTAGAAAAAACCATATCCCAGAAATATTTTCAGCTATATTAACTAAATATGAGGCATCCTTTGCAAAATACATTCTTTGTACACTATTAATTCTATACATTGTATTGGATAGAATGTGACTGATGCTACAAATATTTTGATGAACGGACCCCTGATTTGCAACAAACTACAAATCTCACCTAAAATTCTATTAGATTAGTTCACAGCATACAATGGGTTAGTAACAAGTGGCAATTATATTACCATTACATGATTTGTATATATCATAGTTACATATGCAGGTACAGAAGTTAAACTTCATCATACCAAATTAATTATACCCCGATACTGAATATTTCTCAAACCATATGAATCAATTAACTCTTTGCAGTTTGGTCCAATTAACAGAATTTGCACCTGTGGGCAGGTATTTGTTCAGTAACATGTGTTTTGTAAATTGTCAAGCAAACCAGCCAACAGGCATGAGAGAAAGGCCAATTTACAAGTAAACTTGACAGCAGACTGAATAAAGGAACTGAGTAATATTGAATATAGGGGTAGGGCTAAATACATTAAAGCACAATTGACATGCAGGGCAGAATAACAAATTACACCATCTGCATCAAAGATTTGGTCATCTAGCAAAATTCAAAGAAATAACAGTGAGGTTTGTTTGCTTTCTAGCTTGCCAAAGTAAGCTACATGTAAATTGAGAACAAGTTTACAGTAGTTGCACATGTTTACAAAAGTTTCATTACCAAAAATTCAGGTAATGTAATTTCATCATTTAATCAATTTTTGGGGATTTCGAACTATGCATTATGCCTTACTGACCTGGTCCCTTATGATCTATCTTTTTCATTTTTTTATACACAGCAAAACCTGTTAAGTGGAACAACTTTAGTAATTCTAAATGTGTTCCACTTGGGAGGTGTTCCACTTACAGAGGTTCATTAACATTAAGTCAGTTGGTCTTGGGACTCTGAGAAGTGTTCCACTAACAGAGGTGTTCGACTTCTAGAGGTATTCCACTTTACAGGTATCACTGTAGGCCACTGTAGTTTAATTTATGAATCCTGGCCACAGAAACCCAAAGCAGCAGTAAAAATGTGTACAAGAATTACTTTACAGTAGTACTATGATTACTATATCATATTCTCCCTTTAATACACACATTCCTGATGTATACCAGACATTTTATCTAACAGAAAATCCTTGTTTGATCAGAACATTGCACTTATAAGGGAGAATATAATATTTAATGCTTAAAGCGAGACATTTATTCTCCTGTCATATACTCACTTTCATATCACAATGTAAATATCATAGTTGATGTATCCATTTGTGAGCATTGATTCATTGAGATCTACTACAAAATACATATGTGTTAAATACAAGTTTTTAAATGAAACTATCTAAAGTTAATTTGTAATGCACTGTTGCTCATATTTTCCAATTTACCATTGATTTCCTCAACTTCGAATTTAATGAAAGGAGATATTTTTCCATCTGGTCAAGAAAAACCAAAGGCTTTTAAAAATAAGAGCATTTTTCATTTGTCAGTCAGAACAATACTTTGCATACACACTTTTTTATTGTTAAAGTTGAGAACGTGAACAGATATATGAGCAACAATACATGTACATGCATTAAATGAATTGACAAAACATTTCACTCAGTTGCCATGTAAATATGAAACATTTCAATGAATTGTTGAGAGCTTTGAGTCAATGACCAAAATTCTCTCATAAGACTAGTGGTGAAATTTGCCTAAAGTCTTCACATTGAAAGGTGTTTACAATGAGAGGTGTTCACAATGAGAAGTGTTCATGATGAGAGAGGTGTTCTCATATTACATGGATCACATTTCAACATGTTCACTCGATGAGGGAGATACTCAAATATAATACTTTGTTGCATTTCTCGAGATAAGCCGCAAGATCTCATTCTAAACAATCAGACTGACAACTACAGACTAGTATATAATTGCTAAATTACAGCTTAGCAATGAAATTTGAATTTTGGCAATTTCAAGTGAAAATGTTTCTTGTCTATGCACCCCACTCATCTCAAATGTAGATACAGAAAAACACAATCTAAATAAAAACATGATTTTCGCTAAATACAACCTACACTACCCTATAGTTATTTGTAAACCTAATATATATGTACATTATCAATTTTTAACACTAGGTATATAGTAGATAAATATCTCCAGAATAAACTATATATGTTTGCCAATATTATTGCCATTTGGACTTATTAGTTCAAAAATAATACTTTCAGTCAAATATTATATGTATATATATATTACATAATGCATGATTCGATGATTTCTCTAATGATTCTAGCACCTACATCTAGAGTCACAGATCTTTTGATGTTGATAAGCATTTCTAGCATTTCTATGATATGAGACAAACTATTAGAATGTCATTCAACTTTTACTTTTCACAGCCAATAAATTTCTCTCTTTCCAGTTTCATTATTATAGCTGGCATGTGTAGAGCATGGATTGTTCCCGTTCCGTTTTGATATAATGCAGCGTTTGATGGTGCATCATCAGAGGAATTGAAAAAACTCAGAATTTCAAGGTTTATTGCAATCATTATCATAATGATCACACTACTATACCCCCATACTGTATCCTGTATTCCTTTAAAAGAAATACAGGCTACAGCGAAGTTGCAAATTGAGGATGTTTGTTTATTTCAATAGTTCTGAAGGTATACTAGATTTTAAATATACTCCAAGTGTTCTACTATAAATTCATTGAGTAGTTTGCAACATATGATTACCAATGGACAAAGATAGAGAATACCCACTCCATTTGCAACTTAACTGTACCCTGTATCCTTTTTAAATGTGGTCACGTGGTAGGGTAGTGTGATGATATCAAGCATATGGGTAACATTACAATGACATATCTCCTCTATGTGCAGATAAATAAAATGGGCCATATTAAAAGTACTTGGCTCCAGGGTCTATGGGCTTGTGATAATGTTACAGTCTCTATGATATCAAGATTTTCATGGTTACAAAATTAATTTGATAATTGTTGCAACCAAGAGTGATGTGCCCCAGGTAACTAAATTTAGGCAATGGTATTACCAACTCACAAAATACTTAAACAATTGACCAACTTATCGACTAATCAATGACTCGTCAACTAATGATCCATAAAAGTACATGAACGATAGAATCTTGTTGATTACTATAGGACCAATATTATCCACATTCCAAAGATCAGTTAGAAAAATCCATTGCCTGTTTATGAAATATCAACCTACGGGAGCGTAAGGATTAGTCTTTTTTGGGGTGTTTCCGTATTGTTGGCATTTTGTTTTTCACCGCAACAGCTGCGCTGGCGCCTGTAGTGACGACGGCTGAGGTTGCATCGTAGCCCTTCCCAGCAACCCACTTGACGCTGTTGACCCCTAGGCCAACTGTGCCCGATGTCAGGCCCCAGACTCCACTGCCAATTTTCCAGACCATTCCATGGTTAGGGGGTGGCTCTGGAAGAAGACCATCGATCATATCGTATTGGCCATATCAATAGGCCCTTTCAGATATAAAAGGTACATATCTTTAATGAGTGCAATAGCAATAGTAACCGAAGTGAAAATGTCACATCTAAAATGACATAGTATGAGATCAAAATTGTATTTGTGATGGTTTTTTGGCTGAAGCATTTTTCAATTTGGAGATGTATTAAATACCTTATACAGTTGTAATGGTAATTTGAGAATTGGCTGTATCTGCTTTATATTATTTGTTATTGGTTTTTTCTTTTTCCATACATTGACCTTCATGTTTTTTATCAATGGCACGTGGGATATGAATCATCATAATCACATTGATTCCATTTAACAAGCAAATATATGTTTCTACAACTAAATCAGGTTTTATAAAAAAATAGTCAGCAGTGTCCATGTATTGACTTTGGGATTCATTAGAATAAATAGAATGTACAGTAAAACCTCCGTAAGCAAAACACCCAAAAGTCCTAAAAAATAGTGTCTGTTTGAGATGCACTGCATTTTACTTGAAGATGTTGATTTATTCACCATTTAATCAAAAAGTCAGGGACTTTGGAATGGATCATCTGTTCTACTTATGGAAGTGTTGCACTTGCGAAGGTGTCACACTTTACAGGTTTTACTGTAGTAGCATGTTTAACCATGTATCTCATTTTCCTCAATATAAAGATTAATAAAGATTGAATGTTTTAAATATCAATAGATGTATGTTTATGAAATCGATCATTTCATTGCAGTACGAAAAAATTAAACAAGCTCATCTCAGAGAAACAAGCATTAAACATTCTACATTAAAATAAGAATTAGATTTTTCATAAAAAAAACTTTTGCTTTGTTTCATAAACTGAGTCAGAATGCTAATTTCAAAAAAACATGTATCCTTTATTGCAGTGTATCTATATTCTCCATGATGTCTTAAGATTGGTCAAGGGCAATAAATTAATAGATTGATTTCTGTTAAACCGCAACATATACCCACTAGGGTGTCTAGCGGCTTGTTTTTATAGTGTATATTATATAAGAATTATGAAATAAATAATTGAATTGAATTGAAAAAATTGAAAATTGAAATTGAAAATATTCAACTTACCCATCAACTCATCTGTCTTCTTATCAGAGATCAGTTCAGGTGCATCATTCTCCTTAACATTATCAATGTCACTATCAGATCCCTCATCTTCTGATGATTTCTTAACCTCTGCAATGGCTTTATCATCTTCTTCTTTAGATTTAGTCACAATCTCAGTTGCGCCAGATGGAGGCGTCTGAAAATAAAAATATTGTCATTACATGGGAGAGGGCAGCCTGATATTCTTTTAAACACCTTTATCTTTTAGGCAGGGGGTTCACTAGAATTTCTCACAACAGGCTAAATAAATGAAAACAACAGGCAAAAATTAATGAAAATTATAAATTTAACATGGAGAAGTTGAAAAGTCACAAAAAACAACAGGCGGTTTTGTGAAAACAACTGGTGAAAATCGCCTGTTGCCTGCTGCTAATGAAACTCCTGTTAGGTATAAAGATTCAAGTATCTCATGATTTTTCTCATTTTCAAGTGGGTGAAAATTGGTTTCCAGGTGGGAAAGCCCACTTGATTCAATTCTAGGGAGGTCACTGCTAATGTCCCTATCCATAACTTCTAGTTAGTTTATTAGGACTGTGTTTATAAATCAATCATTAATACGCCTACATGTATTAAATACTCAAAGGGAACCTCACCAGTACAATACAATGTAAGATAGAGCAGCTGTTTCCAATTATTGATTAAAATTGTGAAATATTAAGAATTCTGATAATTCACTGATAATTAATTAGAGATACATGATTATTCTCTCTACAATGAATAAGTATGTACATAGTATTAGGGGTGAAACGAATACTCGAGTATTCGGTTGCAAATAGGTCTGAGTTGATATTCGAATGGCATCTTGTGGTATTCGAATATTAAACGATTGACTGCGCATGCGCGCCAATTTAGGCTCCCGCCAAGACAAACCCAATTCTAAGGCAATCCCGATATAGATTGCACGGTTACTCACCTAAGAGTCATCAGCAGCTCTTACTTGTAACCTCTGAGCACTGCTGATTAATCTAGTGGAATCCATAAGAGTAAAATACTTGAATATAAAGTTAGAACATTCGTTTGTACGAAAGGCAATCTGCGCCAGGTTCGTTTTTAGGTTCGGTTATTAGCGCATGCGCTTGGAATAAGTATTTCTATTCAAACTTGGCGTATTTACTTCACATGCTCTTAGAAATCAAACAACTTATATTTACTTCCGGGTTTTTAACGAATATTCGGGGCCGAACGGGGATTTGCTGGCCGAATATTCGGTATGAGAATTTACTATTCGTTTCAGCCCTACATAGTATGTATGTGGCCTATAGTTGTGCAATTCGGACTCACCTCTCATTTGTGACATTTTTACACTTTCTACTTAATTGGCATTTTTCTTGCGAGTTGGACAAATGCATGTCTGATGCATGAGACTCAACCCCCCCCCAAACCTTCTCAATGACTCTTTCTCACACAGAGAGTACAGATAGTGGAGGAAACCAAAGATCTTTTAATTTTTGTTACAAATCAAACTATGAATGAACTTTGACAACAACCTGTTCACTCATTAACTAATTAGGAAAGTGAAAGTAAAGAATAAATAAATGAACTGGAGCAAAGAGTACAGTAATTACTAAATTACAAGGTAAAATAAATGGGGAAATATACAGGGTTTAAAGTAACTTTTGATGATATTTCATTCGACTCTTTTAGGCAGTTTGATCCCTGACAAAAATACATAAGCCTACATGTATCTCAAGACTACGGATTGGAATAATACATGAGCTGATTTTAGCATGATTTTAAATTATCTCTGATAGTTATTTCATAAATATTGTTAAATTAAGTAAAAAGCTTCCTAGTGTTTCAAAAGTTTTGTTCTGTAAAAAATAAATTAGACTTTTAAAGGCTATATGTACATGGATGGCACTAGAGAAACATGGATGAAAATATGATTCCTTACGGGACAAGTACAGCAGAAGTGTTGTTAAATACATGAACCATTGTAAAGGCCGGGAGGATATTCAAATGATGTAAATTTTCTCTGCAAATTCCAATGGCAGTGTCTTACAATAGACACTGCGGTGGACAAATTAAAAATAGCCAAAATCTGAAGAAATTTGTCTTGTTTCTCTTTTAAAGGATTAAATTCACAATCAATTACTTTACTCACGAATTATTCCGTCAAACAATTTAAAAATGAAATGAAGTATTAGAAGAATCTCTGCGAAGAGAATTTTGATCAAAATTTTGATGATAATAATTCACTGCATGTGAGTTTATCAACTAATACAAATTAAGTTCTCAGGTGGATTTGCTAATGACAGCATTAAATTACGGTGAAAACGCCAGATTAAGGTGAAAGCCAAGACTACTTTGCCCGCTACAGTGGTATGTTGAAGATAGTGTTGTCCCGATTAATCTATATTGCGATATACATTGCCAAAAGTGTTTCTGGCACTGCATCAAAAATAGATCTGTTGAAAATCACATTTTCCTATCTCATTTTTATGCAAATGTCTTACCTTAAACTCATCCCTACGGTAATTGAATTTTAATTTAAAAAATAAGCAATCAAATGACTTTATTGCAACAGTATAAAAAAATAAAAACATATTATGTAGTTGTCCTAACTTTTGTATATTTCAGATAGTTATGTATAATGTGCGGTACAGCTGTGGCCTTTTGTAATTTAGGGAATTTCAGCCATGTTAATTTTTCTGAAAATAACATGGCAGAGAAGCATCAAAATATAAGAGGCCACAGATTAGTGTTGTCGCGATTAATCGATACATCGCGATATACATCGCCGAAGCTGATTCTGGCGATGCATCGATGTCTGAAACAAAACATCGATGTTTTTTAAAAAAATCACCCTTCCTTATCTTATTTTGACGCAAATCGCTGACCTTTCTCATGTCTTATTTCATTTTCCAATGTTTTCTGATATTCTTTGGCTTTAAAACTGTATTAGCTAGTCGAAATGAACCATTAATCTAAAAAAATTACTTTACTTTCATTTCACCGTTACTAGAAGTTCCCGGATGTACCGGATGTTCAGTATTTTAGTGCATTAGCGTTCGGTATTTCAGTGCTCTTTTCTCGATGTACATCGCGATGTGCATCGATGTTAACTACTGAAAATTGCCGATGCATCGATGTACGATTATGCCACATCGCGACAACACTACCACAGATATGATAGCTAAACTAAAAAACAAACTTAAATATACAAACGTTAGGACATGTATAAATGTTTCTCTTTTTACATATACTGTTTCAATACCGTCCTTTGATTAGTCATTTTTAAATTCAAAGTAGTTCCAAACATTTAAAATTTTACTGTAGTTTATTTTCCAATGTTCTCTGTTATGCATTCACTAAAAATGTTTTTAGCATGTCGAAATGAACCAATGACATCCAATTTTTCAAATTTGCTTTTAGCGCAACATTACTGGTATATCGATAAGAATTCTTAGTTGCATTCAGTATTTAAGTAATTTATGTTTGTTATTTTAGTGGACGTTTTCTCTGATCTTTTTCTTAGTGGACGTTTTCTCTGATCTTTTTCCTATGTACATCGCGATCTGCATTGACGTTTACTGCTGAAAGAACTGCCAATGCATTGATATAAGATTGCGGCACATTGCAACAACAATACTTGAAGACTAGCAACACAAGAGTATTCTTTCTCCCAAACCCCTTGACAAACCACAAAATTACTAGTGGTTTGAAGTTGACTAACATTCAAAAAATTGATTTCAAACTCACCTTTATTATACAAGATTTAACTGTGTTGTATATGCTTGCCATTTTCACCTCGATATTCGTCAAAATATTTAATTCTATCAAGTTACACGTTCCACGTTGCAAATCTTGAAATTATCTTCAGAAATTTTCGAGAAACAAAAAAATCTTCACTTAGAACTCCAATTTTAAACGTTGTTGGTTGTTTTTTCTTGATCTGTTCTTCTGTTTAATAATTTAGAAAACCTTAAATTCATTGTCTATCACTCATTAACTTGCTTTTAAGGTGAATACGTGTTCTATTTTCAATATTTCACTAATGATTGCATTATTCTTCGACAGGAAGTCTCAACATCTTGTTTACGTGATGTCGAACATAAATGCTACAAGCAACTTCATTGGTCTATTCTTTTTCACTTTTACCGAACCAACCAATCAAAAAAGTTCTTATGAACTATCACGAGAACACTAAGTTCTCCTGAAAAATATCTTTCTTTTCATTAAAAGTATAAATAGCATGTAATTTGTCAGTTATAACATGATAATTCTTTTCCAAATCATAATATTATACATTCAGGAATACTTGGAAAATCGAAAAATGGCCAGTCGAGGACGTGGAAGAGGGAGAGGAAGAGGTTATATGACAAATTTTTATTTTAAATGTATTATCGCCCACCAAATTAATCAACATGAACATGATGTAAATTATTGAAATGATAAGAATCATGGCAATAACTAAATCATGTTCTTCTTATCTTATTTCATATTAAACTAACATCGAAAAGAAAATCAGCTATAACAATTCAGCTCTCAGGCTAAAATCAAGGTGTCGATCATCTTCATAGATATTATATTTTTACTTAGGTGTTTCAATTGAAGGGAATCCTTCCTTTGGCAGTTCAGACAAGTCTTCAGTACCAGCGGCATCAAGTCCTATGACAGGCATACGTCCTCAATTCTATCCTGGTATTGGTCGTGGTGCTTCAAAGTCACAACCTTCATGGCCTTCACCTCCAGGATCTATCGCCCAGCAGAATCCCAACAGACATACACCGATACAACAAACCAGAAGACAAACTCCAGTTCAACAATCGTTAAGTTCTAAACAACATCAGGACCGCATGAATAAATATACACAGCAAGATGTCATCTCAGCTTCTCGCCCCCAACAGAATGTAAACTTATTAAATCCAGAAAAAATATCATCTGTACCATCATATCATGAGACCACGATGGGTCACGCTCAATCAAGTGTGACCTATGACAACCATTCACCAAAGAATAAAGTCCCGATTGATTTTGGAGTTGATTGTTTTGACAGTGATGATGATTCTGATTATGAAGGTTTCATGCTTGATGATGGACAAAGCCAAACAAAACCAGTACCAAAGATGCTCACGAAACCTGGAAAAAAGACTCAAGAACCAGTTCGCAAAGTAGACCTTGCGCAAAGTATACTAGATGCCAATCCGAATGTTAATCCATTATGGCTTGAAAAGAAATTGAAATCAGACAAGCAGACACATTCAGATATATCTTACAGCAGTAAACCAATATTAAATTCATTGGAGAAAGAGTGGTCATCTTCAAATAAAAATAAAACCAAGTTCCGCGAAATTGTTGACCGATCATTTAATAGATCTCAGAACCCATACCAGCTTGTTTTGTATTTAGTACAGCATGCAAAGGATTTTCACAGTGGGAAAACAACAACAATGCCATTTTGTATTATGCAAGAATTTACTAAATGGACTGAAATTAAAGGAAAACAGTATGAACATTTATTGAATGAAGTGACCAGATTAGAGGCTTTTCTCATGGGAGTTAAGAATAACATGATATTAATGGACATGGTTGTTAAGGCATTCAAGTTATATTACCATGGCAACCAGTTCTTCATATCCCATATCAGGCCTATGGTAGAGAAAAAAGATTATAAAATGGTAAGTAGAAAATAAAGAGTGTGTTTGACTCGGGGACATTTGGAATCAGACTGGGATAATGGGATAATCATGTATCATAAAAAATTTAAAAGATACTCTTCATTATAATCGTTTATAAACACTGTAGTTACTTATTAAATGAAAAAGTAAAAGCACATATTACAAGGTAAAACATATTAACAGTGTCATTATTAAGACACATAAAAAGGTTAGTACAATAGATCAATCTTGTAGCACAAAAGTGCTTAATGCCTACATAAAGCAAGATAAATGTTATTGAATTTTACATATTCTTTTAGGCATCACAGTGTATTTCCAAGCTTGGCTTACAAGAGCACTTTGATTTTGAAGAGGTAATTGTGATTAATACCAATATTTTACCAATCTTAAACTGAGTTAAGATTTTTTCTTTAAATTCCCTACCAACAAAATGATTTTAAAACAATCCATTTGGGAATAGTGCCCTCTGCTAAATTTCATAGTATCTATGTTCCAGTTATGGATTTTAAATATTGAATTTTATTTCTTTCCAGATTGTGATTCCTCTGTTATTGACAGATAAAGTGAATTTGATTGAGAGTTACGTCTACAGGAACAAGGCAGCGCAAATAAAGATTGTACAACTCTTGGATAGACTCTGTGACAAGTCTGTAGATATTGGCCATATTGTCCGTGAACATAAGTTAGAGGATGTTCGCATGGAAAAGTTACAGCATAAGGTACTGTCTTTTTGCCCATTGCCATTTCTAAATATGATTTCAACATATTCACCAAACTGAAACTGCCATCCTATATTGGTCTTATTTTAATAATGATATTCAAAGAAATAATATCAGGTTTCATTGAAACTTCTTAAAGGCCTCCTAAACTTAATTCAGAAGAAAAAATCAAAAAAAAAATCATTGAAACTTGTTACTCAAACACTCGCTCAAATATGACACAAAGTTTGATTTGCTTTAATATTGAACTAGGAAAAAAATATCTCACATAGAAAAAAGCATTTGAAGTTCAGAGATTATTAGACATGCATGCACATGTTAAATGAAGTACATGTTTTTTAATTACTGTTGATTTAAAAGATGGCGACACTTCTATAAAAATGAATGTCTTTCAATGAGATTGATAAAAACTTGATATATAAAGCTTGACAGATCGAAAATATTATTTGATAGTTTATTGTAATCTTTGATGTAGTCCGTTTGAGCTGTTGTTGTTGGTGTCAAACTAAAGATAAGGTTCTTATCAATACTTTGGACATACTATGAAATTCAAATTTAAGTCTTTATTTTGAGGCTTTAAGCATATTTCCTTAACTCAATACTCCACTGAACATATACAGTACATGTATGTGTTTACTACAAGTGATATCTATAAAAGGAACATGTATTATTTTATACTTTACTTGACACCCATCCTAAATTGGTCTTATTTTGTGAATTTAAATGGATGGAATTGGTCTGATATTGAAACTTTTTGGGGCTTGGTCATATAGTGCAGATCTTTTTTTGTGGAGGTAATTAAATGAAGTATTATAATCCTCCTTTTCTAATACCCTATATTGGGTGAAGAGGAATAAAATCTAAAATCTAAATCTAAATCTTTACCCCTTGCCAAAGCTTATTGACATTAAAATGACATTGATGTAGTAATAATCAGCATGCTTTGCATTTACGATGTTGTGTTATTTACTCCTTTGCCTAAAAAAGGGCACATCTCAAATTAAATGCATGTACATACTTACATAATAGAACACTTTTGAATTAAGGTGCTGAGTAAACTTGCTATCAGGCTGTCAAAGATCTACAACATTCCAGTGGATCTTTGCCCAAACATCAACCGAGCACGAACGCTCAGTGGAATCAGGTATGCAAAATACAGTAGATTTAAATGATATAAGGGGTCATCATGTTGCACATCATGGGGTCATATTCACTCTTTGAATGATATAAGGGGTCATCACGTTGCACATCAGGGGGTCATATTTACTCTTTGAATGATATAAGGGGTCATCATGTTGCACATCATGGGGTCATATTCACTCTTTGAATGATATAAGGGGTCATCATGTTCCACATCAGGGGGTCATATTCACTCTTTGAATGATATAAGGGGTCATCATGTTGCACATCAGGGGGTCTTATACACTCTTGTGTGTTTGAATAAAGGATTTAAGACATATGCTTTTTTATCACCAGCACAAGGGATGATATATTGTTATAGTCTCCATCTCTTTTGTGGACTGTGGTCAGTGGTTGGTAGTTAGGGCATTTGTCTGTAACAAATGGCAGGTTGTGACATTTTGCATGTTAATGCCTTGTATTGTTACTTTCTTTATTCAGATATCTAATGTATAAGAAGTACATAGAAAAGACGCTGAATGATGATAACTGGAGTGAACTTCTTGAGGGTTACATTGGAGAGGATATCTCATTGGCTGAACAAGTGGTGGATTCTCTCATTGGCTATGATGATGTCGCAGAAGCAGCTAAGTGGGCCCGCAGATACCAGATCTCAGAAGACGTCCTCCCTGGGAATGTTATTGAAGCAATGGGTCAACAGACTGACCTCCAAACAGGTGAGGAAGCTCACATTGTGATTATAATTGTAAAATCATCACATATTATGCTGAAAGATTTGAAAAATAAAATGTCTGTCAGTACTGCGAAACAAGTTGTTTTGATATTTATCAATCATTTAGATGGTTTGGCTACTGCAAATTCACAAGAAGAGACATCAGAGGATTGGGGTGCTGAATGTTATGCAGAGGAAACTGTGAAAAATGCACACTACCACTCACTGTCCATACCCCTGGGTAATATTATATTTGTTAACACCGAACAGTTGTATACTGACTGTTTGAGGCATGTCACAAAAGATGGCAGTGTAGTGGGAATAGATGCAGAATGGAGGCCTACCATAGGAGCAAATATGGTGCAGAGGTAGATGAACATTTCTCTTTATGTCAATTTCAAGAAGTTTAGACATATTGTTAAGGCACTGTTTTTTTGTGAATGGCGTTTAATGATCAGTGTTTAGTGACTATAACAGATTGGTACGCTTCTGTAACCATTTGCGATAAGTTGCCAGGTTGTGACATTTTACTGGTTTGTGAACAGCACTAGTATGCATGTTAATTTAGTCATTATATATTTTTATGTATTTTTTTGACCGTAGGGAGTGAGGGGTTCAAAAGCTTTTGTGCCTAGCCCTATTACCCCTGCTCTGAGGTCTATATTACGATTCGAACATGAAAACTCACCAAAATGTTTCGAATTCCTTATAATTCATATGTATAACGCATATAAGTAGCTCAGTGAATTATTTCCAGAATGGCGACCCTTCAGCTTGCATGTCAAGACAAGGTTTACATTTTGGATATGTTAACACTGGACAATATCCTTACAGAGCAACACTGGGTGCAATTTGGAGAAAAATTCTTCGCAAATTCAAACATTCTAAAACTTGGTAAGTGGAGGCACTATTTGAATGAGAGAGTAAAAACTCAGATTAAAGTGTACCCTAGAGGTTTTGGTATAAATGAATGATGTCTCCTGATATCAGTTTACAACATCACTGTATTATCGCGTACCAATCTTCCCAGCATTAGAGCAACTAGGTGCTTCACCATGATGAAAATCTGAAATTTTGTGCCACCCTGTTAAAGAAGAATGAAATATTTTGACTAAAACGTGTAAAATTTTAATTCAGCTCCATGTAGGTCACTGCTATATAAGGATTGCATTGAAATTGAAAACAAAACTAAACCTTATAAGGCATGTGTTGAGATGATGACACGGTTGATATTCTTGTAGGGTTTGGAATTGGAACAGATCTTGCCATGTTGGTAAAGTCATTCCCCAGCATGTCCCAAAGTTTGATGGAGCTCAGGCGAGTGGTCGACCTACAAACTGTCAACCACCTTGTACACAGAGCAATGGAGGTCATACAGGACCATAAGCCTCCAGCATTTGATGATGTAGCATTTAATGATGCAAGTGACAGTGATGAATGCAGTGATAAAGCAAGCACTGCAAGTGATATTAGTGTGCCAAGAAGTGATGCTAGTGTGGGAAAACGTGCAATTGAGTCTCCAGCCAGGCCAAAGATTAAGAAGGTAAGTACAGTTCTTGTAAAGTGTTGGATGATATTACAGTTAAAGTCATACAATGTTGGATAGGATAAATGTGTAATTATAGAAAATAACGATATCTGTATATTTTAGGGCTTATTTTAGGGATAATATTACATTTAAAGTCATACAATGTTGGATAGGATAAATGTGTAATTATAGAAAATAACGATATCTGTATATTTTAGGGCTTTCATCTCAACCATCAATTGCACATGCACTTGTGATGTCCCGAGCCTTGAAGCAGTTGTGTGGTGTATGCACTTGAGATTTCAAAGAACATTTTACCTACCTGAAAATTCAATTACACCCACTTAATAAAATGTAAATTCTTGAAAATAGGCATATTTGACTAATTCTGGTCAAAATTGTGAAAATATGAATTTTACATCCCACCCATCAAAATCTTTGGTAGAACACAGTATCCTCATGCTTATATATGCAATTGTCAACTCTTGCAGGTGGTGAAAAGTGAAGAGAAGGGTCTCAGTGATGTGGTTCGTCGACATCTGGGGAAACCGCTAGACAAAGCTGAGCAGATGTCTAATTGGGAGAGAAGACCTCTAAGACAGCCACAGCTTGTATATGCAGGTGAGTGACCTTGTATACATGTAATGCAGGTTATTGAGTGTATATATGCAAGTAATTGAGTGTATATATGCAGGTAATTGGGTGTATATATGCAGTTAATTGAGTGTATATATGCAGGTAATTGAGTGTATATATGCAGGTAATTGAGTGTATATGCAGGTAATTGAGTGTATATATGGAGGTAATAGAGTGTATATATGCAGGTAATTGGGTGTATATATGCAGTTAATTGAGTGTATATATGCAGGTAATAGAGTGTATATATATGCAGGTAATTGGGTGTATATATGCAGTTAATTGAGTGTATATATGCAGGTAATTGAGTGTATATATGCAGGTAATTGGGTGTATATATGCAGGTAATTGAGTGTATATATGCAGGTAATTGAGTGTATATATGGAGGTAATAGAGTGTATATATGCAGGTAATTGGGTGTATATATGCAGTTAATTGAGTGTATATATGCAGGTAATAGAGTGTATATATATGCAGGTAATTGGGTGTATATATGCAGTTAATTGAGTGTATATATGCAGGTAATTGAGTGTATATATGCAGGTAATTGGGTGTATATATGCAGTTAATTGAGTGTATATATGCAGGTAATTGAGTGTATATATGCAGGTAATTGAGTGTATATATGCAGGTAATTGAGTGTATATATGGAGGTGATAGAGTGTATATATGGAGGTAATAGAGTGTATATACGCAGGTAATTGAGTGTATATATTGAGGTAATGTGTGTATATATGCAGGTAATTGAGTGTATATATGGAGGTAATAGAGTTTATCCCACCCAAGTGCTTTATATGATTGTATAATAGCATTGTATAACTGCAATATAAAACCAATACTCATCGTATACAACTCTTGAGAACGATATACAACTCCTGGATAGCGTATACAACTCCTGGGCAGCATATACAACTCTTCGACTTGATATACAACTGCTGAATTTAGATTAATCTTTTATTGATTAAAGATTAGGGTGGGATAATAAGATCATATAATGGTTGATTCTGTATATCGTTATACTCTCGTGAGTATATGATATATTCACTTGTTCCCTTCGGTCACTTGTGAATATATCATATACTCACTCGAGTATAAACACGATATACAGAAAGAACCATTATATAACCTCATAGTATATATGCAGGTAATTAAGTGTATATATGCAGGTAATTGAGTGTATATATGCAGGTAATAGAGTGTATATATGCAGTTAATTGAGTGTATATATGGAGGTAATAGAGTGTATATATGCAAGTAATTGAGTGTATATATGGAGGAAATAGAGTGTATATATGGAAGTAATTGAGTGTATATATGGAGGTAAATGAGCTTTTATAGTTAGTTACATACTTTTATTTTTAAACTGTATTTTTTATATTAAGAGACACCTTAACAAGTGGATAAAGATGTATTGGTAAAAAATATGTCTGGAATAACCAAGATGCTAGTAGGTAGTTAGGGGTTTCACCACCAGGTGACTAATTTGGGTCAGATAACTTGGCAGAGTTTCCTTAGAAAGATTCTATAAACTTGAATATTCATCAGTTCTAGTGGATCAATTTTTATACTAACCTTATGTATCTAATAGTTATACAAATTGAAATATGTCCAGTAAAACAAAATATTATATGTCTAATAAAAGAAAAGATATTTCACTTTTTGTGATTATATAATATGGTGTTTAGGGGAACTTCTCAACCGAGAGAGAAAAGGTCGAAGGCATGCAAGTCGAATCTTGTAAACCCGGGTTCAGGAAAGCAGGGTTTACTGTTTGTTTCGGTTAAATATCTGTGCGAAACTACATTCATAATTTATACGATAGTGAACAGGAGGTTTACAGTCTCACCCAGGTGCGCTAATACCTTATTTAAATTTATTAATTCTATTTAAATTAATTTTATTTAAATTAAATTTATTTATTGTTTCACGGACCAGGGTTCACCTAGGTTTAAGGCCATTCCAAACGGAATAAGTGTTGAACGAGGCCACGAAATATAAAAATTCCTGGCCTCAGATGTGAATCTGTTTAAAACATACAAATTTGAAATGTGAATACAAGGTTATCCTAAAAATATAGCAGTTCAAAAAATAAAACTTAAAGTAGCATCCAAGTTTCACTAGAATGTAGAGTAGGTTTAAAAAGATTTTTCCAATAAATGGGTACAAAAGGTTATATCTGAAAGAAGATGTCACATTTTGAAGGCAGTAATATATGTACACAAAGTAAAAAAGATAAGATAATCCTGAAAATATAAGAATGACATCATAACCGGGTCTCATGATTTACTGGATAATGGAAATTGATAATTCCTTTTTAATAAATTCTTGTGCATTTAACATTTTTGGACTCAGTGAATTTAATTTGTAAAGAATGCAAGATCCAATTGCCAAATCATTGATTCACATTTTACCTTTTCTCTTACTGCTGCATGGAAACAAATGCATTCTGGGTAAATACCAGCATTCAAGGTTGCTTAACTAATACCTGTATTAATAAAAAGATCTCCGTTCTCTATCTTATTTCAAGAAACATCTGCATTGTTATCCTACAGAATGAACTTCGAATGGGATATAGAGAAGGCATCCAACTATCTGTTTGTCCATTCGTTTGTTCATCTGTCTGATTTACAAAGGAAAACTCACTATGGGTCTCAATGAGAGTATGCATTTCTAAAGATGATTTTCAAAGCAGCAATTTTACACCGATATTAGTCATGCCTCAGATATGGTGCTAACAATTTGTAATTTACATTTCTGTATGTGTAAATCTGGTACTGTCATTTGAGGCATGACTAATATCAGTTTAAGATTGTTGTTTCGAAAATCATCCTGGAAACTATATGTCTGTATACCTTTATTATTCAGATCCCTCGAAGATTTCTCTTTCCCATTTCAGGGACAATTGCAAAAGGGATTCCTGCATCCCCTGTGAACTTTTCTAATCCATGCATCCATTCAAAAAAAAAATCACAAAAGAAAGAATATTGGCTTTTTTGGTCCACACACACGATTCTCCATCATATTAAAAGAAACATCTGCACATTGCATTATTAATGCACTTGGCATTACTCTGTGTACAATATGGTTTAAACTATACAATGTAAAAATGGAAAGAAATCTAGATGCAGGTGCTATGTACAGATGCTTTATGAATTACTTTTGAGAAAGTTAAATCAATTGAGATCAGAGACTGAGGAACAAAGATGTTGGACATAAAAAAATCAAAAGTGCAACTGTTTCTATTGATGATGTATGTTCTTGGATTTCTGGTGATTTGCCAATTAAACTTATTTCAAAATGAGTCATCCAAGAAAGTTGGATATAAAATAAAAACTTTTTCAAAGAAGAAACATGTGTTGAGAACTGAACTAAAATCTCATAAGGAATACATAGAAATTTTAAAATCTGATGTTAATAGCAAGAAAGGATTTTTAGTTAAAACACCAGGCTGTTCGATCCCAGATATCGATCCTTGGGATCACACAATTCAACAATTCATTGATAAAAATGAGAAAATAGATTGTGATACAAATCCTAGTATTACCTATACAAGTGAGAATACTTTGAAAATTAATCTTGATATAGTTCAGAATCATTATCCCAACTTTAGCCATTGTAGCTACTATGGTATATACAGAACTGATAATGATAATGCATATACTATGGATGTGCAGCAAACAGACTTCACACAAGATGTAAACCTCACAACCGAATTTATCAAAGTTGAATGTTATGACCACAATAAGACTACAATTTACAAAAATTTTCATGCAGTTGTTTTTGAGAAGCAGCAGGTTGAAGATGAGTGTAAGAGAAAAACAATTGATAAAAATGAAAAATTGAACATAATTTTATTAGGGGTTGATGCAGTCTCAAGATTAAACTTCATGCGTCTGATGCCAAAAACCAAAAGATTTATTGAGGAGGAGCTTAATGGATTTGAACTTACAGGATACAATAAGGTGGGAGACAACACATTTCCTAATCTTGTGGCTTTACTATCTGGCAAGTTTCCTGCAGACCTACCATGGAATAGTTCAACTGATCAGGACAAACCATTTGATAAATATGAATTCATTTGGAAAGAAGCTGCCAAAAAGGGATATAGAACATTATTCAATGAAGATGCCCCCATGATGACAATATTTAATTATCTCAGAGGGGGATTTAAGAAGCAGCCAGCCGATTACTATCCTCGGGCATTTCATATTGCTTTAGAAGGAGAAGAGTCTGTTTGGCAAAAAACTCACTGTGTTGGTGATCGTCATGAATCTGAAATGATGCTCAATTACTTATTTGATTACATAGATGCTTTTAAAGATCGCCCTCACTTCGCATTTACATACAACTCCCGACTGACACATGATGACATCAATTTAGCAGGAGTAGCAGATAATATTTACCTAAAATTCCTCAAAAGAATAAAGCACAGTGGGAATCTCAACAACTCTGTTATGCTGTTCTTCAGTGATCATGGTATACGCTGTGGAGATATTAGGCAAACTAACATTGGGAAACTGGAAGAAAGACTTCCTTTTATGTATTGGAATTTCCCAAAATGGTTTTCAACAAAGCATCCTAAACTTGTTCATAATCTAAGAATAAATAAACATCGACTGACAACTCCGTTTGATGTGCATGAAACGCTTCAAAACATTTTAATTGATGGCCCCTCAGAATCATATACTTCTGACCCGAACAAAAAAGGAATGAGTTTATTCAAGGTTATACCTGAAACTAGAACATGTAAAGATGCGGGAATCTTACCTCATTGGTGTACATGTCAAAACACGAAACCTATCAGTACAACGGACACCACAGTGAAACAGGTTGCTAATTTCACAATTAGCTCCATAAATAAAGATTTATCTCATCTTCGAAATTCCAATTTATGTGCAGTTCTTTCATTGGACAAAATAACCAAAGCTGAAATGTTTGTCTCAACAAAAGATATTCTTAAGTATGATTGGGCTGATGGTTTTGATTCTGATATCATAGTGACAGGGAAACCTAGTATTCCAATTAAATATTATCAAATAGAGTTCACAGCATTTCCAGGAAGTGGGGTATTTGAGGCAACTGTCCGTTATAGTAAAGTTGACAATATCTTTGATATTTCAGGATCGATCAGTCGACTTAATCGCTATGGTAACCAGAGTGCTTGCATCAAAGATGCAGAATTGAGAAAGTATTGTTACTGCAAAGATATTGACCAAATCAAGAGATAGTTAGACATGTCATGAAAATATAATCAGTTGGGTAGCGTTGGTATTTTATGAGTGTACGCCAGAGCAAAACTCTGAGGGGATTTGGGGGTTCTTCCTCCAGAAAATTTGAAAATGAGATAGCACTTGAAGCCTTCTTGGATGTTTTCAAATATAAAATTTTGACTAATATGGACTAATAAAGTTGGCCATATTTCAGAATATCCAGTATTTTTAAAGTGTTCTATATAAAAATCAACTTTTCTCTAAATTTGAGAGTAAGCCATGGCTTTTATGCCTATATGACGCTATGGCATTGATAATGTTTATCACACTATGTTTTTTTGCTAATGGGTTTTTGGTTCACCAAAGAGCCTAGGGGTTATATATAATGTTTATTCTGATGAGAGGGCTAATAAAAAAAATTAGAAAAAAATGTTTTTTGTTTTCTGCTTATCATGTTCTTTTCTTATATAAATTTTCATAAAGCCCTGAAAGTCAAAAGTAACATTTAGGTCCAATTGATAATTTTACTTTTGTTATATGGCCTGAGTACATTTAGCAAGAAATGGTTGTGTTTACAGTACTTAATGGTGCCTTATACATCAGGTCTATAAGAAAAAATTGAAAATTAAAGAAACAACTATGTTGCACATAAAACTGAAGAAATTTCTCTCTTCCTATGTTTTGGAATACATTTACTTTACCAATTAAACAAGTCTTTGAATGAATCATCAAAGATGAATTAAAATAAAAGAGATGTATGAAGAACTGATTCATGGTTCATTTTACTGTTATAATTCTCATGAATTTGTGACTTATCAAAATATTTCTTCCTTTTTTTATTTCTTTGATTAAAATTTTGTAGAACCAGAAATTAGTTGGAGAAAACAGTACCTTCCTACATTTTATTTCCCAGCACTGGACAAAAATAATGTCAACATTGAGTGAAATAATTTCCTTAAAATTATTATATTATTATTATTATAGTATTACAAAACTATAGTAGCATGCAAAAATTTCCAGGAATTTCAGACTGGGTTTTGTCTGTCCCACATCATTTGAGACTGAACTCTCTTATCAACAACTATTTTTGATGTAATGAGTATTGGTTATCAAGTATAATTTATTCTTCAACATGTATTTTAATGACATCACAGTGAATGAAATGTCTCTTGATATTGTGGTCTCAGATAATGGCACATATACTTGAATGGTGGGGGAGGGAGGTATAAGACATTGTTTCCTTTCACCTTAGATCATGGTTTTAGATAGTTGGTGTTTGTGTTCCTTATGACTGTTGTTCTCTTAAATGTTTTATTAGGGATGTAGAGAAGCCATTCATCATGTTTGTCAATCCATTCATTTGTCTTGGCAATAACTCAAGAAAATGCCTTAAAAACATAAGACTATGCTAGAAGTATATTTCAATATGGCTGCTGAATTCATAACTGAAATACTTGTTGTCAGATTTGGTCCAGATTTTATGTTCTCAAGAAGGAATTTTTAGATAGCTGCTTCAAAATGGCTACCATTTTCCAGTATCATATTTTGGTTGTATTTTATAGGGTAATGCCTTATGGCCATTATGTCATATCATGGGTATAAATGCCATATGTTCAAAACAACGAGGTATTTGATTAAATATTTTTGTTCTGTTGGATTTGCTTCTCCGGGTAGTTGCTGTTTTTGTGTTACTGTTTCTGTATTACATCACCATGCGCTATCATATTCATAGAAACACCTGCACATTGCATTACTAAAAGACTCTCGCCATTACTTTGTTTACAACATGGTACCCACTTTACAATGTACATATAGTAAGAAATTAGAGACACGCAGGTGTATTGTAGAATGCTCAATAAATCACTTGTGGGAAAGTTGGATGAAATTAGATAGAGATTTACTAAGAAACAAAGATGTCGAACATTAGAAAATTAAAAGTAAAACTGCCTCTGTTGATCATATGTGTTGTTGGATTTCTGGTGATTTACCAATTAAACATATATCAAAATGAGTCAACCAAGAAAGTTGGATACGAATTAAAAACTGTTTTAAAGAGGCAAAGTGTGTTGAGAACTGAACAAAAATCGTACAAGGAATACAAAGAAACTTTTAAATTTTATATTTCAAAGGAGGAACAAAGTCAGGGATTTTTAGTTAAAACACCAGGCTGTTCAATCCCAGATATCGATCCTTGGGATCACACAATTCAACATTTCATTGAAAAAAATGTGAGACTAGATTGTGATACAAATCCTAGTATAACCTATACAAGTGGGAATACTTTAAAAATTAACCATGATATAGTACAGAATCATTATCCCAACTTTAGCCATTGTAGCTACTACAGAACTGATAATGATAATTCATATGCTATGGATGTGCAGCAAACAGACTTCACGCAAGATGTTCGCCTCACAATAGAATTTATCAAAGTTGAATGTTATGACCACAATAGGAGTACAATTTACAAAAATTTTCATGCAGTTGTTTTTGAGAAGCAGCAAGTTGAAGATGAGTGTAAGAGAAATACAATTAATGGAAATGAAAATCTGAACATAATTTTATTAGGGGTGGATTCAGTCTCAAGATTAAACTTCATGCGACTAATGCCAAAAACCAGGAGATTCATTGAGGAGGAACTTGATGGATTTGAACTTACTGGATACAACAAGGTGGGAGACAACACATTTCCTAATCTTGTAGCTTTATTATCTGGCAAGTTTCCTGCAGACTTACCATGGAATAGTTCGACTGATGAGGATAAACCATTTGATGAATATAAGTTCATTTGGAAAAAAGCTGCCAAAAAAGGATGTAGGACACTATTTGCAGAAGATGCCCCTAAGTTGGCATTATTTAATTATCTTAAGGGAGGATTTCATAAGCAGCCAACTGATTATTATCCTCGTCCATTTCATATTGCATTAGACCAAGAAGAATCTGTTAGGCAAAAGTTTTATTGTGTTGGTGATCGTCATGAATCTGAAATAACGCTCAGTTATTTATTTGATTACATGGATGCCTTTAAGGATCGACCACATTTTGCATTTACATTTAACACCCGACTGACACATGATGACATCAATTTAGCAGGAGTAGCAGATAACATTTACCTAAAATTCCTGAAGAGAATAAAGCACAGTGGGAATCTCAATAATTCTCTTGTGCTGTTCTTCAGTGACCATGGTATTCGCTATGGAGATATTAGGCAAGCAAACATAGGGAAACTCGAAGAAAGACTTCCTTTTATATATTGGATATTCCCAAAATGGTTTTTAAAAAAACATCCAGAAATTGTTCATAATCTAAAAATAAATAAGCATCGGCTGTCAACTCCATTTGATGTGCATGAAACGCTTCAAAACATCTTAACTGATGGTCCCTTAGAATCATATACGTCTGACCCGAACAAAAAAGGAATGAGTTTATTCAAGGTTATACCTGAAACTAGAACATGTGAGGATGTGGGAATCTTACCTCATTGGTGTACGTGTCAAAACACGAAATCTGTCAGTATAACGGACACCACAGTGAAACAGGTTGCTAATTTCACAATTAGCACCATAAATAAAGATTTATCTCATCTTCGAAATTCCAATTTATGTGCAATTCTTTCATTGGACAAAATAACCAAAGCTGAAATGTTTGTCTCAACAAAAGATATTCTAAAGTATGATTGAGCTGATGGTTTTGATTCTGATATCATAGTGACAGGGAAACCTAGTATTCCAATTAAATATTATCAAATAGAGTTCACAGCATTTCCAGGAAGTGGGGTATTTGAGGCAACTGTCCGTTATAGTAAAGTTGACAATATCTTTGATATTTCAGGATCGATCAGTCGACTTAATCGCTATGGTAACCAGAGTGCTTGCATCAAAGATGCAGAACTGCAAAAGTATTGTTATTGTAAAGATATTGACCAAACCAGGAGATAGTTGACATTTCATGAAAATATAATGTTGATCACAATACTTTTTTTCTGCTAATGTGTTTTTGGTTCACCCTGTACAAGAGCCTTTCGGTAATGTATAATGTATATTCTGATCAGAGGGTTAATAAAAATAATTTGGAAAAAAGTTTCTGTTTTTGAGCTTATGGGTGGGTGAAAATAATGAGAGAACTGTCTCAGACCTCTGTGATCTGTGATGGTTGAGACTAAAGTGCACACATGTTGCAGACAGATCACATAAGGTCTGCAGTAATAAGAAACAAATGTGACCACATGATAAAACACCAACGCCATCTTTAAACAATTTTCAAATGAAAATACACTTAAATTCATCGTGTGGTTGAACCTAAAACACAACAAAACACCTGACATAGGTTGGTTATATTTATTGTGTAACACTGACAAAAAGCGATAAATCATTTTGATCGTAGAGATAATATGTTTTACAATTACCCAGATGTGAGTAGGTAGTTACCAGTTTCACCACCAGGTGGCTGATTCTGGTTAATTAACATTAAAAAATGAAAATGAAATGAAAACTCCTTACTATTCACATAGAATGTGCAGTTGATAGGCAAAATTTGTATTACATTATATGTTTGTTTTTGATACTTGTATCCAATCATCCTGTTTACTCTGTATTTGTATATATTGTAGCTCTTGATGCCTTCTGCCTGTTGGAGCTATACAGGGTGTTCCAAGACAATGTACGCACACACAGACTACAGGTTGACCTAGAACCAGTGCTATCCTCTAAATGGTCCAAAGTTGGCAAAAGCAAATCTCAAAGACAACGAGCCAGAGTAGCTGAACGTCCCGTCATGACAAAACAAACAGTACAGGTAAGGGGGTTTTCGTAAAAGACCGACCCCACCGACCACCGACCGGTCGGTGTTTTCCACTGGTAGCCTCAAAACAGGGTTTGAAGAAAATGAGTAAAAGACCGACCATATCATGTAAAAGACCGAACATATTTGTAGCCTTAGAATATTAATAATTTGATTTTGAATGTCAATCGTTGGACTAGGCAACGTTTTTTACCGATTTTGTACCTTGCAATGAATGGCAAGCAAACAAATTGGTCATGACCGTCTCCTCTCGATTAATTGCCCTGCCTTAGGTCCTAACCTATCATCCCGTTTCTACGGGAATCTATCCTAATTTTTTACTGAAATTTAACAATTTCGAAACAAAAATGACGAAAAATGATGAAATCAAACATAACGTTACGACGTCAACATCGACGATGTTTGTGTGTTTTTGTTATTGCGTTTCATATGAATGAAGAATGAACGTAATGCAATGTTACGTGCGTTTTTTTCCAAAGTGACTAACCAGGATGAAATTGGTCTTCTAACAACTGAAACATCACTTAAAAATATGACATTACACACCACGACGATGTAACGTTTTCATCGTGATTTGAAATGATAATTATACGTTTTTAAATCACGACCTAGTAAAGGTACTATTGTCATTGGATTCCCAGTTTTAGTTTTACTTCTAATTTTGCATTTTTTCATCTTTATGTAAAAGACCGTCAGCCGACCACCGTCGGACCACATGTACCCAACTGTGGAGAGTGACTGGTCGGTGGTCGGTGGTCGGTGGTCGGCGGTCGGTGTTTTACGAAAACCCCAGGTAAGGTTTTATTTCTTAAATTAAATAGAAGTATATACACTGTATATGTACTGTATAGTATATGTACATGTACTGTATTTATGTCATTGATCATACTTAGATAAAACTTACTTTTTGAAGTTGATTCACAGATGTGATATAATTTTCTTTGTAGTCATACTTGTACTTTTATATACAATATATTATATCATCAAGATAAGACAAAGAGAATGTTTGCAGAATGTAAGAGTTTACATTGTTAATTTTTATAAGCGCTCAATGTTGCCATTCGGAGTTAGTGATTTGAAATTGGTGTCTGTAACCTTTTCATTTTGGCTGCTTAAAAAGTTCAGTTACTAAGTTAAGTGTGTTACTCATATATCTAAAGAAAGTCTATTTTTATTTCATTTGTTTATTATTACTATCACTAGGAGTTGGTGTCTAAGGTTAAGCCTAGTGGTTCAGTGATCAAACCAAACCAATTCAAGGTGGTAGTAGACTCCATGTTGCAAGGTCTTGGGAGCAAACTACGCTGTTGTGGAGTAGATGTCAGGATATTGGAGAATAATGAGGACCACCATGCAGCTGCTAAGGTAGGTCACTAGCTGCTAAGGTAGCTCACTAGCTGCTCATGTAGCTATTAGCTACTAACTAGCTGCTAACTAAAGGTAGCTTACTAACTTAACCATCAGACACTATTTCAAAGTTTACCCAGCATTTTAATAGTGAACTTCTTTCTTGAGTTTGTTTCTGAGGCCATTCAAAGTTTATGTATGTTTAACATCTTATTTCGACACTTGAGAGCAATTTTCAGAAAATAGATATATTATTTGCCAATTTACAGGATGTACTTTGTACTTGTTGCAAATTCAAATGACAATAGAAACTTTCAAATTAAGTTTGATTTTAATTGAATATATTATTTAGTGAAATGAGTTTCCAGATTGAAAACTAGTAAACTAAATGTATTTCAGCTTCAGCATTGGCTTTCTTAACTTTTGTGAACTCAAAATGGATGTCTCACTTGAAATACAGTTTTTTATTTTTTTTATTTTTCACATGTCATCCTCCTAAAATTTGTCCCATTGCCATGTTGGTAAAAATATAATTAACTTGGAGTGGCCTCAATGCATTTCTCTCAGTTGACCATGTCCTAATGCAAGTATTGAACAAAGGATAATAACTTGTATAATGTAGAACATTTGTTTGTTTTGTTTCCAGATTGCACAAGATGAAGGTAGAATTATACTGACCAGTGGCTCCCCCTATAGAATGGTAAGCCAATATCATTTTTTTACAAATAATTGATTGTACTGAAAAAAATCATTTTAAATACATCAAGTCTGTGGCAGGATTACAAGCTAGAAACACGGCAGGCCAGTAGTCAGGGGGGGTTCGCAGGGTTCGGGCGAACCCCCCCCCCCCCCTGGCCAAAATTCTTTCAAAATCATGCAGTTTTTCACCATTTTTAGCACTTCTCAAGTGATTTTAGTCATATTTGGGCCAAAATTGTCATATGTGAACCCCCCTAGACATTTTTGAAAACTGAATCCCCCCTTGGCAAATCCTGGCTACTGGCCTGCACGGGCTCCTGCCTATGTTCCATTTGATGTTTGGCTACTGATATTTGCACCTTGTGCTGTATTTCAATAACTCTAAGCTCCGTGTGTAATTCTTCACAGGGTTGAGAACCATTCATCTGCATGTTAATCAAATATAATTATAAATATGTGTGTCTATGAACGAATAGATAAATTAAAATAAATAAATAAATTACAAACATATCCAAAAAATAAATTTCAAATGTCGATGTCTACTATTTTAGTTACGTGGCTATGTGGGTGAATCAATGTGTATGGATGTACCTCAGGCTAAAGTTTGGGACCAAGTGTCTGAGGTCCTTCAACGCTACAATGTTCAAGTCTCCCAAGAGGATATCTTTAGCCGATGTCAGGTACTTGTAGTTGTTATGTCAGCATCAGAAGTAGTGACATATTGTTATATTCTCCAATTTTGGATTATAGTAGAAGACTTAAAATCCAACTAAACTATTGCAAAAATCCTGTCATCCATTGCAAAATTAAAAAATGAATTTTAAAATTTTGTTTCTCATTGTTTGTCTCATAGTTTATGTTTTGGAAATTACCTAAATAATGCTAGGATTTCATTTGTAACTTTGAATGGTCTCACCTTCTAATACATAATTATATAACTTATTACTGATGTGGTTGTTTTTACACCATGTTCCAGGTTTGTAATGCCATGAATTACATCACAATGAAACCAGATTTACTACTCAAGTTATGGGAGAGAAAACAATGGCTACTCTCTGAAGGACACACAAATGCTGGATACACTGGACTCCCTTCTCCACAGTCGCTGAAATCGAACGCCTCGCCTGAAATAAGCATGGAAAAAGTAACAATCAATGGGGCTCCAATCAAAGTGAAGCATATCCCGAGAGCTATAATAGATCAAGTTGATTTGTTTTATGTATGTGCTACTTGCGGTAAAGTAGTTTGGGAGGGATCACATTTTGCAAGAGTGAAAGAACAATTTGGACATGTGATCACACCCAGTGAGGACCCCACTGCTTCTGTTTATACCAAGTTCAAGGGAAATGATCAATGAGATTATGAAGGTATTAACAGGCATTAGGATGATGATATGGAATGAAGGTAACAGTTATCTTCCCTTCACTGAATCAGGTGGAGGAGTGTATTTGCAATCTTGCATACAGTTGAACACCTATTTGCAACCACTAATGAATGAGAAGATTAGAATCGTTGAATATTGACACATTTTGCCTAACTTTAGCTTAGGTGTATGGTATAAAGAATTTAGTCCCAATTTTTGGGAAATCTGACAAATTGACCTAGACATACATGTATTTCATGTAACTGGAAACATGGGAAAGCTTTCCTAAAATGCTGCAATGGGCTCATTACAATTATCCTAAGTATATTAGGGATTTGGTGCTATTTTATGAAATTTTATTTTTGCATCAAGTCTCTGGAACTCCCCTCTGTACTTCACCTCCTAGGTGTTGTGGGATTGAGGTATGTACGGGGTGAGAGGTCGCAAAGGTTTTTATGTAAGACTAATAATGAAATTTTGTCATTGTATTACCTTGATTTAAATTGTCTATAGCAGTAACCAAAGGCTTCAAAAAGGCACAATTAGAGACTCATTTACACATAATTAAATGCTGAATGCTAACTGTATTATCATATGTATGTTGGAAATGATATTGTTTGAATGATAAATAGAATGTTTGTTGTAATGATAAATAGAATTCTACATGTATCACTGTGTCCCATTACCATCTTGGTTGCTGAGATGTATAGGACTATGGAAATGGCATTCAGTGCAGTGCAAACAATTTGAAATGCAACATTTGTGTTATATATGGCTGTGTTGATGTGTGCATCCTCCAAATGCAGGGCTCCAGACACCATCTTCTCTGTTCCTTCTCCATGCAAGTATTGGAAAAGGAAGGAACATATTGGATGATGTCTGAGCCCTGCATTTGGAGGATATGTTTAATGACAATGGAGAGGTTTGAGACAAAGTATGGTTTGATATTTTATGAAATTGACGTAGTCTTTGGGAAAGAATTCTTGAATTGCTTACTTTTAAGTTTTAATAAGTCAAGTGTTGGTATTGGTTCTCCACTTGTAACATTAATTTAATGGGTCACATGATAACATGAGAAGGTATAGCAATCTTTTCTTAAATGTAAAGGATTGGTATCGATATGGTGAACTTTTTGAACACACGTTTCTTTTAAACCAGTCAAAAAAAGTTCAAAAAATTTTACACATTGTCAATTTAATGGACATCTTTTGAATGGTAACAATATAATTTAAAAAAAATATTATATGTATACTTTTCTCTATATTGTTTTAGAAAACACACCAAACACTTCTTCTGTTCTTGGTATCATGTTTCCAGAGTGAAATGAAACATCTATCCGAACCTCATTGGAACAAAATGACATAAACACAATGTGTTATTAAATATTGTAATTGTACAAATATTAAGGAATGTCTGGTTGATTTTAAAAACGTATCTTGTTAATGAAATAAAAGGTTTATCTTAATTTTTATCTAATTTAGTTTTTTTTGTTTTAACTTTTTGAATACTTTTTGTTTAATCAATATTTCCTTTGTATAACTATAATATTGAGAGGTCTAAGAAAATGTTGGTATATGCTATTTTGTTCCAACAAGGTTCGGAAAGATATTTTATTTCATTCTCAAGAATTGGTAGAAAGGAACAATTGCACTAAAAACAAATATAACAAAAACAGTTATATAAAAATAAATATAAATATATAAATAATTTTCGCATTAAATTGTTGTCAATCAGTCAACATTACAGAAGGGACTGTGTTTTTTACCGAATGTTTTGAATAATTGGTTTAAGAGAAAAATATTGTTAAATTCAGTTCACCATATCGATACCTGTCCTTTAGATTAAATTTTAAAATTGGCTGTGGGGTGAGGTTCATTGCCACTAACTTTTTATGATTCAAGTATAACATATAGGTCATTCCTAGAATTGATTTAAAGATTGAAACCTTTTATCCAGGTGTGAAATGCACCTAATACCATGTACTGTAATTGAGATGAGTGAGTCCATATGAAATGTTGAAAAATGAATAATTTGATAACATTTTTCTGTTCAATTTGTTCTGATGCAATATAATATGAATAAACATAAGTCTAAAATTTTAGATTGAAAACATTCTTGTCATGTTTCTATGGTTGACGATCTTTATCCAGGCGAGTTCCCCAGAGTATTAAGACTTTAAGGTACAGCTGTAGTTCTGCACGTTCGCAAGAGAAATAATCATAATGTCATTCTAGACTTTGAACTGGGATGAAGTGAAAACGAATTTAAAACGACTTAAAAGTTCTTGTCAAATGAATTGAAACCAAATTGTATTCTCATGTTTTGATATTTGACTAGCTCACTGCGGATTTTTGGATTTGAAATAGTGATATTTCATAAATTAAGGCATGTTGGGTACTCAATTATATTCCCCCATTTGTAGAGGATACCAAATAAAAGGGGAATTTTGTCAAGATGCTAAATAAGCGTTGTGGATATCCATAACGCCATGGATATCTGCATTTCATTTTTAGAGGTAGCACATTTTCGATTCACGTTTCCCATTTTGTATAAAATCACAAAGAAACCTTTAAACTTGCAAATATAATTGTATTTAGATTGTGAAGTATCACAAATATAAAATGGACTGTTAAAGCATGGGCTTTCAATTAGTTGAAAGCCCATGGTAAAGTCTGCACCTATATCGGTATGTATAGCAAAGTCTGCATTGGGGGAAACAGAAAAATTAGTTAAGTTCTTATTATTATGTAAATGTTATGATATACATATATAATTATAAGATTATAAGTGAATTACGATTTATAGGCATGCTTGCCTGTTAATCGATCATTGCAAGGACCTCATTGTCCTTAGATTGTTGCATAAAAAGTTAAAAAGTCAAGTTTCCCCAACTACCTATGTACATAGCCATAATCAATGTTGTGGTCTAATTTCATTGGATGATCCATCCAGTGTTTGTCTAGCCTGTTTTTGAAAGTGTTGGTATTATCAGCCCTAATTACGAATTCAGGGAGTGCATTCCATTGTCTTATCACTCGCTGGCTGAAGGTGTTTTGTCTGTTTGTCGTTGAGCAGTGGATAATATGTATAATCTAAATAATGAATTAATATTATGAATTAATATTATTAATCCATTTGGTACTCTTACTTTCTATTTATTCTCAATATAATTTATAAATCTGTGTTGTCTATCAACAGATTTGTTATATACAATTTGATTGGTTTAAATTTCGCATCTTTTATTGGATCGACCAATCAAAAAAGTTCTTCTAGACATTCGTCCCGGAAATGCTAGGTTGATGTTAAATTTTCTGGCACTGTCAAAATGTCACAAAATGCTCACGTTTTCTTGACTACTATGTGTCTCTCGGTGGCTATATACATTATACAGACATATGCTATAGACAAGGGAACATATCTGAAACATCGAGAAGCCATACTGAACAAAGAAAGGATGGAAATAACCGGAGGAGAAATTGCACTTTCTGCCGATGAGTCAAAGGTCAATCAAATTTTGATGACATTCAAAATAAAAGAAATAGAATATGGAAAACAGAATAATCTATTTCCACCTGCTATGCACTTCTTCAAAGCTAAACCTCTTATTGAGAAAAGTGATGTTTTCCGTATTATAAAAGCAATGCCTAAGGGTAAGTACAATCATGGGCTTTCAACTCTATTTGAAAGACCATAATACTTACTCGAGTCTCTAGCTTACAGCTAGACGAAACTTCATTGATTTCGTATGTAATGGCTATACGCACCTACACGCACCTAGAACTCATTTTTAATAAATTTTATAAATATTTTTAAGTATATTAATCATATTTAGGATGAAGCGTTGCTTGTCTGGATCTAGATATTTCAAAATTTCATTTCGGAGTTTGACACATGGTGAAATTTTCTCGCTGTAGCTAAAAATGGCTTCCGGTTCTGGACGTGAATAACATTTGAAATTATTCTCGCTTAAAGAAATCAAATATAACAATAGATTCAGACGGGGATGTGAGCTGATGTTCTTCAAATCTATACATAAAGGTATATTTCATATTATTATGCCATATTTACTGTGCGTGTGACACAATGATTTACAATATTTATAATACTAAGGCAGCTCAATCTTCCTCCTCAAAGCCGGAATATAGAGAAGGCTTTGGACCGAAGTAACATAATACAGTGTTTACAAGTCTACATGTAATGAATAGAGTCCTTATCAGGCTATACATTTTATGACTGCAATCTAACTCCCCTGTTAATAGCTTACCTTTTTACGAAGGTTCCCACTTAGTACCTGGCGCTACGGACAATGCCCATGAGTAGAGCTCTTCGCACTATGGATTGGGTTTGCATCATTTACATGACTTACTGTTTTGTAAGCCCAGCTTTATTGGCTTTATTAGCTTTTATGGCAAGTCATCGAGGCAACTATCAAGTCATCAAATGATGTGATTATGAGTAGTATAATGACGTTTCACATCATCTTCTATGACATATTGCCCCATCACAGCAACGTGTCCATTTATTTTCCAGGTGCAGCGCTACACTTACACGATGTATCTCTATGTGATATAGACTGGCTAATAAAGAATGCTAGCTACTTGCCACACGTATATGTCTGTCAGGAAGAAGGCGCCAGTATGAGGCTGCATTATTTTGATAAACCTGCCACAGGTACATTGTATGATAAGATGTCTAATGTTGACAATTGGAGGAAAACAAAATTAATGGCGTTATATTCTACCCCTCGCCCCTTATAAGATTGACTTTATTTTTCCTCCACGACTGTTAAGATCGATTAAGGCACTATATTTATTACTACCTGTATACTTACACTATAATTACTTTTTCTTATATATGCATGTACAGGCCCGTAGCCAGAATTTTCCAAGGGGGGGTCCACTTTTCCAAAAAATTCTAGGGGGGGTCACTTTGGCAAATTTTGCCAAAAATCACTCAAAAAATAGTCAGAATGGTGAAAAACTGCATGATTTTGAAAGAAATTTTGGCCAGGGGGGGGTTCGCCCGAACCCCCCGAACCTCCCCTGGCTACGGGCCTGATGTAAATAATGTACATGACCCACATCTGTATCCCATATGTTATAACATGGGCTTTTATCTCTTGAAAGCCAATGGTTATAACTAGGGCTGGCACGGAAAGGAATTATTGTCCGAACCGTCTGATTTTGCCTTCGGAAATGGACTTTCGGACCTACCTTCTCATATTCCGATAATTTTCGGAATCTTTATTTTCCGTTTAGAACATTCACTTATCGTTATAGCGACACGCTAACTCGCTATAGCAAACTAGTACTATGAAACGAAATCAATAAATATATATAATTATTAAACATTTTCACTTGGTAAAGTTGTTTTATATGTAGTGAATGATAGAAATGAATAAAGTATGATTGTTTTATGTATATTCAGTACCCATAAGAAAAGACAATTATTGTAAGAAAGACAATATACAATATACAGTAACAGTTGTATGCCAAGGTGCCAAGAAGGCAAGGACATTAACATTTTGCCATTAGTTTTGATCATTTATGCCACTTGTTCTGGCAGTTAGATAATGTTAGTGTTTGTATTCAATAAACATAATACAACTTATATATATATAGCTGTACACTGCTGTTCCAATGGTTACAAAAATGAGAACTAAGGGGAGAAGTAGGAACTATTTTAAATAAGGTCGGAAATTCCGAAAGTTCCGAATTCCGAAGCCAAGTTCCGAATTCCGTTCGATTCCGTTCCGTTCCGTGCCACCCCTAGTTATAACCCTCATCTGTTATACCCCACATAATAATGTTAATACTGTACTGTGGGTATTAGAAACATGTTTTATTGATTTATCTTTGATTTCATCAGATTTACATCGAAGAACATGAAATGGGTGCTAGATATTCATGATAAACAGATGGCAGATGGCTATTAACCTGTACATGAACTATACAACTGTTTATTAGCTTTTATTCCATAGTTAGCATGATATTCATAGGATAACATGTGAAAATAAAAACGGTATTTTTGTAATCAGTGGTAAAATATGATATTTTTGACAAATTTTCACTAAGCATACGGTTTTTTAGCCATGACATACGACGTCGTATGCGATGGTTTATGGATTTTTGCTACTTCAGACTCAAAACGAGGCTAAGTGTCAACATTGCCGGATCGTTTGGAAAATTCGAATTAAATGACTTAATTTCCGATGATTCTGATGATGACTTTAACTATGGAATAAAAAGAACATCCTATGATTTACTCGTGATATGATTTTAATCCACTCATGTTAGTGTTTGTATTCAATAAACATAATACAATACGCTCGCTCGTGCAGATATCATATCCATTCGTGGATAAAAATCATATCACTCATAAATCATAGGATATCCTCTATAAAAATAAATAAATAATAAAATAAAAACTACTGCAATATTAAGATTATACATTACAATATCAGTTAATTAAAACATTGAATGAAATCCTGTGCTATATTTGTGAAGAAATTTATTTTGTTAAAATATTTTCAGACTGCTATTGGACACCTTTAAAAGACTGGAGGAGTAAATATGGGAAAGATGTTGTTGACCAATGGTATGTAGACATCTTATATCTAATAATACATGTACAGTTTAATATTCAAATTCATTGCGCATTTGGCACACCACACCGCTTACTTAGCACCTTGACAAATTTCCCCTTTTATTTGGTATCCTCTACAAATGGGGGAATATAATTGAGTACCCAACATGCCTTAATTTATGAAATATCACAATTTCAACATGTACATGCTGTGGCGTTTGATGCATGTTATAAAAAAAGGATGAATTTTTCGTTTTTTGATATTTATAAGATGCAAGGGAACATGACACAAGTTATTGTATTTTTTAGGTTGATAGGGAACATGACACAACTTGTTGTATTTTTTAGGTTGCTAGGGAACATGACACTACTTGTTGTATTTGTAGCTTGCTAGGGAACATGACACAACTTGTTGTGTTTGTAGGTTTCAAGGGAACATGACACTACTTGTTGTATTTGTAAGTTGCTAAGGAACATGCCACTAGTTGTTGTATTTGTAGGTTGCTAGGGAACATGACACAACTTGTTGAATTTGTAGGTTGCTAAGGAACATGATACAACTTGCTTTATTTGTAAGTTGTTAGGGAGCATGACACAACTTATTATCCCAACGAACGAAGTTCGGTAGGGATATAGTGAAGCCCTCCGTCCGTCTGTCCGTCCGTCCGTCCGTCAGTCCGTCCGTCTGTCCGGAAGATAACTCAAATACTAGTAGACGGATTTTCTTCATATTTAGTGGAAAGATGTATATTGGTGAATAGTTTTACGCAAAGAAAATTTTTTTCAAGATGGCCGCCGCTTTAAAAATGACGGGACTTTTTCGCAAAAATCATAAATTTTTCATTCTGAACCAAAGTAATTAATATTATTGTTTGAAATTTTGGTAGTATTTTCACAACATTTATCTATTTCACATATATTCCGTGTTTTTCATCCTGACCCCCAGGGGCCGTGTATGGGGGGACAGGAAAACAGAAATTTTCGCTAATTTTTAGATCTTTCTAAAGTATAGCTTTATTATACTCAAATGAAAGGCAATTAAAAGTAGATTGCAAATATTTTATCTTTTTTCTGATTCGAGCCTCGTAAAATTCAAAATGGCCGTCTAATGTACGATTTCGCAATAATTTTTCGATCCCTTCAAAGTATGGCTATATTATACTCAAATTGAAGGAATTTTGGAGTAGGTCACAATTATGGTATTATTTTTCAGATTTGTATCTCAGAAAATTCAAAATGGCTGCTTTGCAGGAATTTGCAATTTTAAAATCTAATTTTTTCAATTTTAACCAAAGTAATGAGTATAATTGATTGGAATTCGCTAATTGATATTCTGTTCGTTGGGATTTGCTACTCCGCGGAGTTGCCGTTATCTAGTTATATTTGTAGGTTACTAGGAAACATGACACTACTTGTAGATGACCCTGTTAAAGCCTACCCAAACATTGACGCAGTCTGGAAAAAGTTTTTAGACACTTTAGGGGTGGCCGACGGCCTTATATTCTATGCTCCAATTTACAAGGTATGGACTTAAGTATTTATGGGGTTCCAATCCCTTGTTAATTAACTTTTAAAAAATAGATACTAGTTTCTTATTCAAATTCTATTTGTTGATTTTTATGTAAGGATAAACATTGTTCGATATCCCCTTCCCTCTCTACATGCAACTTTCATTTGTCAGCCATATTGAAATTCATTGTTAATCATTTGCAGGCATATTATTATCAAGCTTTACAAGAATTTTATGATGACAATGTGCAATATATAGAAGTGCGTACTTTACTGAGTAATGTGTATGAACTAAATGGTACGATACATGACAAGGAATGGGTGTTGAAGGCTTACATAGACACTCTTCACCAGTTCATGAAGGACCACCCAGATTTTAGTGGCTCAAAAACTATATACTCCAACACAAGGTATGTTTTTGACAAATGGAGAAAAGCCCAGTACTCATTGAATTGTTGGTGTTTTATTGCATGAGGTTTTTGTTTGCAGTTAAAAAAGAGAGAATAGCTTTAAGTTTTAAGGTGAAAGGAATTCTGGGCGACAGAAATGACAAATATTGTTTCTGCGACGAAATCAATCAACATTGACATATTCTTTCCCCTTCCTATTTTGTAATTTAACAATTGAAACAAGTATACATGCCATATTTAAACAAATATCAGACAGATTCGTAAAAATATTTTTTGATGGATAAAATTATCAATTATAAAACCGGAAGTGTGTTCTCTGAGGTCAGTGTGAAAATATTTTGATTATTTCAAATTTTGCTGTGGATTTGATTTTAAATGCTTCTAAATGATCTTCAAATGCTCACTATGATTTCTATTAGTAATTTTGACTTTCCCATTCATTAAAAAAGAACATTGTCACCATTTACTCGATTTGTTAATTTACTTCCAGTCTATCGAGGAAAATCTCAATTATAAAAGTTCCTTGGAACTTTTAAAATCTTCAGTCTAAACATGGCTTTTTAAAGGTTCAAACATAGACTTTGAATCTTTATGCATAATTAGAAAATAGAATCATCAGAGAAGGTTTTAAACAATGAAATTGACTCTAAAGCCAGAAAAAAAATTGAACCATTCTATCGTCTCTGAAACCTAATAATTCCTTTAACATAAGAATAGAGGGTGATTAGTAATTTGTAAATGAGGGATATGATCCGTGCAGTTTTAATTATTCCATATATCATTTACATCATTGGGAAATAATCAATGTAAGTGCTATAAACTCCGTAATGCCACATGGGTCTTGTTCTATTTGCAGGTTCATTGAGCCTAGTGCAGTACAAGATGATATTAATCTAAGTATAAAGTTCAGGAATAAATATCCTGATCATTTTGCTGGTTATGATTTGGTAGGACAAGAAGACCCAGGCTTCCCACTGACCTATTATCTTGACCAGCTTTTGAGTCCATCTCAGATGAGCCCCCCTGTTGACTTGCCTTATTTCTTTCATGCAGGGGAGACAGGTAAGACTGAGAAATTCAATGTGTGGTTATTTGTATGTCCCAACTTAACCCAGTATTTAGTAAATTATTTGATACATGGCAGATACATTTTAAAAATGTAATTTCTAAAGTAGATACTAGTTATTAATATTAATAACTTTGTTCATAAAATACCCTGGCAATAATAATGCAAAATAAAAAAGAAAGAATTTGTGACAAAATTGAGTCCCCCTGTTGACTTGCCTTATTTCTTTCATGCAGGGGAGACAGATAAGAGTGACACAAGTGGGGTGGTTTGGGGGGTTCAAGAAATCAAAATTTCTTTCAAAATCATGCAGTTTTTCACCATTTTAACACTTGTCAGGTGATTTTAGCCTTTTTGGGGCCAAAATTGTCAAATATGAAACACCCTGGAAATTTTTGAAATGTGAACCCCGTGGCAAAAGCTCTTTTGGACTCAAAACTTTTGGTTCTTGTCCCATGCTAACCTAATCACAAAATATTCTCAACAGTCTATGAGAGTATAAAAATGGACATGTTGTCCAATCAATGATGAATATATGAGCACTACACATGTGCCAGCCAAACTTTGGGGTTTTCACATCCTTCAAGATTGGTCCTTCACTGCTTTCATAGCAATGTAATGCAATGAATTACTCTTGGGTCAATGATTGGGTTTTCATTCAGCAATGCTTTTTCAGACTGGTATGGTACTGCTGTAGACATCAACATTATAGATGCTCTCTTGTTGAATACTAGCCGTATAGGGCATGGTTATGCAATAAACAAGCACCCAGAAGCTCTGCGTATGGCCAGAGAGTCTAACACACCTATTGAAGTCAACCCAATCTCAAATCAGGTAAGCCATACCTGTGATCTCCCCAGCATTAAAGCAAGTGAGATTCTGAAAACTGGCTTGCACCCACCTGAAATTCCAATTGCACCCACTTGAAAATGAGAAAAATAATGAAACATTGGCATATTTTGACCAATTTTGGTCTGAATTGTGAAAATGAGAATTTTGCTCCTACCTGAGAAAAGATCCTGGGGAGATCATTGCATACTCAGAAGTTATAAGGAGTCACTTGACTAAAAATCAAAATATTCACAGGTACATGTGTAACAACAATTATAACATGTTTGCTAATAATGATAATAATAATGCAGACAGTGTACATGTTTTAATTAAGAATAAATGATTTAGGCCTGTCAGATATTCCATCTAATATACTGTAAATGAAAATTTTATGGTTGATTCTCTGGAAACTGGGGAAAAACATAGTTATACTTATCATTAGTTATAGTTTATTTCATGTTATATCATATATTGAACCATTACAAAACATATGCATTTGACACCTCAAGTAAAAGGGCGGATCAGAGTGTATCAAATTGTGTTGCAGAGAAACCAATGTACATATAATTTACAATAACATTTTTTATTCCATAATAACATGTTTTCCCTGGGAAAATAACAGGGAATAAAAGTGTTATTTGAAAAATCCCGTATCAGATCCCGTATCAGCCAAAATCCCGTATCAGATCCCGTATTGGATCCCGTATCAGCAAAAATCCCGTATCAGATCCCGTATCAGAAATATTCCCGGTAATTTCTCTTGAGTTTTACGCTTTTCGTCTAGCACATCTCTACAGGAAGTAAAAAAATCGTTTGGAAAATTGAAATTATTGAAATTATTATCATCTAGTTTACGTCTATTACTGTGATAAAGGTCTATTACTGTGACAAATATGTCTAGGTATGCAACAGAGGATGTTGATGACTTCATTAAAGGTCAAGAAATTGAAAACAAAAATATTATGAAATAAATAGGTTATTGATGGTCGTGATGGAATATGGATTTATTCCTTGAGAAAATATGATATTGGCCTCAGAAAATATCATATTGACACTCGGGCTATCGCCCTCGGTCAATATGATATTTTCCTTGGCCAATATCATATTTTCCCTCGGAATAAAATCCATATTCCATCCCTCCCATTAAATAACCTCTATATATCGCATGTCAGGATGCCTGCAATACAGAACTTTGAGTCTTTAGGAATTAAATTGGAATAAATAAAATGTAAATTTATGTAATATTTTCATTCATCTTTTCCAAGAGGTCTTTCTTTTGTTGTGCAATGGGTTTTCAACAGAAAGGCTTTCTCTTGATCGAAAGCCCATGGTTGTGCTTAAAAGAAGTTCTAAGAACTTTTATTTTGAGATTTTTCTTGGTAGTCCGTAAGTAATACAAGCCAAGAAAACAGTGATATTGTTATTTTTAAGAATTGAATAAGTCAAAACACTCCTGATACAAGTAGAGGTCATATGAATCAATTGAAGATCATTAAGAAGCATTTAAATAGAATTGAATGGCAGAATTTAAAAAAAACACCCCTACAGGCCCGTAGCCAGGATTTGTGAAGGGGGGTTCACATTTGACAATTTTGGTCCAAATATGGCTAAAATCACTTGAGAGGTGCTCAAAATGGTGAAAAACTGCATGATTTTAAAAGAATTTTTGGCGGGGGGGGTTCACCCGAACCTGGCTAGACCCTGGCTACGGGCCTGCCCCTATACGTAAAGTATTGGATGTCGTTTGGTCTTCCTCAGATGTAACTCAGCTGTTTCTATATCTTTGAATTCATTAAAGTGAAAGCTTATTTTTTTTCGGCCAATTGATAATGCTTTTTATTTTATTATGTTAGTATTTACTTTAAAGTACAGATTGTCAAAGTTGTCATCCTCTAGAGAAATATTGGTGTCATCAGCAAAAATAAATAATTTTATCATATTGGAAACATTGAATATGTTGTTTATATTTAAAGTGAAAAGTACATGTCCTATAACACACCCTTGAGGAATGCCACAGTTTAAAAATGTTCATCACTATTCTTATGAAAACCTAAGAGTTCTAGTTTATTGAAGGATCTATTGTAACGGAAGCTTTTGAGAGGTCCATGCTTATATTATTGTCCATTGAAAATCGAATTTATTCCAGAAATGTATGTTGAGTTGTTTCCTTTGAATCCAACTTGTTTTTGATTCATTAACTTATTATTTTTGATAGATTTAAAAATTATCGAGTGCATTACTTAATTTGGTTGTTTTCATTTTTTCTGGAAATACACCTGTTTGTAGAGAAAGGTCGCTATATGAGAAAATGGTGTTTCAAGATTGTATCTTGCATGTTTGATAACTATTGGTTTTATATCATCAAATCCTGGAGCTTTATCATTACGTCTTTTCGTAAGTGTTAAGATTTCATCTTCAATTTTAGGTTCTAGAAATAAAGAAAAGGGGTTTTGTGTAATATTTTCACGTGGTGATCCAGTTGGAGTTATTGTAGATGGTAGCTTCTTTAAGGCCCGGTCACACCGCCCGGACGTTGCTGGAGCGTTCCTTGAACGTTGAAAAAATTCATCAACGCTCGTCAACGCGCACAAAATGGGGAAAAAAACAAAAACACTGGCGTTGGCTTAGCGGTGCACCGCTGAAGCCGGCGTTGCTTTAGCGTTGGTTAAGCGGTTGCGAGCGGTAGCTAGCGTTTGTTTAGCGGTAATGCGAGCGTTGGTATAGCGGCGTTCTGCGCATGAGAGCGTTGCCTCGGCGGGGGTATAAATAGCAGCAGCGTTGGTTTAGCAGCATATCGCGTTTGACTACTGAGCTGAACGGATCTATTCAGTTGAATAATTGTTCAGTCTGAACTCAACGGCAGCTCGATTCCAGAAGAGCTCGTGGTGCATTTCTCCACGTATTTATAGCCAAATTCTGGTCCCGCTCCGACACCTCTATACCAACGCCAAAGCAAAGTTCATCGCCGCCATGGAACGCTGCGACAACGTCCGACACCGTTCCAACAACCCCAGGTACGCTGATAAAACGCTAACAACTGCTCCACCGACGTTTGGGCAACGTTTAATCGCCGCCCGGGCAACGCTGGCGAAGCAGCGGTGGTCCAGCGTTTAAGATTTCTGCGTTGGTCTAGCGGATTCAAGCGTCCACAAACTTGCGTCTAGCGGTGCCAAACTTTGACTGGGCATTGGTGGAGCGGTGATAAACTTTGCCAGGGCGTAAAATTGTCCCTTTTTCAACGCTCGCAATATTTTGAGCAGCTCAAAACTTTTGGAGCGTTAGGATGGCTACTCGAGAAACATCCGCGTTGGCCGAGCGTTTACAGCGTTGCTTTAACGGATGCCAACTTTTGTTAAACGGTGGTGAACGTTTATGAGCGTTGATGATTTTTTTCAACGTTCAAGGAACGCTCCAGCAACGTTTAGGCGGTGTGACCGGGCCTTTATAAATAATGAATTTCAAGAAAAAATGAGAAGAAAAATCAGAGTTTTTTAAAAGAATTGGAGATATATGGTTTCCAAAATATTGACTCAAAACATGTACACAATAAACAGAGATGTAAGTTTTATGCCCAAATTAGGTACATTTTATAAGTTTGCGTGTCTACATAAAACCTTCATCCTTGAAAATAAAATTTGAAAATCATATAATTTTAGGTTCTAGGATTGGTGACAGACCTTCGCAACCACCCTGCCTCTAGTCTCATGGGGGAGGGGTTTCCCATGGTAATCAGTTCAGATGACCCTGGTGTGTGGGGAGCAAGGGCATTATCATATGATTTCTACGAGGCCTTTATGGGACTTGGCGGGGAATTTGCAGACCTGAAAACCTTAAAAAAGTTAGCCATAGACTCTCTACAGTAAGTTTGATGTCTTATATCTTACCATCAAAGCCCTATTGGTGTGAACTTAGCTTTAAGAATAAATTGTGTAAGGATTGTGTGGCAGTTATTAAACAATAATTAGTAATGATTGTATTATTTAGTTTATTCTGGATATTATTTTTTTACAGTTAACATTATACAAACAACTCAATAACATTCATACTGTAGACTGTACATGTATTATTTACAATGGATTTAAACCTTTCTAATCTGAACATCTTGGTACCAGCCAAAAGTGTCCGGATATGTATGTGTTCACATTACAAGGTTTTCTTAATATACAAGTCTATGGGAGATAACAAAATTTGGCCAATTCGGCCGAAACTCAAGTTGGCACTATTCCAACCAAATTAGGAATTTGTCATTTCATGATGTCATCAGATTATTTATTTTTAAACTAAATATCCTTCCAGTATCTATAAACAAACTTCACTTCATAGAACAAAAACTTTTCAAAACATTTCATACATTATACTTTCAGAACCATTCGGAATAAAATTTGGTATTTTTGGTCGTGACCACTGTCGAAATAAAAAAGTAACTTGTATTGTTCACCATCACTTGCTATATATGAATGGGCATAGTAGTGTGAAAACAAATGTCTTTTGATATTCCATCCATGAGAAAGTTAATATGAAATTATGGGTTATCACAGTGCCCACACTGTACATAATTTCATTCTTTTTGTTAGTCTACTGTATAGATGATAAACGTTGCAATATAACCTCATCGACAGTGACAACCTTCTCTTCATTACTTTTTCTGTTGGTGTCAGTCACATGGTATATTTGTCGTTTTCCAAACATTGATGGTGCACCATAGCTCGACATTATTGTTGAAACGGTGTCAGTGTAGCTTCCAGAGATTGAAATTGTCTGATGTCTCGATAAATCAGACTGAGAATATGGTTTGAGACACTTAAAGGTCCTTTTCATAGCATCTCTGAACACCTTGTAGCTGAATACATAGATGAATGGATTGATACAGCAGTTCAGGAATGCCGTAATCATAGTGAACTGATAGAATGGAGTTGTGAACCCAGGAACAGACACCCCGAGGTTGTAAAGAAGGAAATAGACGCCATTGCAGATCCAACACAAAAAGAAACACAAGGAGACCAACAGGAGTGTTTTGATAACATTGTGTCTTGCCCGTAGCAATTTCTTCTCCCTATTTGACGCTGATGATGATGAATGTGCCTCCTTCGTCATCTTAATCGCCATCCTACAGTAGCAGCCAATCATAATGCTTATGGGAATGATGAACTGAACAACAGTCAATGAGACTCCAAACACTGTACTGAACGTCTCACTTGGCCATTCGGTCCACAACATACAGACTGTTCCTTTAAGTTCAGAACTCCATATCTCATAAGCTGTCCAGGACAATCCTGCGATCCATACAATTGCAATAACAAGTCCTACTTTGTTCCTTGTAAAGCACCACCTATATGTCACTGGATGTATCAGGGCTAAGTATCTCTCTATTGTCAACGCCACGAGGTTGAAGGTTGATATCACCATGCACGACCATATAGGATATTGGGAAAGCCACACCTTACAAAACACCCTAGCTCCGAATCCGGGCTCCTTAATCCAACCAATGTCGTCGAAGTATTTATTCAATGCAACAAACAACGAGGCTAGCAGATCAATTATACTTTGATTTATAATTAACATGTTCGTGATTTTACTTCGCAGTTTGACTGTACTTAGAAAAACAAAGATCACAAGAGAATTGCCGCATAATCCAATCGAACCGATTATGCAGAATATAACTTTGTCAATGAACTCAGTATGAGATGTAGCAGTAAGGCTAATAATAGTCTCATTTTCCTTTAGTACGGTGTTTTGGGTTGCATCATCCATTTTTGTTGCAAATTTTTGTTTCAAGTTTTTATGCCATCACCAGAAGTGGTGACATTGTTTATGGTCTGAAATTTTTCTGGACAGTGTTCAGGGTTGAGCATCTGTAACACAGTGTCTGTAACAAATTACGGCATCTGTAACAAATGGCAGGTTTAACATTTTGCACATTAAAGCCTTGTAACAGTGTTACAGTGTTGTGTTACGCATTATAGATAGTAAGTTTCTGTATATATTTTTATTTTGTAGTTTTTTCCTCATCTTTATCATAAAAACGGATAGAGAGGATAACATTTTGGAAGCAATCTTTTCAAAGGTCATTCCAGTGATACAATTCCTTATAATCCTAATCTTATTTTCTGAGAAAAGAATCCAGATATCTGATCAAATATTGTATAAAAAGACTAATGCACTGAATGAAAATGAGTTTTTGTTTTGAGATACTAACTTTGATCAGTCTGGTAAACTGAAATATGTATTCACTTTAATCTGAATGTATAAGTTATGAAAATCATTAAATATGAAAATAATTAACTAATACTTATCAATATTTGGAAATGCACTCCTTTTTAAAGTGTGTATAAAGGTTGTTTAGTTTCCAGTGGTAGTTTCCAATTTTGACGTCACTTAGTTCTATTTCACCATGAACATGAAAGCTATTTTTAAATAGATAGGTCAATGTTTTGTGAAAGGACGGGTATCAGTAAACCCCTTTTTTAGCCCCCTTACAAAACAAGTATATATGCACATGGAATTGAAGAGGAAGTATAACTTAATACTTAAAAACTTAATTTTAGAGAATTTTGACATTTGACCTTGACAGTTGGGTCATTTGAAGGTCAACTATAAGAGATGCTATTTTGTAAAAAAATTGGCACTTTCTAATACAAGAAATGAATGGAATGGAGATTCAAACTGAAATAATGAGATTCTTGCACTGACAATTACGTGAAAATTTTGAGATTAATGATTGTTCCTGTTCCCTTTTGAGGCTCTTTCAGTATTCAAGCATGTTTTAAGAGTTGGGAGGTTAATATATTTTAAAAATGCCCATGGGCAATTGGGAGAAAATGATTGCAATTAAATGCACTTTAGGGCACTTCAATGAGAATGGATTTTCTTATTTCAATTGTTTCTCTTCAGTTTTCTAAACATGTTTGCCATACTCTAAAGAGTTAAAGACTCATTTTTGATAAATGCCCATTGGGATTTTAACGTTTTGCCAATATTCAGTTCCCATATTTGAAACACAAATAATCCAAAGAAATCCTCTTTCAATATGTTATGTATCATAAAATAGAAGGTAACATCATGTATTAATGACATGACACTCAAAGGATTACCGGATAATTTCTACTTATTCCCTACTTAGAAAAAATTCCCTCCTCTTAGGCCATTCAAAGTTTTTTGTATGATTAATGTCACTTACTTTCTGTTTTCAGAAAATAAACAAAATGATCCCATGTACTCTGTCTTTGTAATGAATTTAAATGACAGAATTTTAAAATTGTGATCTTAGATCATATTGTAGTGAAATATGCTCTCAGATTGATTAAAAACTATGTATGTAAGCTTCAGTATTGTTTCACGGCCCCTGAACTCAAGAGGTATACCACTTGCTAAGTCAGTATGTGTTATTGTAATTTCACATTTGAATAACTAAAACCCTTAAAATAAAAAAAAACTGACAGTGATTACTTTGGTATACATAGTGTATTTTCTTACATTCAACACTTGAATAATAGCTATATGTTTAAATATATTGTATAAAATGTATAGATACATAGAAATTGGTATGCCATCCCTTTTATGCCCTTGAAATGTATACATTTCTCAGCAAACAAGTTTGTGTTTTTTCTCGAGTTTGTGTTTGTTTTCCTTGTACTCTTGCATGATTTGTATTTTGCCAGGCCGCAAATTAAAGAATCTACTTCTTATGGCCTTATGTAGTGTATGTATGCTCATGTTGGCAGCCATTTTGAAAACATGAACCAGTCAGGCTTATTTTCATCACAAAAGTTAAGTTTTAGTGGTGAGCACACAACTGAACAACAATGACATTGCTATTATTCACAGGGTACGTACCAAATTAAGCATGACAGTTGAACGTGTGGGTTACGGTACAACACGAGGGGGATGAAATGGGAGCAAGCATATGTTTCTTTGTTCAGAAAGATGTGGTCTACATGTAGTTTCTAGATATTTTTTTATATGTAAAGGACAAGTCTCAGTTTGGAGAACAGTCTCCTGGGCTAATATGAAAAATATATGAAATATCACCCAAATATCACCCAAATTAAATTATGAATATTCAAAAGAGGACAGCTAAGTCTACAAGATGTAAAAATATCACAATTGTCCGAAGCAGGAGTAATGGTGCAGAAGACCGATTCAATAAAATACAAGTCTCGATTTGGAGAATGAAGTTCATCAGTGTACTGCACTAATAAATTTTTATTAGATCTAGAAATATCACTCAAATTAAATTATGACTATTCAAAAGAAGACATTCAAATCTATATAATGTAAAAAATTCAAAGGAGTGGTATTGATATAGAGAACTTTTTGAACACGTTTCTCTTAAACCAGACATAAAAAAATCTAGAAATTTAACACATCTTCAATTTAATGGTCATCCTTTGAATGGTAACAATATAATTTGAAAAATACATATATACTTTCATCTATATTGTTTTAGAAAACACATCAAAAACTTGTTTTGTTCTTGGTATCATGTTTCCAGAGTGAAATGAAACATCTTTCCAAACCTCATTGAAACAAAACGACATAAACACAACATGTTTAGGTCTCTCAATATTGTAATTGTACAAAGGAAATTTTGGTTGATTTAAAAAAAGTATCTTGTTAATGAATTAAAAGGTTTATCTTGATTTTTTCTATTTTGGGGGGATTTTGTTTTAATTTTTTGAATACTTTTTTAAAATCAACCAAAAATTCCTTTGTATAACTATAATATTGAGAGGTTTAAAGACATGTTGTTTATGCTATTTTGTTCCAACAAGGTTCGGAAAGACATTTTATTTCATTCTCAAGAATTGGTAGAAAGGAAGTACCTAGTGCGTTCAACTGTCACACTTAATTTGGCACGTA